GTACGGCACCCACCACCGCGACAGCAGCCGCCTCCGGGAGCCAGGGCGCGACAGCACCCCCCTCGGACTCGGGTTCTCAGACGGGGACCCCAGTGACCCATGGGTCATCCGCACGCGGGTCGGACGTCTTCAAGGCCAGCAGCAGCGGGATAGACCTCACGGAGGAGGGCGTTACCTCCGCGGCGCAGGCTGCTGCTGCCCCGGCGTCTGGTGGGAGTAGCGGGGGGCCTGCACCAGCAGCAGCGGCGACAGCAGCAGCACCAGCAGCAGCTGGAGGTGTTGTGGGCGGCATGTACGCTGACGGCTTCCTGCCGCCGCTTGCTGACGCCGCCGCTCGTACTGCCGTACTGCAGCGGGATGCGTTCCTGGTGTTCCGGGCGCTGTGCAAACTCAGCATCCGAACCAACGACGTTACAACGGCTAACGACCCAACCGCCATTAGGTAGGTCCTGGTCCAGGAGTGCAGCTCTTACACATTCACGTTGCAGCTTTCACATTCACGTTGCATGTTGTGTGGTTGACACAAGGATGCGGTCGTGTTTGCGTCCTCCCTTACAACAAGCCTTCTTCGTCACCCCCCTTGCTTTGCCCTAACCTGTGGTCTCCTATGGTTTTGGTATGGTCTTAGACCCCCCCACTCCCCAGGCAACAAACTATTGTTTCTTGATAAACTGCTTCACTATATTTGCCCTTACCTTTGGTTCTGGTATATCTCCCCCCCCCCTCTCCGTCCTTCAGGGGCAAGGTGTTGGCTCTGGAGCTGGTCAAGGTGTTGTTGGAGAACAGCGGCCCCGTGTTCCGCCGCGCCGACAAGTTCCTAGCTGCCATCCGGCAGTACCTGTGCCTGTCGCTCATCAAGAACAGCGCCTCGCCGCTGCCCGCCGCGCAGAGCCTCACCGTCTCCATCTTCATGAGCCTGCTGCTGAGGTTCAGGGCGGCGCTCAAGGCGGAGGTGGGCAGGGGTGGGGTTGGGGTGGGGTGAGGGAGAGGAAGAAGGGGAAAGAGCTCTGTCCCGAGTTCACAGCTCTGGCTTGTTGGTCTGGTCTACAGCCGTCCATGTAGCGACTAGCTTACCCGCATGCTTGGCCTCTTCCCTCCTCCCCTCCCTGCCTGCCGCCCGCGCAGGTGGGTGTGTTCTTCCCCATGATCCTGCTGAAGCCCTTCGAGGGGCCGGTGGTGCTGGCGGCGGGGCCGGGGGGGCCGCAGCCCGCCACGCCGCCCAACCCAGTCATGATGCAGCACAAGGTGGGAAGGGGAGGCGGAGGGGGAGTTGGGGTATGAGGATTAGAAGACACGCGCCTAGTGCTATGACAGAAGAAGTAGCAGGCATGGCATTGTCGTCGTGCACCGTTGTGCTCTGTGCTGCGTTGGGGCTCGTGCGCTGTGCGTTTCACACAGCATGGCTTCGATCCATCCGCACGACTGCCGTACAGACGTGTGCGCCGCTTCCATTTGCAGTCGCAACGGTAGCTGCCCACGCATGGGACCATGTGCTGCTGTCGCCGCATCCCGCATTGCCTCCCTCTGCCGCACCCCGGTGTGTCGCCCGGTGTGCGTCTCGCCCTCCTCCCTCCTCACACCACCCCACATGCCGCGCCGCCTCCTATCCCCGTTGTCGTGCCCCAACCTGTGCCTTCCGATGGTTCGGTATGGTCTTTGATCCCCCATGAACGTTACCCCCCATCCACCCCTCCTTAGGCGGTTGTGCTGCGCTGTCTCCGCGAGCTCTGCCGCGACGGGCAGCTGCTGTTGGACCTCTTCGTCAACTTCGACTGCGACTTGGAGTCGTCCAACCTCTTCGAGCGCCTCGTCAACTGCCTGGTACGGCAGGCGCAACAGCCCGGACAGGTGAGTTGGTTGGCTGCTGGTACCGGTAGTTGGTTACATGGTTAGCTAGCTGTCTGGTGGGGGCTTGGGAGAGCCGCCACTGCGCTCCCCGCGGAAAGCGTTTTAGCCAGCTGGCCCGCAACCACCCTGTTGTCATGCACGGGCCTGCGGGATTGCATGGCAAAGCGCCAGTGGAAGAAGCAGGGCCTTCCGTGTCATCTCTTGCTGTGTACCTCCCCCATGTAACCAGGCAGCCATTAGCACCACCACCACCTACTCCTTCACGTGTTACGTATCACCTACGCCCACCACTTCTTCCCGGGATGTCCCATCCCCATACTTCTGCCCGAAATTCTGGTTTCCTATGTTTTGGCACGGATTTGGGGCTGGCGTTCCTGACCCCCCCTCCACCCCCCTCCACCCCCCTCCACCCCCCTCCCCCGCCAGAGCTCCTCCGGCACCGCGCTGCCGGTGCTGGTGGCGGACAGCTCCTCCTCCTCGCTGCCCCCCGAGCAGCTGCTGCGGCAGGAGGCGCTGCACTGCCTGGTGAACGCAATGGAGGCGATCTGGGGCTGGTACAGGTGGGGGCGGAGGGCGGGGGCGGGGGCGAAGTAGGAGGGGAAACGAACCAAGCGTGTGACAAGGGGGATCGGGGAGGAGCGTAGCAGGGGCTGTAGGGGTTGGCATGTGTGGAGCACTACGCGGGCGGGCGGGACGGGAGGGGCATGACTGGGGGCCACAGGTGGCTGTGAGGCGGCCACAGGCGGCAGGCTGCTGTGCACGTGCTGCTATGCAGTGCCTGCACCGTTAGCGACACGTCCCATGTTACCATGTGTGTCCTCCGTACCCCGCCCCCCCCCACCTGCCGCAACAGGCAAGCCTCAGGGCTCGCCGACGCCAGCGGCAGCGCCGGCACCGCCCCCGTGCGCCGCACCGCCACCAGCAGCCAGCTCGCACTGCACGTCGCAGCCGCAGCGGGGGCCGCCGCCGCCACTGACGAGGACGCCGGCCTGGACGATCCGGACCTGGCGGCTGCTGCAGCGGCCGCTGCTGCCGCTGCAGCCGCGGGCTCGGGTGGCGGTGGAGGTGGCGGTGGCGGTGGTGACATGGGTGGCGGTGGCGGGCCGGAGGACCTGGTCACCAAGCGGGCTATCAAGCTGAAGTTCCAGCAGGGCATAGCGCTGTTCAACAAGAAACCCAAGAGGGGTGGGGCCCAGGAGGGCAGGAGGAAAGGAGGAGGGACATGGAACACGGATGTGCAACTCGCAACAACACACGCCCCCGCCCCCACTGCCCCCGCCCTCAAACCCCCCACCTCCTTTCCCGACCCCCCAAGGCGGGGGCGTGAAGTCATATAACAAACTACAATTGTACGCTAACCCGACTATCCAGCCTAATGCGGAATTCGTATCCCTATTAACCTCCCCCCCCCACCAGGCATCGAGTACCTTCAGCGCGAGGGCATGCTGGGCGGCGCCCCGGAGGAGGTGGCTGCCTTCCTGGCTCGCACGGAGGGGCTGGACAAAACCACCATCGGGGACTTCCTGGGGGAGAGGGAGGACTTCAGCCTCAAGGTGCGGGGGCGTGGGTTTCGTGCAGGCAAGGCTGGCCGCGGGGAAGAAGGTAGTGTGAATGTCGGAGGCTGCGGTCTCCCACAGCAAACGCAATGAGCGAAGAAGAGGCCGCGTGTGGGGCTGCGGAGTCAGCATCTAGCGCTGGCACATGGGTGAACCAAGCAATGCTGGGCCGGAAGCTGTGGGGCTGGATCCCGGGCTTTGGGGTCGTCGGCAGCAGCAGCAGTAACGTCACCAGACACAGGGCAGGGCGTGGCCTGCTAGGAATGAACTCTCGCGCCATTGGAGGCCCTTATTGTGCACAATTGACAAGCGTTGTTTGAATCCACAAGCGCATGCAAGTCCCTCTACCGGTATTCCGCCCCCTCCTCATCCCTGTCACGTAATGTATCCAGCGTAATGCGGAATCTTCATCCCTATTAATCCCTGTCCCGTCCTCTATCACCATCCGGCTGGTTGGTAGTTTTCGCTTTACCCTCTTATCTCTCCCTCTCCCTGACTGTGCCCCGCCCCGCCCCCCCCCTTGCAGGTGATGCACGCCTACGTGGACGCCATGGAGTTCAGCTCGCTGGACTTCGACACCGCCATCCGCACCTTCCTGCAGGGATTCAGGTGCGGGGGCTGCAGCAGGGGTTTCGAGGGGGGAGGAGATGGGGGTTGGGGAGTCTAAGGGGGTTCTAGGGGGAGATGGTCGGGGGTTGGGGAGGAAGCAAAGATGCAGAGAGAGAGGAAGCAAGGAGGCGGCAACAGGGGGGCACGGGGACGCGGATGGGGGTGGCAGCGCTGCCTGGCGGAGTCGACGGAGAGCTGTGGTAGTAGTGCTCACTTCTCATCCGTTTCCTCCCCGTCCTGCTGCTTCTCCCCCTGCCCCCCCCCCCCCCCCACAGGCTGCCCGGCGAGGCTCAGAAGATCGACCGGCTGATGGAGAAGTTCGCGGAGCGCTACCTCAAGACCAACCCCGGCTCCTTCAAGTCGGCGGATGTGGCCTACGTGCTGGCCTACTCGGTCATCATGCTCAACACGGACGCGCACAACCCGCAGGTGCGTGTGGTCGCGTTGAGGAAGAGTAAACGGCAACGCACGTGGGGCAAGTGGGCTGAGGAGCCTGCGGGAACGCATTGGCAGTGGCACGTAAACCGGTGGATACATGGCACTGAGCTTGGCCAGCGAAAGGGCCCTGCTGGGTTTGGGTGTTGTTTCTTTTCCATGCCGCTTCCAAGATTATCCTCCAGTGTCACAACGGAGGATGCTTTGGCTTCGTGTGTGTTCGCTTGCTGCGCCCTGAAAGCCCCCCATTCCCCGGAAGCCCCCCCCCCGGGACTGTCACCGCATGCTGCTTCCCCACCACCCGTTGCTGCACGTATCAATTATTCCACCCCCACCCCCACCACCCCCCCAGGTTAAGAACAAGATGAGCAAGGCGGCCTTCCTCAAGAACAACCGCGGCATCAACGACGGCGCGGACCTGCCGGAGGAGTTCATGTCCGGGCTGTACGACAGGATCGTCAGCAACGAGATCAAGATGAAGGACGACGCGGCGGGCGCGGTGGGCGGAGGCGCGGTGGCGGCACAGGGTGAGCGACGGGCCCCTACTCGGGCTATTCCTCATCTTCGAAACCCTTTCCTCAACCGCGGGGCGTCCTTGTCTCCTCCTTCTGCCGGCCTGGAGACCCGCTCTTAGCTTTGCAAATTGCAATTCGCATTCGCAATAATCATCTCGCTACCAACCATTCACCATTGGTGAGCCTTCCAAACGCCCGCACTCCTCTTGCGTCATCCTTCCCCTTACCACCCCTCATCCCATCCCATCCCTGTCCCCTGCCCTACATCCCCGCAGAGGCAGGCGGCCTGGCAGCCCCCGCCCGCGCGCTCTTCAACACCCTGCTCGGCCTCATGGGCGGCCGCGGCCAGGCCGTCTCCTCCGGCCCCTCCGACGCCGCCATCCGCGCCACTCTGGACTACCTGCACACACGCGCCGCCTCCGCCACCACCGTCACCGTCACGGAGGCAGATGCCGTACGGCCGCTCATGGAGGTGGTGTGGGCGCCGCTGCTGGGGGCGCTGTCCACGCTGTACGACGAGTACGGCGATGCGCGGCTGGTGAACACGTGCCTGGCGGGGTTTGCGGCGGCGGCGTGCTTGTCGGCGCAGGTAATGAAGGATAGAGGAGGAGGGGGAGGGGTGTATGCGGTGGTGGTGGTGGTGGTGATGCTGGAATTGCAGGGTTTACATCCTTAAGAAGCCGGTCCTGCTTTGCTCTTTTGCGCAGATATGTTGCTTTCCGTGCGCCCTGATCCTTATCAAACGGGTTAAACCGCCCCCCTCTCCCAGCCCACCCACCCCCCACCCACCTCCCACCTCGTGAATCCTCGTCATCCAGTTCGTCAGTTTTCATAAAATTTACCCCCCACCCACCTCTCACGCAGACCGGCATGACGCACCTGCGTGACGTCTTCCTCAACGCGCTGAGCAACTTCACGCACCTGCACTCGCCCACCACCATGCGCCACAAGAACGCGGCCGCCTTCAAGTACATGCTACTGGTGGCGGAGACGGTGGGGGACCAGCTGCAGGAGAGGTACGCGCGTGCGTGTGTATGAAGAAAACTGGCCGCGGGTAGGAATGTACCGATTTCTCAAAGGATGATGTTCCCCACAACACGCCACGGGAGCCGAGGAGTAGGTTGACGTATGCGCCGGTAACGTCCCCACCTTTTGGCTCTTAAGTTTGGCTCTAAGGAATGCAGCCCCCCTTGTTGCATGTGGCTCCACGTGTGATGTGCTGCAAACCCTTGCTGCGCCAACCCTTGTTGCACCCAGGTGGGTGGACGTGCTGCGCTGCATCAGCCGCTGGGAGCTGCTGCAGCAGATAGCCAGCGGCATGCCCACGGACGCAGCGCTGTTCAGGCACCAGGACGACGGCAGGGGCGGACCCGCGAGGGTGAGCGGGGCGGGGACATGTGTGGCGCGGGGGGGCGGGGGTAAGCGGAGCGACAGGGTTAAGGTTGGGCCGAAGGGTGGGCAGCCACTGCTGTTTCGTAGAAGGCCGATCGGGATCTGTTTCGTGAAAGATAGTGCCGTAAGTTGGGCACCCCACCTTCTCTCCCTCGCCCCCGCCCCTCCCCCCCACAGTCCGCAGCCAGCACCGCCGCCGCGCTGGGATCCAAGCTCCGACCGCCCTCAGACTTCGCCGTACCTCGCCCCCACGATGTCGCTGACTCCTTCTTCTCCTCCCCCGGCTACCAGCCCTCGCTGATGACCCCAGCTCCCTACACGCCTGCGGTGGCCGCGGGCAGCTCCGGTGCTGCTCCCGGCAGGGGGGCCGCGTCACATGGCTCCCTGGGGTTCGCACCCGCGAGCGGCGCTGGGGAGACGCCGGGTATTCCCTCGGAGGTGGTCAACAGTGTGGACAGCGGTGACATCAACCGCATCTTCCTGAACAGTGGCCAGCTGAACAGCGAGGCAATTGTGCAGGTGGGCTGCGAGACCCATGGGTCGTTCCCGTGCTGCATGGGCGCGGGCTGGTGCTATGGGTGCTGTGCGCGTTGGGTGCGAATCGGAAGGCTTAAGAGGGGCCCTCCTGAGCTGGCCCGTGTCAAAGAAGGCGTGGTCAAACCAACCTGACAGAGTATGCTTCGCGCTGTCCTCAGCCATTCTCATTCTCGTTCATCCTCGTTCTCATTCCCTCCTCATTCTGTGCTCGTTCTTGTTCCCGGGTGCGCAGTTCGTCCGCGCGCTGACGGCCATCAGCTCCGACGAGCTGCGCGACGCCCGGGCGCCCCGCGTCTTCTCGCTCACCAAAATTGTGGAGGTGGCGCACTACAACATGATGCGGATCAGGTGGGTCCAGCGCGCTGGTGGTAGCAGCACGGAAGCAGCTGACACCGGCTGATGCATCTCTGCTGCCGCCTGATGCTGCTGCCATGTGCCAGCCTATACGCACCCGCCTACGCAACCTGCACACGCCCCCCCCCTCCCCCGTCATACAGTTCGTCAGTTTCCTTACCTTAATACCCCCCCTTGCCCGCTCCCCGCCCCCCCCCAGGCTGGTGTGGAGCCGCATCTGGGCGGTGCTGTCCGAGTACTTCATCCAAGTGGGCTGCCACGCCAACCTGGCGCTCGCCATGTACGCGGTGGACGCGCTGCGGCAGCTGGCCATGAAGTTCCTGGAGCGGGACGAGCTGGCCAACTACACCTTCCAAAACGACTTCCTGCGGCCCTTCGTAGTGGTCATGCGGCAGAGCCAGGTGGGGTGCGGGGTGCAGGGCGGGGCGGTGGGGGAAGGGGAAGGAAAAGGAGAAAGGATGCGGCGTGCGGTGGGACGGGGACAGTTGGGCGATTGGGGGGAAGGAAGAGGCGGGGTTAAAGAAATACCAATGCACACGCGAGGAATAGGAAGAAGAAAATGAAGAGGTGGGGAGGGAAGAGTGGTGAAGAGGGGCGTGGAGTTTCGTATGCCCCTCCTGTTCCTCGCGCAGGGTGTTGCTCACATGAGGGTCCCTCCTAATCCGTTGCGTAGCGTCACATGCTTACATCCCTGCCGGTGCTGGTGCTGGTGTGTTCTTTGTTGCGGTGTTCGCAGGCGGTCAAAATCCGCGAGCTGATCATCTGCTGCCTGAGTCAGATGATCCTGGCGCGCGTGACCAACGTCAAGTCGGGCTGGAAGAGCATGTTCATGGTGTTCACCACTGCAGCTAACGACCGCGACCCCATGATTGTCAGGTGCGAAGGAGGGACGATGTCACGCTGGGAAGAAGCTTCCGGGAGGCAGCTAGCTTTCGGTAGCAAGCTAGCTCCCAAGACCGGCTGCTGGGCGCTTCCTGGGAGCGCAGGCTGCAGCACCATGTTGCCCCCATGCACACCGCAGTAGCGACACCCCCTCGCCAACCGGGAAGGGGCTATACCGGTCCAACCAGACCTCAGCGATGGCATGATGAGCTGCAGGCGTGTCTGCATACCGCCCTGTCCTAAACTTCTAATGCGCCCCAAAGCCACCCCAGCTGTGCGGTAAACGTCTTCTCCTGGTCTCCTCTCCCCTTCGCTGCCCCCTGCCGTACACCCCGCAGGCTGGCCTTCGACACCATCGAGAAGATCGTTCGCGAGCACTTCACGCACATCACGGAGACGGAGACCACCACCTTCACCGACTGTGTCAACTGCCTCATCGCCTTCACCAACAACCCGCACTCGCTCGATGTGGCGCTCAACTCCATTGCCTTCCTGAGGTAGGCGCGGCGAGGGCACCAGGGGAGCTGTCAGGCTGCTGTTGCTGCTGCTGCTGTGTCTGTGACCAATCTGCCCTCCGTACCAGCTTCTGTGAAAGAGAACTCGTCCTATACACCGGTAGCACTTCACCCCCGTCCAGCCATCTCCCGCTTTTGACTGTCTTTCCGTTTCTAACCTCGCCTTCCCCTTATCCCTGTGTCATCAATCCCCTCATTCCCGGGCCCCTGCTTATCCCTTTGTCATCAATCCCCTCTCTCCCTCCTCCCAGGTTCTGCGCCATGAAGCTGGCGGAGGGCGCCATCGGTGACGTCAACATGCTGCCCGAGGGCACCCTGCCGCCACCCGCCGTACAACACCACCCACTGCGGGTCGTGGCGATAGACGCCAACCCCGAACAGTCCTCCTCATTCGGAACAAGAGGAGCGGCAGCAGGGGCAGGAGCAGGAGCAGGAGGAGACACGGGCAGCGCCGCCGCAAGCGGCGGCGCCGGCGGAGGCAGCGGCGGCTCCGCCGCCGCCTCTCGATCCGCCGGCGCTGCCGGCCCAGACGATGACGGGATCCCGGATTCCCTGAGTCGGGAAAGCTCCTCGGCAGATGATGCCTCATTAAGAGAGAAGGAGCCCGGGAGAAGGCCGCCGGGTGAAGCAGGCGAGGGTGGTGGATGTGGAGGTGGAGGTGGAGGGGCGCAGCTAGCAAATGGAGTGGTGGGCGGGCGGCAGGGCGCCGGGGCGTCAGCGTTTGGGGCGACAGCGGCGCTGAATAACGCTGCGGTGGCGGCGGGCACATCGGTTTCAGGTGGGGGTTGGGAGGGGTGGGTGGGCGTTGGTGTGGGATGGATAGAACAAGGGTGCGTGGTGACGCAAGACGTCATCCTAGGGATGCCGGGTGTGGGTACCTAGGGTCCATCATAGTTCCATGCGTCTTGCATTGAGTGCCGGTGTCTTTCTGACCTTGTTACGGTATTCCCATCCTGCGTCCCTGCTCCCTCTCCCCAGGCGGTCGTCCAGGCGAGGTGGGGCGAGGAGCGGGCATCTCCGCAGCGTCTGGCAGCCTGGGGCCACACCACTCGGTGAGGAGAGCCCGTGCCGTTGACCTTGGCCTTCGGGTCATTTACCATCCCTTTAACCTCTTGCCCCCGCTCTATCACACCACTGCATTCGTACCGAGTATTCATCCCACCGCGTTTTCCCGCATTCATCGCCCTCCCTCTACAGTACCCCTTGCCCCCTGTCCTCTTCCCGCTCCCTTCCCCCCCCTCCCACTCCCTTTCCCCGTCTGCCCCATGCGCCGTGATGCAGCAACAGCTCAAGCTGCGCTTCATCGACCGGGACGAACACGTCTACTTTTGGTTTCCGCTGCTGGCGGGGCTGAGTGAGCTCACATTCGACCCGCGGCAGGTGCGGGGCACACAGCCGCATCCATCCTACCACGCATTGCAAACACCCGCATGCTTGCTTGCATGGCACCCGCATGCATGGGCGCTGGCCGGGTCTCACTGGCTGCTGACACGTACCGGTCGGCTTCGGTGCCTCAGCGTTGAGCGTAATACAGACAACAAGCCATTTTACCCCAGCTACCTTCCCCCCCATCCCTGTACACCAGCTTTTCCTCCCACCCAAAGTGGGTTTCTGCCTTCCCAACCTCCTTTCTCGACGTCTCACGCTCTCACACGCCTTGCCTCCCTCCCTCCCGCCCCCTCCCCTCCTCTCCCCCCCTCCAGGAAATCCGCCACAGCGCTCTTGAGGTGCTGTTCGACATCCTGCGCTTCCATGGCGGCTCCTTCGCGCAGTCCTTTTGGGTGCGCATCTTCGACTCGGTGCTGCTGCCCATCTTCGACCACGTGCGCGCCGAGGTGACGGACACCACCACCTTCACCAGCGAGAAGCGCCGCCAGCAGGAGGAGCAGTGGCTGTACGAGACGTGCACGCGCTGCCTGCAACACCTGGTGGACCTGTTCGTGCAGGTGTGTATGTGGGGATTGAGGAGGGCGATCGTTCTAGTATGGGGAGTTGGGATTGGGAGCGGAGGACGGGGTTAGATGGGGAGTTGTGTGCTTGCCATGTTACGGGGCCGCAGTTGAGGCATGTGGCGGTGCGCAGTGGTATGCCTCGCGTCGCGGTTCCACTGGGTTGCGCAGCTGCCGTCTGCTTTGCCTGCATTGCCCGGCTGCTCCCTCACGGCTGCGAAGCACCTCCACCACCACGTCCTTGTCCCCCCTCACCCGTCCCTCCACTTCCCCCTCCCCCCCAGTTCTACGACGAGGCCTTCACGCTGCTCTCGCGGCTGCTGGAGCTGCTGCGCGGCTTCATGAACCGCTCGCACCAGTCGCTGGCGGCGGTGGGGGTGGCGGCGTTCGTGCGGCTGGCAGTAAACGCAGGTGCGTGCGGGGGGGGGGGGGGGAGAGGTGGCTGGGCCGGGGTAGGGTAGGGCAGGATATCCACCATTTGGGCCGCGTTGGAAGACTGGAACATGGGTAGGTGGTGGGAATATAGCTGATAGCACAAGGATAGGCTGGTGCAAGTGTGTAAGTTTTACCGCCTCCGGGCCCTTTCCTTCCGTCTTCCCCATGCCCAGGTCCCATCATGAACGAGACCTGCTGGGAGGAGGTCATCAGCGCCCTGCTAGGGCTGCTGGAGGAGACCTCACCCGACGTGCGCGAGCTCGTCACGCCGCCGCCCCGTCTAGTCGCCTCCCAGGGCCCCTCCCCCGCACCGCCGCAACCCCTCCTCTCCCCCGCCGCCCCGGTCAGCCCCCGTGCAGCCCACCCCGGCCCATCCAGAACCAACAACGCCGCCGCTGCGGGCACTAGCTCCGAAATCACACCGGCTTCCGCGTCTGGCTCGCCGCCGCAAGCCACCGCCTCCGCTGGCTCCGCTAGCTCCTCCTCCGTTAGCAACAGCGGCGGCAGCAGCAGCAGTCGTGCGTTCAGCCTGCGTGAGGGAGTGGGCGCGCGGCGGCTGGCCAAGTTCCGCTGCCAGGCCGCCACCCAGCTGCTGCTGGTGCAGGGCTGCAGCGAGGTGTACGCAAAGGCCTCGCAGTCCCTGCCGCCGGGTGCCGTACGGGGTCTGCTGGACTCGCTGGCCTTCATGCACCGTCACGCGCATGCCGCCGACACGGACCTGGACCTGCGGCGGCGGCTGGCGGTGCAGCAGGCGGAGGACAGGGTGGCGGAGGACAGGGCGGTGGCGGATCCGCCGCTGCTGCGGTTGGAGGTGGAGGCGGCGGCGGCCTACCTGTCGGTGAACATGGCGATCACCTCCGCGGCGGGGCAGCCGGGCGCCAGTGCCGATGTCACGGCGCTGGCCCGTCTCACCAACGCGCAGGAGCGGCTGGTGCAGCTGTGCCTCACCACGCTGGGCAGGTACACGCTGGGGGTACGACACGAACCCAGTGCAGCAGCTGCCGCGGCCGCGGCGGCGGCTGCAGCAGCAGCAGCCGATGGCACGGCGGCGGCTGCGGCTTCGCCGCAGCAGCAGCGCGACCGCAACCGGTTGCTCAGCTTCCTGCCCGGTCGCGGCGGGGGCGGTGGAAGCGGAAGCGGAGCTGGCGGGCCTCCACCTCCGCCGCCGCCCATGCCGCAACCCCGCTACATCGTGGTGGGTCGTACAACCGGCGGAGCGCCCGTGCTGATGGCGCCGCCGGCGGTGGAGTTCGCGTCCTTCTCGCCGCTGGCTCTTTCCAGTCTGGTTGCGCTTGGAGAGCTGGAGGAGGCGACCTTCCGACGGCATTTGGCGGAGCTCTTCCCGTTGCTGACGCAGCTCATTCGGGCGGACTATGCGCCCGCGGATGTGCACCGGGCGCTTTCGTCGCTGTTCGCGAAGCGGGTGCAGCCCATGGTGCTTGCAGCGGCAGCAGCGATGGGCGTGACGGGTCAGGATACGGCGGCGGCGGCAGCAGCGCTAGGGCTGATGGGACGAGCGGCTTAGGGGGAGGGTCCTTGTGTTTTTCCTTGTTTAGGGGTATGTTAGGGAGCGGTGAAGGTCCTTAGCTTTATTATTAAAGAGTGACTTGAAGGTGTGTGGGTTAGCCTTGCTGTGGCTAGCGATGCGTGCTGCAGAGTACAGTGTACAGGGTCGTTATGGCTGTGTAGATTTGCAGGACAGAGAGTGACGCCTTATGGGCGACTACTGCCCTTACTTGGTTAGTGGCTTTCCTCAGCAGGCGTTGGCCTGTTCGGGACCTCAGGGGTAGGTGAGGCGGCCATGCATGCATGGGGTCTGGGAAGCGCGTGTCGAGCTGTCATTCGTACGGGTGGCGTGCGTGCAAGGTTACATCTAGTGTCGAGTCCTTGGCAGCTTTGTAGCTGGGGTCGGCATGCCTCACTTTAGCGTTTCAAGAGCGCCCGCCCAATCCGAGTATAGCCAGGGTAGGTTCGTTTGCTGAGCTGTGTTGTTGTGCCTTTGTACGAAGCTTGGGATGGTGCGCATGAGGCCTTGGGCAGCTGCAACTGGGAGACCTAGGTTCGCAGATACTGCTGGGCCAAGTCATGAGGGTTGTGCGCAATTGTTCCATGCAACGACGCCTTCATGTCATGCATTTATTCCGGATTGCTGACCGGTGTAACCACATGAAGGAAGTTGACTGGTCGCTTAAAACCATCCAGTGTGTACGAGCGCTGTATTTGAGGCCAGGCATCCGACCTTCCACCGCTGCTATTGTCCGTCAGCTGCCGTTAGCCAGAGGTATTTGTAGCTATTGGTATTATGCTGAGCTCACAACATAGCTTGACACACAACGAAGCTTGACACGCCTCCTTGATAGCTCAGGCCCCAAGCGCATGCACAAACGAACACTTATCTGACATCCCTCCACAGCCAAGTGCACAATGCCTTATCGTAAGGCCCCCAAGGCCCCCTTGTTCCGCCCAAATCTCAAACTCGTGCACTACCATCAACAGCTAAACAGTAGCAGAAGCCGCCGCCCTTGCAGCAACACCTCACGTAACAGCTCCGCGCGCCCCCGCCCCTCCAGCCGCATTGCACACCGCGCCCCGGCCCCATCCCCTGCACTCGGGCGCATGCCGCGGCCAGTCCCGCCGCTGGCACTCCTCCCCGCAGTACCACACCCGCAGGCAACCGCCGCACCGCCGCAGCTTCGTCACGCCGGCACCGCTGCAAGCGCCCGCCGCTGACATCGCTGTCATGCTGTTGTCTGAGGGTTCCTCCGTTGTTGCTCCCGGGTTCGCGGAGGTCCCGACCGCAGTACCCAGGGTGACGCTCTCCCCGCCGGTCGGTGCGCCGTACGGTGCGTCGGCGGCGCCACGGGGCTCAGCCGAGGTCGCAGGCGCGGCGGACGCGGCGGGAACCTGGCTAGGGGAGCCGGAACCACCGCGCACAGCCGCCGACCCGGCAGCTACTGCAGCCACAGCGCCCTGCGCGCCGCAGGGTGCTGCTGTCGCCTCGCCGTCAGCGCCCCCATTGGCTGGGCGAGCAGCCCCAGTGCACCCCGCAATCACCGCCGTTGCTTGCATAGCCGTGGCCTCCATCGACGCATCCGCAGCGGTTGCGGCGGCGGTGGCAGCTGCCACCGCCGCTCCCCCCGAGGGGCGACCGCAGAAGGCGCACCTACGAAGCGCCCGAGCTGCCCGTGTGCTGCTGCTGTCCCCGTCGGCTGCATGCGGCCTGCTGCCGGCCTCGCACCCTGCCACCCCCCCCTCGTCCCCTTCGCCGCTGCTGTCAGCATGCCTGTCCTCCTCGTAACCCTCCTCGCTGCTGTCCTCCTCGCTGTCGCTGCTACTTTCCCCGCGGCCGCGACCACCGCCCTTCCCGTTCCCCGGCCCCCCGCCCAGTCCACGTTGTCGTCGTTGAGCCCGTGCAACGCTAGCAACCAACAACTGTCGCAAAGTACGGCAGCCAACCACCACTCCGTTGCCTAACCGCCGGCTGCTGCCGCTACGACTGTCAGTGGCGGTATCCTCACCTCCGCCGCCAGGATTATCGTACATGGACGCACCCGCCGTCTGGCTGCTAGTTTGGCCGCTAGCAGCGGAGGAAGCTGCTGCTGCCGCTGCCGCTGTTGCGGCCACGTCAAGCTTCGTCGCTCTGCACGGCAGGAGAACATAAACATGCAGTGAGGATCGCTTTTGCTGCTTTTGTCAGGTCTCCAATATGCCTGAATCTGACACAATCTTGGAAGCAGCACGCTGCCACAGTACTTCTCTCAGACCCCCGCAGACCCGCGCTTCTGCCTCCCACCTTCTCCCCGGGCGAGCTGGGGTGCCCTCCAGTCGGATGCGATGAGCCGTCCAGTCCACTCCGGGGGAGGCGAGGCCCTCCTGCGGGTCAGTCCGATGTCATGGGGCCACGGGGCTTACCACCGTACAGAGGTAGAAGTGCATAGCAACATGGCAACAATTGTACACCATCCAACAACGCCAAAGCAGCTCACATCATCGCTCTAACCGCTAGCCAGAGTCACCCCCTTGCTTTCTCACCTGCAGCTGCCGCGCTGCTAGCTGTACGGCATGGAAATGCCTCGACGCCGTACGGCGGTTGACCGCATCCCCATCCATCATGTGGTACTCCGCCTCCACCACCCCCACCGCGCCCCGACTGTTGTTGGGACCCAGAGTGGCTCCCCGGCACACCAGCAGCCGGCAGCCCGCAAGCGCCGCAGCCAGACTGCAGCCCCCGCCACCGCCCCCGCCAGATCCGTGTCCGGATGCCGAGGAGCCGCCTCCGCCTCCGCCGGAGGTGTCGGACTGCTGGTGGTGGTGGTGGTGGTGGTGGTGCGGGCTGTGGATGAGCTCGTGATAGGCCACCAGCGCTCGCTTTTTGACGAGGGAGATCGCAAAGCCGCGGGTGTTCTGCAGGGGGCAGGGGGTGAGGGCGGGCGGGTACAGGCGGTACAGCGATGACTGCGGGTTGGGGCTTCACGGACGTCGGGGTTCCAAGAGGGGAATAAAGCAAAGTGCGTTGCACTTGCCTTGCAAACTAGCTGGAACACACTGATTCACACAATTGGTGGGAGCAGGGCCGTGTCCATGTTGCCTCGCTCCTGGCCTCAAGCCCACTCTACCGATTTCGCTCGACATAACAACGGACCAAAAACACCTGCTGACTCGGTCTTCCCTCCTCACCCGGTGCAACAGGGCGGGCCCCACCCCCCCTAAGACCCGCACCTGAATGCTGCACCCCGGCCCCACCACCACCGTCGCGGGCGGCTGCAGCGAGCCCAGGCAGGCCGGCAACTGCTCCCGGGGCAGTAGCGCAGGCGGAACCGCAGCGGCAGCAGCGGAGGCGGCGGGCGGAGGCGCACGGGGAGAGGGCCCATGCCTCTGGGAGGAGGGCCCCTCTGACGGCGCTGACAGCTCGTGCAAGTGGGCCTGGAGCCGTGGGGAGAGGGAATGCGTCAGCAGGAGACGAAGACACGCCGTCCCACCAGCCCCACTCCCATCCTACTCCTCAGCTGCTAACCGGGGGCCACCCGCCAGCAACACAACGGCCCTCGCAACCCCTCCTCGTCCCCACCAACACCCCTCCTTCCACGCCCCCTTCCCTGTCCTAAACCCCTGCCCCCTCCTCCCAGCCTCCCTCCCCTCCCCGCCCTCCGCCCCTCCCGCCCCCCACCTTCAGCAGCGCCAGCGGGCTAGGCGGCGCCAGTCTGGGATAGTCCGCTAGCCCCACCATCAGCTCCACCCCGCCCAGGTCCTTGGGCACCACATCGTCCCCTCCCCCGCACCGCACCACCTCGCTCCCCCCCGACAGCTCCAGCAGCCCCCCGGGAGCCACCTGCAGACCCGCAGTGGCGCCGCCCACCACCCGGCTGCCCCGCAGCACCAGGTGCGCCCCCGCGTCCACCTGCACCCCGCCCATGGCGAACTGCACCGTCACGTCCACCAGCGTGGTGCGCCCCCGCAGCACCCGCAGCGCCCCCTCGTAGCCCCCCAGCTGCAGCAGCGTCAGGTTCTCCAACACCACTCCGCCAGCCTCCGCTGCCGCACTGCTGCTACTGCTGTTACCGCCGCCGCCAGCATTGCTAACGCTGCTGCTACCCTCGCCACCACCGTTATCGCCGCTTCTGCTAGTGCTTCCGTTCCATCCCGCTGCCGCCGCCACCGCTGCGGCTGCTGCTCCGCCGCCGGCCAGCGGCCCTGGCGGCGGCGGGGCCGGCGGTCCGGCTGCGCACTCCACAAACACGTCATCCTCCTCATTGTTGTGAATGACGACGTCCCCGGGCTGCCGACCCAGCCCCAGCACCCGCACTGCGGCGCGCAACATGACCGTCCCCTCCGGCCAGTTGTACCGCCCCGGCAGCAGCAGCACCAGGTCTCCATGCGCCAGACAGGGCCACATGAGCTCCGCGCTCTCATGTACGGCAACCCTGTACGACACCCCGGCTGCCGCTGGGTCTCGGAGCAGGGGAGCGGCGGACCAGAGGATGCCGCCGCTGCTGCTTGTAGGGACGCTGCCGCTGGCATGGTGGGATGCCGCGGAGGCGGTTGTTGTAGTTTGCGATGCTGAATCGCTATGTCCGGTTGGTGTTGTAGCATGAGTGTTGGTGTTGTGGTTGGGTTGGTCTAGCAGGAGGGATGCGTAGCCCACAGGAGGCAGCTCCATGAGGGCGGTGAGTTCGGGCGGGATGCGTGCGATGAAGTGCGCGACGTGGGGGGGGCCGGGAGGCCGTGGCGGCGGGGGCTCGGGGGGGTCCAAAGGCCATTCGTCAATGCTGCCGGGTGTGGTCAAGTCCTCAAGCAGCAGTACGGCTTCTTGTGCCTGGTCCAACCAATGTCGTACATGTTCAGTTGCGAGCGCGGTAAACTGTTTGGTGTTGGTAAGTCGAGCAGCGACGGAGGAAGCTGCTCCTCCTCCGCCGCCGCTGCGGCTGCTCCCAGCGCGGTTAGAGGAGGAGGTGGAGGAGGAGGAAGCGGAGGTGGTCGCGAGCCGGCCAGACTGGACACGCTCCAGCAATGACTTTAGGGCCGTAACCTCATCGCGTGCAGCATCCAGGTCTGCGTGAAGAACTCCACGGCGGAGGAGTTCGTGCAGTTGCTGGTGCGGCGTGGGAAGGCCGTAGCTGCGGACTGCGACTGCAATGCGTGTTGTCAGCGCTGCCTGCTGCAGCTGCAGCCCTAGGATGTTGGCACGTTCGTTTATTAGCTGCGATGTCGTGGCAGAGAAAGCGTGGCTGCCGCCTGTAGTTGTGTGTCTATGTTTGGACATTGGCCTCCGTCGCCGGCGTCATACCACCAGTAAGGGCGTCGGATGGCTGCTGGGCACAGCCATATACGCAGTATCTACAAAGTATTTACATCTCGACAGTAGGTGCATTCCTCCTAAGCCCCAAAAACGTTTTGACAAAGGACACACGAGTCATTGTTTGTGTAAATGAGTCAAGCGTCTTCTTAAACGTGGTGCTGTTGATTATACATTTGTCTTCTTCGGCCTGAATGCCTCTCATCCTTAACCGACCTTGTCCATTTCGAAACTGCCCAGCTGTACGAACGGGGCGACCAACTTCTTCGTCTTCATCACGCTATCTCCAACAAGCTAGTATGATACGTTGGTATTAATAGGCTGTTACACGGATGGAGGGCAATAAACGTGTACTTTTCTGACAACGGGGCCTTTAGTCCCATGCGAGCACAAACTATTTATTCAGCAAATAGTGGTTAGGGGTAGTGCTGGTTGCTTGAATATGATCGCGTCAACGGTTACGCTACCAATCCGCGCTTATCGCCGTGAGGGCTGCAGAAATGTCGATATGCAGGGTCTACGATCAGTTTGGCAGGGTTTAAGTATTGTTTTCGCGTTGCTTTTGTGCTCGGTGTCATGTTCATCTGCGGCGAACGGCTCAATTGCCGTCGACGGGCGAGGCTTGCGACATCCGATCCCCTCGCACATTATGAAGTGGAACGACAAACTGGACGTCCAAAAATGGCTAGACGCCGTTCGTGAGGAGATCACAAAGAAGGGCACCGTGCCTATCGACTCCAACTGCGACGCGCAGTTTGGGCAAGGCTACCTGGACAAGTGGAAGGCAGCGAAGAAGGATGTGTGCAAGCCCGGCGGCAAGTCAACTTACAGCTGCTACGCGCACCCGCCCAGCAGTCGCGGCAACAATGTTGGCAGCATGGTAAGGGTTACCCTGGCGTTAGGGTTGGGTGCCGGAGCCTGGCGACGCCGGAAGCGCTTGGCACAACCGGTACAGCCAACCTGACGCAGGATTTTCCCTTTCTGTCTCCTTTTGCTGCCCAACTGGTAACCGTCAATACCCTTGACCCAGATTCCTCGACTTGCTCACACAACTCCTCCACCCATGTTTTACCATCTCCTCATTCCCTCTTATCCCCCTTCTTACCTCTCTCGCTGTCCACTCCAGTTCTGCACCGCCACCAACCTCATACTCGACTCCGCCGACTTCATCGGCGACATCATGACCAACCCAGCAGCGCGCTTCCCCAACCCCAAGAAGGGCTCCGCTCGCGTGGCCTGCTCCCTGCCGGACCCCCTTCCCTGGACTCGGCAGCAAGTGGCAGACCAGCACACAGACCGCTGGCTGTACGACGCGCTCACCGCAGCTCCCGCGGATGAGGTGGAGGCCACGTGTTCGGATCCCCGCCGTACCGTGCCGCACCCGGTTTACTTTATGACGCGCATGGACACCACCAATGCGTTCCACCACTTTGAGGAGATTGTCAACTTTTTTGCGGCGTTGTGGTTGTTCCCGGATAAGCAGCTGCTGCAGCAGGTGGGTGTTTGGGAAGGAGTTTAGGGTTTAAGGTGATAGAACATGGCACAGGGTTGATGGGAATTAAGTTCAGTTGGTGTTGGAAGACGCAACGCATGGAGCGTTGGCACCCACGTGCTGCAAGGCATCTTTCCCGAACCATCCCGCTAGGAGCTAGTTCCTGCCTCCCTGTGTTTGCTTGTCCAATGTGGGTCGGATCCCTGCCTGCCTCTGTTGGCTTGTCCAATGCGGGTCGGATGGTTTCAGCAGATAGTTTTAGCAGCCATTCGCCTATCCATAGGTAGCTGCTTTCTTCACTGCTCCCTCCCTATCCTTCTTCGGGTCACGTCTTCTCCTTCCATACTCAACATCGCCCTTCCTCTTCTTCACCAGGGCATCGCCGTCGTGATGTTCGACGGCCACCCGCCCGGCTTCTACCTGGAGCTATGGCGCCGCGCCGCCTACCCCTACCGCATCCGCTTCCTGCGCTCGCGCCCCTACCCGCCCGGCACCTGCTTCAAACACGTGCTGCTTGCTTCCATGCCGCATCGCTCGCTCTACACGCACTTCTGGCCCGGTATGCAGACCAGTTGCAGGTAGGGCGCCGCGGTGCGGGTGGGATGATGGGGCGGAGTGGGTTGGGGTGGGGCGGGTGAAGAGTGTTGGGACCGAGGACGAAGGAGTGTGCATCAGGGGATCCTGTGACGAGGGGTTGCATGCCCGCGTGACGTCTGCGCGACCCATGCATGCTACTGCAGAATCACCTTGGGACCTGACTCCCCCCAATCCACCTTCCCTGCCTCCCAATCCACCTTCCCTGCCTCCCAATCCACCTTCCCTGCCTCCCAATCCTCCCAATCCACCTTCCCTGCCTCCCAATCCTCCCAATCCACCTTCCCTGCCTCCCAATCCTCCCAATCCACCTTCCCTGCCTCCCAATCCACCCCAATCCACCTTCCCTGCCTCCCAATCCACCCCAATCCACCTTCCCTGCCTCCCAATCCACCCTGCGCCCCCACCCCGCCAGGTCCCTCGTGTTCTCCGCCGTGATGGGTTGGGCGCACGCGCTGATGGCGGACACGCGGCCCGAGAGCTACACCTGGCCGGACGGGCAGCACCGGCAGAACGAGGACACGGTGGTGGGGCGGGTGACCTGGGTGTCGCGGCGGCACTTCGAGGCGGCCAACAAGGGCCGCATGAACAGCTGGCAGGTGGGGAGGTTGGGAGGGGGGGGGGCGCGGAAGGGTGCAGGCGGGCTCAGCGCTTGGCGGCTCCATGGGTGTGGGTGTAGTACCGGTGGCACGGGCCGTGAAAATCCTGTCATACTTTTGGGGATGAGGTTCGAGGGCTCCTGTGAAGGGACTTGTTGGACGCCTGAGGTGCGAGCTGTTCCACCACAGAACAGAGAAGCAACACAGCGAGCCAATCGGCCTCACCTTCCCTGAGGAGCCCTCGAACCTCATACTCGAGCGGGTTGAAGTCATGTAGGGGTGTGACCGCGTGGGGGCCTGCTGTCGCTGCGTGGCGGGTGCGGGGCCCGCAGGCCAGCAGCTTAACCCATCTCCGGTTCTCCGCGCTGTCAACCTTTATCCCTGCTACCCTCATCCTTTCCCTTCCTCTTCCTCCCCCTGCTCCTCCCCCCTCCCACCCGCCCCCCCCCCCCCCCGTGCAGATGCAGCGCATGCTTAACAACGAGGACGCGGTGGTGCCCGCCCTCAGCGCCGCCGTCACGCAGTGGAACGCGCGCAGCTGCCTGCGCCAGCCGGGCGCGGCGGACTGCCGGCGGCTGCCCGTGTACTTTGAGTTCGGGACCATGGAGCTGGGAGACCACCGCTGGTACCCGGAGCAGGTGGGCGGGGCAGGAGTGGGGGGTGGGCGGGCGGGTGGGGACTGGGGACGTGGGGAGGCCCTGGAGGGGGCTTTGGGCACAGCAGCATCACAGCCCTCGTATCTGTACCCATCCGTTTTTTGGTTCGGTTTACCCCCCCGCCTCCCACTCCTCCGCAGCTCTCCACCCTCTCCCGCACCAACGTGCTCATGGCGGTGCACGGCGCGGGGGTGTTCAACGAGGTGTGGCTGCGGCCCGCCACCTCCTCGGTCATCGAGGTGATGCACAACGCGGGCGGCAACTACCACTACCGCAACATCGCCGCCTTCCTGGGGCTGCCGTACAGCGACATGGGCTCCGCGCACGACCCCGCGCAGCTGGCGGCCAAGCTGACGGAGGTGATGGATGAGACGGCGCGGCGCATGGCGGCGGAGCACCAGCGGAAGAGGGCGGCGGAGAAGGCGGCAGCGGAGAGGGATGCGTGAGTGGAGGCGGGGAGGGGTGGGTTATTGGGGTGGGTTATGGAGACACGGAGGGAGAATGAAGGGGTTTAGGCAGGTAGCGATTGGGGTGAAGGGGGAGGGGGTTGCGTAGGCAGGGATGGGCCATGCCTCAGCGATCAGGGTTTCCCTTGCGAATGGTTTTAGGTGCGCAGCCGGCGCATCGGACGGGGTGTGACGAACGCCGAAGGCGATCTTGAAGGAGCGAGCTTCCCATTATGAACGGACGTTTTACTGTGATAGCGTCGCCAACTGCGATGCACTTATTGCTGATACCCGGAGATAATAGGTTACCGTGGTGGATTGTCGCTCTTTTACGGACCTGCGCGCACCGCTCCATCATTGCGATTATGGTTTGTGGCGTTTGATGGTTTTCTGGGAACACTGGCGCGAGCTTGTCTTCAAGGCTGGCATCATAGGCGCATTGCGTGCGAAGCTTGCTGGCAACTGCAAGAATCCCAGTGCTCCATAGCATTCTCATGTAGGACACAGTGCTCGGTGATCAACAAGGTGTGTCGGTGCATGGCGTGTTCGGACTTGCGGGGTATGAAGCGAGTGCCCCAGGCTATGCGTCTGTCCGGCTTCTGAAGCTGCTGGAGTTGGGGTTGTAGAGAGCGGCACTGCTAGCTTTGGAAGGCTCTTCCTGTCGTATGCAGCTTCAACATAGCAGGGTGCCAACAGGTGTCCAGGTGACCCGGAATGTTTTTAACAACGTGCTACGGCAGAGAGGCCCATAGTAACCTGCCACTGTAAAGGGGCGCCCGTCCTGGCCCGTCTATCGGTATCAATCTCCTCGCTCGTCCAACTTCGTCAACTGTGTACAGCGTGCAGCCATTTGGGCCTTGCGCGCTTTGCATGTTCATTGACATGTCAGCACCAGTGGAACTTTAGCAGGCTGGTTGCCACTTCGGCAGGAGAGGGCGGAACGTAGGTGGCAACGCCGCGTGTGTTGCACACCTGCACAGAGGCGCGGGTTGCAAGAGGAGACATCGTAGGCGGCGCAGGGGGGCATACACAAATGAATGGCTGTTACTATGGTGTCCTGCAAGGGAAATCAATGTAACATTACAGTATATTGACGCAGCGTGTGAGGAGTGCAGTGGAAGAAATACGAATACAGGAGGACTTCTCCTGGGCCTCATGTCTAGCATGACACTGCAGCGACGGCCCCCCTTCCCTGCTCCCTTTACTAACAGCGAATCCATTAGTCAGGACATGGCGTACCTCCGAGACATGGTCCCCAGGCCTCCACAGGGAGCCCAGCTCCGGCCTCAGCTGCCGTGACGCCACCCAGCCGGGATGCAGCTGCTTGGCAACCCTGCGAGTGGACGAGGACCAGGATGCGGAAGATACCGCGTCACACACATGATTAGGCGCAGCAGAACACAACATGGTCGTGTTGATACTGCATGAGCTGAAGTAGTCGCGGCCAACCCACTCGCTAAAATCGATATAATCACGCATGGTCAAAATCGTGCGACCCAATCCGGCCGGTCCAGCCCTACTTTAGCGGTTGTGGCGGCTGGAAGTCCACCGCGGGCAGATCCCGATAGAGCTGCGCTTCTGGCGGCACATTTGCGGCGGCAGTAGCCGCTCGCCGTATCGCCTCCTCCCGTTGAGCCTCGCTCATGCCCGCCGCAGCCGCGGCCGCCGCCATGTCTGGCGCCCGGCCACGTCCCGCTGCGCCTGCCCCGCCCCGCTGCCCCGCCAGCGGCGAGGAGGGCTGCTTGGGCGGCTCCGCGAGCACTCGCTCCAGCGCCTGCATCTTGCGAAGAAGCAGCGCGGAGGAGCCGAACTGAGGCGCATGAGGGGGTCCCCGCGGCGGCCAGGGCTGCGGCTGCGGCCCGGTGTCCCCGATGTCATCGTCGTCGTTGTAGTGCTCGTCCTGCTGCTCGTCAGGCCCTGGGGGCTCTGCTTGCGGTCCTGAGGGGTCCATCACCGCATCATGAGTTATGACGGGGTCTGCTTCGGCTGCCGCCAGCGGCAGCATACTGGGCTTGGAGCCTCTCTTGACGACGAGTACCCTGGCTGCTGTCGCATGATGATGACCTCCGCGCGCGATGCCGTAACTGTTCGTCCCTGCAGCATGGTTGGCAGGGGGCTGGGTGCTGTTGGATGCAGCGGCGGCGGTGGCGGCAGGGCCTTGGCCTGGTGAGTGCTGCTTGCCGCCTCGCCGCAGCTGGTACTGCTTCAACCGTTGCTGCCGGAGGTGCTGCAAGTGGCGGTGCGGGTCCTGGGGGTGTTGATGATGCTGTTGGCCGGGAATGCCGGCGGCGCTAGCAGTGGTGGTGATGGCAGGGCGCATGCCGGGTGTAGGCTTTGCCGACTGATGGTGTTGCGATTGCGGGCGGCTGGGCTGGTGGGCGGTGGCGGTGGTGGCGGGTTGCCTAGCAGGAAATGACCCATGGGTCATTACAGAGCCATTGGGCGACCCCAGGAGAACCGCAGGTGAGTGCAGGCGGCTTTCCGTTGAGTCCAGCTCGCCTGCAAGGAGTTGACATGGAAATGCAACAGCGGTGTAAGCTGTCCAAAAGTAGGCCTTTCCGAAGCCTGTGCTAGCTTGCCTTTCCCAGACCTCACTCACTACCGTACGCCACGGAAAAAGATTCGCTAACAGACAACCCACCTGAAGCAGGAGCGGCGCGGCTAACCGGCGTCCCTGCTTCCATCTCAGCAGCATCCTCACTCCCAGCGGCCGCCTCAGGCCACCCGGCGTTGTCCGGTCGCTGCTGGGGCTGCTGCGAGGGCACTGTGGGTTTCCTCTGCCGCAGCTGCTGCATGATCCTGGCGTGGGTGGGTTTGAAGCCCCGGAAGCAGGCCAGCGCGGGCCGGGGAGCTGCCCGGCCCCCCACCTCCTCCTCATCATCAATAGCGACAGCGGCAGCACCCGAACTGACGGCTGCGGTCGCATGACCGGCAACGTAAGTAGTCCTCGCAGCAGCCACCAGGACTGCGTTGCGTTGCGCTGTGGCTGCGGCCGGTGTGGGCTCTAGGGCGCAGGACATCTCCATGCGGGCCCGGGCGCCTAGCGCGGAGGGCTGCCGTGGCCGCGGCGGTGTCCGCCTGGGTTGAGGGGCCTGCGCGGAGGAGGGTAGGGACGGTCAGCTTCGCAAGGCGAGATGTGTGTGATTGGTGTTGGGGCATAGGCGAGTACACGGCCGCGAACGCGTGGGCAGGGAGCGTACTATACAAGGCATGGACGGCAACAGCATATATGCTGCTTGCCTTGGTTTTCACGGACGCCTTGGCGCCGCCGCTGTTGTAGCCAGTGCTGCTCAGGATGTCTGCATTCGCCCAGCCGCCCCACGGCTCTGCTGCATGGTCCCCGCCCTGGGCCCCGTCGTGAGCCTGCTGCCCTTCCTCGGCGGCTGGAGCCTCGTCCGCAGGGGGCGTTGCCGAGTTGACAGGCACTGACTCCAGCTTCCCAAAGTCCAGCACTACGCTGCGACGCATGGAGCGTCCTTCACTCGCTGCTACGGCATCCACATCAGGCGCATGTTGCCCCTGGGGCTGCTGAGGTAGCTGTTGCTGCGATGAAGGTGCCTGTGGCCCGTACTGCTGCTGCTGCTGCTTGTACTGCTGCTGCTGCTTGTACTGCTGCTGCTGCTTGTACTGCTGCTGCTGCTTGTACTGCTGCATGCGAGGTGGTGCCCCAACCATGCCTTCACTTGGCGAGGGACGCAGCGGCTCCGGCAATCCAACAGCCCCCCGGGGCTGCAACTCCTCCTCCTCCTCCTCTTCCTCCTCACCATCATGGTCGTCACCACCCTCCTCGTCTTCCTCAGCCACCACTCCCAGCCCGCCATCCCGACCACCATTGCCCGCAGCACCCGCCAGCCCAGCCGCCCGACTGCCCTCCACAGCCCCCACCACCACCTCCCCGCACCCGCCCAGACCCGCCTGCAGCAGCTGCTGCCACGGCGACTGATACGGCTGCTGCCCGCTGCTGCTGCTGCCGCCCTCACCACTAGCGTCCTCACCTCCACCAGCAGGCCCTAGGGCGACTCCCAGACCGAGGCTGATGGCCTCTGGCAGCCCTCCGTCCGATGCCAGCTGGTCAGCGCTGAAGTAAGCGGTGCGGGCAAGCAGGGGGTCGGCGCCAGCACCCTCATAATCAGCATCCATTGCCGCTGCACCGGCCGCGTCACTGTGGCTGTAACTGCTGTAGCCGTAGCCGTGCAGATAAGGATTGCTGTTGCCGCCGACCCATGGGTCGTTTGCCTTCGGTTCAGGTGACGACACGCGTTGGCCACCAGCAAGCGCCGTGTCCCTGCTTGGTCCCAGGTTGAGGCGTGCAGTTTCCTCGAGCAGTGGCTGTTGCTGCTGCTGGCGTTGCTGCTGCTGCGAAGGCATCTGGAAGTGGAAGCTGGCGGTTGACAGGGAGTCGTCCCCGCCGGCGCTGCCGTGGGTGAGGGAGCTGCCCGCGCCCCGGCCGGCAGCGGACAGGGAGGACCTGAGACAGGAAGCGAGCACTTCAGAAATATGGTACCGGTATGGTAAAGAGCGGATTTAAAACAGACCGGGCCGAGGAGCAAAGGGAAGTGTAGGAATTCTTGCCGCAAGCAAAGCATGCGCAACAACACCAGAGCACGGAACCCAGCACCCGCCGTCCTCTCACCCGAACATCTGAGGTCCAGTCATGGTCAGGTCGCCCTCACGCCAGCTGGAGTCGTACAGTCCTCCCCCTGCCTCGTCAGCCCCTCCTCCGTACGACAACACATCGCCTCCAGCGCCCCCAAGCGTCGCTTCCACGCCGGGCTCCGCGTCCTCCCTGCCCGCAAGCCAGCCGCCTGGGCCCCCAGCGGCACCCCCCAGCTGCATGCCGCCCGCCTGGGCTCCACCTGCCGCCGCGCCACAATGCAGTGGTGGCTGCTGGTGCTGCTGCCCTCCCTCCCGAGCCCTCCCGAGAGGCGCCTCCTGGCTCCGGCCCTGCACCAGAGGCCGCCTGGGTCGCTCCTCCGCCTCCATCTCCGCCTCCTGCTCGTCCTCATCGTACAGGGAGGGAGCGGCTGCGTAGCGGCTGCTGCTGGCTGTGTAGGGCAGGGCAGGGTAATGGAAGCCATGCGGGTAGAGGGACACACGTTACATAACTTCCGCTCGTTCGCTCCTCAGTACACGGCCAGGTGCGGTAAGCCGTTCTACTAGGGCTGTGATTATACCACTGCTCGTCTACCCTCGCGGGCATTGCCACCGCCACCGCCACGGCCGCTTTCCACGCTGCTCACCTGAGTTCTTGGCGGCAGGAATGCCCGACGCCGGCAGCAGTGTGCCCGAGTGCGGCAGCTCCGGCTCCTCCGATAGCAGCCCCTCCCCCTCCCCCTCCGCGCCCTCCTCATCCTCCTCCTGTACGGCAGCCGCCTCGGCCTCGGCATCCTCATCAATGCAACCCGCACCCAGGGTTACTAGGTGCGTACGCTTGCTGGCTGCTGCGGCGGCGGCATGGCGTGCGCTTGGAGGCGCTGGAGCGGGGTTGCGTGACATGGTTGATGTGCCTTGAGTGGGAGCCGTTGGCTGGGGTAGGAAGTCTGGAGAAGGATGGGCAGCCAAAGGGGGACGGGAAGGGTGGTGAGGAGGGTCTAAGCCATGCTCAAGTACCAAACCGCGTAAGGCAGGACCTTACCCATGGCGCCTGCCCGGAAGTCCTTACCGCTCCCGTTCTTTCGCAACTGTAACTTATGAGTGTCCGTCATTCCCACACGACCGTCAATCCGGCCGTCATATCCACAAGACATCCATCCAGTCATCCCGTGCCGCTGCCGCCCCTCTGCGCCCCGCACCTGTTCTGGGTGGCCCCCCCGTGATCCAACTGCGTGCCGCCGGCTGCGTGCTGGGCCGCTGCGCCTGCCACGTGCGCGCGGGACTGCCCGCCTCAGCCTCCGCACCCGCACATGCCCCCGACTCCACCACCGCCAGCCCGGCTGCAACCGCCCCAGCAGCAGCAGCAGCAGAAGCACCGCCCCCACCGCCACCACGGTTCGCAACACCCACGCTCGCAACCTTGGCAACCGTAGCTCTTGACGGGTCACCAGCAGCTGCGGCGAAAGCAACGACCGCCTCCGCTTCCTCCTCTGCGCCCAGTGTGGCTGCCGTCGTTGCGAGTGCGGCACCCACACGCCGCCCCCCTGCAGGCGAAGCCCACGGCTCCACCTCCAAACTCCCTCGCTGACGCACCTCCGCCTCTGCATCCGCCGCCAACCAGCTGCCCCCACCATTACCGCTATCACCCCCAGTGCCTCCAGCTCCGAAACCCAAGCCTAGCGCAGCGGCCCAGGCTTCCGGGCTGCGGCGGCGGTCCGCTGGCAGCGGGCTGCCCCGCACATGCGCCAGGGGGCTGCTCACGGCACCCCCGCTGCCGGCGGCGCCACCCCGGGCGAAGCGGGTGCCAATGGGACTGAGCTCCGGAACCCGAGAGCCAGCAGCAGTGGCGGCGGTTGCGTCCTGGGAGGCGGCTGCAGGCGGCGCATTGGCGGCTCGCTCCAGCCATGCGAGGAAGTCCTCCCCCTCTGCCACCTGCGCCTCCCAGCCGCTGCCGTGCGAGGCGGAGGAGGTGTGCGGTTCGCGCAGCGGCCGGGTGAGCTGCATGGAGCCGTACCCGGCGGGCAGGGAAGGGAGACACGCGAGTTCGAATACGCGGCGGTTAGGTGGTAGAAAGGAACATATACCAGACGCCTGCCTCCTCTCCTCTTCCTTCCAATGCCTCTCCTCTCCCCCCCCCATCTCCCTGCACCATCCCTGCTCCGTACCGCACCTCAATCAGGGCGGGCATGCCCCGGGCCGGCGCCGCGTACAGCCTCAGCCTCACCCCTCCCGCCAGTGTCCCCCCCCGCGGCACCGCCACCAGCTGGCTGCCCCCCGCGGCGGCAGGCAGGAAGCCCGCACCCGCCAGCCGGCTGCCGGGGAAGGGCTGCTCCAGAACCACCTGGGGGGGAGGGGAAGGGGAGGTGGTGGGAGGGGGTTGCGGTTAGGTCGGGTGCTAGGTGGCGGTGATGGACTGGTGGGTGATGGGGCGTTGGAGGAGGTGTGCGATGGAGTAGGCAGATAGAATGAGGGAAGAGGGAGGAGGGAGCGGGTCTGCGGAGCGGGTTCGTGAGGCAGACAGACAGCTGTGCAGGCGGCCTGGTGGTACGAGTAATGGTACTAGTAGGACGGGGTGTACGGCATTGGAAAGGAGAGGTGCGGTACCGGTATACGTGCCTGAAGCGTGTTGGCGTCGAGAACCACGAGATGGCCTCCGTGAGCGCCTGGGGCCGGGGTAGGGGTCGGGGGTGAATGGGGGAGGAGTGGGGGAAGGGAGGAATGAGGGAAAGGGACAGCGAGGGAGGAATGATGCGCCAAGGATAGGAAGGCAAAGCAATGGGATACCACCCTTCAGGAACTGCCCCGGCCCCCCCCCCGCCCCACCTGACCCCACCGCCAGGTAGTCCCCATCCGGGCTGTACGACAGGAAGGGCTGCCCCGCCACCGCGCCCGTGTGCACGTGGCGCCACGCGTGCTCGCCCGCACCCTCCGCGCGGAACACGTGCAGCCCGCCGGCGGAGGAGGCGGCGGCCAGCAGCGTGTCTGGGTGGGGTGAGGGGGGAGAAGGAGGTAGGGAGCAGGTCAGGGAAGGTAAGCCAGGTCAGGGTCAGGGTGGCTGGCCCCTAAGCTGCACCCAATCGTTTTGATAAGGACAAGGTGGTGATAAAGAGCAAACAACGGGAAGCCAGGGAGCGTGGGCCCTTACCCGTGCCGGCCTGCTCAGAGGCGTCCAAGCCACCAAGCCCTGCCCCCATTCCCGCGGGACGGGATGGCGAGGTGCGCCAGGGCAGACCCATGGGTCCTGATACCACACCGCCGCCGTCCAGGCCGCGTGGGGCCGCCGCTGTGGCCGTGTCATGCGCCTGACGTGGAGTCAGGCGGACTGCCAACGTGGTGATGTGGCCTTCGTCCGCGTGGAACCGCTGTACGGCCTCCATTCGGAAGGTAGAGATGTCGTACACGCAGATGTCACCTCGATCCGTGCCAGTTGCCACCTAGGCAGCCGACGTAAGAGAAGGGGAAGGAGGCACGAAACGCAGGCGTGGTGCTTATAATAACCGGTTCGTTCCCGACATCCCCATATCCGCACGTTGCCGCTCCAGAACCCCCAGCGCTGCAACCTCCCTCTCCCTGTGAACGACACACATCCCAACCCAGCCCCGGCTCCGCGCTCCCGAGGTCCTACCCCTATACCTAAACCGCCCCTCAAAACCCCCCACTCACCATCAGCGGCCCCACAAACGCCACCGCAGTGACCTGCACCCCTCCTCCTCCTCCCGCCCCCCCTGCGCCCCCGGGCAGCCTCCTGCAGTCCAGCAAAGCGCCGCTGTCCAGGCTCCATAGCCGCACAGCCCCCTCCGCGCCGCCCGACACCAGCAGCGTGCGGCTGGCGGCCAGGCTCAGAACCGCGGCTGGGCGGCCCGGGGAGGTGAGGAGGAGTACGGCACACGTGCCGTGATGCAGCAGCGGAGGAGGGAGGAGGGCGGGGTCCGAGTTAGAAAGCTGGTTGTTGAAGGAGGAGGACCTTGGCTGAGGGCGCTTGAGGGTAGGAGGCCAAGGGCAGCACGCACATGCGAGGAAAGGACGAGGCGGCTAAACCTCGGCTCCATACATTCATCTCTCTACAAGAAAAGGGAACAGTTGTCGTAATGGCTCAGCACGGGCAAACCAGGCGCCCGGCTCACCCTCATGTGCGCCGAACAGGCAGACGGCTCCGCGCTCCCCCTCGCACAGCGGCAACTGCGCGTACAGGATGCGCCCCGAGCCGCGGTGGCTCAGCAGCAGCCCCTCATCGTCCGGCAGCGGCTCCCAGGCGCGCCACTCCTGCCGTACCGGCTGCGGGAAGAGACTGCCGCTGCTGCTGCCGGTGCTGGTGGTGACGCCGGCGGCGTTGTTGCCTGGGGCGCGGCCAAACGGTTGTCAAGGGAGGGATGCATGGGACACCGTGACGGGCAGGAATTAGAAGGGGAATGCCGAGGAGTTTGGCTCGCGAGAGGAGGGGGGGCCGGAAAGGTAGACGACGAGCAGGGCGGGGTGAGGGTTGGCCATGCTTGCAAGGCTGGGCCAAGCTGGTGGAGCAGGGGAGTGGCCAGGGTCCATGGCTCTCGTCAAAGGGTATCGCCATCTGCTTGCTGCAGTCCCCAATCGGCTCTGCACGCCCACAAACGCCACAGCAGCCATGTACATCCTAGTTGACGACTTCATTGTTAACTAGTTCACCTGTACATAGCTGCAGCTCATACACTGCGGCGACAGTTGGCCGAGCACCGCCCTCCCCAAGCCTGACCACATAGTAGACTCCATGCGAGTCGACCAACCCGATATGGCCGGGCAACAATGGGTGCGGCCTGGGACGCAAAGATAACATTGCTAGTTTGCATGAAAGGCAATCGCTACTTCTTCCTTTAGGCGAGGATACTGTCAAACAAGGACAGTCTGCTGCTAGACACCAGTAAAAATGGCCGCACCTGGCTTGTGCTACTTGTACGTTGCCGTCGAACAGTCCTGCCGCTTTGCTTGATACAGGCAATCGAATCGCATATAACGTGGAGCTCGTCGCTTGCTGCATGATTGTCTCAACTGCATACCGACTTAGCTGTCACTAAAATGTCATTCAAAATTTCCATAGTCTTCAGCCTGTAGAGTTTCTTGTAGGAAAGGAGTCCGTTAGCCGGGGCCGGACGTTGCGGACAGCACAGCGAAACCGCGAATGCACCACTAAACCGTACGATTGCCGTATATCTAAGCGGAGTTCGCGCTCTAGCTGCTTTAAGTGTGCCGCCTGTTACAAACATCCTCAGTAGGTAACTTGTAGAACACCTTTGAGCGCCACCATATTGTTGCTAAGGACTGTAAGGTTTACTTGTCGAAGTTGCGTGGAGCCGGCAGCTTGGTTTACTTGCCTCTAAGCTTCTGCTTCGGATATTACTTAAGGACGCTTTAGTTTGCTATCTTCAAGAAGCTTGGTGCTTGGAGAGGCACCCTCTATCAATTGCTGGCTCTGTAAAACTCTGCCAACAAGGATGGTGTACACGGCACTCACGGGAAACCAAACCGAGTTGTATCCTCGTATCAAGGGCCAATATACTACAACGAATCAACACTTCCATGACTCGGTAGGTAGGGTTCGTCGGCGGCAGGGCGCCGAGCGACCCCGGTTACCAAGCAAGAGTTTATAGGATGGTCCCATTGGGAATTTACTACCTAACGATGCGAAAACCATCGCGGATTGGTGGAAATGACCGTGTCCCTTCCGGTGCAACTCCAGCTCTTTTTGCCAGGCACTTTCCATCTATGCAATGGCGTATTTTGCTTCAGTATGCTTGGCAGTTTGCATATAGTTGCGCGCATTTGCAACTTGCCCCTCAGCTCCACATGCGAACTATCCCATGGGTTTATGCCGTTTGCATTCATACGCGCCCCTTAACCAAATATCCTTGCCCTGCAGCCTACTTCTAAAGAGCCAAAGAAGACCAGCACGTTCGGCAAGCTTTATGAGCACAGCCCGTACTTCATGGACAGGAAGCTGGACCCCATTCCGGCATCCCGTTCCGCAACTGTTGGTGGTGGAGCAACGTCAGTTAAGGTCACTGGGCAAGCTGTACCACCCCTCACTTGGAGTGGCAACTTCACCCCAGCCTACGCTGGCAACGGCACGTTCGAGCTAAACAACGGTACGTGGATTTGCTCAAACATGAGTTTCCGACCTGGTAGCAATGCAGACAATTGACTGCCCCTTTAGGGACATTTGGTTCCCTGCCCTCGTCCCTGCCAGTGACCCATGTTCTCCCCCTATCAACCCGGGATCTGAGTAGCCCCGTGCTCTTCCCTTCGTTTCCTATCCTCCAGGCCTTTCTTACAGCTACAAGAGCAGCAAGCCCGTGAAGCTCGTCCCCTACAACGACCTCCAAAAGACAGAGTACCAGGACCACTACAACCGCACAGCTGTAGCATCCGAGCACCCGCGCTGGGTTTCGGGGCGAGCTCCGTACAGCGTTGAGTATAAGTCTACGGGGCGGTTCAACGGCTCGGGGTAAGCGGTGTGCTATCCCGCGCTTCCCTTGTACTTCGTCGGCCGCATAGCCGCATGGGTGCTTCCTAAAACAGCAGGCAAGCCATGCTCGCATTTCGGGGGAAAGAAGCGGGGAGGTTGCCAACTGCAAGGGGAGGGGGTGATCGGGGAGTCGGCTTTTATCCAATCGAAGGTCTGCGACTCTGTTACAATGCAATGCACTGCGTTGTGATCTTTACTGTTAATGGCAGCCGAGGGCATAGTGAGTTTTGATGACTGGAAACTCGGCTGTTTGGCAAGACCAGGGCCTTTTGTTGGGGCAAAGGGGAAAAGACTGTGGGAAGACTACGGGGCTCGGCTCTTAACGTCGCATAAGCTTGTTCCAAATGGTATCATGCGGCGAACTGGCAGGGACTTTTTCGTGCACGGATGACCTTTAAATGTTGTATCAATAGGTAGGCAGAGAGGTTTTGGCACATCTTTTGGGGGGTCTGATCCCTTGTTGTAGATATTAGTGATTGACAATATCCGCTTGGATGGCATCCTTTATGTGTCGCAAGGTTGTTTCTTCGGCAGCAGCGTGTTGTGTTGTACGAACTGTGCCGTTGCCGTACTTGTGTGATTCTGCGCATTCGTACTCGCGGGCATCCGCGAACAGCGGGGTGTTTTCGCAGGAGGTTTCTTGGGTATGGACTTACTTGATTTATCATCGGTAGGTGCAGCTCCTTATGCCGGCAGGCATGCTGCGGGCAGTACAGGGGTTGCATCACGCACACATAGTGAGAGAAGGAACCGCAGTTATGGGCCTTGATTTAGTTTGTAACGTCAGATGAGCCTTGGTAAGGAATGCGCCGAGATGTCCCGCGGACTGGGAACTCGCTAGTGGTGTCCTTGGTTGGGCAGCTGGACTTACCTTGGCTGCTATTGTAACGTACCTCTAGCAAAAGTGACTGTGAAGGGTGTTCGCAACTGCTCGATGTCCGCAAGGTTCGCATGTGCACGCACGTGTTTCGGAGAACGCCAAAGGAATAGACGATATGTATCAAGAACAGGGTGGGCCAATGCCATGTGGGCGAAGCAGCGGTTGCACGGGCGGGAAAATGGGGGTTGGGGGCGGGGTATGACACCGGGGTACGGCCACGCAAGGCGTGCTTAGGGGGCCGCGTTGATGAGGCAGCCCGGGCCTAGCTACATTGCTTTGAGTAAAGAGGCACCTGCCTTTTGCCTGCGACAGGGTCCCTAGGCATGCGCGATGCAAGAACCTCGCGGCATAGCGTAACCTGGAACACCCAATCGCCGCCCCGAAACCCTTCACTGTTCTTGCGCCCCAAGCAAGCCAACTGCAACCTAAAGGACTGCAATTTTACACAGGTGTCTTCCCATCGACATGATACTGTAAAGATCTAACAGACAGCTCGTTCCCGTAAAATTGCCATGGCGACTCCTAGTAAGATACCCTCTGGAAATGGCACTAGGTGCTCCACAGGGCAAAAGACATGTCAATATTTTACCACTTCGACTCCGCGAGTGCCTGTACCGTCCTCGCGCTTGCACGAGCCTCGCTCGACCGCAACACGATGGCAGGTGTTGCCCCTCCCAGCCCGCATCATGAAATCGCGAACCTCTATTCTAGCTCGTAGCTCTACAGCGGTTACGGACGCCCAGCCGGAGCTGTCACCCGCGACAAACAATGCCGACCAGCTTGCGTCCCAACAGCTTGGCGTAACAGCCGAGAGTCTCATGCCCAGCCAGCTAACTTGGCCCAGCCGCTCTCATGGATGCGGTGCAGTAACACCGGCGGATATCGGCTCAACAATCACAATTTGCGGTTGGGTTGACCGCAACCGTGACATGGGCGGTGTGCAATTCTTCGATGTCCGCGACCACACCGGCCTTTTGCAGGTTCGTTTAGCACAGAATTGCGTTGTCGTAGGCCTCATCCTCCGTGTGCTTGTCGGTTAACTACCTTGCGTTATCTCCGCACGACATTCTGCACAGCCCATCGCTGTGACAACATTCTGAAATTGCACCAAACACCATTCCCTTCTCCACCCAGGTCATCTGCGAGCCTCAGAGCGCTGCCCCAGAGGTCTCCCGCGTGGCCTCTCGCCTGCGTAACGAATATGTGGTTTGCGTGACGGGGGTGCTGCGCGCTCGCAAGGACCCCAACCCCAGGCTTCCCACCGGCCAGGTAGGGTAAAGCCTCGTTACGGGAGAGTCAATTGAAACCGGGCGCGAAGGATGGAAGGGGGGCCAGCTTTCATGCATGATGGAAAGGAGGCAGCGGGGTGGTGGGTCACGGCTACGCTGCACAACACCCTTGCATCCCACGGCCCTGGGCCCCGCCTGCCTTCCCCACCTCCGAACTCCTCCTCCCCTCCCCACATCCCTCCCCTACCTCGGCTCGACTCACGGTTTCTTCCATCAGGGCTTGTCAGCTAGCCTACCACTATCACACCACACACAGGATACTCTTCTTTTCCCCTCCCTCCAACCCCCACTCGCCGACCATCATGCCGCACATCATGCTGGAGCCGTACCAGGCCATCACACGTCCAGCTTCCCTCCTGCTCCCCTCCAACACCCCTCCCTCCTCCCACCCGGCCCCCCAGTTGGAGCTGGTAGCCAGCGGCGTGCAGCTGCTCAACGTGGTGAGTCGCCCGCTGCCCTTCCCCGTCAGCGAGGCGGAGGAGGCGGAGCCGCCGCGGGAGGACACACGGCTGCGGCACCGGGTGCTGGACCTGCGGTGAGGGACGCGCGAGGGACAGGGGGGGGAGGGGAAAGGGAGGGGGAGGGGAAAGGGAGGGGGAGGGGCGGCCCCGGGTGGGGGTTAGATAAACTGAGCCGCGGAAACACTGACCCTGACCGTAGATTACCGGAAATTGCTTGATGGTGTTCCAGACTTCGAAGTATTGTAATCGGAGGGGAGGGGGAGCGGCAGCCCCGAGTGGCTCTGGGGCGCGACTGCTGCTGCTGCTGCAGCTGCTTGGGTTCCGGGGGAGCCTGGGGGTTGGCGTTGCTTCCACCTGTTACCAGTCACCAGTCACCAGTCAACCGCCCACCTCTCCTCCCCACCCTCCTCTCCTCGCAAGCGCCGGCTGGCCCCACACTCCGCCCTCCGCCTCTTTCCTCCTGACATCCACATCCCTGCCCACCAGTACCGTACACATATACCGGGACAGCCCCCCCTCACTTCACTGCTCCCTGCCTCCCTCCTCTTTGTCTCTCCTTCAAACCCCCCTCCCCGCCTCTCCCCCTTCCCCCCGCCTCTCCCCCCCTCCCAGTCGCCCCAAGATGGCTGCCAACCTGCGTCTGCGGCACCGGCTGCTGCGCCTGATCCGGGGTTACCTTGAGGAGCGGCACGGCTTCACGGAGGTGGAGACGCCCATCCTCACGCGCTCCACTCCGGAGGGGGCGCGGGACTACCTGGTGCCCTCGCGGTGGGGGGGGGGGAGGGGGGGCAGGATGCGGAGGGGCGGGATTGACAAACTGAGCCGCAAGGAAACACTGACCAGGGGGAGCAGGGGGAGGGGACGGGGAGGAGGAGGGGGCTGGGGAGGGGTGGGACTTGGTTTGGGTGGGGAGTGGCGGAGAGTTGGGAGGGGAGGGGTGCGACCGGTTATGGCTGTCGTGTGTGTCGTGCGGTGATGGGGGTTAGGCCGGCGGTGCGGCCTCTCAGGGGGTGGGCTGCTTGCCGCATCCGCATCCGCATGCGGACCTACCCTGCCTCCACCCTCATCCCGCCTCCACCCTCATCCCGCCCCCATCCACACCATGCCTCCCACCCCATCGCATCTCCTCCCCGCCTCCTCCTCATCCCGCCACCTCCCCATGCCCTCACCCCACCCACCCCACCCGCTCCCCTTCCCCTCCCCTCCCCCCACCCAGCGTCCAGCCCGGCGAGTGGTACGCGCTGCCGCAGTCTCCGCAGCTGTTCAAGCAGATGCTGATGGTGGCGGGGCTGGACAGGTACTACCAGATCGCCCGGTGCTTCAGGTATGTGTGTGTGGGGGGGGGCGGGCGGGAGGGGTCAAGGGGGTACCGGTTCCAAACACCCACAGGTTAGGGCAAAGCAATGGGGTAGAGGGCACCGGGTGGGGTAAAAAGAGGAAACTAACGAGCTGTGGGGGACCAGGGGTTCTGAGGAGGTGGATATCGGTAGCTTGCCAGGATTGGGAAGAACGGATAACGTGCAGCAGCAGCTGGAGGTAGATGGTTGGCTGCCGCAGCACCGCTATCCCTCCACCCCCCCAGGGGGGTTTCAGATGAGGAGTGAAAGGGGGGGGGATACCGGTGGGTGGGTGATGGGCTGTTGTTGTCGTTGGTGGGGGGTTGGGTGATCCCAACCATCTGGGTTGAGCCGCGGTGGGGCACTGACGGTGTGGCCAGGCCTGTCCCCTTCGTGTTGCCATCATTTATGGTTTGGTACTACTTTCCCCCACCCCCAACCTCCACCCCACCCCACCCACACACTTTGGAATTTCTTTTTTTTCCCCCAGGGACGAGGACCTCCGCTCCGACCGTCAGCCCGAGTTCACCCAGCTGGACCTGGAGGCTGCGTTCATGGACGAGCGGGCGCTGCAGGGACTGGTGGAGGGGCTGGTGGCGGAGGTGTTCCAGCAGGTAGGGGGGAGGGGGGCGGGTGGGAGGGGGAGGGCGGTAAGGAGAGGGTGGACCAGCTGCGGTGAGGAGAGAGAGGAGGGAGGAGGGCGGTGGGGGTGCCCTGACCCGTGAACATCCCATTACCGGTACCACATCGCCCTTTCATCTTGCCTGTACGCCCCACCCCCGACCCCACCCGACACACTCAACACATTGGGTCTTCTTGTTTTCCCCTCACCCCCCCTCCGCCCTCCCCTCACCCCCTTCCCTCACCCCCACCCTCACCCCCACCCTCACCCCCCCCCTCACCCCCACCCCCACTTGATTATTTTACCCGCCCTCCCCAGCTGCTGGGCGTATCGCTGCCCGCCCCCTTCCGCCGCATGACGTACAGCGAGGCCATGGAGCGGTACGGCAGTGACAAACCCGACCTGCGCTTCGGGCTGGCGTTCGAGGACGTGACGGAGGCGGTGCGGGACTGCGGGTTCAAGTGAGAGCGCGGGGGAGGGGGGGAGATGGGGGGGGGCAAAGACTGATTACCAAACCGTAGGAAACTACAGGACAGGGAGGGCAGCAGATGGGGTTTAGAGATACCGATAGACCAGCCCATTACCGGTAGCATCTGGGGGGGGGGGTAAGGAAGAAAGGGAAGGGAAGGGAAGGGAAGGAAGGGAGGGGTTCCCATGGGGGCAGGTTACCTTCTTTTCCCCTTCCCGGTACCTCCTCACCGCCCGTTACCCTGCTCGCCTCTCTCCCCTCCTCTCCTCCTCCCTCTCCCCCCCCCGCCCCCACCCCAGGGTGTTTTCCTCTGCCGTGTCGGAGGGCGGGGTGGTGAAGGCGATCCGGGTACCCGACGGCTCCCGCATCAGCAACAGCCGCGTGAAGCCCAGGGGGGACATCGCGAACGAGGCGGTGGCGGCGGGTGAGGGAGGCGGGAGGGAGGGAGGGAGGGAGGGAGGGAGGGAGGGAGGGAGGGAGGGAGGGAGGGAGGGAGGGAGATGCACGCAGGAGGGAGGACGGGGGAAATGAGAAGTTTGGAAGCACAATGCCATGTCCCAACTCGCGCATACATGGGGGGAGGGGTGAAGAAGAGGATATGCCATGGTGCTGTGAACGATAGACAGGGGGGTGCAGGGAGGGGGGGAAAGAGGGGTGGAAAGAGGGGGGGAGGGAGGGTATACGCGAGGTGGACGAGGGGGGGGCGATGCTGGCTCGGAAGAAGGGCCCCCCCCACCTCCCCTTCCCTCCCCCCCTTACGCAGGTGCCGCCGGTCTGGTGCCCCTGCGTATCGCCCCGGACGGCTCGCTGGACGCGGGCAAGGCGGTGCGGGAGGGGCTGAGCGGGGCGCAGGTGCAGCAGCTGGTGCAGGGCACGGGGGCGCAGCCGGTGAGGGGGGGGAGGGAGTGGGGGGGGAAAGAAGAATACCCAATGTGTGGGGAGGGGGGCAGGCGAGGGGAGGGGAGGGGAGGGGCGAAGACTAGCTGTGCAGGAGGGGGCGAGGGTTGGGAAGAGCAACGCCATTCCTGCTGGTGCAGCTGGAGGAGGGCACCTGGGGGGGGCGGCATGGCAGAAGACACTGGGAGGGGGAGAGGTGTGTGCTGGGGGCTGATGACGTGTTACCTACCTGCTACTGCTGCTAGGGTAAAGACCCTGGTAAGACGGGAAGCGTTGCGTTACGTGGAGGAAGAACCCTACCAGTGAGGTCCCCTCCCCTCCCCGACCCCCCCTCCATCGCTGCCTACCCCCTCCCCCCACCTCCTTCACCTCACAGCTACCACCATTACGCTCAACACCATGGCACGTTGTCCCTATGTTACCCCCCCCCCCTCCCACCTCCCACACATCACTTTTAAGTCCTCACACTTCTTCTCACTCTCCTCACCCCCTCCCCCCCCCAGGGCGACCTGCTGCTGCTGGCAGCCGGCCCCCGCCCCACCGTGCTGCGGGCGCTGGACAGAGTACGGCAGCTGCTGGGGCGGGAGCTGGGGATGATTCAGGTGGGGGGGAGGGGGTTATTAGGGATGAAGATTCGAGGTTGGGGGGGGGGGGGGGAAACTAGCCGCGTACAGGTGGAGTGGGTTGTGCGGCCGGGTAGGGGTTTAATGTGGTTGGTTGGGTTTGAGGTGGAAAGCTGGGAAAAGGGTTGGGGAGGAGGGGAGGGCGTACTGGGAGGTAGAGAGGGCGGGAGGTTGTCAGAGGTGTCGCTTACACTGCGCCATTGCCTTACTGGCTTCCTTGCATGGAAACCCCCAGCGTTTGCTCCCCTCCTTACTAACCTGCCGTGCAAACCCTCCCTCCTTTCCCCGCCATCCTCTTTTAACACATTGGGTATTCTTCTCTCCACCACCCCACCCCCCCTTCCCCCCACCTCAGCCCGGCCAGCACTCGCTGCTGTGGGTGGTGGACTTCCCCATGTTCGAATACAACCAGGAGGAGGGGCGGCTGGAGGTGGGCAGGGGGGGGGGTAAATAGGGATACATATTCCGCATTAGGCGAGAGGGGGGGTTGCACAAGGGCGGGGAGGTTTGAGGTGGGGCGCATACAGGGGGATTTAAGGTTCAAATGAGGAAGGTGAGGGGGATAAAAGGGAAACGTGCGAACCAGGAAGGGTGCAGCGCGCGCCCCCCCACGACCCGGGGTGGGCCCATGCGCGCATGCTGGTGGTGGCAAGTACGATGCGTACGGCAGTAGTAGGGCCCTGCCTTGCACCAGGTCGCACCTGCGTCCATGTGGCCTCCCCACCTGCCCCCCCCCCCCCCACCCGCATCAGGCCATCCACCACCCCTTCACCGCGCCCCACCCCGACGACTGGGCAGCTGGGGACTACGCAAATGCACGTGCGCTGGCGTACGATCTCGTATACAATGGAGTGGAGGTACGACACATACGTATACGTTGTGTGTGTGTATACTGTATCGTACAAGGGAGGGAGGGTCAAAGACCATACCGAACCATAGGAAACCACATGGGAGGGTGGGAGGCAGGAGGGTTGTGCACCTTTTATCAGAAGGCTGGTGTCCTGCCCCGCGCTGTTGCCTTCACCGCCATTTACCCCAGTAAGAAAAGCAACACCGCGTTTTGCGCGCGCGCGCGATCTTCCTCTGCGCCCACCCACCTGACTAAACCCCTCGTGCACATGCCTTCCCACACATTCCCCTCCTGCCCCCCTCCCCTCTCCCTTCTCCTCCTCTCTGCTACCCCCATTCAACACATTTGGTATTCTCTTCCCTCTGCCCCCCCTCCCTTCTCCCCCCCAGATCGGCGGCGGCAGTCTGCGCATCTACCGGCGGGACATCCAGCAAAAGGTGTTCGAGCTGATTGGTGAGGATAGGACCCGCATGGGGGGGAGGGCAAAATAGGGATACATTTTCCGCATTGGGCTAGCATATAGTTGTAGTTGTTTTATAGTTAGTAGCAGCAATCAGTAACAAACCGTTTGGGGAGAAGGAACAAAACAGCACCACATAATGGGCGGGAGGCCCATGGACCGTCACACGCCCCGTCTCCATGCCTCAGCATCCGCACTGGCCTCATCTCCTCCAGTCCCTTTCCCCCTCCCCCTCCCCCTCACCCCTCCCCCTCCCTCCCTCTCCTCCCCTCCGCCCAGGGATTCGGGATTGGGACTGTGTTGTTGCACTTATATATAATTTTCCCCTCCGCCCAGGCTTTATGTGCTGCTACTAACCCAATAAGCTTGACTATACGCAATCCTAAAATCCAGCCTAATGCGGAACATGTATCCCTTTTATCCCCCCCCTCCAGGCCTGACCCCCTCCGAGGCCCAGTCCAAGTTTGGCTACCTGCTGGACTGCTTCGAGTACGGCGCGCCCCCGCACGGCGGCCTGGCGTTCGGGCTGGACCGGCTGGCCATGCTGCTGGCGGGGGCGCCCTCCATTCGGGACGTCATCGCATTCCCCAAGACAACGCAGGCGCAGTGCGCGCTAACAGGTGGGGGGGGGGTCAGCGAGAGACATACCAGGACCTCAGGTTGGGGCAAAACAATGGGGAAGGAGCATGGAGGGAAGCTGCTTGTCACATGGTGTGTGACAGAGCTGGGTTTTGGGCGTGTGTGTGGGTCAGGTGGCTGCCGTGTTTGCTGTTGTCGCGCGGTGTGTGTGTGGGGGGTGCTGCGGACTGGACTCCCATGTGTCCTGCAGTAGCGTTGCCAGCAGGAGGATTGGGCTCCCGGGGTGAGGCAGCTACGTACGCATGATCGCCATCCACCCGGTGGCTGGTCCGCCGGCCCGACGTGTGCTGTCCCCGACCGCACCCGCCCCCGGGCCCCTCCTCGCTCCCGCAGGCGCCCCCGCCCCCGTGTCTGACAAGCAACTAGGTGAGCTGCACATCGCGATTGCCACCGGCGATGACAACAACAGCAACAACAACAGCAGCGGCAACGGCAACGATGGCAATTAGATGGTACACGCACAGCAACCACGGAAGATGCTAGCGGCAACGGCTGGCAGCAGGACGAAGAAGAAAAGGAGGAGGAGGAGGCGGACCAGCGGCCTCAGAGTGCCTCCCTATTTTGACTCCCTTCAGACCTGTACTGGGACGTGACCGACGTATGCCCGATACAGCCGATCGTTGTGATGTGGGGCAGCAGCGGAGGCAGGTGAGGCCAGTCGCGTGCTGGATGGCTGGCCGGTTCAGCGCGGCGGAGGCGGCAGGTGCCAGTCTGGGTGGGGGGGCAGGTATGGAGGTGTGCAGGTGTCTGATGCTTGGGAGGGATATCAGGTGGGTGCGAAATATATTTGTGTTTCGGTGGTCAAGTGGGCAGTAGGGGAGTAGGGTGGGTGACTGGGGAGGGAGTGCAGTGCAGAGCGCAGAGCGGGTATGCGTGCGGTTTTGGGGAGTGCTTTCCACAGGGTAGGGGGCGATGTACGGCTGCTTGGGGCGGTTCGTGCAAGGGTTTAGTACGACAGCGGTGACCGTTGTAAGGGGTGTTGGCCTGCGAGTAGGGTATGCGCCAGGAAGGCTACTGCCCGGTGCTGTCGAGTTGGGAGTGAAGTTAGGGCTTTGGGACCACGGCTGTTGTCACCTGGCAGTTAGCCATGCACGCATACGAGTCCAGGGCTGCCGGTTATGGGGGTTTAGAAGTGTAGAGAGGAATGGGGCAGCGACAAGAGGTTGTGCGCTTTGTGGGGCTTATGGGGACTCCAGGGGGAGATTGTGCTTTGGGGTAATGAGAAAACCAACAGTGTACTGGGGAAAGGGTGGGAGTGGAAGGGAACAGTGACGTGTATAGTGGTGAGCTGACGTCATTTCCATTACAGCTTAAGCGTCGACAGGGGGTAGGCTGGATGGATCAGTCGGGATTGTAGCTAACAGCATTTGAACTTGTCGGGTTACGGCGGGTTGGAGGAAGGCTTGGTCGAGGGGAGTGGGTTATGAACGCCCCGTAGCCAATCGCGCGACAATCTCGAAGCTATGTTTTGAACACGACTCCTGGCCTAATCTCCCCTCGGGCTGCGACGGTCCAGCGCCAGCTGCGCGTTTATTCGTGCAGCGTTGGTTGGCATGCAGCCAGACGCAGCTCTCTGCATCATAGCTAGCACATCGACCTGGTATCTATCCATGAAAACAAAAGCGTGTATTAGAGTTGTGCGCTGAACCGGGGCATCCTTACATGGCTAGCTTGGCGTACGCTGTACTTTGTCATGAACACCTGTGTTCTGGTCTGGCTCCCTCCTGCCCTAACATAAGTTGCAATTCCTTTTAATATCGCCGAACTAAAGGTAGTAGACGCACGACAACAGAGAAATACTGAACTTCCCACCCAGAAGAGCCATAGGTCAGCTCTTCGGTACTTCTGTAACTGGGACTTGGTGTCTTTCTTTAGGTTCGGGGACTATCCTTAGTTGCGTGGCGAAGCAGCAGCGTAGGACGCTGCACTCGAGGGGCTTTTGCAGCCGTCACCGTCGACAACGTCGCGGTTGACGCGTTCTGGCAGCTCTGGTCTGCAGGCATGCTGAGCAAGACCCTCACGCAGCAGGAGGCTGCTGTGCGGGATGGGCAAATTGGGCAGCTCAGAGAGTGTAAAGTGCTGGCGGAGGAGGAAGTAGTTGAGCTTGCAGCGAAGTGCAAGGAGCTGCTGCAGCAAGAGCAGAATGTTACTCACGTCCGGGCGCCAGTTGTGGTGGTGGGCGATACGCACGGGCAGTTCCATGACCTGATGGAAATTTTCAAGATTGCGGGCCAAGCCCCAGACGCAAACTACCTCTTCCTTGGAGACTATGTGGATCGCGGCTACTACTCCGTGGAGACAGTTTGCATGGTTATTGCGCTGAAGGTGCGCTATCCTAGCCGCATCGTGATGATCCGCGGCAACCACGAGAGCCGGCAGATTACCCAGGTCTACGGCTTTTACGAGGAGTGCCTTCGCAAGTATGGCAGCGCAAAGGTCTGGCAGGTCCTGACAGACCTGTTCGACTATCTGCCGCTGGCCGCGGTTATCGAGAACCAGCTGTTTTGCCCGCACGCTGGCCTGTCTCCATCGATGGATACCCTCGATCAGATTAACCAGATACACCGGTTCGAGGAAGTCCCGCACGAAGGCCCCATGTGCGATCTCCTGTGGTCCGACCCCGACGACCGCATGGGCTGGGGCATCTCGCCACGCGGCGCTGGTTACACCTACGGCCAGGACATCTCGGAGCACTTCAACCACGTCAACAACCTGAAGTTCATCATCCGCGCCCACCAGCTTGTCTCAGAGGGCTTCTTGTGGCAGCACGAGGGCGCTGTGGTGACGGTGTTCAGCGCGCCCAACTACTGCTACCGCTGCGGCAACAAGGCGGCCATCGTCGACATCGACGAGAACATGAACCATAAAATCATTCAGTTTGACCACGCGCCGCCTAAGGGTGCGGGCATTACGGAGGTCAAGCGCTCCGTCCCGGACTACTTCCTGTGAGCGTGCTGGGTGCACGGCTTGGGAGAGGGCGCCTGCAATCCGCGCCTGCTTTTCCTGGTCTTATGGGCTCGCCAAGAGGTTGTGTGAAAGGGGAACTGGACGGCGTCTCGCACGCCGAGTGCACGGTTGCAATTGAACAGAATGGGATGACCATGTCTCTCCCGTTACAGCGTTAGGCTGTTTCTCCTTAGCGTCTGCACTGCGACGTGGCCGAGGGGGGTGTGAATTGGCATTGTTGTGTGCGTGCGCCGGAACAGCAACTGCATTGGTGTATAGGGGTGTAGGCAGCTGCGTCGCTGTAGTACTGGTTGCAATGTAGTACATGACAGGGGTGTTCCGTTTGTGCTCTCCTGCGTACGATAGAGGCGGATGCTCACTATCCCTAATGCACGGATTTGGAACGGGGTCTACTTTTGCGCAGCGGATAAACCTACGAGGGTGTAAGGGCGGGGGCGCAGACAGGTGGGTGTTGTTTTTTCATGTACATGTGCGGTCGGGGCTGCGCCCCACTTGTCGGTAGGGCAGTTGTGGGTCTTAGGCATAGGCCCTCACCTGATGCCTGGACTGCAGATCCCGCTTGCTTACCTTACGACTGTAATACTGTAGTGCTGGTGGCTTACAATGGCGGCATCGCCATGGTTTTTTAGATGTTGTGGCTGGAGGCGGTGAAAAGGGGTGATGGTTGATGCAGTGAGAGGGTGGCGTTTGCGGCATTGCTGTGTTTGAGTGAAGCTTAGGTTGCAGAGCGTGCATCGTAAGATGGCTCCATCGTTGCCGTGCATGCATGCACGAGGTCATGCGAAAGGTATACATGAACAGCTGGGCTGGGCGCATACTTCGTGTCATGCAATATGTCTAGACAACTTGTCGATCGTGTCGCTCGAAACTGCTGCCGCGCGGCAGCGTACGTACGCGTGTAAGCTGCTATGTAGGGCCTAGCGCTCAGTCTAATGCTTTGCAATGGAGTTATTCAAGCGCTTAAGCACGGCGTCAGCACAATCCTACATAACGGGCTTGCTCCGTGTAAGTTACAATTTTCGCATTGGCATGCATTGTCTGGAGGCATGAATGTGGGGAAAGACCCAATGCGAGGTTGCCGTATCAACCCACTGAGACCAATACACACACATGGCAGCGCGACACCCGGCGAGGTTGCATACAGGTACTGCATGTTTCCGTTTGTATGCCGCATAAGATTCCCCTTTACGGTAGATACCCCAGGAACGTGAATAGGCAAGTCATATTGACTAAGCATAAACGTGCGTAGGAGCGCTGCGATGCGCCATGTAAACTTGAGGCACTGTAGTTGACCCCCTAAGGATAGCAATATACCTGCGAATGTCCGGCGCCTAGCAATTCATGACCGTCCGTATCAAGTTGCTCAATGGGAGGGCTCGCGCCATGGGCTTAGCTTGTGTGCAAGTGCTCTGGAAGCCGTAGCTTTTCAGTTCAGCATTATATACTCCGACATGCATATGCCCACGACATCGCGCGGCGGGCATGGGAAATACATACCAAACTCGTAAACCCTGAGCTGTACGGTAAACCCCAACCCGTCGCTCTCGTTTTCTCCTTCCCTGCTCCCTTTGTCCTTCTCTTTACCTTAGGGCACACCTCATCTTCAGCTAAGGTGAGAACTTCTCTCGTGCTTAGAGGGCTAAAACTCCTTGGGCCATCGGTGCGTGAGCGGTCCGGAGGTGCACAACCAGCTTAGGGCAGATCGTTCGCAGCTAGTGTAGTAGAACATTGCAAAATGCATTGCTGAAGTGAGCCCCACGGAGCCCAATATTGCTTGGCGGCCTCCGGACGGCGGCTGCTCTGGAGCTCTGAATAGCTTCAGCTAGCATTACCTATATTGCATGTTATACTTGAAAGCTTCACTTTTAGGCTTGAGACGGCTTTTATGGAGGGCGGGGACGGAGATGTATCAGCCTTGCTGACGGCTTGACTTGCTACGAGTGGCCGCCTAGCCGCTGTTACCATACCTAACAGTTGCTGGCATTCTACTGCTGAAAGCGACAGGAATCAACTAAGATGGACGCCAGCAGTGGCTTTCTGTATATCTCAGCCGTCATGTGTAACTGCGTCGTCTGACAATGCCGATTTCTCCTATTGCGCCTTCTCCTGCATGCAGAAGGATGGTGCTGAAGACGAACACTTGCCGCTTCAGCGGCCTGAGGATCTACCCCGGCAAGGGCCTTCTGTTCATCCGCACGGATGGCCAGCAATACATGTTCCTGAACAAGAAGTGCAAGTCCTACTACCACAACCGCCTCCGCCCCGCTAAGCTGGCGTGGACCACCATCTACAGGAAGCAGCACAAGAAGGACCAGGTGCGAGTGCAGGGCAATGGGGGCCTGGCCTTGCAGCTCAGGTTGCACTCTGCACGCGCTTCATGCGGCGCGGGAGCTGAAAGGCAGCAGCAGTCGTGCGGAGCGCTTCAAGGCAGCGGGCGGTGAAGGGCAAGCATGCCCCTCTGATTTAACAAGCAGCGGACATGGGGCATGTACAGCAGAACACAGCGGGCTTTGCACACACCGCATGGCTGTTTCCCCGAAGGAGGATGGAAATTTTGGCGGTCCTGCGCATGCGGGATCGCAGGAGCCTCTAACAGGACGGCAGCTGCAATAAAGGAAGATGGAGCCGAGGCTTCCGCCATCCAGGGTGTTCCTCAACGACGCATGTGCTTCTTGGCAGCCTTCCCGCAATCCAGCAAGCCCAATTCCTTCAGGAGCATTTTCCCTCAGCCCACCTACTTGCCGCCTTGGCACCCCTTTGCACCCGCGCTTACCCTGGTCCCCGCCGCATTCCTCTGTATGTGTTTCCCTACCGCCCACACAGATCAGCGAGGTGCAGAAGAAGAAGCGCCGGGCTGTGGCCAAGTCGGCCAACCGCTCCATCGTGGGTGCCTCCCTGGAGGTGATCCAGAAGAAGCGGACGGAGAAGCCCGAGGTGCGCCAGGCCAGCCGCGAGGCCGCCATCCGTGAGGTTAAGGTACGTGAAGAGGGAGGTGGAGAAAACCGAGAGGGGGAGGGGGGAGGGAGGAAGGGTGGGTGGGGGTAATGGGGGCTGTGCTTGGAGGGTGGTGTGTTTGGGGGTGGGGTGAGGTCTGGGTTGCCAATGGTGTGTTGGCGCTCTCGTGGTGTTAGTTCCACCTTGGGAGAAGGGGTTGGGAGCTGTGGGTAACGAGTGCTGAATGTTTGAGGGGTGGAAGCTGTTATGCTTGGTATCGACTGTGTTATCTGTGTGGCATACATGCTCGATGACGTGGGGTGATGCTGCCTACAAGTGTCGCCAAGATTCGTAGTAAGGGGAGGTACGAAGTCAGCTTGTGTGCGAGCGTTACGCATGGTATTAGTACTTGGGAAGAAGTTCCCTCTTCCGAAAAGAGATTGGGCATGGTTAGCGATTCCTATTGAAGGCTGTCCGCTTAACCGCTTGCGGTTTCTTAACGGCATTAATCCCCCACCAACACCACTAGTTTCCCCCCAACGAAGCTACTTGCATGACGTTATACCGCGTGCTCTTTTATCGTACTCATCACGCATTTAACCCTTTCCCTCCTCCCCATCCCTGTCTCCCAACAGGAGCGCGCTAAGAAGCAGAAGGCGGAGCGCGCCGCCGCTGCCAAGGCCGCTGCCGGCCCCCAAAAGTCGGCTCCCAAGGTTGTGGGCCGCGGCAAGCGCTAAACAGCTGACCCCTTGGCTGTTGAGGGTGCTGGCCTCATGTAACGCGCAGTTGTGCTGCTGCTAGCCCTCTGCTGGTGTGTGTCACACTGCATGCCAGCTGCACTTCACATGGCGCCATAGTTTCAAAGGGGAGAGCCTTTTACGGGAACCTCTCCAGGAGTACTGTTAGCTAGAGGCTAAAGCCAGCTTTGGGGGCCGCGTTACGCAGCTCTGGGGGCCTCACTCCGGCGGTCTGGCGATCAACAATAGAACAACATTAGTGTACGGGTTGGGAAGCGGGGTTATCTAAGGAATTCTCTAAGACGTTACTCAACCAGCCCTTAACTTCCCACCCCACATCACATATTTACACGTTCCAACACAAAAACATGTCCATGTCATTGCTCAGTCGCGCCGAGCCACGCGCTACACCAGACCCAAAAGCAGACTGCGTGTACGGTATTGAAGTTCGAGTCTGCCGTGGGTGTAAGATAGATCACCATCTCACACGTCACGTTGGGGTCAGATGCAAGATGCAAACGAAACGCCCGATCCTAAGAATGCGATTTTTACAGGGGAGTCCTAAGGAGGTGGCAAGTAGGGCAAGTCATTATGGAGAGGACAGAGGAAGTGGAATCTAGCATGTAGGGCACACATGACGGAGGTCTGTTTTACAGGGGAGTCAGACTACAGGCCCTCTCCGCTAGGAGTGTGCGAGTTTGTCGCATGAGGCAGTGCATAGGGAAACAACTGTCACGAAGGAAGCACGTGGGTACGGGCATGGTCTTGATTGCGTTATTGCAATGAACCATTAAGCAGGAATTGTGTGCATATATGGTTTTACCATTATTTACGTAACTGCCTGCTCAGCATGTGATATGTACCTTCTATGGCATGGAGAAGATGATGCCATCGTGATCGAATGTTCTATATGCATGGTGGCGGTTTGTCAACATTTGGTTTTGACATACAACTAGAATATCAATATATTCTTATGAAGTAGGTTACAGTGCCGGCCCGCGGTGCAAATAGCCGAAGATCCGCGACCCCGTGGGGTGCTGTGGAGTGGGTCATAATCATTGCACAACGCTAAGGTATGGATGAACCGCTAGGTTTGGGCTTCGGGGCTCTCTTTAATGCAACTGGGCGGTCACACTTCAATTGCATGGCCACTGGTGGGAGTAGGGATGCCGGTGCTTCATGCACCACATCATTATCCTTAGTATGCCAAATAATAATGTGTTGAAATGCGCTCCCTCATGAAATCGCCTTGGGGGTGTTGCCGCCGCCGTTGCAAGCGAGCATTTGTCCTACTTGCCCTTCTTAACAGGGACCCTGGAAGGAAATGCGTGTTAGTATTATGAATCAAGGGCCGTAAGTCTGTGTTTTGGTTACCTATTGCCGCAGTTACCTTTCCCGCCAAGCCAACCAAATGAGCGCTATGGTGGTGGACGAAGACGACGACGCAGCATTTCAGGCAGACCTTGCAAGGGCCATTGCGGCAAGCCTTGAGCCGGATGGAGCGGGTAAGAGATTGGTCCCCGGTCGCTTCAGGCATTTTCCTTCATAAGGCAATTCACACGACGCATGCAAGTACACGACGCAAATCATGGCGCCTGAAATTGGTAGGAAGAATGCGGCGCAAAAACATACCATCATTTTAAATGATTATCCTCATCTTCCTCCATGCCTGGGCTACTTTTTAACTTGGAATGCCTTTCCATGTCCCAAACACCGCTGCTCTTTGCCCACGCCCTTCCCTTCGTTTTCCCGTGTATCCCAAGCAGGTGTTGGCGTCAGCGCGGGCCGCTGCTCCCCCTCGGTGCTGCCTGCTGAGGATGAGGACGATGAGTCCTTCCAGCGGCAGCTAGCAGCAGCAATGGCTGCGAGCGTCCAGTGTGCGCAGGAGGACCATCGTCGCCGCAGGCACGGACACTGTGACGGAGACGGCAGTTTTGGGGGAAGCGGCAACGGCGGAAATGACGGCGGGTACGCCGTCCAAGCGCACCTGCAGCTGCAGCCCAGAGCGCATCCGCCACTGCAACACCACCACCCACTTCAGCAGCAGCAAGAGGACGACGACGTGCAAAACAGTCTCATTCCGCGCTACCTACCAACCCACCACCTGCCGGACTGCAGCGAGCTGCCTGAGCCGCAGCAACAGCTGCTGCCCCGGGCGGCACCGCTGCCCCGCGAGGGCGGTGGTGGCGCGGTTTGGTCCCCTGCCGGCCTGCTGCTGAAGCCCCTGGCGCCGTCCCAAGCAGCCGTAACGGGGTTCATGCCGTCTGCGCTACCGCCAACCCTCGACGTCAACCATCACAGCCAACCAGCAGGAACAGCCTACGTGCACCAGCATGAGGGTTTGGGCTGTGGCACTAGCAGTAGGGGCAGCGGCGGTGGTATGGATGTTGGCCCATGCGGCCCCTCCTTGTTGTCGCCGTTCGCTGTTGCTCCTGCATCGTCGGCGCCGGCAGCAACGACTCATGCCGTACCCTATTTGGATCCTGAGCTCTGGTGTCCCTCACGGGCGGTCGGAAACGCAGCAGCAACCCCAGTCGGACGAAATGCATACCCAGTTCCGACAGCAGATGGCCCCGGGATGTCACCGCTCTCAAAGCTAGCAGCGGTGGCAGCGTCCGCGGCGCAGACGCATGCCGCGGCAGGCGGTTGCTGCGGTCAGGTGACGGCGGCGTGGCCTCAGGGACCCTGCGCCCCGGCGGACGCAGCAGCGGGGTTGCTTGCTTCGTCGCCCGCCAAGCATGCTCGTCCGCCGTCGCTTGCCGGTGTGAGCGACTCTGCTCAACCGCTGATGAAGCGCTCGCGAGCTGCGAGCGACGGCGGCGGCGAGGAGGCTTACCAGACGTCATCCTTTAACTTCAACCGTGGGATGGAAAGCAGCCACGGCCTAACATCGGGGCGGGCTCAGGTCGCAGCAGCATCAACAGCAACCGCAGAAGGATATGACGGCAATGGGGAGCGCTGGGGCGGTTTCGCTGCTGTGCCGCCGTTGCGTCCGCTCTCGCCGCCCGAGCGTCCGGCCTCGGCGGCATCCGGGTGTTGTACGGCAGCGCCTGCTGCTGCTGCTTGTGAGGTTGGATCGCTGTACGTTCTTGGCGACGGCGGTCGAAGGAACGTCGGACGCAGCGGCTCCTGGCCTCCTGCAACGGTGCATGCAAGTGTCGGAAGTGCAGGCGGCGCCGCAAGCATGCAGGAGCAGCAGCAGCAACACGCAACCCAAGCGGAGAAACCCCTACCTGGCTGCGGCATACGGCACTTCTGGCGCCAGCATCAGGAGCCGCCGCCGCGGTTGCAACGGTACGGCAGCGCGGATTGCGGCGGCGACGGCACTTGGGGTCATACGGCGGCACCCCTGCACGCTGGGGAGCCGCAGGCACTGCTGGCGGGCGCCTGCACGACTGCTGACGAAGGCATGCGGGCTGCTCCCCCTGCCTCCGCAGCAGCAGCGGAAGCAGCAGGAGCATCAGCACAAGCAGCAGGGGCGTTAGGGCTTGGTAGCCTGAGCACTGCGGCGCTAGCTTGGTCGGGGGCTGACCGCCGCTTCCTGCTGCACCAGCGCGTGTGGTGGTGGCTGGGACCGCTGCAGGTGCAGTCGGGGCTCATCTCGGCCATCGACCGCCGAAGCGAGCCGTTGCTGTACTCGGTGCGGCTGGATGCGGACTCGTACGGCAGCAGCGGCGGCGGAGGTGGAGGCGAGGATGTCATTGCTACCGCGGACTCCTTGCTACCGTTCCTCTCACATGGTGACAGGCTGATGTGCCGCCTGCCGCCCTCCCATGCTTCATCATCGCGGCCCCAGCCGCTGCAACAGCAACATCAGCAGCAGGGGGCTGCATGGGGAGGAGCGGAGCGGTCGCCCCGAGGGGAGGAGCTCTGTGCCGCAGCCCGCCGGGGGCCCGATGACAGCACGTTTCCCATCCCCTACACGTCAACGGTCGCGGACGTTGGCGGTACGGCAGTAGGGGAGTCAGTCATGTGTCCGGGGGTGGAGGTAAGGTTAGGCGCCACGGCGGTGGAGGCGACGTCTGCTGCTGCTGCTGCTGCCGGTGACATGCGGCCGTGCAGCTGGATGTGCGGCACGCTACAGCACTGCGTGTTCGATGGGCCCGTACCCATGGTGCATGTGCTGCTGGGGGAGGAGGGGTTGCCGTACACGGTGCCGTACGAGTTCGTGACGCCCGTACAGGATGCGGCTGAGGGGAGCGGCAGTACGGCAGCAGCGGCTGCCTCGCGTGCCGTACAGCCGCCGCAGTCAGGTGGCGTCGGCGGGGGGTTCTTGCCGGAAGAGGGCAACACGTGCATGGATATCGTGCCGATAGGGCTCGCGGCTTAAGAGCACGATGTTGCGAGAACGGGTGTTGCAAAATAGCTTGTCGTTGGGGATCGATCTCTCGGACTTCTGCTGCATACTTTCTACGCTTGGGAGTCGCGCCGTTGTGCATTCCTTCGACTTTGGGCGCTCCTGCATTCCTACCGGTATTTACTAGTGCTTCTTGGACGGTTGATGAAGGGTTGGCAAATTATCGTCGGTGGCCATGCTTGCCTGAAAGCGGAAGGACGGGTGGTGGAACGAGTGAAACACAGTGCTGCAGGGGTGAGCTCTTAAGTTGGGTGCTGTTTGCAAACAGTTATTGCTCGTGAGTTGCTATTGTAAATATATGCGAGGTGTAGGCGCAGTGTTGGGAGAAATCGTGTCATGCTTGTGAGGCCCTTGATGTGAACACAGCTTTGCTTGCAGGCGTTGGTGCATCTTATTGCGGGTGCTAAACCCATGCTGCTGGGTTTCCGAGTTTGGTATTGCTTGAACGTTTGCGGAGGGAACCTTGGAATGCAGACGACGGCAAAGCGCGCGAACGTATCTAATACACCGTTGTGAGTTTGTTTCCTCCGGTCCCCCCACCACCGGGGAGGTATTTATAACTTTAGCGGTTTAGTACGCGGATGTCTGAAAGGCGACAGTGGGGGAAAGGAGTTCGCCAGCTGTCTTCACATGGCACGTTTTGTGGGTGCTTAGGCCTATAGAGCCCCGAAACACAAGTGCACTGTTGCGAGTCGTACTTGACCGTTGCTCGTTGTCGAGGTGTCCCCGACGGGCGGACAACACTCCCCATTTGATTCATGGTTGTAATTGTAATGAGTTGCAAAACTTCATTTGGGCTCTTCGACTCTAACAACACATAGCGACACAACATCATCACAGCAACTGTCTGTGAATCAGTTTTGAAGGCCTCACAGGGACCTTCAGAAATAATATTGACGCAATTGGGCCAGTTGTCAGAGGCGCATCTGCCCTCCGTGGTTCACGGCAAAGCCTGTAGCTAAGGGCGACTCCAGACAAAGGCACGAATCCCTTTTCCCAACCCATTCAACCCACACTTTCGTAGGCGGCAGACAACACAGGCAGGTTCACAGAATGACAGCTTAACCATTGCGCTTCAACATTACGAAAACTGGCAACGAACAGTTTCTCCCTTTTTATGGCCTCAGACTTCCGAAGGCGTAGCAGAGGCATATGTATACAAATGTGTGATATGCCTAAGCGGCTTTCACTGTAGCAGACAGTCAGGTTCCCTTCGAGGAGGCCTCGAGATAAAGCTTGCGAGCATTAGCATTTGCCTCTCAACCTCTCTAGCTAAGAGCAAAACTGAAGTCTCTCACATCACATTACTACTCTCCCAACGCCCTTGCACCATATAAGACGTACGATACAGGCAGCCGGCACGCAAAGCCATGCTGCTGCCCCGAGTCAGCTACTGAGAGCTGCGAGCGCGCAACTGATTATTCTCCGTTTTCCATCCCCCACATATCCACACCCTTCACACCACGCCAAACCCAACCGTCCTTCAATTTCCCTTCCCCGAGCATCACGCACCTCTTCCACCACGCGACATCCCAGCTACGTCACGACACCCAGTATCCACACGCGCGCACCCACAACCGCTGCAAGCCACGCCCCTGGTCGCGCCTCCCGCCCCCCCTTCAAGGCCCGCTGCTAGCTGCTGCTGCCACCTCTGCTGCTGCTGCTGCTGCCACCGGCCCCGCCGGCTCCGCAGCCGCAGCGTCGCCTTTCACACTGCTGCGGCTCAGCGGCTTCCCCTCACATGCCCCAGACCGCACCACAGCCACCGCAGAAGCAGCCGGCGGGGCTGCTGGAGTGGTGGTGGTGGCGGGGTCGACGACTGAAGCGGTAGTGTCAGGCGCCGCGGCCTTGCGCCAAGATCCCTCATGCGCCTCCCTGCGCTGCTGTTTGCTGTTTGCCGCCGACTGCTGCTGCTGCTTCGGCTTTTGCGGCTTGGGGCTGGCAGGTGGCTGTGTCGCCGACACCGGCCTCCCCGCTTCCCGGCTGCTGTTGCCGCTGACGTCACTGCTCGCAGCAGCGCTGGGGGCAGCGCCGCCGCCGCTGGTGGCCGGGCGCTTACTGGTACCGCTGGGGCCGCCGCCGGCTGGCGGGGGTGTCATGGCGGGGACATCGCCGTTGCTGGCGACATGGTCTTGCCCTGGACTGACAGCAGCAGCAACCCCATTGGCCTGCTGTTGGGGCTTTACGGCCCGCGGGGATTGCGGGGGCTGCTTCTCTGCTTGTTGTTGTTGTTGTTCGGTGGCGCTCTTTTGCTGCTGGGGCTGCTTTTGCTGCTGTTGTTGCTGCTGTTGCTGCTGCTGCTTCGGAGCCTGCGAGGACTTCTTAGCCGCATCCGACTGCTGCTGTTGCGGCTGCTGCCGGGTGCCCTCAGGCTTGTGCTGCGGCTTGGGGGATGGCGGCGGCTTGAGACCCTCCGAGCCCTGCCTCTCCATCTGCGACTGGTTCTGCTGCGAGCCCTTTTGAGGACGCTGAGACTGCTGCTGCTGCTGTCCCCTCCCACCTCGCTGCTGCTGCTGCTGCTGCACGCCACTGGCCGTTGCGGGGCTCATGCCCATACCCATGCCCTGTCCCAGACGCCAGGCCCCGGGAACATCCATGCTGCAGCTCAGGCGCTGCCAGTCGCCATCTGGTTGGTAGCTGCTGCTGCCGCCCCCCGGGGAGCAGGCCACGGCGCCCAACGTTCCCGCCAGCGAGGAGGCTGCCGAGGGGGACGCCGGAACCCCCCCGCGGGCCCCACCGCCGCCACCACGAGCACCGCTGCTGCTGCCTCCAAACGCCCCGTTACCGGCGCCACCGCTGTTGGCCCGGTTCCTGCGTCCTGGCACGGCGATGGGAACAGCTGCGCTGGCAGAGGTCTTGGGAGGTGTAGGCGCCTCAACAGCAGCGGCAGCGGCGGCAGCAAAGGGAGAGGCTTGCGGTTGCTGCCGTGCCGGCTGCTGCGGCTGTTGGCGGGCCGCTTGGGCTGCTTTGTTGACGCGCGGAGAGGTCGGGGTGGCCAGCACGGCCGCGTTGATGCCCGCAGCAGTAGCGGTGGACACGGAGAAGGAGGCCGAGGCCACACGGAGGGCGGGGGGAGTGTAGCAGCCATTACTTTGGTCCACACTCGCACGCCGCTGCCGACCACTGCCGCCGCTGACGCCGCTTACCGTGTTGGCGCCCCTGCCGCCCCCGCCGCCGCCGCCGCCTCCCCCCACCTCCGGCTGCTCCAGGCTGGTGGCGCGGCGCAGGGAGGAGCCGCGGGCGGAGGAGGGCCGGCTGGCGCTGTTGCCGCTGTGGGGCGGCTCGAGCGATCTGCGTGAGAGGGACTTGTTGCCTGATGACCCGTGGGTCACCTCCGGCGGAACGTAGCGCCGAGGAGTGGCGGACCAGCCGTACTTGTAGTCACCTGCAAGTGATGGTGGTGATGGGTACTTAGACGCACACAAGGCATGCGGAGGGGTGTTAAACAAAGCAGACAACAGCCAAGTGCTCGAAGGAGGGGGTGGTCGCCCCCCTCTAGTACAACCTTCCAACCACCCCCACAGCCCCACACCCTCCGCTCCTGCCCCCCTCCCGTACGCCTTGCATCGCACCTGGCAGGAACTCCACCACCTCCCCCGCCGCTGCCGTTGCCCCCTCGCCCCCCGCTGCCGCCGCTCCCTCCTCCGCCCCCGCTGCCCCCGCTGCCTCCAGCAGCTCCCTGCTCGACGTCAGCAGCAGCGCCCCCGAGTGCCGGGAGCGGCCCTGCAGCAGGGGCGGGGCGCGGCCGCTGCCATCGCGGGCCGCCAACACACGACTCTGCAGGCGTGTGGGCGAGAGGGAGGAATTCAGTGGGTATGGTGGTGAGATCAAGTTGTGAGCACCTTGCGAAGGTCCCTGACCTCCTCCCCGCCCCCTGCTGCTGCTGACCCCTCGACCCCTGCTGCCCCCTCCTGCGCTCTCACCGTCTTGCTCTCATACAGCACGAAGGTGAAGGTGCCCCGCAGCAGCCCCAGCAGCTCCACTCCCAGCTGGAAGTACATGTGGCACAGCAGCTGGGGGGGGGAGGGCGGGGGGAAGAAAAGGAGAATTATTAATGTAGGGGGAGGGGGCCAGGAAGGTGGGACAAAGAGACAGGCAATCTCATGGGTCTGGGGAAGCGCATCGGGGGCAAGCGGCGGAGCGGGAGAGAGCGGGTGATGATGAGAACGGAGAGCAGCAAAGAACCACTCTTGCAGTCGACGCATGGTAACCAGACCGGTCCTCACCGCAGCCGCTGGGAGCTCTTGCGGCTTCCCCGCGCCCGCCGCCTCCTCCTCCTCGCCCTCCCTCTCCTCGGGCACGGGCGCGAAGGCCGCAGCCAGCGCCGAGCCGTTGCTCAGCTGCCTGCGCGCCACCACCACCGCAGTGCGCGCACACCGCATTGTCAATACATATTCGTCATCTTAGGGGGGACACACCGCATGACCACATGATTGACATGCGCTGCCATTATGGGGGCATGTAGTGGACTGCACTCCCCGGGAGAACCCAACAATGCATGCTGGGTTGGCAGCCGGATGGGGTTGGACAACCCAGAGGGCTTAACCAGAGAACCCAGAGAAGCGTCGTGTAAGACGAAAAGGCAACCCGGGATGGTTGGATACGTCTTTAGGACGTATTTATATGTATGTAGCAAGGGGCTAATGAGCCGAAAGCTTACACGTCGGACCAACACAGCGACTCACACAGGGGGGTGGGGTATGCCAAGCACGCACCATGCGCGGAAAACACACTGCAATATGGCTAATAACTGCATCATGTGTGTATCATGACGGCTTCCTCCGTCCATCAGACCCAACCGCGGGAAAGAGCGTGAGACGTGGACAGCAGCCGGGCTTACCCCGTGAAGACGCAAACAGCGGAGCCCACCGTCGCCATGCTGGTCACGCAAGCGCCATTGCTACCATTCTTTGGGCTCTTGCCACCGGGGCCGCGCGGGTCGCCAGCTGTCGCTGGTGCAGCGGTGCATTTAAATAGCCGGCAGCCGCCGCCAGGTTGACAAAGCACGTCTGTCTGCTGAGCTGCAGCGCCTCCCTGCTCCGAAACCGCGTGGTTTCCTAGCGGCGAAGACTGGGAGGTGTGTCCTGGGAGGGAGAGAGCTGCCAGCTCAGCCCTGAGTTCCTCATCCTGTTGGGTGCGAGGGCGAGGAGGGTTGGTGCATGTCGAACTGGAATTTGGTTGACTGGTTTGGTAAGTCGCTGCGAAGATACATGGAAACGCCTTTAATTGGGGATATAATAACACAAGTTGGGTGGCTGTGCATGGTTGCAAGGGGTGTTTGGGAGGACCCTGCGTCGCTGAGTGCATGGACATCGGTGCGTACCTTCTGAGCTCGATGAAGCTTTTGGTCGGTTACGTTAAACTCAATGACCTTTGGCTGGACGATGCAGGCGAAGATTGCCGCCATCTGCAAAATGCCGGGGCAGGCCGTTCACTGACCTGCGGACGTGTCAGCAATTGTCGGCTCTGTCTTACTCGCAAGCCCCCAGGCGCTGTATTCCGGGGCTTAAAGCTTTAATGCACAGCTATATATACTAAATTGACAGTAAACGTTAAAGGTTCTTAAAGCAGCACCTCGAAACGGAACAAGGCTGCATGCTAACGTGTGCAAGCAGACAAGGATCTTGCCTGTAAGGCTCTGGCAAATCTCCTTATTTGTTCAGGTGGTCACGGTTGCCGACGGGCAGTGGGAGAAACCGCTGGGCACTGCACTGCGATACACAGCGAAGGCCTCGGGACCGATTCCGGCCACCCACAGAAGACAGTGCTTAATCCAAACCGTATGTAACACACAGCACTGTCTTCACTTTTAGGTAATCTTATAAGCTTAGGACGGCCACTTATACCGGTAGTGTGTGGGCCAACTGTCTTGCCAGCATACGGCAGCCCCCAAGTGTACATCCGAAGTTCCGCAGCCAGGTTTGCCCTCGCAATAGCGCTGTGTTGAACATCTACATTCAGGCTACTGCACCCTGCCATATTAAGCATGCAGCGCGTGGCTTTGTCAGGCGTGGGCCTAGTGGCCGAGCCTCTGGGATGTTGGCGTGGAATGGCAATGCTTAGTGACACATTTGCATTATCAAGTAGGCAAATGCGAACAGACAGTGCGGGGTGTCAAGCTGTGCCAAGTTCCAGCCATTCATCAACAATTGAAGGGCCGGAAGTTTGCGGGAGGCGAGATAGCAGGACAAGACGAGGCAGGGTAGGATATCTGCAGCCTTCATTGTCCTTACAAAGAGAGCACTGTTTGTTTCGAGATTTCCGCTCTCCTTGACTACACCGCACTGATGCAATCAGCGTTCCATTCTATTTTGATAGCTCAAAATCGATTTGCAACTACGCTCGACATGACTCGGCGAAATCGCCGCACAAGCCGTACTCGGCCTCCTTCATGCCCCGCTCCCTTTCCATCCCGCCTCACCCTCCCATTCCCCGCTGCACAGATCTTCCGCGGCACCTACCGCGAGGAGCTGCCGCGCCAGGGGCTCCACCCGCAGCAGTTCCCAGGCGGCCCCGCCTTCCACCGCCCCGGATCCCACGGCTGGCGCGATGAGCCCTTCCGGTACCCTGACTCGCTCTCGCCGCAACAGCAACAGCAGCAGCCGCAACCTCAGCAGCAGCAGGCGCCCGCTGCGTAGCCCACCGCGCTGCTGAAGCGGTCGCAATTTGGCGCGTCAGGACGGCGCTTGATAGGGATTACGAAATTTGCTGGCAGCAGCGGAGGCCTAGACCGTGTTTTGTTGGGTGACGGTGTGATGTGTGCGGGCCCGGCGTGCTGCCTGCCGGGTGTGGGCGCGGTGTTGGGTGCGTGCGTGGGTCCGCGGCTCAGGGCGCATCCATCCTGGGTGGTTTGCTGAATATGTGCATGTGGAGGGATATGGGGAGGGTCAGCCAGCGAAGACGTTGGAAGGCGAGCCCCTGGTTGCAGGGGTCAGGCGATGAGGTGTGCAGGCTGGGACGGAGCTAAGAAGCTGGGGTGCCTGTGGCAGCAAGGGCAGGAAGGACACCACTCCTCCGCGGGTTCCGAACGGTGTGTGTGTCATTGACACGCCTCTCCTATCTTTCTGTGGGAGGCCAACACACACAAGAGGAAAGAGGTGCAGTAGTTATCCGGGGCTGGGGGTTCGGTGGGTTGCGTAGGATGAGCAGGAGCCGGCGGATGGTGCGGTTGCAGCCGCGGGTTGGGCTGCAGGCTGCTAGCCGCCGCCGCTGCCCGTCGCACGCTGGGAGCCAGGGAGAGGACGACCGCGTGTGTATGTATGCTGTCTGCTGCGCTGTGAAGGCGGTGCGATCAACTGAGGCACGACGACACAGGGGATGTGGGGGTTCAGGTGCCACCGCAGTGGTGTCGTGTGGCAGTACCTGCATGCGTGGGCGCACGTCTGCTGCCATGTCCCGGCAATGCATCCGGAACAATGAATGGTGTGCCTGTGCGCCCGGAAGCTGTTCGGTTGGGTGCTGCAGGGCTGTGGGGTTCCCCTGCATCACGTGCAGCTGCGGTGTCGAGTGTACGGCTGCACAGGACAATCATGGTGCAGTTTCTTTATCGTGGTTACAAGTGAACAATGGGGCTGTAAGATACAATACCTCTTCTGCCCTTCCTTGCGCCAAGTCTTGTAAACATACCGGTAAGCGCACGGATGTAGTTGGGTCTTGAAGCAAGCACCTTTCAGGCCCATGCCTACTTAAAACAGGCAGGACGCAGTGAAGCGAAGGTAGTAAGTGGTATATCGTACACGTATACATGCCATCACTCTAATCGTAAAGGCTCAGTCGCTCACCTTAGTCACACGCACATGGGCTTCCAGACACACGCTCCGAAAAGCACTCCGACAGCCTGGATCCAGACACACACACCGACTGTCAGCTACTACATACATATCAACTTACTACTACGGGCCTTAGGTCCGGTCGTTTTACGAGAGTGCTTCTTACGTCCTACATATTCTCAGCACCAGTACTGGACTTCTATATCTACATACGCTACAATGTTCCTCGGCTCCTGCGGCGGTTCTGTGGGGACTTCATCTTCCGACAATCACAGTATGTTCCTACTCGCGGCCAGTTTTCTTAACACACCGAAAACCGCACTACGCAACAACCGGACTACGTATTATACAGGGATGTGCGCTGTCGGCGTTTACACCCAGCAACGAGGCAACTACCGGCTGGGATCAAAATTAGCAACGTACCATTCTACCTTGGATGCACATCACCCAAGGCAGATGCTACTAGTACAAAACCCCGCCACCTCTGGAAGACTGGCTCCAACCTGCCCCAACGATTCAGCACACCACTGCACCACTGTGTAGGTTGTGAGCAATACCGTAGCCGTACGGCAGCTCGCCCCTTCCGCCGCCGCCCCCGGGTGTCCCCGCCGCCGCCCCCACCGCCCGCGTGGCGCCCCCGGCTGCTGCAGCCGCATGCTGCTGGCCTCGCATGCCGGCGTAGTAGTGCTGCTGTTGGGGCTGATGCGGGTATTGCTGATGGGGGTGATGCGGGTGCTGTTCGCGTTGTAGATGATAGGAAAACGGCAGGTCTGATGACTGCTGCTGCTGGTGCTGCAGCCACAGCGGGTGCAGTGACGGCGGCAGTGACGGCGGCGCGGCGGCGGAGGGCCCCGCCGCAGCCATGGCGGTGGACTGCCTTACGCGCACCGCGGCGTAGTACTTGGTGAGCCGCTGCCGGTCGTGCGGCGTCAGCGGCGGCCGTACGGCCGTATCCAGCAACTGCGAGTAGTGGCGGTTGCAGCGGCGGTAGGTGTCATGAGAGGGGAGCAGTCAGGGTGAAGAAACGTTGCAATGGGATCTCATGGCATTGTGCATTCGAAGGAAAAGCAACTGCAAGACGTGTGCTAAGAAGCTGGCCGCGAGACGTGTGTGCGCTGAAAGCTCCCACACTTCCATCTCCCTTTGTCCTCCGTTGGTGTCTTCACGCAACCCTGCTGCATGCCGTACTCACCAAACGCTCCTGCACGCCACCCGAGCCCTCCTCCTCCTGCTGCTGTGCCGCTGCCGCTGCCGCCGCTGCTGCCTGCGGCGACGGCGCCCCCAGCAAAAACAGCAGCACGTCCGCCGCCTTGCCGTACTGCTCCGCTGCTAGCGCCGCGTTGCCAATCATCTCCTCGCCCGCCCCGGTACGACCCAAATGTACGACAAGCGCTAGCAAGCTGTCCAGACCGCAGGGGACGACGGGGGGCAGTTGCCGGGGCGATCCTGCTGCTGCTTGGGACGGCGAGGCTGGGGTTGTGGAGCGCGACTGGCCTGCCCCGGCTGCGGCTGCTGGTGAGAAGGAGCTTGAAGCTGCGTCCGAGCCGCTACCTTGCAGCAACTGTAGGCGGAAAAGTTGAGACGCGTGGAGAGGGATTGTTCATGGGAATGCGACGTTCATGGGAGCAAGGACAGGTTACGACAGGGCACGTTCCCTCGCTACGTTGCCAGCACCACAGCGGGGTTTGCGTCTCCCATGCCACGCTCCCTTCCCCCCACCGCCACTACCAGTACCCTACCCGCGTTACGCCGCCATGCAAGTGCTCGTCAAGGACCGCAAGAGCCGACCTCGCATGAGCCGCCAGCGCCGCCAGCGGAGGAGGAGAAGGCGGTACGGCAGCTGCCCCCTCCGCCGCCGCCTCAGACTCTCCCAGCTGGTGCACTACCGCAGCATCCGGCAGCAGTGCCGCGGGCATTCCTCCTCCGCCCGCAAGCGATGGGACAGTCCCTGGGAGGGGCACGTCGCCTTCGCCGGCGCCGGCTGCGGCGGAGGTAGCGGCCAGCGCCGCCGTCAGCAGGCGGCATGCCACCAGCAGCATGCCGACGGCGGCGGCCGCCTCCGCCGTCACGTCACTGCCGCCGCCTCCGCCGCCGCCCATGGGCTCTCCTAGCTGCTGCGCCTCCGCCTCTTGGTCCAAAAGGGCGCCGATTCGATTTCTCGCCGAATCCAGTAGAATCCCAACCACTCGCGGAACGAGTGAGGGGTCGCCGCCGTCAGCGTCGGTGCCGCCGCCTGGCGCCGGCACGCGGATCGTGACGGTGGCGGCGCCGCCGGCTAGGTAAGTCATGCCGTGGCTTTTCGCTGGAAGGGTGGCGGCGGCGATGGGTGACAAGAAAGGCTGTTGCTGCTGCTGTTGCTGCTGCAGCGGCGGCGGCGGGAGCCTTGCCGGAGCGGTGGCGCTGTCGCTACCACCGCCAGCAATTGCTGGATGCGGCGTGCGCGGCGTCGGCGCAGTAGCAGCTGCCATCGTTACCGCCGCCGCCTTCGGACCCGATTGTACGGCAGCCGTACGAGGCGCCGCAGTGGGGCTGGATACGACCACGTAATCCGAGTCAAGCGAATCCGCAAGGGGCCCGCTACTGCTGTCGGCGCCACTGCCGGTCCCAGACTGCACATTGGCCCGTGCTGCTGCTGCCGCCGCCGTCGGCGCAGCGGCAGAGGGAGCTCTAGCGGCAATGCCCTCGCTCGCAAACACTGACGTCACGGCCGCGGCAACCGCCGTCAACCGTGGCGACGGCGAGTGCGTGAGCTCCCGTACTTGGATCCCAGTCATTGCTGTCGTACCGCCGCTACTGCAACCGCCGCCAACCGTCGTCGACGCCCCGCTGGTCATCGTACCACCCGCCGCCGCTGCGGCTGTTGCAGCCGAGTCGTTTCCTTGCGGCAGCAGCGGCGACGGCGCTCGCGAGGACGATGATGACGTGTTGGGGCCGTGAAAGGCCGGGTGAACCGGACTGCCGTACCTCACTGGCTGTACAAACCGTACGGCACCTTGCGACGTGGGAGTGTAGCGCCGCTGTTGCTGCGGTTGCGCGCCACCACCCGCTGTACCGCCGCTGTTGGCGTTGACAGGGGACGACGGAGCTGGTGCTGGTGCTGCGCCGGCGGCGGCGCCAGGGTTCGAGCCTCCCGCCACTGCCGCCGTCGCGGATGCGGACTCGCCCAGCAGGAAGGGATGGGCGAAGAGTTCGTCGAATGAGATGCGCTCAATGGGGTTCCGTCGCAGCAGCTGGTGCAGCAGCTGCCTGTGTCGGGGTTGTGCATGGCAAGGGGGGAGATGGTTGGACTTCCCGCCCTTGGCCCCCCTCCCGCCCGGCCCCGTCCTGCCCCGCCTGCCGCCATGCACCTAGCACTCGCACCCAGCACGACACCCTCCCCCCCCGGTCTCCCCCCCCACCCCCACCTGCACCCCGGCGACAGGCTGCGCGCCAGGCTCTCTGGCAGCGCTGCCTCGCCCCGCTCGATGTTCTGCACCAGCTGCAAGTGGTTGGCGCCGCTGAAGGGCGGCTTGCCCGCCAGCAGCTCGAACAGGATGGTGCCCACACTCCACAGGTCGGCCTTGGCGTCGTAGCGGTGCAGCTGCAACACCTCTGGGGGGTGGGTGGGTGGGGGGTACAGAGGAAACAACTAACTGACCGTGTGATAAGACCGTGTGGGGGGTGGTGGGTGGGGTGGTGGGTGGGGGTGTGAGGGGGTGAGAGAGAGAGAAGGTAGGGGTATGGGTAGGAAGGAAAGCCGAACTGTGCGACATGCAGGGCGCATCGTGCATCTGTGATGGTCGCCGAGGGGCCGGTGGGCAGGGCATTGCTGGTGGCCAGGGTCTGTGTGGGCTGGTGTGAGCAGAGGGAGGGGGAGAGGGAGGGGGAGGAGCCGGGAGGCGCTGCTGCCGGGTTTGCGAACAGACACAGGCTACCTCTGGCAGCAGGCGCACTGGCAGGGGTTACACTACTGCGCCCTGGCTGGGAGCTTAGTACTTCACAATACAGGCGGGGCGGACGGGGCAGATTGGCAGGACGCTTAAGAGGTGCACAGCAGCCCATGGTCCAGGCAACGCGAGGGAGCAGCAGCAGGCCCTCCAAGCCGGAGCAGCCCCAAAGGAGCACGACTACCCCACTCCTCGGCCCCCGACCCGCCCTCACCTGGGGCCATGTAGAGGGGGCTGCCGCACAGCGTCTCAGCCATTCCTGCATTCCGGGGTGGGAACCCGGGGGAGGGGCAAACATGAAACCAAAACCAACCACAGCCATGGGGCGAGGCTTCCCCAGCAGGTGCTGCTGGTCTCCGGCGGTGGCGGGATGGGGCATGTGAGTGGTGTCTGGAGTAGCTGTGACAACGGTCCTAAAAGGCCTCGTGTCATGAGGTTTCCCCTTAGGGCTTATATCGTAGCCTTGCTACAGTAGCTGTACGGTGTATGTCATGATGCTGTTGTGTGCACACGCATTCATGGGGCATGTATGGGCGAGGACACTGGCTATGGCACGCGGTGTAAACGAGCAGGGGCATGCACCACACCTGCTTATGCATCTCGGTCTCCCGTGGTCCGCGCCCCTCTCACCCTCCCCTCTCACCCTCCCCTCAAGCCCCCACCCACCACCCACCCTCCCACCAGGCACCCACCCGCCCACCTGCGGGCTGCAGCGAGCGCGCGAACCCAAAGTCCGCTATCTTGAGGGTGGGCGAGGGACCGGTGTCTGACAGCAGCAGGTTCTGCGGTTTCAGGTCGCGCTGAGGGGCGGGTGGAAGGGCGGGAGGGGGGGCGGTGAGGGGGAGAGAGGGGGGAGGTGAGGTGGTGAGTGGAAAGGTCACCTAATGGGGTCATGAGGCCACACATCGCAGTGGTTTCAAGCGGTGGTGCAACACAGCAGCGATGAGGCAGGCGGCAGCTCCGGACTGCCCTGGCGGACTGTCGGACGGGTGCCGGGCGCCCAGCAGGCGGCAAAGCACTCGAGCGATCCGGTATTCACGCGCACGCCAACACGGCCGCGCACGTATGCAGCTCCTCCGCAGGTTCCTCGCACGCATACGAGTAAACATGCAGGGCAGCAAAGCCCCGGCTAGCCGCCATGCGAGCGGTGGTAAGGCTGCTGAGGTCAGCAGCAGCCGCCGCAGCAACACCCACCCACTCACATGTATGATGTTGTGTTGCCGTAGCACCTTGAGACCCTCAGCCAGCTGACGAAGCAGGTAGCGGCAGGAGGCCTCGGGGAGCGGGCCGCGCTGGCGGAGGTGGTGCGCCAGGTCGCCGCCTGGCAGCAGGGAGGAGGTGAGGGGGTGGGGTGGTCAGGGAGGCTAGATTGGTTTAGAGGGAGGCTGAGGGGCGAGCTGCGGAGGAGACACCGTGGCAGGTGGAGGAAGGCGAGGAAATGGTGGGAGGACCGAAGATGGATTGCCCAACGTCGACGTATACGCACAAGAATGCTACGCCATGTTTATTACCGTGGTTATGGTGTATGTTGTATTCTATATTTGGAGCTGTATAGTACCGGAATGGTGACATTCAGCGGCATACCACGCTTGCACCCCATCCAATGACCGCCTACCTCCGCAGTATTCTAGGACAAGGAATATCTTGCCCGGCTCCTGCCACACATGGTAACATTACAAGGGTCCACAGGAGGCTTATCAGTGCCGTTTGCCAACAGTATAGCCTGGCGAAAACCCTTGTTCTGCAAACCAAGGCTCATAGCCTGGACGCAACATTTTTATAGATGTTGACACATACAGCTGCAAAGTCGTGTCGCATAGAACTGGAAGACGCAGCCACGACGCTGACGTGTTGCACCAACCACACAAGGATAGCCTTTGCTGACCTTGTGGAGGTCTAACAAGCCCACAATGTTGGCATGCTTGAGACGCTGCAAGACCTGAATTTCCGACTCCAGCGACTCGTGGAGCTTCTTGTTTAGACGGTCCGCAAGAATTTCCTTCACAGCAGCGAGTGTGCCGGTGACGACATGGCGCGCCTTCCATACTATCGCAAAAGACCCTGAGCCAATAACTTCTTGGATTTCCCAGCTACCGACTGTTCGCTTTGAGGTGGAGGGCTGCGCCATGGCATTGGGCAGGATGTGGAAGCAACTACCGTTTACTATGTAGGTTAACAGTTCGCCATTGTCCGGCTGCGTGGTACTCAAACACGCTCCGAAGTCCTAACCGTGTGCACGGCCCAATCCCATTAGTCAGCCACAAGTTCGGAGCGTTTTCGTACCGCGTTGTTGTTTGGTGCAAATGCCCTGTTAATCTGCACGTATGCACCACCCCTGGCTCAAGGATCCGCGCTTCCGCGGCGCCTGGGAGCAAGCAAGCATAGCGAAGCTTACGAACAGCCTGCGACAACAGTGTCGTGGATGATTGCGATGCCGCTGCCATGCCAGAGCCTTGGCGGCGGCATGGCCAACATAACAGCTACACGCTCTGGACTGTCCAAGTGCCAGCCATCTCCATCACCTTCCATCAACGCTGGGACCCGGTGTGGTCACCACAGTTAGCAGGACACATCCGCATGACCGCAACCACAGCTCCACGCGCCCCTCCCCCCCCCACATACGGTAAGCGCAAAACGAGGTTGCATCCATGCGGCAACACGTGACCTGGGAGCTCACCATTCGACTGCCCAACAGCGCCCGTACATGGACGATTCCACAGCGTAAGCCCCGCGACCCCGCTTGTCAGCGACCCCGCTTCCATCGTCACTGACCTTCGTTCGAAACCATTGCCGCAAGTCCATTACCGGTAACACCTTCATTTCGACTGAACAGGCATACATAGGGCCCTGCCATTCCCTGCTTTCCGTGTGTCGATGCGACCCCCATGCCAAAGCAGCTCCCACGAACAAGGTAGTACTGCATGCCCAATTCGGCCTTGCATCCACAGTCGTCGTCACAGCCGCACAGCACGAACAAAGCACTGAGACCTATAACAACGGGGTGTGGATTACTGGACGGGACCCCAAGCAGCTAAGGGCCAGCTAAAGCACCCCCTCGCAACAATTAATGCCACGTGACACGTGACAGTACGTTCCGACTCGCGGCCAGCTTTCTTAACACACACAAGTTCCGATTCGCGGCCAGTTTTCTTAACACACCTCAATTGCTTAGTACACACCTCAATTGCTTAGCACACACCTCCAACAGATACTCTGATGATTGGTGTTATTACTCCACTGCCAACTCCAAGGCACACAGGAGGCCCCCCAACCACACAGGGGTCACATGCACTTGGAGAGCAGCAGCCGCAGCACCCGCCTCCGGACAAATGTGGAAAACCTCTTTCCGTTAAATTCACGGTAACTATATTATTTCCACATGCATATTTGATACCCTTCGAAAGAGGGCGCTTGGCGCCGTCGAGATGGAGCGATAGTAGGTAACCCCTGGACTGCCCCACAAGTAATCCCCAACATACACACATACCGAGCTTGTCAGTGATGGAGCCCCAACAGCCCAATTATCGCCGATGTCTTTAGACAAGGACGGCGCCAGTGAAAAGGTTCGCCCTCGCAGCTACAGGTATGGGTACGAGTCCTTAGCGCTCTCACCCGGAGGAAGTAGCAGGCCACCCAACGCAACTACCAATTGGAAAACAACCAACGGTCGAAAGATAGGCAAGGCAAACGTACACAACGCACTAGAGTTCAATGAAGATTGGCCCCCCCCCATGGCACCTCTGTCCATATAATCTGCCCGGTCGCCGAACCACACGTCCAAACACACGCAGGAACGGATCAGCTTCTAGATTGCGAAGCACACGTCCGCCCGTATACACACGCCCAATCACAGTACGTTCCTACTCGCGGCCAGTTTTCTTAACACACGCCCAATCACGGTATGTTCTTACTTCCTCCTCGCGGCCAGTACAAACACGAACAGCGACCCAGTGCCCACTGCCACCATCATCATTTGCAAGTACACCTCGCAGCAACACAACGAGGCGACCCGCAACCTACACCGCGCGAACAAGCGGTGCCTCCACCCCTCCGCCTCTGGGGCCCCCAGCTGCCCACCCGGGAAGGAAGCATCTGTCCTTCTATCTGCCAGTGTCGTCAGGGTCTCCATGTCTCCCTCTCCTATAACACAGGTTCCAAGGTTAGGCACAAATCGTGCGCCTTGTTGGGTGCCATACGAGCACACACGGTAACAACCACACACTACACGGTCGAGGTTCAAACGCTGGGCGGGTGTCGACCGAACCCGCTGACACACAAACAACCAAACCAAAAACACGGCACAAGCCTCATTCGCGTCCGCAATGCGATGCTGCCTCTCCAGTGCCGTCGTCCTTGCAGCTAGAGACGTGATGTGACCATGCCTAGGACACATGCGCACATGTGGTCTCTTAAACACTGCAAATGATGCAGACGTAAGGGAAGCTAAGCTAGCGGCGGGGTTACTACGACACCAAAGCACCACATGCAGGCGCGCTCTCCACCGCCACCTCCCTGGGAACCCAAGCCTCCGACTTCGGCCTGCCCATGCACCGATTGCGACACCCGAACGAAGACCTTAACAAAAGGCCCAAGACAGGCCTCATGAAGGGATCATGGTGACATTCTCTTGACAGAAATTGGAAACAAACCTAGGATGTGCAAACAGGTGCACACGCGATGCCTCACAACATGCCTGCAACGAGCAATGCACTGCACCGCGCCTTGCACGGCACAGCTTGAAGGAACGCAGCATGCAATTCGCCTGCGACCAAGGAACGACCCCTTACTGGGTCCACATTATTCGCCTTCCTGGCATGCAAGCCCGGTCGCTCACATGCACACTGCAATCCCACGATGTACAGAACGGTTCTTCCGACGATGATGCCGCTATCCTAACCATGCGTGGCCAGCTCCTCCTTCCCTCAATCTTCAACGGACGCTCGTCCAATCTTTGTTTGCATGTGCATTGCATATGAGCCGAGCCCTTCGCTAACCCAGCGGCTCCCGTCTCAGTTGCAGCATGTGCCTGGACGGGAACTTCACATCCCACCATCCGTGTTGGACGCAGTCCCGGTCCGAACGTTATCTGCCACCATCACCAGCCCCCCCCCCTCCCCTGCATAATGTTCGACATCACAATAATATACTTGACGCGCGGATCCACCGAGCAAGCAAGCAGGCACCCAAGCTGTAACGGGGAAAACATGGAAAAGGAAATCTTAGTTTCTCGTTGGTTGTTGACCAGTATCGCAATCCACGCATACTCGCACACTTCATTGTTGCTGCCAAGTGCCCCAGCCCCCGCCGTCGGGTGCAATGGAGCCCACCATAACAGCACACGAATAGTCCACTAAACCCCCTTCATGCGACCCTGAACAGCCCTGGGGCCCCACAATCCCTGCTGCCGCCGCTACCGCTGTTGCTGTTGCTGCCGCTACTGCTGCTGCTGCTGCCATCCGCTGTTGCTTGCATAGGCAACGACGTGTTCGGTCGGAGCCATGTCGCGCCGCCCTGCTCCAGCTGAGATCTCACCCAGTCCTGGTGCACACGGCGCAGTGACGCCACCCGTAACGCATGCGGGCTACCAACACCGCCGCCACTACCACCGCCGCCGCCATCGCTGCCGCCTCCTCCCCTCGGGGCCACGACGTGTGGACTAGGCGGCATGGCGGGCTGCTGCAGGGGGGGCGCCACCGGGCCGGCCGCCGCCGCCGCAGCAGCAGCAGCCGGCGGCGGCGGTGTTGAAGGCAGCTCCGCCGGCGCAGCAGCAGCCGCCACTGCGGCTGCCATTATCCTCGGCGCCGCTGCCGCTGCCTCCCCCCCTGCCAGGGGCGGCCCCACCGGGACACAGGTAGCGGACCCAACACGCTTCACCTCCGAGCTGCGGATCAGGAGGGGCCCATTGAGCATGGTCGGGTCGGAGGCCCGCTGATGCAGGAGTGACGACGGTGCCACTGCCGCTGCCGCCGTGGCATCTGCTGTCCCGCGAGACGCGCTCGAGTGGAGTTGCGGGGAGGACAGGCGTGATGGCCCGCCGGCGGGGTGCCCGCCGGCCGCCCTGCCTCCGTCGCCCCCTCGTGGCAGCTCCCCGGCTAGGAGGCGGTTGGAGCCATCTTCACGAGCGGAGCCGGAGCTGCTTTGCTGTTCCTGCTGTCCTTGTCCCTGCTGTCCTTGGCCCTGCCCCTGCTGCAGCTCCTGTAGTATGACGGTGAGGCGTTTGGCTGCGTCCAGGGCTGAGGGGCGGCGGTAGGGGTCCTCCTGCCAGCACTCCTCGATGAGCTGACACAGGCTGCGGGGGGCCCTGGGGGGGGTGAGGAGGGGTTGGGCAGGAGGGAGGTGGGGGTGAGGAAGCAGTGGGGCAGCGGAGGTGGAGGTGCAGAGGGGGAGGAGGCGGTGAGGCGGCGGTGAGGGACGGGAGGTGGGAGGTGCAGGGAGCGTGCGGTGTAGAAGGTGGGGGCAGCAGTGGTAAGGGGTGGTGAGCTGTGGGGCTGTGAGGAGCGGGGGCTGGGAAGGGGATACAATTTGAATCGAGCTCTGCGGTCGAGCACCGCAAAAGTCACATCTTCACGGTTTCACACGTAAGCGCGTCTTGTGCTAACGGACGCACTCCTCTCTCTCAATCTGGCGGGGTACATCGCGGATACCAGACAAGCGGGAGGGAGAACCCCTGGAGGCCCCCGGAGAATTGTTGCAGGGTGAAGGCCCAAACCCTTTTGGCATGTCATGGTTTAAAAGCATCTCTGCGCCTATCCGTATCCCCCTTACTTGTCTTCAATGGCGGATATGGGCAGCCGCAAGCCGCGGATGGACACGGCGAGCGCAACCTGAGGAGCGACAATGGGGGAACAACAGCACGTGAACACGCCACATACGCATAAGCCATACAACCCAAAACGCCGGCGGCTCTATCTAAAGGCATGCCGCATGCATCCTGCCGCATGCCACGGCTTGCAGAAGGCATGCTGCTGCCGCATGCAGGACGGAGGCATTCAGGCATGTGACCCGCGGGTCGCAACTGTCCTCGTCCGTCACCTGCCCCACCCGCCCCACCTGCATGTAGTGCTGTCCCTTCCAGGGCCGCACCCGCGCCACCATCTCCCACAGCAGCACCCCCAGCGCGTACAGGTCGGAGCGGTGGGACACCTCATGAGCACCCGTGCCGAAACACTCTGCAGACGGGCGGAGCGGAGTGGAGCGGGGGGGGGCGGTGGCAGGTGATCAGGTATACCTAGCTTCCGACGTGTCCGGCCGTGAGAGCACCAACACAGCGCGCCAAAGAACTTCCATAGGCACCACCAAGGCGAGATACCGTATGTACGATAGTACGGCACACACGGACCCACCTGGCGCCATGTACGGCACACGGACCCACCTGGCGCCATGTACGGCACGGATCCGACCTCCGGACTTGTGTTGGCGAGGCTGGCGGCTGTGAGGCGAGCTAGACCGAAGTCCGACAGCTTGGCAGTACCCTGGGGAGGGGAGGGGAGGGGAGGAGGGAATCCAAACCAACAGACGTCGGGAGAGGAGAGGAGGAAGGTTGCGCGGTATGCCTGGATGTACCGTACCGGGGAGGGTCAGGGTGGGCGTTGCTTAGCAGTGACACGCGGCTCTGGGATGGGACCAGGACAGAGAGAGACGCGGAGGAGGTCATGAGGGCAGCTGGCCCCCTTCCCTTCCCCTCCCACCTAGCAACAGCAGCCCTAGCAACCCCTAAAGGTGTGACCGCACCCCCCTTTTCCCCGGCCCCCTTCCGCCCCCCTCGCCTGCTCGTCCAGCAGCACGTTGGCGGGTTTGAGGTCCCGGTGCACGACGGTGGGGTGCAGGTAGGCCAGACCCAGAGCCACGTCGCGACCGATGCGGAGGACCTGAGGGGTGGATGGGGGTGGGGGTGCGGATGGGGGTGGGGATGGCCGCGGCCGGTGAGGGAAACGGAGGGCAGGACAGGGGAGGCAGTCCATTGCTTGCTCAGCTTCGCATGCGGAATGAGGAACATACACGCACGCCCCGCCCCTCGCCGCAACGTGAAGCCATGCAAGCAAGCATGCACGCAAGGAATGATAAAGGGTGGGGACATCGAGAAGCGCATGCGTGCACCTAGTCGTCGGCAGCTACGGTAGCTTGCTAGCTAGGCAGGCAGGCAGGCAGGCAGCAGGCTCACCCGCTCCAGAGGCAGCTCCTCCGCCTCAACCGACCCGCCCACACTCGCTGCCCCTCCCGCTGTTCCTGCCGCCCCTGCCCTCCCGTGCTGCCCGCCTGGCCCCCCGCTGCTGTGAATGACCCTGTCCAGCGAGCCCGCCAGCAGCTCCTCCACCAGGAACATGTCGGGCCCCAGGGTCAGGTTGCCGCCCAGCAGCCGCACGATGTGGGGGTGCCTGCAGCGGGGAGGGGGGGGGAGGAGGAGGTGGGTTGCGAGAGGGGAGCAAGTGGCATATGGTGTAAAGGGGGAGAAAGGCGGGGATGCCACCGACCGGGGTAGCGGCACCGCTCCCATGCCAAGCCCCCGACCTGCTCTTTCTGCACCCACTTCCCCTTGCACGCTGCACCCTCCCTCCTCTTCCCCATCTCCTCTCTCCACCCGCCACCTCCCCTCCCAGCCCCCCCACCTGCAGCGGCTCAGCACCTCCACCTCCTTGCGCAGCGAGTCCACCTCCTTGTCGCCGAAGGACGCCTCCAGCCCCCGCAGCAGCTTCACCGCAACACGCCGCCCGCCACCACCACCACCGCCACCACCAGCCTCCTCACCAGACACAGGCGCCGCAGCCCCGCCCATGTCCCCCGACTGCAGCAGCAGCTGCTGCTGCTGGCAGTGCTGCGCCGTGAGGATGCCCTCCACCACGGTACCGAAGCCGCCACTGCCGCGCACCGCCCCCTCCACCAGCAGCACGTCGTGACCCAGCCGCATCTGCATGTTGATGGACTGGTGCCGGGAGAGGAGGGGTGAGGGCGGCGGGAAGGGGTGGTGATGGGCGGGAACAGGAAGGGACGTGGTAACAGGAATGACGGGGTGCTTTAGGGGCTGGGACGTTAGGTTGGGAGGTGAGGTGCGCCGGTGCTGCATGACACCCCGCCCCCTCCCACCGTACCTGGTCCACCGGCGTGGTGCGGGTAATCACGGTATCCACGGAATCCATCATCGCCGCCGTCAACGCAGCCGCAGCAGCAGCAGCACCTGCAGCGGCCTCCCCCCCGCAACCTCCGGCGCCCCTGCCGGCCCCCTCGGGCAGCAGGGAGGCACTGCTAGCGGGGGCACTGCCCAGCGGCTGCAGGGCCATGGGCAGGGGCAGCGGCAGGGGCGCACCCGCTGCCGAGTAGGAGGCGGCGGGGGAGACGAGCCCCAGCGCGGTGCTCCTGCTGCTGGTGCTGCCACGGGCACGCAGGGCGCGTGCGCCGGGGGTGCTGGTGAGGTACGTGGGAGCAGGGGTAGCAACGGGGCTGGTAGGCAGCTCGCCAATGGCTGCTGCTGCAGTGGCAACAGCAGCACCACCACTAGCACCAGCACTACCACTAGCAGCATGAGCACTAGCAGCAGAAGCTGCTCCTGTTTTGGAGGTGTGCAGGTCCTCTGAGGTGGACAGCCCCGCATGGGCGGCGGCGCCAGCACACCCGCCGCCGCCGCTGCCACTGCCGTCCGCCCCGGCAACCCCCTCGCATGCATGCAGGTGTGGCGGGTCGGCCTCACAGACCTCCGCGTCACACACGACGCAGGAGGAGGTCGAGTGTTTCAGGAAGGTGGTGGTGGTGGTGATACCGTTCGTGCAGCCCCCTTTGCCTGGGGGCAGGTGGGGGTGGGGGTGGAGGTGCAGCGGGGGCCCGGCGGCGGGGGGCTTGCAGGCGGCGGCCCGGACGGCTGCTGGATCAGCTGCCTGGACGGCACAGCAACCTACAGTGGGAGTGCGAGTGGTGTCAGCCGCAGGGGAAGATGGCGTACATTGTAGCAGGAGGGTGTTGGTGATCCTGCAAGTAAGACGGGTCTGTGGAGCGGGGCCTGCAGGAAAGCTCTTTGCTTCCCAGAGCGACCCCGACCCACCCCAGTACAAGAACTGTGAAGTAATGAACCTCCTCCTCTTCTGCTGCCCTACCTCCTGAAGTACGGCCCGAGCTGCTTCCGTCCAGCCGCGCGGCTGGGCCGGTGGCAATCTGGGCGCAGGGCAGGCTGTCTGGCGGTTTGATGACCCGTGGGTCACCTGGGTCCTTGCTTTCCTCGCGACTTAGCATGCGCCGCTTCCTAGACAGCACCAGCAGCACTATTACGGTACCCAGCACCAGCAGCAGCCCTAAGCTGCCTACACAGAGGGCCACACAGTGAGCTGGAGGTGACGACGATGGTAGTGACGCCGCGTGGGATGTGGCAGAGCACATGACAACCACACAGGGCCAGTTTTCGTAACACAGAGCCTCTGCACGTACACGGGTGGCACGTGGCAGCATGGGCGATGCAGCTCCCGCTCACGTACCTAGGATGCTGGCTGGCAGAATGGTGCGCAGGTGCGAGCCACCACCACTGGGCGATGGCGCATCGCCCCCCACGTCCACACTCGCCGTGTAGGTTAGTCCGAGTGTGTCGATTGCGTTCTGTACGGCAGAGCGGGGTCGGGGGGTAATGGGAAGGGGGCCCGGGGGTGGGAGGGCGGGTTAGTACACAGGGTTTGCCGGTTTCCACATGACTAGCCATCCAGCATCGCGTGGTGGTAGGCGAACCCTCCAGCACAGGGGCTCCGTTCGGGCACATGACGCACGCTAGCTGGAGGTTTCACGTTGCATGCAAAAGGAGCAATCGAACCGAAACCCACACGTCCACGCCCTGAGGTACCTGGTAGCACGCGGCGTTAAGGCCGTTAGCGTAGCACTCCATGGGAATGCTAGACTTGCAAACAAAGGTAGAGTTGCGGTACAGTACGACGCCGTTGCTGACAGGATTCGAGGTTGTACCGTACACCATAGCAACCAGCCCGACGTCGATCAGCCACCCTGCTTTATCCCAACACTGCCCGAAGGGGCCCGGCAGACACCAACCGCCGGCCCACTCGGCGATGTACTGCGTCAAGTTGCCGTATTCTGTGTACGGGAAAGGGGGCGGTTACGGCAGCATGCGACAAGGGAAGGCACAGCGACGCCTTATCAATGCGCTAGTAAGTAAGTAAGTAAGTAAGTATGTAAGTAATGCGCTAGTAAGTAAGCCATAGCGCCATGCATGCAACCTGTAACGGCTGAGATCGTTAACGAGTGGCGATACATGCGTCCCTGACACGCGAAGTAAGCCATAGCGCCCTGTGCAACTGCGTAAGGGGTAAGGAGAGCTAACCGAGTGTACAAGCTTAGAAGAACTTGTGCGTCATCTGTTGTGCGTCATCTGTTGCTGTGCCTAATGCGGTGCCTAACTGGGTTGTGAGAGTCACTGAGTGCTCTCACCGTTGGGTATGGCCAGCGGTCTCTCCAGCTGCGCCCCTCCCCGCAGGAAGATGGGCATGGGCAGGCAGGCGTCCGCGATGAGCAGCATGTCGCTGAAGCACTGGAAGCTGCCGGGGCTGATGTCGATGATGTCTGTTGGGCGGGTGGGTGGGTGGGTGGGGGAGGAGGAAGGAGAAACACCAGGGAGAGAGGGGGTAGGTACGTAGGAAGGAGAGGGGGCGATGTGTGTGGGTGTTCATGAATCCCTGTCGGACACCAGCTGCTCTGGACCAGCATCTACATCCAACCTGAGCAGGTAGCATGCATACCTCGTGTCCCGCACATGCCCACGCGCCAACCCCTCTGCCTTCCCGTCTGCGCACCCCCTCTCCCTCCCTCCCTGCCCGCTGCTGCTGCTGCCGCTCCTACCCAGTCCCGGCATGGTGAGCGCCTGCGGTGTTCGCGCGCGCGTGATGGAGATGTTCCTGAACTCCAGCCACACTGCCGCAACCAGCGTCACCCGCTTCTTCAGCCAGCCCTGGGGGGAGGGAGCCAGCAGCACGCAGGTAGCGCAGGGAGGGATGTGCGGGGTGGGGTGGGGTCAGATGGAAGTAGGGCAGATGCGTTTGCATGGAAGGGTGTGGCACATGGACCGCCCAGCCCACGCTATCACTGTCCCATGGACTGCCCCAGGGGATCGGTGCGGCACCCGTACTGTGCAGACCGCCTTCCCTGCAGGACCCCCAGCAGCAGCAGCAGCAGCACAGCGCCGCCAGCAGCCCAGCCCCACCATGTCCAGCAGCACCCCCAGCTCCGAGCCCATGATGGTGACGTTGCGGGTGATGGGCAGCGGCCGAGGGTACTTGTCCCATGCGGCCGCGGTGAAGTTGATGTTCTGCGGCAAGCGGGTGTGGGGAAAGGAGGGAAGAAGCACCCGTGTTTGCTTTGCTGCCCAAGCAGGATCAATTTGTATGTTTATTGCGGCTTTGGTTGGAAGCTTTGGGGTGAAGAGCTGTGTTAGCTGGATGTGGTTGGAAGGGAAGCCATCGCCAACGTCAACATGGGCACGAGCTTTGTGATGGAAGGTGCGGTAACCGAACGGCTAGACTCCAAAGGGGCGGTAGGAGGAGTCGCTCCTCGGTGCAGTGGTTTGGGAGAGGTGGGGGAAAGCTAAGGATGGTGGCAGGGAGATTGCAGGTGCTTGGCACATATGTTGCTAATTCTCTAGATAATCCGAGGAAAGCACTGCTGCTAGTAGAACTTCTTAGTTCACAGCCATCAGTACACACAAATGGAGAAGACCCAGCCTGTCCTTGCAGATATCCAATTTAATGAGCTAAAATGGTCATCAACTTGCCTTCGTTACAACGATGCGACCAACGGACGCGTTTGCAAAAGCCTCCAGTAGTTCTACCTCAAGACTGACGAGCACTTCCTCCCTCTGGCCAAAGCATGCCGGTAAGAAAACGACTAGTACTAATAGCCGTTGAAGTAGCAATGCCATTTCATTTGAGGTCCGGACGTGAAAATTTCTTCAGAGGAGCTTGCTTCACTGTCTTTGGTAGTCGGGCTGTTATTATTAGTGACAAACAGGGCACGTAACTTAAACAGTGGCGCTGAAATTAGTCTGTGTCCCGGTGCGTAACTTAACCTGCAAGCGCGTACGAGCTGGGCAGCTGGCACTACAATGATTGCACGACCATTGCTCGAGAAACGGATGCTTTTACTGATACATAACCATTTGAAAGCTAGACTACACAAACTCAACATCCTCTCCTGGACCACCGACTTCTATCCCAAAAGGTTACACCGCGGCAGTACATCATCAGAGCGTTAACCATTTGAAAGCAATATAGACTACACAAACTCAACATCCTCTCCTGGACCACCGACTTCTATCCCAAAAGGTTACGCCGCGGCAGTACAGCATCAGAGCGTAGACATTGTTTTTACCTACTAAAGTGGTAGCAGACCCCGCGCTGGCTAAGAAAAATAGCTGACGGCTGTAAGCTCACCTGATATAATACACGCAGTATTGTACCGGTAGCTACTTCAAGCACATAGCATAGGCCTGGGAATTGTTATATTGGATGGAAACGAAGCACGAGCTAGGTGTATCTAATGACGAGGCACGTTGGGACGAGTGCCTTCTAAACGCCTTTAGGCAGTTCCAGTGAAACTGTAAAGTTGCCGCTGGACCTGTATGCATATTAAGGTGTTCACGTCTGGCGACTGATCGAACCAAGGCACGTACCACCCGTTTGTTGGTGGCGACCTGGGAACCTACTAGTCGTGCGTTACGTGCCATGCAAGAAGACGCACGAGGTGGTCCCTCCCTTCCACGACTTGCGCCAGGAGGGGAGGGCGCAAATCGGTTTACAATGATGGGTACCAGCAGACAGAAAACGGGTAGAAATTATAATAGGCCTTTGTGTTCATCTCGTTAAAGACAGCATGTCAGCCACCCAAAAAACCCAACGCAAACTAACAATACCTTCAGGCAAAGAAGAAAGCCCCACTGACCCGCACCGCATACACGGCCCGTGGGTCGCACACGTGTTGTAACCGTTACATAATAACAGCCGCAAAAACCAAACCAATGGATCAACACAAGAAAACAAATTATATGTATGAAGCCAAGCACATGCTCCATGGGCTGTTCCAACTCATGCCGGCCCCGCTCAGCCTACCGTGAAAGCCCCCCCATTGTTCCCGAGGGAGTTGAACCCTCCAGCTGCCCAGGTCTTCCTAGGCAGCAGCCCCAGGAACAATTCGTCGCGAAAGGGGCGGCTGCGGTCCAGCATACTCCGCTGCGTCTGTCCTGCTCGGATCTAAACACCGGCACTTGGCCCACATGCGTCCTGGAAGTCCTTGGCCCTACTCCGCGGTTGCTGCAGCGACTCCGGCTCCCTCCAGCTCCCAGCACGCAGCGCCCGAGAGGGAACATGCAACCAAGGGGCGAAAGGACCGGGATACGTATCAGCAAGCTGTGGAGGAAGGCCACATTTTAATCGGGTTAAGAGCGCCAACCACGACAGCAACCCCACTGCGCACTTCCCCTGCCGTACGCTCCCCAAAACACCCAATGACCGCCCCCACTTACATGGGCACCGGGCCTCCCTTTTGGCTCCAGCAATCTCAAGGACGTGCATCCGTGACCATGCGAGGGGGGCAAAGGGAGGCGGCAGGTCAGCAAAATTGGCCATGCGAGGAGGATCACACCGTCCAGACAAAACACAAGACATGCCCGCATCCCCGAAGCCTGCTGTGCTGCTCTGTTGCTGACTGCTGCTGACTGATGGCTGACTGGCTGAAAGAAGGGCTGGGCTGACGCGGCTCTGAAGCCGTGAGGCTGAAAGGCTGCTGCGACGGCTGGGGCTGCAGGGGCATGCTTGGACGAGCAACAATCCCGGTAGGTCCCCTGCTCGTTACGTTCCCTTCCGCAACCCCACCAAGCAGCCCCCTACTTACGTCAAGAATGCTTACTATACAAAGTCGACAAGTCGCAATAAGCAGAATCACGTTAGACTTTCTAACGGCTGCACCTTGGCGAGATTTACTAGCCCTTAACGTCTTTTAGCTGTGTTGTTATTTGTACCATAGATTCCATAGTTGATAAGGGCTTCCGTAGACCAGGCATATGGCATATGGAGGTTTCTTTTAGGGCTATGTCTCCCATCTTGTTGGCCCGTTGTGGTGCTGTCTCTACGGTTTGTTCCGTTTCTTTTGCAATGTAGGGTTGGGTTCATCACCCGTGTTCCCTTTTAGGGCACCATTGTAACGGTCATTCATTCATATGGCTTGAGTACACTTGCTTGGTGTCGGATAGGGGCATTCCACCGCTGTGACGTCCAGATGTCATCACCACATGTCCAGCTCGGAGAGGCAGCCGACCGGGTTTGAACGTTACCGACATTTGCTTCCTTGGCAAGCAGCCGTGGAGGCAAAGGGTAACGGTATTGCCGCAGGATTGCAGCGCCTGTTAACACAGCGGCGGTTTCCAAAAAGTTTGGGACTCACCATACACCCTAACGCTGCCCACAACTCATAACAAATGCTCTTCGAACCATCATCATCCTCCGCTCGCACGCACTCCCACCTGCAAGCCGGTCCTCCAAAGTCATGCATGCCCTCAGGCTGTCTAGCCCCCGGGACCACCTACAACACCTAAACCCCTCGTCATGCCGGAAAAGTCCCTAAACCTACCGTTCTGCCGGAATGCGAACACGGCATACATCGAAAAAAACACTCTCCATGCGGCCTATGATCACTGCCACCTCCGCTCTCATCAGCCGTCGCAGCCGTCGCGAAGTGCCAAAGTACAGGGGAGCAATCCGAACCACATCTTCCCCTCGTGCGCCTAGCTCGGAAGCTTATCATAGGCAAGCAAAGAGTGTTCCCGGCCCGCATCCACTAACCTGCCCTGTCCAAACGTCTGGCAAAGGCCTGAAGCCTTTACATGCCTGAAGTTATATGCAATGTAAATAATTACCTATACAGATACCGGTACGCATGTCACCCCCCACTGCGCTACCTTCGTCCACTGACGTCCCCCGCCCCCTAGCGGACTAGCTAGCCACGATACTTAGCCACCGCTGCTGCGCTCGGGGCGCAAGGACTCGGCGCACCTGAGGAAGGGGGAGAGAGGCGGCAGGGCGGCAGGCGTGGGAAGGGGGGAAATGTAAATGAGAAAGGAGGGGGTGCGGGGGAAGGGGGAAATTATGTACTAAGCAAACAACTATAAGGGGGCGGGGGAAGGGGGAGGGCAGTGTGCGGCTGCAACGAGTGGAACAAGCTCAGCAGCTATCGAGGTTGGTAAGGGCAGCAGCATGGGTGGCATTGGTTGCGTGGGTGCCCGCCCAGTCCGATACGGTGTGAAAGAACCCATCCCAGAGCCCAAAGGCCCTCTCCGCTCCCTTACCCGCTCCTCCACCCCTCTTACCTCGCGGGCAGCTGTGCTGGTGCAGGCCGCTCGGCGCAACCGCGGGAAGGCGAGAAGTCGTAGGGGTCGCTTGACTCATCAACCCTGCCACCCTAGTTTCTGTTTGCTGCTGCCGCCTCCCTCGCTGCTGCCGCCTCCCCTGCCGCCATCCCCGCTGCAACTGCGACCCTTGCTGCCTCCCCCGCTGCTGCGGCCACCCCTGCCGCCACCCCCGCGGATGCTGCCACCCTTGCCGCCTCCCCCGCCGCTGCTGCTACCCTTGCTGCCTCCCCAACTGCCACCGCCACCCCTGCCGTTACCCCTGCTGCTGCCGCCACCCTTTCTGCCTCCCCCACTGCTGCCGCCACCCCCGCTGCCTTTCCCGCTGCTGCTGCAACCCCTGACGCCACCCCTGCTGCTGCCGCCACCCTCGCTGCCTCCCACACTGCTGCCGCCACCCCCGCTGCCTTTCCCGCCGCTGCTGCAACACCTACCACCTCCCCCGCTGCTGCCGCCACCCTCGCTGCCTCCCCCACCGCTGCCGCCACCCCTGCTGCCTTTCCCGCCGCTGCTGCCAATCTTGCTGCCTCCCCCACCGCTACCGCCACCCCTGCCGCCACCCCCGCTCCAGTCAGCTGCATCTGAGGCAGCGCCTGCGCGTGTTGCCCCGCCCCATGTAGCCGCTGAGGGGTGAACAGCTGCCGAGACGCTGCCTGCCCTGGCTGGCATTGCGACTGTGACCAAGTCTGCGGCTGCGGCTGTGCCTGCGGTGCCGCTGCGGCTGTCGCCTCCGCCGCCTGTAGCAGCAGCTTATGAGACTGAGGCCGCTCTTGCTGCTCGGTTCGCATCGGCTGTTGCTCCCCACACTGCTCCCCAGGCTCCTGCTGCTGCTCACGAGCCTGCATGCATGGGCGGCGCTCCTCGCTGTTGTCACTGCAGTCCTCAGCAGCAGCAGCAGCAGCACCTTCAGCATGCGAGTCATCAGGATCTGCACGCTGCTGCTGCTCCGGCTGCTGCGCTCCTAGCCGTTGCTGCTCCTGGGGTACCACCTTCCCCGACGTCCTGGTTCGATACGGCTCCACATGCGGGGGCGGCGCTCCCTCCGCTGCCGCCTTTGCCCGAAGCAGGAAGCGCTGGGCTGCATGCGCGAGTCGCGTGCCCGGAGCCGCCTCCGGGCAGTCCGGACCGTGGCAGGGGCGGCCCCCTTGGTCGAGGTGCCGCCGCTGCTTGACCCGCACGCACGCCCAGTCCGGACAGGCGCGGTAGTAGCTGACACGGAGGGCGAACTGGCAGCCGACCTTGATGGAGGTGGTCCCTCTGCGGCGCTTCTTCACTGCAGCAGGCGGTGCAGCGCACGCGGGGTCTGGCTGGGGGGACGCCGACTCCTTGACGACGTCCGCATCAGCAGCAGGGGCAGCAGCCGCATCAGCAGCAGGTGAACAGGGGCCGCCATCGCTGCTGCAACCAGCACTCGGAGGGTTCACGTCATTGTTGGCGGTGCAGCCGCTCGACTCCGTGACGGTTGCCAGGTTTGTCACCTGCTTTAGCTGTTGCTGCTCTGGCTTGCCCTGGTCTGGCAGCACGGGCTCTGGCTGTAGAGGAGCCGCTGACTTGCAATTACCAGCTGACTTGCGATAATCAGCTGGCCCGAAGCAGCACTGCAGCTCAAAGGTCTCCTGCACGTTGTCTTGCCGCGTACGTTTGGGTGCAGGTGGCATCCTTTTGTGGCAACAGACGAGGCAACACTCTCCTCGCTGCTGCTCGCCTGCCACCAGGTCACGAAAACGGTCACGAGGCACCCAAAAGATTTGGGTGCCATTGGGCGTGCTGCTGGGTTGTGCGGGGAGGTCATCCAGAGTAAAGCTGCCAACTGGCAGCGTGTGCTGTAAACATTTTTCCGGGACGGCGACGCGAAGGGCGACGTGCTGAGCCTACAGGGATGTGGTAATTGCATTGGGGGCCTGAGATGTGACGTGGGGAAAGAGCGGCACGAAGATGTGAAGCCCTAACAGTCTTTCCCGCAATTTTACTAATGAGCGGATTGAGCTCACCATTTCAATCTACGCAGCCCGTAGAAAATCGGGTTAGAGCTCGACGGGCATTATCGGCACGCATACTCTAGCTAAGACCTGGTTCAGAGCTGTATCGGGCGGTGTTGGGGCAGCAAAGCCAGCATAGGCAGCCACACGCGTTCTGCCTAGCTTATTTGCAGCAAACCTAGAGGCTTTTTTCAATAGAGGAAGCAGGGTCGCTGTGCAAAGCCAAGCGTGATGTTCAGTTGTGAGCGTGTGGCTTGTGGCGGAACAAAAGCGACGGCTTTACTGCAGCAACAAGAAAAAGAAAACTTCAAACAAAAAGCAGGTGGACCAACAAAAACAATTGGTTACAAGGTCGTTGCCGCACAGGGGCCCTATGCCGAACATAGGCTTGCAGGCCTGCGAATGCAGACCTTTATTGCCGCATCTCATCCATGTCTTCAACACGTTGCATGCTAACAGTAAAGCCGTTGGCACGATCGCTAACAAACAGCCGTGCCCAGCATTGGTCAGTCCCTTTCTTCCACGCGCGTACACAGCAAATGGCCACAGCGGCAGCGGGTGAAACAGCAGCCAAGATGGTTGCAATCCAAGTTGCGGACGTGGGCGGGCCTGAAAAACTGACGCTGGCCGTTGACGTCCCGTTGCCTGTGCCGGGAGAGCACATGGTCCTTGTCCGTAACAAAATCGCGGGAGTCAATTTCATTGACACATACCATAGGTGCGCATAGGGACTAGCATGCTGCGCGAGCTTGTCCTTGAGGTGTCGAAGCATGCATGTCAAGTGCAACACCCGAGGGCAAGACCTGCACTTCGTTACTTCCTATCAGCACCAGTTGCCTCAAACCACACTGCAAGCACTAATATCACACCAAGTCCATGTCTCATCCTCCTTCGTACAATTAACCACCAGGAGTGGTCTGTACCCAATCTCCGGCTCTCCATTTACTCCCGGCGTGGAGGGCGCGGGTGAGGTGGTGGCAGTGGGCCCAGGAGTTCAAGGGCTGCAGCCCGGAGTCCAGGTGTCGTACATCACGAGGCCCCCAGGCGGTTCGTACGCGCAGTACACCGCCGTACATGATTCCAAAATAGCTCGCATTCCTGAGGGCATCAGCCATGAGGTTGCAGCTGCGTCCATGATCCAGGTAGGCCAAACAAGTTGCAATCGCGGTGACAAAGGCATCACTTCACCTCCTTCCAAGAAATGCGTGCCTTGGTGTGCCGTACGTCTCCGTACAGGGTGGTCCAACCTTGCTGGCCCCGACGCTCTTATTATGCCCTACCCCGCCGCCCTACCTCCCCTACCTCCGCTGCGCCTTCCCCCACCAAATTGCACCTCTCGTCCACAACTTGATCCCTTTTATCTATCGTCCCCACCATCACCCGCTCCCCCGCTTCCCCTCTTCCCTGCTGCCCCCGCTGCCGCTGCCGCTGCCGCGGCTGCTGCCGCTGCTGCCCCCAGGGTATGACCGCCCACTGCCTGGTCCACCAGGCCTACCCGGTGCAGCGGGGGGACTGGGTGCTGGTGACGGCGGCGGCGGGGGGCACCGGCAGGCTCATTGCGCAGCTGGCGGCGGCAGCAGGTGGGGAGAGGAGGGAGGGAGGGGGCAGCAGGTGGGGCGGGAGGGAGGGGGCGGGTAAGATCCTGCCGCCAATTGGTATTTGGGAGCGGCACGAGGGAGACAGGCAACCTGAGCCACGGTATTCACTGAACGTGACCGGTGGTGGCGTTGGCATCCAGGGGCTAATCCCCCTCATTGCCTCAGCCCCTTGATACACGCCAGGGCCTGTCGGGCGTAACTGTTAATGCTATAAACGTGACCGACGTAGCATACCAGGAGATGGGAGGGGCTCCGTGCTCCCACCCGCCACCCGACCCCCCACCCCATGCCCACACAGGCGCCACCGTCATCGGCACCGCCTCCACCCCTGACAAGGCCGAGGTGGCTCGGCAGGCGGGGTGCGCCCACGTGGTCCTGTACGAGCAACAGGTGCGTGGGTGCCGTACTTCTGTACTGCCATTCTCTGCCGTACTCCGTACACGCATCTCCTTACGTTGCCGTACTGTTGTCAGCAGGACCTAGCGGCGGAGGTGATGCGGCTCACGGCGGGTCGCGGCGTGCAAGCGGTGTACGACGGAGTGGGACGAGCCACCTTTGACGCCGCGCTGTCATGCGTGGCGCGGCTGGGATACATGATTTCTTTCGGAAACGCCTCGGGGAAGGTGAGGGTGGTGACGACGAAGAAGAAGAAGTGAAGCACTGGAATCCCACCCCATGAGGCGATGAAAGGGTTGGTGGGCGCTGCATGGGTGGTGCCAGAAGAAAGGAGGAAACACGGCGGTGGCGGGGGCGGGGGTCTGCGTGCCCCTCATCCCCCAGCATGCCCCACCCGCCTTGCCTGTCGGTATCCAATACCTACCGGTTCTAGCTACGGCCCCTCCTTGCAAACGGCATAGCGCACACAGCTGCTCCTGCTGCTGCTGCTGCTGTCGGTCGCCCTGTGTGCCCCCGCCCCTCCCCCTGGAAGGTGCCTGATTTGGACATCCTGCGCCTCACCCGCAACAACGTGCGGCTGATGCGGCCGGCGCTGTGGGACTTCATCACCACCAAGGTGCGGCTGGGAGGTGTGCCGGAAGCGTGTGTTTGTATTTGTAGGCGTGTCTCTGGCTGCTGGGGTGTTGTATCCGCAGAGGTGTGTTCCGGGGCTCTCAACAGCCTCCCAACACTCCACCCCGCCCCACCCCGCCCCGCCCCTGCAGGAGGAGTTCGAGTCGGTGTCCTCCCAGACGCTGGCGGCGGTCGCTGAGGGGAAGCTCAAGGTAGGCCATCATGGTCATCATGGTGGTGCTCATGGGGCCTGACTGCCTGGTGGACTGCCTGGTGTGTCATGGTGCTCAGCGATAGGTTGCCCATGCGGCGCTCTCCCGCTCGCTCTCATTCTCACTCTCACTCTCGCTTCCGCAGACGATGCAGTGGCCATGCAGTGCCGCGGTGTGTTGCGGTGTCCCTTCCTGGGCACTGCTCCCACTGCCCGGGTACCGGAGGCGCTTCAATACACAGCGGGGCACACACGCCTACCTACCATCGTAACCCGCATCGTACATCCTACCCATTGCCCCATTCGCTTCCCTACTCGTCCATGTTTTCCTCCCCCTCTCCCCCCCGCACCTCCGCACCTGCTCTGCCTCCGCCGCTGCTGCCGCCGCTGCTGCCACCGCCCCAGGTGCTGGTGGGCGGGCGCTACCTGCTGTCAGCCGCCGCGCAGGCGCACCGGGACCTGGAGGGGCGCGCCACCACCGGCAAGCTGGTGCTGCAGGTGCCGTAGACGCGGGGGAGCAGGAGGCAGGAGAGCGGGACAAGAAGAAGGAGAAGAAGGAACCGAAGGAGCTCTCCGATGGGTTCCCCATTCCGCCGCTGCCTCCGACCCAACTACGTATGGCGGTGGTAGACAGGCGGGTGGCAGGCAGGAGACAGGCAGGAGACAGGCAGGATGCAGGCAGGGGGATCCTGGAGTTGACTGTGCCGCATCTTGTCGTTCTCGTTGCGGTTGTGTTGAGAGCGGTTGTGTTGAGAGCGGTTTTGTTGTGTTGTGAGCCCACTGTGCAGCCACTGTGTAGGATCACGGTGCCGCATTCAAGCAGCTGAGCCTGTGTGTGTGTTGCCGTAAATGGCGTGTAGATGCGAGGGACCGGCAGAGGTGTTTGGGGTCACCATGATCTAGGGTTCGCTGTCAGGCTGTCTGGGATGGGGACGAGGGTGCATTCCCAGGGAGTGTGCGAGCGAGGGCTGTTTGGTAGGGTTGTCTAGGGTTGCTGGTGGAGGGGTCTGCTGGCTGCTGGCTGCAAGAGGTTTTTACACGGCAGGCACACGAATTGTGTTGGGAATTTGGCCGGGGTGGAGGGCGCCGAATGCCGCCCTCACGCTGTAGTTGGTAGGTAGGTGGTTGACCGGTATGTTGTGCAGCGGTTGTGCAGCGGTTGTCAGTTGGCACAGTTCGTTAGGTGCCCTTGTCGTGCAAGTAGGTGCATATTGCTGCCAGCCACTACAAGGAAGGCGGTTTTGCAGAGTCGGGTGGTTGTTAGCTAGACATCGCTTCTTCTCAAACCGGCAGTAGTCGTGTTACATGATGCCTAGTAAACCGCCGGTAGCCCTCGGGATAGAGGCTGCTTGACGTCGCCATGCTATGTAGGTAGAGCGGAACGGGGCAAAATGCTGTTCCGCATCAGCGGCAGCCTCTGCAATAACAAACCACACCTGCCGATACACCGTACGATGGCAGGCGTTACCGGTATACACCACCTAGGGGGTTTTGACGGCCGGAGCAGCAGTCGGCGTCCCAACACGGCATCATTCACACAAGGGAGCCAATCACACCACCCACCCTGCTTGTAACTACCAAGCAACCAACTATGTCCTCTCTGTAAGTACTGTTTGTATGTAGCATAAAATGCGTATGTACACCGCGCCCCTCCACCGCACCACCACCCATCACCACCCACCATCTGTCTATCACCCATATGATCTCCCTTCTCCCCTTACTGGTTTCATATGGGTTGGTCTAATTTGTCCCCCCAACCGCCAACTTCAGCAAAGAACCTCAGCAGCCGGGAGGCGGGCGCCCACAACCCCCGGGCTGGCATCAGGGGCCCTATCACCCCCCGCTGCCTCGTGGGCCCCATCATGCGCCGCATGCGGCCCGACAACAACCGGGTGAAGCGGGCTGCTCGGCGTGCTAATGGCTATTGCCCTGTTGTCACTGCCGCTGCTGCTGCTGGTGTTGTTCCCACTGTCGTCGCGGCTGGTGGTGGTGGTGATGGTGGTGGGTTTGATGCCCGATGCTCCAATCGCTGCTCCTGCATCAGTCCGGCCGTAGCGAGCTCGGGGCGGAAGGCCGCCTCCAAAGCCTGTCGAGTTGTACGGTGCCGCGGGTAGGGGATAGCGAATAAGGGATATGCAGCGGGAAGAAGAGGAGGAGGCCAGCGACAGACGGCTGAGATGGCGACACAAGGTACGGCAGAGGTACGACAGGTACGGCAAGAGGTACGGCAACGGCAGGCACAGCAGCATGGCTGACACATGGACTACAGCCTCCGAACTCCGTCGTGACTTCTACAGCCCGCCCAGCCCGGATACCACCAGGAATCGGGTTTCGGAGTGGCCCATTTAGGCACACAACTTTACTGGTCCGAAGGGAAAGCCCGATCACCAGCACACCCATGTTACCTGCAGCGCGAGTTCTTCGCAGTCCGCTGCGTATCTGAGGTCCGACACCACCAGGGGCAAGCAGCCCAGCGCCGCCGCAATCTCGCGTAAGGACGCCGCCGCCGCCGCCGCCGCCGGTCCTGCACTCTTCCTGCCCGCGCCCCCACCTGTCCAGGTCCCGCCACCAAACAGACCGCTGCGAGTGCCGATCGGAGCTTCCTGCCTAACGACTCCTCTTCGTCGACCAGGCTTAATCAAGACAATCCGCCGCTCTAGCCGCTGCCGCCCAAGCCTCACGCTTCCCCGCCGCCGCCGCTGCCCCCGGCCTTGCCTTCCCGCCGTCGCCGCCGCTGTCGTCACTGCTGACGTCGGCGGCAGCCTGCTGGCCAGATGGGCTAAGTACTCTGCAGCCCAAGATGGAGACAGCTGCCCTCCCGCCGCCAGCACCGCCGCCGGCAGCCGGCAGAGCTGCCCGCCGGTGTACGACAGGAAGTTGAATCGGCTGCTGACGGCGACGGCGGCGCTCCAAGCTGGCGGCAGCGGTTTCGGAGCTCCCCAGGTCGCCATGGCTTCGAGCCAATCCAGCAGCGCTGACGGCGGCGCCAAGTACGGCACCAGATCCAGTCCAACACTGGCGACGGCCGTACACCAGCGCCTCGGCGGCGTGTAGTACGGATGTAGCCGCGTCAGCGTCGCGAGCAGCAAGGTGGCGGCGGGGGCGGCGGCTGCCGCCGCCGCCGCGGCGGCGGCGACGGTCTTGATGGTGGTGGCGGCGGCGGCGCTCTCAGCGCGGGTGACGTCGCCTTGGGTTAGAATGGCGGTGGGGCTAGCGGCGGCGACTAACGCGACTGCCGCTGCCGCCGCCGACGGGTCCAGTCGCCGGCGCAAGTCCTGCAGTGCCGTCTCACACGCCAAGTCCAACCACTCCGCAGGAATGCTTGCGGGCAGCGACAACACACTCAAGCTGGTCGCGCCGTTTGCGCCGCCTGCGCCGCCAGTGCCTTCATTAGGCTGTACAGAGGGAGACGTCAGCAGCGACGTCGACGTTAGCAGCGGCAGTAGCGTCGCTATTCCCCCCACCATCTCCGCCAAATCTTCAACCATGAAGAACGGCGCCGTCGCCGTCGCTTCCGTCGCCGACGGCTGCAGCTCCTCTTCCTCCTCCGCCGTCGTACCCGACCTCGACGGTGCCACCCAACGTCGCGCCGCCGCCGGGCCCCGCCGCTGTCGCTCCGGCATCCGCTGCTGCTGCTGCTGCTCCTGCTGTTGCTGCCATCCGGACCCCAGCTGTGCTTTCAGAACCGCCGCGGTGCTCTCCAGCAGCCACGACAACCACTCAGACCGCGGCGCATGACCCGACGCGGCAACACCCGCAAGAACGAGAGCTAGGTCGGATCCGCGCAGCGGCTGAGATAGTGGCGGTGGCGGCGGCGACGCTGCTACCCTGCTGTTACGCGCTTTGACCTCCTCCTCCGCCGCCGCCGTCACCTCCGCATCCGCCATCGTCGCTATGACGAGCAGCGCCGGTCGCTCATGTGAACGACTGCTGCTGATGCTGCCGCCGGCAGCGGCCTCCAGCCGAGCAGCTGTCTGCTCCACTCGCTGCCGTATTGCCGTACATGCGGAATCCAGAAGCGAGGAGGGCGGCTGCAGCTGCAGCAGCACCATTGCCTGGGAGCGGCAACACGAAGGAACATGAGCGGAAAGCATTCAGTGCATGAGGTAGAACATGGCGACATAGGGTAGTCCATTGGAAGCCTACCGACGCAAAGTAGGGGTCTGGGCCTGGGCAGCCCCTGGCAGCCCCAAGCATGTGTTGTACGGCAAAGCAAGCTCAGCCGGGTCCGGCCATGCAGAGGCCTGGGCGGACCGTTTCGTTGCATGGGATGTGACGGCGACATAGGGAAGTCCAATTAAAGCGGGATACTGCGTTACCAGATGCCGGCTAGAGCCCAGGCACGCATCCCCACCTGCTTCGCCACCACCAAGAGGCCCCCCACTCCTACCTGCAACAGCCGCCCGATCTGCCCAACGCTCATGTCCGGTACCGCAGCTGCCGCCGCCGCCACAGCCGCCTGCCGCCAGTCAGGCCCCAGCGAGGGCTGCGCCGCCGCTGCGGCCTTCGCGCCCCTCCCTCCCCGCTGCTGCTGTTTCCTCCTCCTCCTCCTTTCCTTCTTCACCGCCTTCTCCCCTCCCGCTGCCCCTGCCGCCACAGCCGCCGTTGGCCTCTGCTGCGCTACCAGCGCTGCTAGCCCTTCCAAGGAGTCCACTAGTTGGTCGGGCCGCATGAGGCCCAACTGGCTGGTGCTGCGGGCCACCCAGGCGGCCAGCGTGGGGCCATGCCTGCGACAAGGATTGGGGAATACGAGGAGTGAGGCCCGGGGGAGTGGGTGGTCCAGGGGTTGACACATGTGAAGGGTAGCCTGTGTGCGTTTGCAAGGTGCCGTCGTACGGTAGCGTGCCGTCGTACAACCGTGTGTTAAAATACCGTGTGTTAAGAAAACTGGCGTGTGTTAAAATAACTGGCCGCGAGGCGAAACGTACTGTGATTGCCGAAAGATGAAGTCCTCCCACCGAAAAACGCGGGAGTGTGCGGGAGTTCGCAAGGAGTTCGGGTTAGCCAACGCCGCCGATGACAACCGTGTGCAGGAAACGTGGTCGGGCTGCTGGGCCGAGTCGACGCCTCCGGTGCCCTTGAAGTCAAGAACCCCTTCCAACAGCTGCTGTGAACACCAGGTAGGTAGGGAGCGTGACAGCACCCGCACCGCAAAACTGCACGCCAAGGCAAACGCGCAACTGCAAGCCAAAGGCACACCTCCGGGCCCTGCCCCCGCGCCCACGCACCTGAAGCCCATGCGCGCCAGCCCGGTGACCATGCAGGTCAGCGCGCGGGGCCCGAAGGAGGGCAGCTTGGGCAGCAGCGAGCAGCACACGCCCCGCAGCATCAGACGGAAGCCCGCAGCCTCGGGGTGCTGCTGCTGCTGCTGCTGCTGATGGTGATGGGCAGGGTGCAGGCGAGGGTGAGGGTGCTGAGACATGTGTAGCTGGGCCGGCGTGCGGTTAGCAGCCAACCCTGCAGTGCCCAGGGCGTAAGCGGTGGCGGTAGTGGTTGCGGCAGCAGTTGGGGTGGTCATGTTGAGGTTTGTGCGGAGGGAGGGGGAGGACCTCCCAGGAGACCCAGGCGCCCCGCCAGGCTGCAGGCTGGGGACATGCCTGCATGCGTGCATATTGGGGGGGGGACTTGGTGCGGGAGGAAGGAGGCAGGGGGAGCAGGATTGGGTAGCATGCGAAGGAAGTTTTTCTTAGTCATGCGGATGAGGCATTAAAGAAGGGGCGGGTGCTAACAGTGGAGCAAGGCCGCCTCCTCAGAACCTCAGAAGCACCACCCGTGTCCCATTTCCCCGTTTGTGACCCCTCAACAACATCCGCACCACCCGCACACTCGCAGCAACAAACACGCAACCGTCTCGCGGCCAGTTTTCTTAACACACACAACCCACCCCGCAAACACCCACTTAAAAAAGTACGCGGCCGCGTGTTGATCGAACAGCGGCAGGTAGCGAGGCAGCAGCCGGTGAGCCAGGGGCCGCCGCCAGTGCCTGCATGCAGCTAGGCGGGCGACAATGCGGGCGGTGGTGTGCGGGTGGGGACCGTCGGGGCTCTCGGGGAAGAGCTTGCGACGTCGCGGGAAGCCGGCGGGAGGTGAGGACGCAGGTGCTACCGCCGCCGCCGGTGCCTGTGCTGTGGCTGCTGAGGCTGCTGAGGCTGTTGCTGCAGTGACAGCGGACGTGGAGGAAGAGGAGTGAGGATAGCGCACGGGGGAGAATGATGGGGCAGAGGTGGAGGCGGAGGAAGAGGACGAGATGCGCTGATGGCCTTCTTGCTGCGCCTCCGTCCGTCGCTGGTGGCCCTCCTCAGGCGATCCTTTGCGGTGCTCTTGCTCCCGTTCTGGTTCTTGCTCTTGCTCCCATCCGAAAGCCCACTCCCAGCCCGGCTCCGAAGCCCATACCTGCGGCTGCTGCTGTTGCTGCGGTGGCGGCCTTGTTTCGTGCGGAGGGTGCTGCCGCTCGGACTGCAATTGCGATTGTAATTCATGCAACCCGTTTGCCGTTGGCTCCGGCTCCCATGCTGGCACGGCCCTTGCCTGCCCGCCTTCGACATTCTGCAACCCAACGTCCCCCAAGTTTTGCATTGTTTGGTGATCTAGCCCCAGTGGTGGTTGCTGCTGCTCCTCTTGCTGCTGCTCCTCTTGCTGCTGCTCCTCTTGCCCCGGCTGCAGTGGTACGGCGCCGGTTGACTGGCCCCGTTGTTGGTGGCTGCGTTGGGCTTGGCGGATGAGCTGGCGGAAGTACTGCGGGGTGGGTTGCAGAAGACAGTATATGAGGGAGTGGGAAAGCGGAGGACGGCGCGAAGGGCTCATGGTTGCGTGCGGGGATTCGTTGCTTGGAGGTGAAGACATGGTCTGCCCGAACTGCTAACAGTGCATGCCCGAACAGATAATAGCTCATACGTACACTCTCACCCCTTCAATCCACAAACCGATAAACGTAGCCTCCCGCCTGCAAGAAGCGGTGTCCCCGCTCCATCCATGCTTACCTCCGACGCTCGCTGGGGCCTTGGCCGCACAACACGCGGTGCTCGCTGCCTTGGGACCTTTTCCAAAACTACTTCTCCATACTTTGCCCTTTTGCTGGGCTTTCGAGCCGGTAGCGGGTTCACATGGAGCACAGGTCGCGAGCTTCTGGCGCATTCGGGCCATCCTTGCAGCAAGTCACACATGATAGCCCATTTGGTTCGTTTTATAAATGTCCTTTTCACAAGCGAGGCCAATGCTGTTCTGCGAGGTGTGGCCGTACACGGCGGTGAGAATTGGGTTTACAGCTCCATAGGTGCAGCGCCCTTTTCTACTGATGAAGGTAGGTTTTTGTCATTGTTAATTCACATAGCATTGCCCAATTTTACGTTATGGTGCAACAGGGTGTTGCAAGCGGCCTTCACATGTCAATATCTTACGGACGACCCCAGCAAATTATTGCGACTGCTTATTAACCAAACAGCAAACGATACTGCTGGGGTTGTTAATGAGCGCCGCGCCGCTCGTCGACGGGTCTGGGATTGTCCACGTATGTCGGACGACTTCTTTATGGAGAGGATGACTGGCCGCCCATATGACCGCTAGTAATATGGCCACTAGTGCAGCGACTGGCATGCGGCATTGGCGCGGGCGCCTGAACGTCGTCATAAAGGACCTCCAACTGGCTGCTTGGGGTTCCCGCTCCCGCCCTGCGAAGAGCATTCCTTGTGCATGCGATCACTAAAAAGCTTACACATACAAGGTTAGCGTATATGCACAAGTTATTACCTGCAGTGTGATTATGATTACCGTAGTCTAAACTCTGCCACAGCCGACCACAAGGGAGACCCTTTGTTCGTGTTCGCTGTGCTGCGCACCCCCGCCTTTCTTCTTTCCACCTCCTTATTCAGTTTCTGTTGCCCTGTTTTCCCAGATAGTTAGGGTTACCAAGTCAAGCGACCGACCACTTGGTTATTGAGCTTACTGAGGAGATCCGCCGGCGACCCATTCAATGTGCGTGATGGATCCGCAGATGTCGTACCGTTTAAGAGGCTATATAACGTTTGTTGTTGATCGTTGTCATGCCGGGAAGCACCTGGGTAATAACTCAGTTGGCCGTATAGCTCAGTGGATAGAGCGTGTCCTTCCTAAGGTCAAGGTCCAAGGTTCGACCCCTTGTACGGTCGCATTTTTGCTCTCAACTCTCTTCCACGAGTCTCGCAGATGTTCGTAATTGTCTAGTACTGTGACGCGCAAAATGTAAGGGTGACGATATTGCTGGATGAAAATAGGAGGGGTGCTGTGGCTGCTGACATTCATGACAGTGTGTCTTCTCTCCTGGCATGCATGCGTCAATTCAGGCAACTGTAAATAAGGCACATGAGCATGCATCATGTTAGAATGGGAAGACGTACATCAGGATCACATACGGGAATTGGCGCGAAATAGAGGCTTCAGCAGCCCTGTGCAGCTCCGAGCATGTGTGGTACGGCAAAGCATGCGCAGCCTAGTTGGCCCGTGCGCAGACCTCACTAGATCATTCCGCAACATGGGAGGAGCTAGGGAAGCAAAGGGAATCGAAGCGTTTGCTAACGTCTACCCTAAAAGTCTACCCGTCCTTCCCATACCCGCCCCCCAACTACCCTGCTCCCACCCCTCCTTCCCGCACCCGCCCACCCCTCCTCCCCGCACCGTCCTATCCCCTCCTTCCCGCACCCGCCCACCCCGCTCCCACCCCTCCTCCCCGCACCCTCCTATCCCCTCCTTCCCGCACCCGCCTACCCCGCTCCCACCCCTCCTTCCCGCACCCAACTACCCCGCTCCCACCCTTCCTTCCCGCACCCGCCCTCCCCTACTCCCACCCCTCCTTCTCGCACCCGCCCCTAACCTCCCGCACCTACCCCTCCCTCAGTCAGTTAGTTGTTTCCGCTTTACCCCTCCCTTTCACACTCGCCCCCACCTACCTTTCCTCCGCCGTCCGCCCCCACCTAGCTGCCTCTTCCCGTCCTTTGTACCCCCTTCACATCTTTAACTAAGTCTTTCCAATACCTTCTTCCCTTTCTTGCTGTAGTAATGACCCCCTCATGTTTGGCGTAGGCTGCATCAAAAGGGCTGTATAGCTGTTGGCATAACTGTTTCGGAGGGCTGCCGGTAAGACTGTCACCATACAAGTTGGCTGCCGCGAACAGCTTTGCGTACTAGCTGGCCGCTGGTGAGGGGGTCCTTGCGTTCTGTAGCTGTAGCTGTGTGTGCTGCGCTGTGTAGGCACGAGGAGGAGGGAGACATCTGGCCTGACTGGGGTGGGTCGCTGAGGCGCATGTGGCCGACCCACCCCGTCCGCCCCCAAGCCGTGTTGTACATCAGGTGCTGGGCTGCGAGCGAGCTAGCTGGGAGCTGCTGGGCGCTGCAGAGGGCATAAGGTGCAAAAGAGCAGGAAGTGCAATCAACCAACATAACACGCCGCCTGTCATGCTCACAACACATCAAGCCCCTAGCATATCCATGAAACCCCATGAGCGGTGCTACCGCCAAAAGACCATCCCCAGCGCGGCAGGACAAGCGGTAGCACACCAGCATACACGTCTGAAACGCCTGCATTCCCCACCTTATGCATTGCTAACTACCGCATGCTTCTGACACACACACCATAACAGCTTAATGTCCTCTAAACCCAAGTCGTTGCTGCTGCGACTCGTAACACAACAGTCAAATCCACGCAACGGTCTACCTGTTGCCCCCGCGTCTGTCGGCGCCATCACATCGCCACAAATCCGCCGCAAAGCAATGAACAGCTGATCTCGCCTCAAATCCGTTGCAAAACCTTGTAACAATGTCCGCACCAGAGACACCTCCAGCCAAACGGAAACGCCGTCAACCCAACATCAACCCAGCAGCATGCAGCAAGATAAGCACAGCAGCGACACTAGTAACCGCTGCGCCACCTACCCCAAATCCATCGCCAACCAGACAGCACAGCTAGGTACAACAATGGCGCGCCCACTACCCAACGACCGCAAACCGCAAGGAAGGGTTCACAACAGGCCCCGAGCTTGCCCACGTCATGCAGAGTGACAACTGCACCGCCAAGCCAACTTACTTGTGACCCGCGAAAGATAACCGTTGTGGCGGTTAGGCGGCGTAGGCGGGCTGTTGACGTAGGCGACGTCGGTCTTGAGGGCCGGCGGCAGCGTGATGAAGGGTGGAGGTAGCGGGGGCGGGCTTGGCGTGGCTTTTACCGAAGGTGGGGTCGCCGTCCTGTCATTCGTCCCCAAATACGCCAGGTCCACGAAAGCTGTGGTGGCGGCGGAGGGGTCTCGACCCATGGCATGCGAAGGGTGAGGGAGAAAGGGTGAGGGGTGATGGTGAGAGGGAGGGGTAGAATGCGTTGGACATCAACACAACATGAACGGCTGCAGGCGGTACGAGGCGCCCAAGACGATGGATGCCAGAGCAGCACAGGGCAACCCAACCGCAGCCGCGCTCAACACCCAAAGCACAACACGTACACCAGTTATTTTAACCCACGACAGCACACCGCGTGAGGCAAGCGCCCAGCTTACGTGGAACAGCAATGAACCTAGACGGAGGTGGCGCAAGGAGAGGTAGTCAGTGTCAAAGGGGGCGATGAGGCTTGTTGGCTGGGAGGGAGTACGTCGACGTTCCAGCTCGTTCCGCAGACAGGGCGCCCGCCTTGCTGGCCATGCATCTGCAGGAGGCAGGATAAGGTCGTACGTCAGTCACAAAGCAGCGGCATCACACCCGCATTATTTACTTGCAGACCCATAACTTGCGTCACCCCTCAAGATGACCATTCCGGTACCGGCACCTATTAAATGTACACGGCCCTTGCCGTGCGTGCATGTCTTATCCAGCCCTAGCTGCGCAGCGCATGGTCGGGCTTCCACAGTATGCCCTTGCTCCAATCCAACCCCGAACCCTAGGTACCGCAAATCGGCAATACGTCGGCCTTTGCCGGATCCCGACCAACCTAATAGCTCAAAGGGCGCGAACAGCCCACATGTGGATACAAGAGCAGCGACCAGTGCGACTTACTTATACACGGCCCTTGGAACGCGGCAAGCTCTATCATGCATGTGGCTTGGGATCCACTCCCAGCTGTTGACTCATCCGCACACTTTGGTCTCCTTGGTTGGATCCTGGAGCTGCGGTCTGAAGCGATGTCCCTGTGAAGAAAGGGCCGAGGGAAAGCTGCGCAGCTCATTCGGGGACAACACACGCACCAGAGCCATTAGCATGTCAATCGGCGGGTGCCCCACGCGCCGCTATGAAATTCGAGCTACAAGCAATCATTCGTATGCTATAATGCAATTAATATGTGTAGTGCAAACAAGCGTCATGGTCGAGGCCTAAAACTGCGGACGATGAATGTCGCCCAACCCGTTCCAACAAATTATTGTGTTCACTTACCGGTAATGTCTTCAATAAGGGTTGATAATTGAAGGCAGACCTGCGGATTTTGAATAAAGTCGGGAGGTATGCTTCGTAGCGGCCAAAGCTCAGCGTCCCCAACCTTTTCATTACAGCGGCATTCACTGAGCTGTAGAGTTAGAGCCTGTAGGTAACTTACCTTAAGACCTGGTGCTCGATGGACGTCGAAGAGTTGGAGGCTGTCGCTTATGAGTTATGACCTTACCGGTATCCCTGAAATACTTTGAACCCAAGACATAACCGCGATAAGTTTAGTAAACTGGTCTTGTTGCAGTAGGAAAAGGCGATAGAGCATGGCATCACAAGTACTTATGGCCGGACTTTCGTTGCCGTATCCCCAGTAGCACTGTACGCCCAAAACCAGGGGGCCTAATGGAAGGTTACGGCAATAGAATGATGACCAAAGCAGAAATATATATAAGTGTGGCGAACGACAGACACGGGGAAGGCCACCTAGTTTACCTGGAAGCTCTAGCTAGCTAGGTAGGTAAGTACAGCATCATTTGCCATATAACGAGGACGCGCACCCGTCGATAACAGTGCCCTAACTGTTCTGCTTACATATACGTAGGCGGACACACGTCGTTCGTAAGCTAGGTATTGTCACTCCCGGTGCGGGCTTGGCGTTTCGAATCGGCGCCATCTTAGCTTGGCGACCGTACCACCAGTTAAGCGTAAACTTTAGCGAAGTTACTCCTTGTCGCCACCTAACACGATGCAATGCAGAGCGACAGCTAGCGACCCCTTGTGAGGCTTACGTCGTCAATCAGCCGCTAGCGTCCATGTCCAAGGCAACATTCGCAGCAGCAGGACGCACCCTACATAAAGCCGTACACACTGCAACCATTCATACTTACGGGGGGACGAATACGCGCTGTGCAATTGTTCACGCGCCGCCAACCCCACCGGTCCGCACAGTTACCGATCACCCCCATGCCTCTCTACACCGCCCTTCACGCGTCCTGTCCTGCCGCGCTGCTACCCTCCGCCCTCTCCCCACACCCACCTCCTCCTCCACGCCCCCTTGCTGCTCCCCGGGACCCCGGCCCGTGTTGTCCTTCCTTATCTGCTTCTCCAATGTGGAAGCGCCGCTGGTTGCTGCTGCTGCTGACCTGCCCGCACATCCCCCTGCTGCCCGGTTGAAACATCGTTTGTCCCCGAGGGAGTTGAACCCTCTAGCCGCCAAGCCTTCACAGGCAGCAGCCGCAGCTTGCAAGGGACAATCAGTGACGCCGCATCCCCCCACATGCGCACTGAGCCGCCATGCCTAGGTCTCCAACCCAACACGCCGCCCAGACATCCCACCCGCCCCGCTGCACGGACCACCCTCCAGCCGTGTCCCCTCCCCTTCCTCAGCCGCGCGCCTGCTACCTTCAGTTCTCAGAGAGTGGCCCCGCAGTCCCCATATTCTGCTTCCTAGCGACACAAAGAACACCAGTACACCTACTCGTCCCTAGCAAGCAAGCCCACCCACAGGTGACGTTTGAGCCAGTAAGGTACTGAGACAGCCTGGGCAGCCCCGCCCTGACAGCTGAGGTGGGTGGCGGCTGCAGGCTGACAGGTGTTGTGGTGCGCGCATGAGTTGGCCTTTTGGAGGAGGACGGCGGGGGCCGGCGGCAGGAGTGACGGCGGCAGACGGTGCCGCGTTGAGCAGTGGCGGTGCGATGCTGCGGGAAGGGCTCGCGGGGTGGGACACGGCGGAGGCACGTGCGCTGCAGGCGATGTGGGGGGGGGTTGGGGCAGGAGATTGGAGTGCGCAGCTGGACTGGGTGGCACAGCAGCTGCAGAGCGGTAACGGAGGTGCAGCTCCACTGCAACGCACAGCTGCAAGTACCGTAGTATTTTTACACCGTACGAGTTTTATTTTTGTTAGTATTATTTCTCCGCTTAAAAATGTGCGGCACCGCAGGTACTACTCGACTTTCCTCCTGCAAATCCCCACAACAACACCCCTTATAAAATACATTTACCGATGCCGCGCAACCCGGCTTATATTCTTAACAAACGGACAAAACATCGCGACACGGACGCAAAACACCACACACTGAAACCAACCGCAGCAAACGCACCAACCACCGCAGAGGTCACAACCGCGCAAGGAACAACACACAGAGCAAGCAAGAACCACACGGATAGATACACCAGTTGGCGCCTGAAACCAGCTCAGGGCTGCACCCCAAGTATAGCCACCCATGGTGGGGTGAAAACAATCGCATCATCTTGTTAAATACCCCCCAAAAGAAGTCCAAACGCACTGCGAAACGACGCGCGCCACAGCCGCTTTGCCTCCTTCCATGCAACTTGCCCAGCCACCACAGCTCCAACCCGATCGAGCACCCCGATGCTGCCCCACGCAGCCCTGCAGACGCGGCCTGCGGACCAATAGCGCAAACACCAGCCCTAACAGCGCCGCCACACGCCCAGCAGCCGGCCAACTAGTGCACCCTACCTCCCTGACGGCAACCGTAACCCCCGCGACGAAGAGCAGGTGCATGGAGGCATGGGAGTCAACCCTGACACGTCAACCATATCCATCCAATCCCACATCCGCAGACTGCAAACTAATGTGTCAGCCTCCTGTAAACGCGAACCTATGGGCGGTGCAGCTGCCCATGTACATCCAGGAGGTGGTCCAAGCCATGAGCCAGCACATGGTATTACGAACAGATGCACCCAGATGTAGCATATTCTCTCTCTCTTCAATACACGCCTAGGATCGACCAGCCCTGTGAACGTCACTTCGACCCCGTTCCCGGTACTCGACCCAGACCGGACCAAAACGCCCCAGTCACCCGGAGGAGCTCAGCAGGGCTGTCAGGGCTCGCCAGATCCTAGCGTAGCAGCACTCATCACATCAACACAAGGCCCATAATTGCTACGGCGTCTTTCATACCTCTCCCACCCGCCGCAGGAATGGCTTCAGTGTTCGTAGCAGCAAGGCAAAGTAGCTACGAAGGTAATTAATCCTGTAGTCGTCTTCTGCGCCGGATTGGATAAAGACATGGACGAAACGCCATCCGCAACAAATCAGCAGTCGTTAACACGGTCTTAAACGTTTAGGAGAAAAACGTCTTTAGGTACTTTAGTTACTTCACGCACCATACTTCAGCAAGTATGGTCGTTGAGACCGACAAACAAGCCAGGGCGCGAAGCAGGAACACCATTAAACCCCCAGCACCCTGCAGCAAACGCAGGGCGTCCATCCTGCCTAACCGAGACGCCAACCGCCTGCCGTCACAGCAGATGCCCGCCCTCCAAAGACATCACCGAAGGTCGAAAAGGCGACTCAATAACTACTAAAACTACAATCTGTATTGCGGTCCAATCCAATCCGAACCAAAGGTTGCCCTTTCCAACCAGACCTTTTTCCAACATGTGTACGCAGCAATAATCATATGCACACCGTTCCATGGCCGGGCACGAAGCTGAACGGCCGTACGTCACCGGAGCGGTGGAAGAAACAGTGAACCAATCTAGGAGAGCAAACAGCGAGACACAACAAAGCGTGGCTACATCTCAAAACCTCGATGCATAAACTATACGCGACATATGGATAGGGAAAACAAGGCCGTTCGAATGCCTGCCCCTTAAACGAATGGGGCCGCTGCCTTGCCCCGCTACAAGCGTCCCCTCGAACCTCGGCAAACAGAAGAGGGCGACGCATTTACAAAACGAGCAGAAGGTGGCTTCGTGGATATGACCCCCACATGTCCTTAACGAGGACCACCTTCCTTTGTTCAGCGCACTACAATGGCGCTATCCTACAAGGTACTTTGATTATTACAACACGGCAACAGAAGGCAGCTGCAGCTGCCGACCCAACTTGAAACCCCAACCAAGTCGACGGGCAGTCATGCGACCAGCCGAACAACACCAACCCGACCCAGCTAAACCCAACTCCTCTGTCACTGCGATCGACTACCGCAACACGCAAACGCCTACAAAGCGTCTGACCCCCTTCCCCTAATAACCGTGCCCGACTTTGCCCGCCCAGAAAAGCGCTTCCAAAACGCCGATGACAGCTGGACGGCGGTAAAGAGTGCAACGCCACCACATGCCAAAAAAGTGGCCGACTAACCATGGCCTCTGCTGCAATTCCAGGCGTGCCTTTACGACTCATTTGGTATATTAGACGGCACCACCTGTGACCCTGATCGGACCCCAAAACATACTTCTCTCTCTCTTACCATGTGTAAAGCTCTTCTCTCCTCACCAGTTAATGCCGCATATGTGTCATAATATGGCAATACCAACACCTTGTGGGATACCGCCGGCTTACAATTAGTAAGCCAGCTATACACACACAGGCAAAACAAGCTAATTTACCTTGCGAGCAAAAATCCGCCGGGTTCCGCCAATCAGCCATCTCCTCTGACCCATGCGTCTCGGGCTAGCCAACTAACTTGACAGCCGGAACCCTCCCACCCCACACACACTCCGAGCGCTCTCCACTCCTCCCAAGTGTCCGGGCCCCAAGCTCTCCACCTCTCTCCACCGCTCAATCCCTCTGATTCGTACTACTCTTTCCACCTCATCCCCATGCATTCGAACCCGCTTCGGCCCCATGCATGCACACATAGCCTCTCCGCTCATTAGCACCATCAACAGCATCATCTCCTGCCCCAGTTGCTAACAATCCTACCCCATGCACCGCCTCCATCTGCTCTAAGATCCCTTGTCCTGACCGACATCCCCCTTCACCCCACTGATCGGTCCCTTTGCTGGCGGCCTACTCGCGTAGCCAACCCCTATCCTCAATGAACAGCTTTGTGAAGCCAACCCCTATGCGTTAGCCCAACGCTGTGCCGCCTAAGCAACCGCCAAAACGCGATTCCCGTGGCAACCCTGGCACAGCGCAGTGATTGAAAATATGGTGCTGTGCTGCTGCGAGTTGCAGACCTCTCCCAACTCCGCACGCAGAGAGGGACGCGCGCCGCCGCACACGCACCCGCCGCAACGGTCTGCGGCGGCCGTCGTCTCGGCCTCCATGCACATCCTGCGGCGGCCGCACTGATTGCACGATGCCATGATGGAGAGCAGCAGCGGCGGCAGAGTGCAATGGCACATCTCGCAGGGGTCGAGCTCCGCGCAGCAGCTGTTGTTGTTGTTGCCGGCAGCAGCGGCAGCAGCTCCGCGCGCATTGGCGCTGGGCTTGATGTCTTCGTTGAGATCTTCTTCGACCTTGAAACCGAATGCGGGAGGCAGGGTGGCGGAGCCGCAGCGACTCCGGCGGCCTTGGGCATGCGCCGAACCCTGGCCTTGCATGGTGCTGTTGATGTTGTTGTTGTTGTTGGCGTTGTTGCCGCCCGCCGCGTTGTTGGCGCCCGAGTGGGGGTCCACCTGGTGCAAGCCGCCCAGTGCGGCCATCAGGGTGTCCACCTGGCGGGGTTCGGAGGGGCGGGGAGGGGAGGAGAGGGGAGCAGCAAGGGAGGGGGGGGGGAAGAGGTAAAGGAATGAGAAGAGGGGAAACAAAGGGCGAGGGTGTTTGTGCCATGTATGGCCCATTCCAGTGGAGAAAGCCTACAGGGAAGCAACGCGATGATACAGTAGCCCCAGAAGGGGAAGGACATCATGTGGTCAGCCATGCAACACACCCCTCCTCTCCACCACACCCCACCTGGTAGTGCCCCATTTGGAACGCCAGGTGAAAGGGCGTCACGCCGCCATCCGACCGCAGGTGCGTGAACGCCGCCGGCCAGCCGCAGTGGTCCAGCAGCAGCAGCGCCACCCGCGCATCCTCCAGCATGGCGGACAGGTGAAGCGGCGTGATGCCTGCGGGACCCGCCGCGTCTACACGCCAGCGGTAGCCGTGGCTGTCGCCCCAGGCCAGCATGCCCGCCAGCAGCGGAATGCTGCCGCTGCGAACCGCGCGGTGCAGCAGCGACAGACCGCGCTTGTCAGCGGTGGGTGCGGCGCCAGCAGAGGTCGTGGCGGCTGCGGCAGCAGCGGCGGCGGAAGGCACGCTGGCGGCGTGGATGGCGGCAACCATCTCCGCGGCGCAGGAGCAGCTGGCGCAGGCGAGGGGTAGCACAGCGGAGGCGACGGCGGCCCAGCCCATGTCGCAGGCCATTGCCAGCAGGCGACGAGCCTGTGAGGCAGTAAGGGATATGGACAGCAGCAGCATTGGGTAAAAGGCGCACGGTGTTCAAGTGTCTGATTGCCGTTATGGTCTATAGGAATAGGATCGTGCCCCAGCGGTGGCATGGAATGTAACATGCTGCCGCTCCTGCGCCCAAGATGTTCTCATGGACTGCTGCTTCGACGCAACTGACGACCATGCCACTGCCATGATGGCACAAAAACAACACCCCGCCAACCTCCCACATGACGCCACCCAGGTCATCCACCCACCTTGAGCGCAATGGCCGCATGCGGCAGCTGGCTCGCGACCCCCGGCTGCCCAGCAATGTGTTGCAGCACCAGCGCCAGATCCTGCAGCAGCAGCTCCACCAGCTCGGCACGCAGCGGGCCGTGGCGCACGTCCAACCTGCATGGGTGGGTTGGTGGTTGGTTGGAAACCACAAACAAGCGAGACCGAAATAACCAAACAACCTAATAGTAAGATTTAAACATGATTGCTATCGAAGCCCTGAACGGCTGCTAATAAACCCTAAAATGCTCATTAAACTGCACTTCATCGTGTGCAACCCCGCGCTCACCGGTTGATCTCCTCCACCAGCGCCGCGTCCTTGGCCACCAGCAGCTGCTTGGCGGGGCTGAGGTAGGCGCCGCGGCTCACCTCCAGCCACACCGGGCCGCACAGGTCGGGCAGCGGCGGCAGGCGCACCACTGCGCGGTGGGTGGACAGCGGCTGCAGGTGCGCCTTGACGTGCTTGTTGCCCCAGCGGACAATGACCTGGAGCCAGAAAGAAAGGAGGGGCGGCAGGATGATCAGGTATGCAGCCATGCGTTAGGGTGAAAACGTATTGGGTGAGGCTGACAAGGGCGACAGAAGCGAACGAAAAGCGGTGAGAAATCAGAGCTCATAACCCGGGTACTGCACAACTGCGCATCCCCACACAACAAGACACATCCCCGTCTCGTCCATGGCAGCGTCCCACCAATCATTCATTTACAAAGCACGCGCCCACAAACCATCACCCCTTTCCCACATCCTCCCGCCTAGCAGCCCGGACCCCCATCCCTCCGCCGCCCCCCTCACCGAGCAGCCCGGCGCGTCCAAGTTCACTCCATGCACCCTCAGCACCACCGGCTGCCCAGCCATAGCTGCAAGCGGCGCCAGCCTCCGAATGATGGGGAAGCGCCCGTCCCCACGACTGCTGCCGCCTGCCGCCGCCCCAGCGCCCTCCGCCGCCTTGTCACTGACCAGCTTCCCGTCCCGCACCAGCACCACATCCGCTCCCAGCTGCACCGTGTACATGCCCACGTGCCAAAACGGGCAACCCGTACGAGTCAGCAGGTGCTCCGTGAGGCTCTCAACGGCCCCGGGAGCCGCCGCCTGCGCCGCCGCCACCTCGTCCACCAGCATCTGGATGGTGAGGAACACGCAGCCCGGGCGGATGGACGCCTCCATGGCGGCAGGCGCGGAGGCCAACCAGCTGGTCACCTGGTTGCGTAGGTCGGTGGGCAGGTCGGCAGGCGTCTTGTTGAAGAGCTTCATGGACAGGCGGACGATGCGGTGCTCGCTTTCGAACGCGGGCGCGTAGTCGTTGCGGCCCGCCAGGATGTCGCGCGCCAGTCCGTAGGTGCGGGCCTGGTCGGGGGCGGATGCGTCGCTCGAGGAGTCTGCGGGGCTGCCCGCAGCGGCGCCGAGAGCGGCAGCCGGCTGCGCGGCCGGCAGCGCGGGGTGTGTGGGCACGCCCAGCAGCAGCCGGAGTGCATGCAGCTGCGTGGGGTTCTGCATCAGACAGGCCAGCAGCTTGCCAACGTCGCCGTCAAAGGCGACGCCGCCGGCTGCGGCGGCAGCCGCGCTGACGGCGCCTGCAGCCGCGGCGTCGGCTGCTCCGCCCCTGCCCTTGGCCTGCTCCGCCTGCGCTCGGCGGCGGCGGCGGGCGTTGTGCTTGGAGAGCTGGTCGCGGCAGCTCTTGCGGTTGCCGTCAAAGGCCGTCAGGTCGTGGAAGCGGCCGCACTGCTGGCAGAAGCGCTGCAGCCGGCCGTCCTTCATGACCTGCGACAGGAAGAGGACGGGGAACCGGAGGACAGGAGCGTAAGCACAAGAGGTCTAAACTGATGTATTGAGCGCTTTGCGCTAAAGACCAATAACAGTTTCCCCCCATCATTCAACATTAGTCGCACCCTTTCCCCATTACCCCATTACCCAGCCCTCGCCACTCCCCCTTTCCCACCCCCCACCCACCTGCTGCAGCTTGATGTGCACATCGCAGATGCGGTAGCGCTGGTGGTACTCCTTCAGGTTGGACAGGTCCTTCCCGCAGCCCGGCACCTGGCACACCATCAGCCCGTTGTCGTCGCCCACGTCATGCAGCGCCACCACGTCGCCCAGCAGCAACAGCCCGGGGTGCATCTGCTGCGCACCACCGCGATGACCGCCGCCCCCGGCACGACGAGCCGCCTCCGCCTCGTCCTCACTCTCGGAAATGGCAAAGTCGGAAAGGTCGCCTGGCATGGCCGCCTCACCGGCGAAGCCGCCGCCGCGGCCGCCCGCGTAGCCCCCACCGCCCTGTTGGACGGGCCGATCAGCGGGCTGAACCGCGCCTTTGTTGGAGCTGTCGGCCTGCTGCCTGCCGCCGCTGCAGGTGGGGCCGCCGGCGGCGCGGTTGCCGCTGCAGCAGGGCGGCTTGACGTTGTCGGCGCTGCCCTGCAGGGAGGTGGTGTCGCCCGAGGAGCCCAGAGCGGGGGAGGGGATGGAGGAGGGCGGCACTGCGACACTGGCCTGGTGGTTGAGCAGGCCGGAGGGAGCCTGGAAGGCGGGGGAGGGAAGGGGAAGAGCCGGCGGAGAGGCGCCTGGGAAGGCAGGCAAGGCCAGGCCGGGCATCTGGAGGGACATGGGCTGAGCGCCCCAGCCCAGCCCTGCGAGGGGTCCGTTGCCGCCGGCCATGTTGGCGAAGAAGCCGGGAGCGACAGCGGCAGCAGCGGCGGCGGCAGCTGCAGCGGCAGGAGCGCTCATGTCGGGCATTCCGCCCCAGCCCATGTTGCCCGGCAGGCCCATAGCCATCGCCATAGCGCCCATCTGTGCACCGGTGGCAGCTATGGGAGCGGCAGCGGGAATTGCGGGGGGAGGAGCGACCAAGCCGGCGCCATGGCAAGTGCTGGTTGCGCCGCAGGTCTCAACCACGCGATTTGGGAGCAGGCTGTTGAGCGCTGTCTGGAGTGAACCTGCCAGAGATTGTGGCTGTTGGGATTGGGATGCTGCATTGCCGCAGCAGGCTGCAGCGGCCGGCGGGCCCGGCCGGTTGTTGCCATGGGGACCATGGCCGGGCTGACATCCGGCTTGTTGATTTTGCTGCTGCTGGGGAGCCTGCTGTGGTGCTGAAGTGGCTGTGTTGTCAACTACCTTTCGCCGCTTCAGCGCCTGGCAGCATGCGACGTTAGGAACCTCTTTGGGTGCCGCGAACATATTGAAAGGATCCCAGTTCCAGTCTTCCACAGCCCATGTTTGATCATCTCCTGTAAAGTGGAAGTGAACAAAAGCATTGGTAAACTGACAGGTCATGGCGCACCAAAAAGTTCAACGACATGACAGGGAAGGTCGTCCTCACCTTGCAGCAAAAAAGGATCAAGATCGCTGCTGGTTATAGAGTTAGCACGTTCCGAACGTGTTTCCTCTCCATTGAAGATGTTTGTCAAGTCCATTGCAGGGGACTGCCTGCAAGGGAGATACGGTCCACAATCCGGTGAACCTAGCTAGCAGGCCGCCCTCGGCGCGCGCTCTAGGTAAAAACATTGAGCTCTCCAGAAGTTCAAGATGCTTATTAAAGCTAGACTGTGCCTCAAGCAAAAGGAATTTATGCACGCCATGCAAGGGAAGCCAGTCATTGGCTCGCCCTAGAAACTATGCCCGGCCTACGTCCAGCTATGACAGCCCCAAAAACCAACAGGTGAAGACTATGGTAAAATGAGCGTTCCATAAGGAGGCACTAGAGCGCACCTAGACGGGGAAGCGGGCCTTAGCTCGCCTCCACGCTAACAGACTCCAAGATGAGCTCTAGCAAAGGCCGTTGGCGACTTTTCCTCAGCCTTTGCGTATTCGCAGCGTAGTGCTCCGTTGTGGCGAAAGAGGCTGAGGAAAGTTAGTCTCGGAACAGGTCTTCGACAAGAAGCTGTTAAACTGCATATGCCATGCGATTATACATAGTTGTGTATAGCATACTGCTACCAAATGTTGATAGCATGTGCATGCTGAAGCTGCGTTCGGGGAAATGACACGCGCCCAGTACTACACTCTCAGCTCATCAATTACGTGTTTACGTCAAGTCGTGCCCAGCCGTCCTCCTATACCGTGGCGAGAAGACTTTCATTAGCGCTTTAATATCCATCTTTTAGCACCACTTAATAGCTGATGTTTTTTTCCGCCCTCCTAGGCATGTCTTGGCTGGGAAATGGGAACTGTCATTTCTGAGGCAGCCGCAAACATTTGAAACGTTGGAAACCTAGCTGGGACCAACTAAAAAAGAAGGCACACCCAGTGTTGTCGTTTCGGGTTTCAAGAATGTTGACCGACAGCACTTGTGGACCCAAGGATGCACCAATGTTGCTCCGTTGGACACTTTCCTGTTCTAGATATGGACCCCGATGTGCACGTAATGGAAACGTTGGGGCTGCATCTAGAACAAGGCCGAGCGCGTTTAGTGTGTTGCCCGGAAATCAGGATTCTTGCGCATTCTGCCTTTTATATTGCTATCGCGAAGAAACCCGATCTTTTCGCGCCCATGGGTCCTACGCCGGAAGTTTAGACACTTGTGTTCGTCGTTCGTGTACCTTCGGGTGTAGCTCGCCCTCTCATACCACCTATGGGTAAGACATAGCTACATGCCAAGACTGAATATCTAGTCCTGCGATGTTGATTAGGGCAGCATGACTTCTCGTTCCAAAGTATTCTGTCGTGTTGTTCCCCTAACCACGCCACGATCACCAGCAGGCAGCCATAACGTCCCTGCAACAAGGGGGATTCAGACAAACGGGTAAAACGTACAGGCCGTCCTCTATACTTAGACCAAGGACCTGTGAGGCGTTCATAACTCACCCGGGGCAACAGCCCCTTCCAATTCTCTACCAATCGTTTCCCCGACTCGGCAGCAGCACTGCAACTAATAACCGCGAACGCTGCCGGCTTCTTTGTGATTTACCACAGCCGCTGGTTACTTGTCAGTTTCCTTTTCAAGACTCTGCGCCGCTCCATTTCGTAAGAAGAGGGACAAAGTATATGTAATTTGTGAGGCTCCGAATGCATCTTGTGGCCTGTGGGGGAAGGGGCTGGTGCCCCTTCCCCCAGACCCCCATCCCCCTATGCGTGCAACATGCACTTGCATCGTCACCTCCAGGACAGCAATGTAGACACATTTTCGTCACTTTTGTGTTGTGTAACTTAGCCTACTAAAGTAATGCTTTTGTATTCGCTAGGACCGCGGGCGAAGGTTGTTGGCTTCCTCGCACAGCCGTTAACTAGTGCCCGGGCAGTGTGATCTTGCGTGTAGATGCTCCATACAGCCCCCTGCGTGCCTTTAAGGTAGGTGTGGCCATGGAATGGGCCCGATCACGGCCTGTACCGGTTAACCGGTTGCCAGCGTGATCAGCCCCTCACGGGGCCTCGCACAGCCGTTAACTAGTGCCCGGGCAGTGTGATCTTGCGTGTAGATGCTCCATACAGCCCCCTGAGTGCCTTTAAGGTAGGTGTGGCCATGGAATGGGCCCGATCACGGCCTGTACCGGTTAACCGGTTGCCAGCGTGATCAGCGTGATCAGCCCCTCACGGGGCCTCGCACAGCCGTTAACTAGTGCCCGGCCAGTGTGATCTTGCGTGTAGATGCTCCATACAGCCCCCTGCGTGCCTTTAAGGTAGGTGTGGCCATGGAATGGGCCCGATCACGGCCTGTACCGGTTAACCGGTTGCCAGCGTGATCAGCGTGATCAGCCCCTCACGGGGCCTCGCACAGCCGTTAACTAGTGCCCGGCCAGTGTGATCTTGCGTGTAGATGCTCCATACAGCCCCCTGAGTGCCTTTAAGGTAGGTGTGGCCATGGAATGGGCCCGATCACGGCCTGTACCGGTTAACCGGTTGCCAGCGTGATCAGCGTGATCAGCCCCTCACGGGGCCTCGCACAGCCGTTAACTAGTGCCCGGGCAGTGTGATCTTGCGTGTAGATGCTCCATACAGCCCCCTGCGTGCCTCTAAGGTAGGTGTGGCCATGGAATGGGCCCGATCACGGCCTGTACCGGTTAACCGGTTGCCAGCGTGATCAGCGTGATCAGCCCCTCACGGGGCCTCGCACAGCCGTTAACTAGTGCCCGGGCAGTGTGATCTTGCGTGTAGATGCACCATACAGCCCCCTGCGTGCCTTTAAGATAGGTGTGGCCATGGAATGGGCCCGATCACGGCCTGTACCGGTTAACCGGTTGCCAGCGTGATCAGCGTGATCAGCCCCTCACGGGGCCTCGGTAGAGTTGCATTTTGACATCTTTTTTATGACGGACACAGGTGGTTGAGGTCGTTATCCTCTTTTTTCTTGTGTGCCCTTTCTCCTTTGCACTTAACACCTTCAGCTCGTAGGTCCTGCACCACGCTATTGCTTTCTGCAGTCTGCGCGCTCCTTCCGGCTTTTTCCACGTATTTCAAATTATACCGTTGGCGGTTATGCTCCTGGAACGCTGTTCTACTTAGCGGCTTAACCACCCTGGCCAGCGCAACAGAAATTTAGCGCCACAGCGTTTGCTTTTCAAGGCCAGGTAAACTATACCCGCGGGCAGCCAGCAGTAGCCCTGTTTCCATGGGCGCAGGTTTGGTTTCGGACAGTTCCTACGTGTTTCCATGAGGACTGTCGTACGAAATTTTCACGCAGGAACTCCCTATTTTTTATCACAAGCATGTTAACGGGCTCCCTCCAAGCGTCACGACCATACCTCACCTGTTTCCTCGACTACATGTAACCAGCTACGTTCGCAAACCATATGCCCTTCCATCAACCAAGGAGCCTTCGCCTGCTTTCCCTAAACCGGACTGCCCGCCCAGATACAAGCGATACAAAAAGCCCACTGACCTACTGGCCTAAAACGTCAAGTGCAGCCCAAACCCTGGGCCTTGAATACCATAGCAAGCGGACGCTAATGGGAAACTTCGGAGCGGTGAGATGCCTATGGCCTCTCCTCCCCTTCGCACACGGCAAGGCAAGGCAGGCAAAAGACCTGCATTCACGCACCACCTACCCAGCCACGCCTAACCACCCAGCCACCAAAGACGCACCTCTGTCAGTTGCAATAAGCAGCCAGCCTTGCCATCTGCATCGACTGTTACCCCATCACAAACAAAACACAGACACGGTCAGGGTAACTGGACCCGGTAAGCAAGCAGCAGCACACGTCAGCAAGTACAAAAGGTTCAAAAGTCACGCCTTCATTCCAGGCGCACCGCAGCTGGGTGAGAGCACCAGAGACAGGGTGAAGACCGGCAGGCTTGAAGGTCCCAGCCGGCGCACGCACATGAATTTTCCCTTCCTGACCCGCGACGCTACACCCGCGTGCCCCCAGCATCATCCGATTCATCGCCACAACATCATGAGCACCGCTTCACCGTAAGCGTTAGGCTGGAAGCAAGCGACTGCTCTGCCGCAAAATATAACAAAACAAAGCATTCCACTTTTAAATACCATGTTCCATAACTGCCACCTACGCAATCAGCACAACATGTACACACACGGCCAGTTTTCTCGCGGCCAGTTTTCTTAACATACGGGGATGTGCACACACACCTCCCATCCCAGTGAGCCTGTGCGCTAGCATTGCCCGGTCGAAAGAAGCAGCCCCCGAGTAGCGAGTACGCTCAAGCGCACAAACCACTCGCACAGGGACCCGGTTTCCAATGGAACTACGGTAACCGAGTGTTTAGTTTGTCTCCTCGACGTGGGAGTGCACACCGTGTAGCCACACGACAACGCCGCCCCGCTCCTTCCCAATCCTCGCGACCCCTCTTATTTACCGCCCGTCTCCGCCCTCATTGCGCCTCTCCCGCCCCCTCCTTACCCCTCTCCCGCCAAGTACCCAGGCCTCTGATTCACAAGAGGGCGTCAGACACACAACCGACCCTCAGGTTGCCGGCACCACCCCTAGCGCTGGAGGGCCGTACAGTGCATCAAGCAACCTGGCAGCGAGTAGGAACAGTGCATGCATGTGCACGTTCCAACTACAGCACACAGTGTTGTGGCAAGGTTAACGTCAACACATAGCGCACATGCGCAGGTGTAATGCCACCTGTCAGGGCATATCAAAGCATACGAGCCACAGCATTTTTGCATCTTCTCCTTGAATGACCTCCTCCGCCCCCTTTGCCAAGTTTCCATTGCAGCCATGCGTGACAAGGACATAGGCTTGCCAACCACCCCCCAAATCTCATGATAATCCCCCTCCTCTCTCATCTTCCATATAGTCATCACGCATATCTCTCAGCCACCTCCGCCCCAGTGCCGCCAAGTAACAATCCTGACCACCCCTCCCGGCTCATTAGTCGTTTCTTCTTCACTTCCCGGTAACCCATGCCGCTCCCTATCCTTTACTTCCCCCCCGCAGTCGCCGCCACCACCTCCTGCACCGGCATCACACCGCCTTGTCCGCCTCCTCTTGCCTCCACTGCCTTGCTCTTGGCCGCCTCCATCTCATCCGCCTCCGATCCCTCCTCCAGCGTGCTCACCGGCCCCTTGAACCACTTGTAGGCTCCGTAGTAGGGAAAGTAGTACCAGATGAGGCTGAGCGCGCAGGTGGCCAGCAGCGTCACGCCTGCGCGGTGTGGTGAGGCGGGCGGGCAGAGGGAGACCGGGTAACAACGGGGTTGTGTTAGCATGCGTGCGGGTGAGGGCGTGTGTGTGGTGGGGGTGGGGAAGGGGGGGTTGCAAGCCTTGACGTCATCCTTACGCATGCGTACACTAATTTACATCCGCACCCCCCCCCGCGCGCACCTCCCATGCACTCCCCACCCCATCATTGATGCTGCAGGTACCAAAACGAGGACGGTCTTCCGGTCTTCTATGGTCGCGGTCAGGGAATGCACTATGTGTCTGGCCTTCCGCACTTATCCCTCCCCTCCTTACCTGCATAGTTGAGGTTGGTGCTGTTGGTTGGGTATTCCGTTGGCAGCGAAAACACCACCACAATGAAGCCCACCCACAGCGTGGCGATGATGCCGATAGGGTAGGCCGCCCAGCCCAGGTTGAAGGGGCCGGGTTTGAAGCGGCGGGCGCCCCAGGGCAGGATGCGTGCAGTGGTGGGGGCCACGTAGGCGATGTTGAGCGCAATGGTGGAGAGGGAGATGATGGCGGTGAAGGCCTCCTGCGGGGGGAGAGGTGGGGGGCAGGAGGCGGGGGCAGGAGGAGGAGGGTGAGAAACACCGTGTGCAGCGGGGGGGCAGCAGAGGGGCCATCAGGCCAACACACATGCATGGTTGGGTTCGCAACGGAGCCCCCCCCTGCCCCCAACAGGGCAGAACTTGTGGTCTCCTATGGTTTGGTATGGTCTTTGTCCCCCCTGTCCCCAACAGGTGAGTCGTGCCGCACCCTCGTTCCTGAACACCCTTTGTCAATTGTCGTTTCAAGTACTACCCTGCCGCACCCTGTTACCCCCGTTACACCACACGCTCCCCCTTATCTCCATTGCCTTGCGCCAACCTGTGGTTTCCTATGGTTCGGTATGGTCTTTGACCTCCCCCTCTCATATAGCGCGACCAGCTTCCACCCCCCCCACCTCGCTCCCCAGCATGGGCAGCCCCAGCAGGAATGCCGCCAGCGCGGTGCCCCACACGGCCGCCAGCGGGGCCTTCAGCCGGGAGTTGTAGCGGATCCACACCGAGGCCAGCGGCACGGCGCGGTCGCGGGAGTAGGCGAACAAGATCCTGCATGCAAGGGAGCGGGGGAGGGCAGGGAGCGGGAGAGGGGAGGGGAGGGGTAAAAGACAGAGACACGAACCATTTGACGAGGTGGGTGTGAGACATGGGGGCGGGAGGCGGCGGAGGCGGCAGGACAGGGGCTGCGGTGAGGGTGTGAGGACAGGAGTGCCGGATGCGGGCGCATGCTGAGCACCCCGGGCAGTGAGAGGAGTGTTGGTTCTTACCTTTACTCTTGTATTCCCCTCCCTCCTCGTGTTTTCCTTTCTCCCTCCCCCTCAGGCATAAGGGGACCATGCATCCCCTCCCCGCCCCCTCTCCCGCCCGCCCCCACCTTGACACGTATGTGAGTGTGGAATGCGCGCAGAAGTAGATGCCCCCCAGCGGCACCATCAGCAGGATGATGCCGCCGGTGCCGCTGCCGGTGCGCTGCTTGAAGGCGTTCCAAAAGATCTGAGCCACGGGGTTGCCGTTGGCCTCCGACGGCACATCGCCAGCTCCCAGGACCTGCAGCCGGGTAAACAGCAGCAGCAGCAATACCGGTATCAGTAGTTCAGTGCCAATAGACCGGCAGCAGTCAGTCAGCTAGCGCTTCAGGTACCTTCCTTACATGACTGGTTGGTGCCCCCCTGGGCAACCCGCAAGCATGGGCGTCCTTACCCATTCGCCACAGCACCCACCATTGGGGCAATGGCTGCAGGCTAAACTGGTTTGGACTCGACGGGTTTGGCCAACTCTCTTCCTTTGCCTAATCATCGCAGCTGGTCTTCCCTGTACCCCACCCCCCCCCACCCCCGAATGCGCTCACTGCATGAGTCGGGATTGGGACTCGTTGTTTCACTTATATAATTTTTCCCCCACCCCCCGGCGCCCATGTTGACGCCTTATCCCTCAGTCAGTTAATTGTTTCCTCTTCACCCCCCGCCCCACACCTGCAGGTAGTCCGTCACGCAGAACAGCAGCGACACCACCCAGCTCCAGCCCGTGACAATCATGAACACCACCCCCAGCATGATGCCCCAGGGCGCCGCCATCGAGGCGTTGGTGGTCTCCTCGCTCATGTGCGCCGGGCCGTCGTAGCCGGTGAAGGCGTAGGCGGGCAGCAGCAGGCCCAGGATGAAGGTGTAGCTGCAGGGGGGGGAGGTGGTGGTGGTGAGGGGGGGGGGGGTGGGGGGGGAAGGGAGGGGAAGGGTTTAGGTAACCGTTTGGCATGCAGGCTCCACCCTATTTATCGCCACCGCGGACTCGGTTTCGATACTGCCGCTGACCCTCCCTGTGTCTTCCGGCACCCTGCCGCCTCCTTCCCCCATTGTTTTGCCCTAACCTATGGGAACCTGTGCCTTAGTCTACTAACAAACCCCCCGCTCCTTCTCCCCCCCTCCCCCTCCCCCTCCCCCGCCCCGCCCCGCCCCGCCTCACAAGGGGTTCTTGATGCCCGCTCCCTCCGCCAGCTGCGTCTCGAACTTCCTGAACACCCACTCCGAGGTGGCGTGCTGCGGCGTCACGCAGGGCACCACCACGATCACCAGCACCACCCCGATGATGGTCCACCAGGCGCCCAGCTCAGTGATGGCGCCCACGTGCTCGAAGGGAAGCGAGTTGACGGAGGCCTGGGGGCAGGGGACAGGGGGCGGGGGAGGAGGGGAGCGAGATATACCAGGACCACAGGTTAGGGCAAAGCCATTGGGAGGGGGGCGGGGGCCAAAGATATACCAGAAACACAGGTTAGGGCAATGTAGCAATTAGGGCAGGAACCCGTATGTTAAGAAAATTGGCAGACAGGATCTAACTGTGGTAATGTAAGGTAAACGAGGTAACGGGGGCGAACGCCACCTTCCCCCACCCCAACCCCACCGCCCCCCCCCTTACCGTCAGCACCAGGCACGCCGTGTAGATCCCCATGAACTGCTTGTTGTTGGGGAACCAGCCGGACCCCTCCGCCCCCTCGCCACCACCGCTGTAGTCCGCAGGCAGCAGCGCGCTGCCCTCCGCACCCTCCACCTGCTGCTGGGGTGTGGCGGTGCCGGTTGCGAGTAGCACGATGGTGGAGATGATGTAGGCCATGAAGTAGTGCGTGGAGGCGAGGGAGGCGATCTGGCCCAGCAGGTTCAGCCAGCCTGGGGGTGGGGGCGGGGTGGGGACGGGATGGGGGGAGGTGATGTCGTATTGGGTTTTAATCGCAACGGGTTGTAGTACCGGTATTGTAGAAGGGCGAGCGGAGGGGAGGCGAGGAGGGGTGTTGTAACTGAGCAGCGAAAGGTACCAAAAAGTGGAGAAGGGGCGGGATCGGGGATGAAGGGGAACGGGCGCGTATGGGTCTGCTTATGTGTCGTGGCCTCTGTTGCATGCTGACCCGCCCCTCTTTGCATGCATGGGTGGTCCACGTCCGTCCACCGCCTCCAGCCGACTCCTCCTCTCCTCCTCCGCCCTATCTGTGTGTGCGAGTGTCAGCCCACACACCGCAGCCCGCACGCACCTGTTACCCTGAGGGAGGAGGGGTGTGGAGAAGGGCGGGAAGCGCACACATGCTGTCAGCATTAGGGCAGCACTAGGGTAGCATTAGGGTAGCATTAGGGTAGTAGAGGAAACGTCCGTTAAGAAGGACACATGCTGGCGGACGGTTTGGAGAAGCCGTCTCACAGCCCTCACACGTCCACACACGTGCAGCATGCAGCTCATGCAGCCAATGGGCCCGCCCGCCGCTTGACGCCTTTCGAGCCGCCACCATCACCACCACCACCCCTTCACCCTGCCCTGTCCTGCCCCACCCCGCCCCTCCACCTCCTACCAGCAGATGAGCGGCCCCACGGAGGGCCCCGTGAGCTGGAAGATCCAGTAGTACATGCCTGCGGGTCGGGCGGCACCCGAGGGGAAGGGGGCGGTGTGGTAAGGAGGAGTCGAACCCGGGTTAGCTACCGACTTTTGGCTTGCCGTGAGGGGAAGGCGCGAGGCGGCAAAGGGTAGCAAGCCACGGCGTCCTACCGGCCAACCGACTCAACTACCAACGAAATGCCCCAACCTGATTCCAGACAAGGCAGCTCCCAAGCAGCAGCCGCAGCCCCCAACCCACCCCACCTCCGCTGGTTGGGTAGGCGGAGGCCAGCTCTGCGGACGGAGAGGAGGAGGCAGGCGAGGAAGCAAGGGGGTGGGAAGCGGAGGAGGGAAGCACAAGCATGGAAGTAAAGGCCACACACACGCTAGGTGGTTGGTTGTACTGCAATACTGTCGCAGCATTGCAGTACAGGGCTAGGACTACACAAAACCCTGAAGACCAAGCTGTCGAAAGGACATACATACCCTGCATTACAAGTTTACGACGGCGCAACATGGAACGCAGCTAGCTCCTGCTTCCACAATCCTGTATAGGACATTCATTTCCTCTTAACCTCTACCTCCCTACGCCCCTACCTCTTCCCCCCCTCATGCTGCCTTTTCAATTATTACTTTCTTCCCCCCTACCTGCCATGCCCAGCGCCACACACAGGCTCAGCAGCGACACCAGCCACCAGCCCCACAAGCACACCACCGGCCCGCCGTACGTGAGGCCTGTGCCGAAGCTGCCTGCATGCGGGGTAAGAGAAGGGGACAGGTTCGGCCAATAGAAGTGGAGCATTTGTGGAAAATTTTGTGCATGTTTAGGTGGTGCATAGCCTTTGAACCAAATCCGGCAAACCCTTGTTGCCCCCGCATGCGTTGCGAAGGGAAGGCACACAGTTGCAGGCAAAGACCCGATTCCCCAATTATATCCTTGCCTATTTCCCCTCGTACTGCAAGGCATAGCCGCATTAAAATGTGGTTCATCTTCATCGTAAGCCTATCACGTGATTGCCGCCACGCTGGCGATTCCACGCTGACCTGTGATAGACAGCAGCACACCCATAGAGGATACCGTAACAGCGACGTTGGTGAACCATCTCCAGCCACGGTGCAGCACCTGTGCCCGATGCCGCCCGCCACACGCATGTCAGTCAACTTTCGTGAATCCCAACTCCGGAATATTCCTTAACAGAAACTTCGAATGCGTTACAAACCTGCTTGTAGCCCATGGCCTTAAGCCGCTCCTCCTCATATATGAGAGCAGCATCCTTGTCCTTAACGAAGAGTCCGATACCAAGCCCCATGGCTAACAAGGGTTAATATATCTTTAACCTGTTTATACTAGTTACCACGAGGAAGGGAAAGGGCCCCGCTAAGAACCAAGCCCAGCTTGGAGCTGTGGCTGGTGGCGATGACGCCTACACAGAATAAGGTCCAGCTAAGCCAACGGAATGCATTCCTGCAACGACTTGGAACTACGCTAGAGCTACTACAACGGAGTTGTCCTGTCAGCGGTGTACGGTGGTTGTTGCGGCGTTTAGACACTTTCGCCGTGGTGAGCTTCAGAACTTCTATGAAGTAGGTTTGGAGTTCCGCCAGCAGAGATACGCCTTATTACCGGCAGCTGTTCACAATTGGTGTTAGGGCGCCTGCACTTGTTCGCGGACGCCGTGCTTGGCGAGTTGTTTACGGGAAGGTCCCTTCTACTGGGCTCGGATGAGCAAAGAGTCACTCGCCATGTGACAGTTAGTTTCTTCACCTTGCAGCCACGCTAGTCGAGCGCCTGTCGTAAACGCTCATGTTTGCGCAATTGTGGTGGCCCATGGTTCATTGACCTGGTCCGATTTGGGTTATCCGCTTCCCACTTTGCCGCACTCATTGCGTCTATCCCGAACATACAAACTTCATTGCTGCACAATATAAACTCCTGCGGCCAGGATTCCGTTCACGTCGGTACTTTTGGAAGGAAAGCTAGAAGCCGCCGTTCAGACTTAGAAGTGCGCCTGGTTACGGACCTTTACTAAAGGTTATCGCCTTTGGCCCGACTAAAAGCGAATGAGAGATCTGCTCAGGGCGGATTCTGCTGGACGAGCTTTTAAGGGCTGTGCGCGTGATGCCCATGGGCGCCCAAAGCAGTGGCCAAGTCGAGCAAAAAATAGCGATCGCTGCCACAGTGCATAGCTTTTAGGCGGCAGCTTATAGCCGACAGTTCTGCCGACCGCGCACCAACGAATTGCACGTGCGAACCTCGTCTGTATCAGAACGAACAGATGCAATTGTATAAGTCCAGTCTGAAAAATAGAGTCGTGTGAATTTCAATAGCCAAGAAACAGTCTGCGATTTTTACAGAAACAGGCACTCGTCGCTTCCGCTTCATGTGCCGTAATGGGACGATCTGCTGGACAATTATGCAAGTAAACCCTGCCTGCGCCTGCACTGTTTCCACTTGACGCGCTTATTTTCAGCATTTGTATTTCTATACTGCCTGCCCAGCACTGTGGGGTTCCATGCGATGTCCTACCCTATCCTCCTAGGTTTTATGCCGTCTGCATATTAACTCTGCGGTAGTCGGGGCAACCTCGAACACTGGTTCGGGTGACAAATTCTATGCAATCATGTTTCGCCGTCGAAGGGACCAAGAGGTACGCCTGCGAAACTAGCGACCGCGGGTTCCATGCGGCACCTGTGCCACAGACTGAGTTCGGTGCCGCAGCGGCCGCATCATGTTTCTTACACCTCCAAATTCTGATTGGAGTTTGCCGCTGCACTGCCGCAAGCCTCTCTATTTGGCGTATCTTGTTTGAACCGCGCGCCATTTCCCTGCGCCCTCGCGAGCGGTGGTTTCCCTGAAGCCCTTTAACCATGGAGTAGTTTGGATATGAAACCCTGCTAATTGGAGTACAATTAACCCGTTTCCGTTTACAATGCGCCTTTTGGACAGAACAAAGGGCCGGAGCGGGAAGTCGCCTTCTGGAAGACCGAGCTGGATAAGGTCATTCAAGAGAAAAACACATGGATTGAAAAGTATATGAGGGTGAGACCTCTCGCATCCTTTACCACCAGCCCGCTTGCTTTCCCAAAGGCTTTGGCGTTGTGTTTCGCACAATCCTAACCGCTCCCCAAACAATCCGCGCTCCTTCAGGCGACTGAGGATGGGGAGGTCCTTCGTGCGGAGTTGTTCTTGTTGCAACGCGAAGCGCAGGCGGCAAAGGCGCAACTGGAGGTCTTTCGGCGACAGCAGGAATGCCGTTCAGCCATGGCATTGGAGGCCGGCTGCGGGTCCACCGCGGGAACACCACAAAGGTGAGAACTGAGCAGGACGTGTGTGATCACACAACCTAAGTAAAGGCAACATGCCCTTGGTACTTCAATCCTGGTCCCGGCAATCCTTTTCTACCTTTCGGCACCTGACCAACCTGGTGGAAATCACACCTTGCAGGGCACCAGCACCTCCCACCTCCGCAACTGCAGCCGCCGCCGGCGCCAGGGGCGCATGGGGCACCAGCGGCGGCGGAGGCAGCGCCGGAGGAGGCGGGGGGCTGTATGACTCGTACGGCATGGGAGCCATGAAGTCCCCCGCGGCTCATGCCGTACAAGTGGCGGCGGTTGCCAGCAGTTGCTCTCGGTCCGGTAGCCCCCGCTCTGGCGGCGTCGGCGGGGGAGGTGAAGCCGACAGTGGGGGTTTCGGAGGTGATGTGGGCGCGGAGCGGCGGTGCGCAGCCCTGGAGGAGCAAGTGGCCAACCTCAAGGTGAAGCAGTTGGCCTGTTGCGCCCTGTTGTTTATTACCCCCACACATCTCACTCCCTCCAATACATCCCCCCATCCACCCCAAGCATCTCATTGCTCCTTGCCCTCACCTTGCCAGCTTGTGTACCACCGAGTGTGCGAACCGGTATAGTTTACAGCATTCCTAGCCCCAGCATCCTAGCTCACTGACCTTACTCGCCGCACCCTACCCGCCGTACCCTACCCCTTTCCTCGCCCTCCTCCTCTTCCCCCCTTGCATGCCCGCAGTCCGAGATGTCCCGGCTGCAGCGGCAGCTCTCGGCCGCCGAGTGCTCCTCGCAGCAGGCGGACCTGCGTGCCGCGCTGGCGGAGGAGCGGGCGGCGGAGGCGGGCAGGGAGGCGGAGGCGGTGCGGAGGCAGACGGAGTTCATGCGGGCGGCCGCGGAGGCGCACCAGCGGGAGGCGGAGGCGGTGAGGGAGGGGGTGGGAGGCGGAGGAGAGGAGGAGGAGGAGCAAGGGGAAGGACAGGGGGCCCCGCTTTGATGAACGGGGCAGGGCATGAGGGGTTGTAGAACTGCGCTAGGAGGGATGGTTTTCGGGGCCGAGGCGGGGATGCTTGGCAGGTGAAAAGGATGTGTGTGTTTTGGTCGTTAGTTGGCATGTTGACGGTTGCATGGTGGGTCTGTCGAGATGTACGTACGATTTCCGGAGTCGCTGGACTCGTTATGGTACGTTGATCAGGAGACCAAACTGTTGGCTTGTCCACACCCGCTAATCTTCTTTTCCCTCTTGTTACTCCAACTTTAATGTTCTTCCCCCCCCCCCCGTTACCTTTGTTACTTGGCTTGGCACATGTGACCTCGCCACAGTTGCGAGTGGAGGTGCAGTCCCAGCGGTCCATCAACGACGAAACCGCCAATGAAACCACCAAGATCCTGATGGAGCTGTCGGCGGCTCAACAACGCTGCGCGAACCTCGCGGCGGAGCTCTCCAACAAGGAAAAGATGGTTGGGTTGTTGCAGTTGCAGTTGGGGGACATGGCAGCAGCAATGTCGGCGGCGGGTATTGGCGGCGGCCCGGGGCTTAGCGGCGTCAGCGGCGGCGGGGTCGGGAGCTTTGGCGGCGCCGCCAGCGGGCGTTACAGCATGGGCGGCGGCGGCGATGGCGGCGGGCGCGCGGTGAGTGCTGGGAGCGCGAGTTTGATGACGGCGGCGGGAGGATCGGCTGTAGCGTCGTCGGCGACGGCGCCGCCTACGGGTTCTGTGTCTTTGTCGGCGTCGGGTTGGGGCCTGCAGGTGCGGCGGGGACGGGCGGCAGCGGCGGCGGCGACTGTGGCAGCGGCGGCGAGTGCCGTCGGCGGCGGTGGGGCCCTGTACGGCGGCGCTGCAGTGCCTGCGGTGACGGCGGCGGCAGCGCTGCGCAGCGGGACGGTGGCGAGTGGTGGAGTGGGTGGCGGCAGCGACGGCGACGGTGGGCGTTACGTCGCCAATGAGTGGTCCTCCACTCGGCTGGACTCCCCGCAGGACGGCGGCAAGGTGAGGGTTGGCTGTTGCTTTCGGGCGAATGCGCTGAATAAATTGCAATAGGACAAGGGCTGCAATGCAATGTATCCGGCAGAGCTCTATGCTTACTGCCTTGCGTGCTTCAAAGCACACTGTGACCTTACCTCACACTTTAAGCCGCGCAAATCCCCGTGCTCTCTGCGTTTCAGAGTCCTGTGTTGAGCTCGGAGGTTGCCGGTGGTGACGGCGACGGCGACGCTGACGCCACCGCCACCGCTGACACCTGCGCCAGCGGCACCCCGAACCGCCTCTGGAGCGCCGCCGCCGCTGTCGCCGCCGCCGCCGCCAACGGCGATGCCACGCCTAGCGCCAGTCGCAGCCCGAGCCCGGCGTTCGTACAGGAGCCTGGCGGTGGCGGTGACGGAGGCGCCGCCGCTGCCGCCGGCGTCGGATGCATCGGCGGCGCCGGCGCCGGCAGCAGCCTTGTGTTCAGTCCGAGCCCCTTCCCGGTGTCCAGTCCAGTCCTCAGCAGCGGGCCCTGCATGTCATCAAGGGCCGCTTCGAACAGCCCCTTTACCCCAATTGTCAGCAGCGGCGGCGGCGGCGGAGTGCTGCTGACGTCGTCGCCTGCTGCCACCCCTAGTGCGGCGTCCGTATCGCTGACACAGGGGTCGGCTACTGCTACACCCGCCGAGTCGCAGGTAGCGACTCCGATGGTGACAGCAGCGGCGGCGTTTCAGACACCGATAATCACAGCGGCGGTCGTCGCGACGCCGGTTGCGTCAGTGGCGGCGGTGACGCCGCCGCTCATTGCGACGACGACGCCGTCGGAGATAGCGGCGCTGGCGACTCCGCCGGTCCGCGCGCCGGTGACGTCAGTGGCAGGGCCGGCGGCGGCGGCGGCGACACGAGCGGCGGCGGTGACTCCGGTGGCTGCGTCATTGCCGGCAGTTGTACAGGCACGTGCGGTGACGACGCCAGCTGTCATGACGCCCTTGTACCAGGAGGTGGCGATGCAGGTGGGTGGTTTTGGGTACCTGAAACACGCCAATGGCGCCCTAACAAAGTTTACATCAAGCACTAGCGTCTAGTCTGACCAGGTCATGATGGAATCCGTAAGCGCTTACCCTGGAGGGTCTTTCTGCAACTCGTCAGCATGCAAGATTGCTCCTCCGTTATTGCACTCGTTAACCCCTTGTGCAACTCTTACCCACCGCTCCTCAGGTGGACCTGGCTCCCCCCTCACAACGTCCCTCCGTACTGCGAAGGAGCCTCTCAAAGGGCTTCGCCGCCGTCACTGCCGCCGCCGCCGCCGCAATCGCCTCGCCGACTCCATCCGCTGACGTCATCACATCGCCGCCGCAAACACAATCCACAGCCAGCAGCTCCGTCGCCGCCGCTGTCGTACCAGCAGCCTCCGCCTCCGCCGCCTCCGCCAGCGTCCCCGACAGCACTCCGCCGCCGCCAGCTCATTCCCGTCTGTCCACCCGAACCCCGGGAGTCCCGAGTCTACAGCTGGGCAGTGTGCAACGCAGTGCAGGTCCCGCCGCTGCCTCCCCCGCTACGGGCGGTGGTGGCAGCAGCAGCAACGCCACCGCCGGCACCACCATTGGCAAGCGTGTTGCCCCGGAGCAGACGGCGGCGGATGAGGCCGATACGCCCGCAGCTAAGAAGTTGACATCGCATCATGCAGGGTCTGTTCGGCAGTCGCCGGGCCCGGCCAGTCCTGTAGTTGCCAGCCAGATTGCTGATGGCACTAGCAGTGGCGGCAGTACGGCAGCAGCGGTTCCCGCTCCTGCCAAAAGTACGACAGCGCAGAGCGGTACGGCAACATCATCCGCGGCGGCGGCGGCAGCGGGGGCGACGACGTCGACACCGGCGGCAGTTGTAAAGCCGTTGGTCGCAACTGACCCGTCGGCTGCTGTCACGGCGGCGGCTCCGCCCGCTTCTACATCAGCTGCACGCAAGCCAGCAGACGCGCCAGCAGCTGCGTCGGCGCAGCCAGCAAAGAACGTACCAGGCCCCGCGGCAGCAGCAGCAGCACCGGTTCCGAAGCCAACGGTTGTAGGCGAAACAGCGGCGGCAACGCCACTGGGAAAGTCAGCTGCGACAGCAGTTGAGTCGACGACGCATACGACAACCCCTAAGACCACACAACCTGCATCCAAGCCAGCCGCATCTCCGGCGCCGGCAGTAGGCACATTCGCGGCAGCGGCGGCACCCAAACCCACGGTGGCTTCGAAGCCCGCCGTTGCAACGCACCCATCTGTGGCTGCACCTCCAAAACCGGCAGCATCCGCCGCGCCGGCTGCAGGACCGGCCCCGACGCCTGTGCCTCCGTCATTGGTGGCGGCAAAGCAGGCGGCTGCGTCGGCGGCCGCGGCAGCGGCAACCATTCCGTCTAGTGGGACGGGAGCCGCAGCGGCACAGGCAGCGGCAACAGCAGTTTCGGCGGCAGCGCAGAAAGCCGTTTCAACGCCGCCACAGCAGGCGGCGGCCCCTACCGCAGCGTCCAAACCAGCAGCTACCAACACGCCGGCGACGACGGTAGCAGCAGCAGTGGTAGCGGCGAAAACGGAGGCGGCGGCCGGGCAGAAGCAGGAGTCGTCGGCAGCTAAGTCTGCAGTTGAAGCGCCGGCGCGGACACCTGAGCCTGCAACTGCGGCAGCGACGATACCGGCGCCGGCCGCTTCAGTTTCAGCCGCGGCTGAAGCCGCTGTTAAACCCGCAACTGCAGCAGCGGCCACTTCAGAGGTGGCAGCAGCCGCAGCGGCTCTGAAACCAGGTGCGACAGTAGCAGCAGCAGCTCCAAAGTGCGATACAGAGACGGCCGCAAAGCCTACGGTGGCGGCAGCAGAACCGTCGGTGGAGACGGCGGTGACAGGAACGCCAAAGCAACCCTCGGCGGCTGCAGAAACGACGCCCTCGGCCGTTCAGCAGCCCGTGTCGTCAGCTGCGGTGGCAACGGCAACTCCGAACCCGGAGGCGGCGACGCCTCACAAGCTGCAAGGGCCAGCTGCGAAGCCGGAAGCCGATACACCGGCCCCGGAGGCCACGACAGCCCCTCCGGCGACGACTGTTGCGAAGCCACACGCTGCTGCGTCCGCCTTGGGTACACCCGCCGCTGCTGCTGCTGCTGCTGCTGCTGCCAAGGCAACACCGGCAGCAGCGTTTTCAGTTCTTCCTGCCCCTGCGCCGTCGCCTCAGCCAGCAGCAGCAGAGCGACAGCAGGAAGCGTCGGATGACTCTGCAGTTGCCGCAGCCTCCTCAAAGGAATCCGCACAGCCCTCGACGTCGTCGGTAGCGGTGACGGTAGCGATTGCCCCGCCAGCAGCTGTAGCAGTGGCGAAACCACCTGCTGCTGCTGCACCTTTTGTTGCTGCAACACCCGTTGCTGCACCTGCTGCTGCTGCTGCTGCAGCTGCCCCCAGTACCCAAATTGCATCATCTTCGACTGCCGCTCCCACGCCCAACACATCGCAAGCATCCAAGCCGCCAGTGTCACAACCGGCTAGCGGCGGCAGCAAGGTCGAGAACAGCAACGCTGGCAAACCCAGCTCCCAGAAGGAGGAGGGCGGCGCAGCAGCAGCGGCAGCACCTAAGCCTGCAGCCGCATCACCCTCGGCACCCATGGTTTCTTTTGCTACCGGCGCCGTGTTGACTACACAGAAGGACCAAGCCCCGGCCTCCAAAGAACCTCCAAAGTCCAGCGCGCCTGTTGTCGCTGTGGCAGAGGCCAAGGCGCAGCAAGCAGCGGTGCACACAGCAACGCCCGCTGCTGCTGCTGCTGCTTCGGCCCCTGCGGCTGCTGCTGCTTCGGCCCCTGCTGCTGCTGCTGCTTCGGCCCCTGCTGCTGCTGCTGCTTCGGCCCCTGCGGCTGCTGCTGCTTCGGCCCCTGCGGCTGCTGCTGCTTCGGCCCCTGCGGCTGCTGCTGCTTCGGCCCCTGCGGCTGCTGCTGCTTCGGCCCCTGCGGCTGCTGCTGCTTCGGCCCCTGCGGCTGCTGCTGCTTCGGCCCCTGCGGCTGCTGCTGCTTCGGCCCCTGCGGCTGCTGCTGCTTCGGCCCCTGCGGCTGCTGCTGCTTCGGCCCCTGCGGCTGCTGCTGCTTCGGCCCCTGCGGCTGCTGCTGCTTCGGCCCCTGCGGCAGCTGCTACGGCCCCTGCGGCTGCTGCTGCTTCGGCCCCTGCGGCTGCTGCTGCTTCGGCCCCTGCGGCTGCTGCTGCTTCGGCCCCTGCGGCTGCTGCTGCTTCGGCCCCTGCGGCTGCTGCTGCTTCGGCCCCTGCGGCTGCTGCTGCTTCGGCCCCCGCGGCTGCGTCCATGACTCCGCCTACAACAGCTCCACAGCCGAGCCCATCATCAACCCCAGCGCCCGCAGCGACCGCGGAGGCAGTGTCTGCAGCCCCGACGATGACGACAGCAGCAGCTCCGGTCGCGGCCACTGCGACAACCGAGGCAGCGGCGGCGGCAGTGGCAGTTGCAACTCCTTCCTCGACTCCCTCCTCCTCCTGCACCCCTGCGGCGGCGGCGGTAACGGCGTCTGTAACGCCAGCGGCGGTGGCACCAACGACGAATCAACCGACTCCTTCGGGCTTGGCATCAGTGACGTCTGCGGCACCTGCAGCGGAGGCAACAGCAGGGCTACCAGCGGTGCCCTCCCAGCCACCGGCCAGCAAGCCAGAAACTGCGGCTCCTTCAACGCCAGCAGCAGCGGCGGCAGCGGCGGTGATTGTTCCTCCTGCAGCAACACAAGCCCCAGCCTCGCCGGCGATCACGACGGCTGCAGCAGCAGCAACCACCGACACGTCAGCAGCAGCGGCAACGTCACCAGCGGCGTCAGCTACCACTCCTGCGGTGTCGGCAGCAGCTGGTGCAGCCACCCCGCCTCCCCCGGCTCCCACCTCTCCTGCCCCTCCTTCCACAACGGGCGCCGCAGCAGCAGCCTGCAAGACCCCACATGGAGGGGCAACCACAACCGCAACCACAACCGCAACCACAACCGCAGGCACTGCAACAACAACCACGACGCCCAACGGAGGTTCTCGAATCAAGGCCGCCGCTGCTGCTGTTGTCGCCGCCTCCCGCACCACCACGCCTGCCAAGCCTCCCGCCACGTCCGCCATCACCACCCCTTCCGCATCTCCAAGGCGAGGTTCGCTTATTCCCACGGCAGCATCCACCACGACAACCCCCTCCGCGTCCCCGAGACGAGGCTCCTTGATCCCCACAGCTGCGCCTTCCACTACCACCCCCTCCGCATCTCCAAGGCGTGGTTCCCTAATCCCCACGGCAGCATCCACCACCACAACCCCCTCCGCGTCCCCCAGACGAGGCTCCTTGATCCCCACAGCTGCGCCTTCCACTCCCAAGGTCTCCAGCGGCGGTGCAACGGAGCCCGCTTCAACTAGAGCACCGCCGCCGATCAACCAGACCTCGTCGCAAGCCGTCAAGCGGATAAGCTCAGGTGGAATTCCCTCGGCGCAAGGGGGGGCTGCAAAGCCCAAGTCGCCCGCACCCGCCGTCGCGGCTCAGGCGTCGTCTTCATCTGCAGCGGCCAAAACGAGCATGAACACCGCAGCAGCGCCTGCCACCACAACCACATCTGCCGCTGCCGGTGCCGGGGCGTTCTCAGGGGGCGCTGTCGCCTCTGGGTTGCAGTTCCCAGCGCTGCAACGCGCGCCGTCTAGCGGCATTGCGAGCCTGCTGAACCGGTTCCACAGCGTGACGGGCGGCAGCGGAGGTGCTGGGAACAACAGCAGCGGCAGTGGCGCCGCGAGCGGTAATGCGGCGGGTACGACAGCTGCTGCTCAGGACGCTGCCGGCAACAGCGGCGCTGCTGGCGGCGGCGGCAACAGCTCCTCCTCGGCAGCGGCAACGTCAGCGGCGGCGGCCCCGCGTGCGGTGCCCAGCTCGCGGATTGCAGCCATGCGAAGCGCCTTTGAGAAGGGAAGGCTGTGAGGGTCTAAAGAGGGAGAGGGAGGGTGGGGGGGGGGAACACGTGGACGTATGGAGTATGATGTGAAGACGGGGATGAAGTGATTATGTTTGGTCGTGGTAATGTGGGAGATGGCAATCACCGGGATTCTTGTGGGTGTGTGAACGCTGTTGGTTCTGCTTGAAAACATGGAGGGAAGCATAGGGGCTAGGTACTTACTGGAATGAGAGGCGTTTTGGAGTGAGCGGTTTTGGCATGAGCGGGGAGAGCGTGATCTCACGAGCATGAGCTCAGGAGCGGAAAGCGCGCGTGCATGGGGGTACGAGATGCATCTCAGTCGTTGCAGTTGCAGTTGGCGGGGTTGTGGTTGCATTCCGTAGTTACAACACACATTGTTGTTTGCCTTGTTGCGTTGGGCTGTGCCTGCGCTCTAGGGGTATCATGGCGCAACCGTGATTGGTTCTTCCGGGGGAAACATGTTTCATGTGGTTTTCGTAGATACCTGGGCTGGCAGATCTTTATTTCTCTCTCAATCTTGGTGATCATTACCCTGGTTAGGTTTCGGGGAGGCAGCTACCTGATTAGCAGGGGCTTGTGCCGGTAGTCTTGTACTATTACTCTTCTTCCCACGCGTGAGCTCTATGTCATCGTTTTTCAGTGAAGTGAATGGGGAGCAGATTACATGTGCTGGTGCCGTGAGCAGGGCTTGTTTGCCGACGACTGGGGCTGTGGGTTTCATAGCCTTCTACGTTGCCTTTGTTATCAGTGTTAGCGTTTAGTTAGGTTGATCTATTTGTATGCTCAGTCGAATTGCAGGGGTGGCAATGGGTGTATTGCAGCTAGCAAGCTCATCGTGGTAATCTCTTCGTGTGCTACAGCTGTGCGTATACTAGCAGGCATTGGCTTGGGTGTACTTGGCAGGTTGCGTACTAGGCAGCTACCACGTCCTTGTGTGCACCATTGGTGCAACATGTCGCTTAAAGGTTGTTGAAACTCTGATGTAACCTAGAATGACGGATAAACATCAGTACTCTTCTCTACCGTACTTCACGATTGAAAACGGTTACTTTTCTTCTTCATACTGTACTGCGGCACGGGCAACCGAGATTTCACACAAAGACATCCAGGCACTGTGGTAGCACGTTTGCTTAATTTGGGTTGGCAACATCCTGGCGTGTCAAGACAAGGACGACTGGCAGCAAGATGTCGGGATGGGCAAAGTGTCGGTTAGTACAAAGCTTTCAGGGCAAACGGCTGGACCAGAACAGAGCAAAGCAATCCAGAACAGTTGCAGACATGTATCCTTATGTGCGTGTAGTGCAAGGCAAGCGTCCCCGGCTGAAAAGGCGCGTCCGGCGTCCCATATTACGTCAGGCTATGGACGAGCACTGTCTTAACGCTTCCTAGCTTGCAACTACTGTGATCCGAGTACAGCTTACTCAGAGGAAGTGTGACACCTCGCTTTAAGTTCATATTATAATACCGAACACCCGCTGAGACCGCCAACGAAGGACTGTGCGTGGTGTTGCCCGTTGGCCCAGTGTTCGCAATAAAATAGCTGTTGCATCCGAGCGTTGAAGACAGAGTGTTTGCATAGCTGTTATCTTTAGTATTGAAGGAGCAGTGCTGCGCCTTGCGCAGCGGCGAACGGCGCGCTGGGTGGAGTCAACTCAACACCGAGTTTATATCCAATGGCAGAGTCTGCACAAGGTACGATCCATCATGAATATATCGCAATTTGGATGCTTACCTTCACAGCCTGGTGTCTCATCATGCTGGAGGCCCGGTTATACCCTACGGGACGTACCTCAATGCAGACGAGTAATTGTAGAAGATGAAACAGTATTGTAGCCTAGAAATTCCTGGACGCAGTCGCTGCCACCTTCCCTACCCGCCATTTGACTCACCTACAACATGGCCGGCGAATCCGTCCGAATGCTTGCAGATGTGCGACGTATGGCTCTTGCTGTACTACATTCGCGGCTGATGGATGGCCGGCAGCTTGTAGACGAATTTCGTGCTGTGATTGCACGTGATCAAGACATCCAACACACGTTTAGGGCCGCCCAGTCGCCTGCGAACACGCCTAAGAACCGGTGGGCACTGTATGAGCCCCACGATAACGTCGTATCGTGCATGGTACAGCCCTCGTGCTGTCCACCTGCGCCCATCCGCCCATTTCACTAACGCCTTGGCTCCCGATGCCCCCCTCTTCCTCCAACACAGCTACGTCAACGTTTTGCCTTACGACTACAACCGCGTGCTCCTACAGTCAAGCTCCCATAACTCAGCCCCCAATGGCGCCGCAGCTTCTTCTGCTACCGGCCGCAGGAGCGGCAGCGGCACCGGTGAACAACCCCCCTTTCCCTCCTCCTCTTCCTCCGCCTCCTCAACCCCTCACGCACCCTCCGACTACATCAACGCCAGCCACGTCATCCACGAAGACGATCAATGTGACTTCTCCGTTGCCTACATCGCCTGCCAGGGCCCCTTGGCCGCCACCGTACCCGACTTTTGGCGCATGTGCTGGACTGAGGGCGTGGGCGCGGTGGTCATGCTCACGAACACAGTGGAGCGAGGCGTCACAAAGTGCGCGCCCTACTACCCAACACAACCCGGAACTCGCCTAGTGCTCCGGAACCCGACCGGGGCAGCGGTGGCAGGGACGACAGCAACCGCCTCAGCAACTGGGTCGACGTCTTACGGGCCGCGCTCATCCTCCTCTCAGCACCACCAGCAGCAACACCAGACTGACGGACGGATCGCCGCCTCCGCGGCTTCAGCCTCCGCGGGGCCGCAGGAGGTCCTGGTGCAGTCCTGCCGCTCGCTGCTCGGAGGCGACCTAACGCACACGCAGCTGCAAATGCTGCCGTACAACACTCTGCACGACAACAACGGCGGCAACTCCTCCGACGCTGCCGCCGCCGCCACAGGTACCGTACCGCCTCGTGGGGTGGCGCATCTGCGGTACAACGCCTGGCCGGATCACGGCACTCCCTCCGACGCGGGCGCTATCCGCGCGATGTGCGACATGTTGCGACCCATCGAGGCTGCGGGAGGGGCTGTGGTGGTGCACTGCAGCGCGGGCATTGGGCGCACTGGGACCTTTTGCGCGATTGACATCCTGCGCCGGCGGCTGGAGCATCTGCAGAAGGAGGCGGAGGTACGGCCGGGATCCGTACGACAGGACGATGTGCATGCTGCGTTGAATTTGCCTGAGCTGGTGCAGTCGTTACGGCGACAGCGGGGTGGCATGGTCCAGACGATGGAGCAGTATGCGTTCTGCTATCAGGCGGTGTTTGAGGAGCTAACTGAGGCGGGGCTGGAGGGGTTGGTGCAGCAGCCGGGGCCGGATGGGGTCGTGGGGACGCCGCCGCGGCAGATTCGGCGGTAGCGGGGAGGGGATGGCGAGGAAAAAGCGTTAGGAAGGAATGGGAGGAGGGAATAGGAGGAGGAGAGGAAAGAAGGGAGGAATGAAGGAGAGGGAAGTGTTTATGGTATTAGATGGCCATTGGAGGCATGCAGTTATGGGGGGTTAGGGTACTAGTCGTACTACATTTCCGGAATGTGGGAGGAAGGAGGATGGGGGTATGCAATGCAGTTGCATTGGGCACACTTACCGTGTAGTTGGTTGAACTGTGGTGGGTGTGGGCGCTACTAACAGTGGCGGTAACGTTGCTTAGACCCTGCTTTCGCCCTTGGGAGGAAGAGTAGCAACAAGGAGCAACACAGTTCCAGGCAGGCTCCACAGAAGGATTGCGAGGAAATCTATTGCCTGTAAGTACAGTCGCATGGGCGCTTTCCTGTCGTAGCAGGCTCGCATTGCGCTTTCATGTCGTTCTCGCTTTTATGGCAGAGGACGCGTTGTATGGTGTTACGTCGTCGGTTTGCAGCTGTTTCTGCACGCAACTGGTGTTTTGGGAACACCGGTGATGCACCCAAGTCCTGGTGTGGTGGAGGTGGAGGGTGGTAAACGTGGCTGGGGGGGCAGGCGTATCTGCTTGCTTAGGTATTGTCGAATGGAGGACCGGTACAGATGATTGGTTTGGACTTGGTGATTGTGGAAAGTGCTTGTAGGAACGGATGCAATGTGTTTATTGCGACGGGTTTCCTGTCCGGCAGGGGAGGTGAGCACGGAGGCAACAACAACAGGGACTTGAACACGAGATCCACGGATTCAGTTCGAAGTGCATTCGGTTTAGCCCCCCCAGTTCGAGGCAAGGCGCGATGCGCGAGGGGTCTTAATACAGCAAGGTATTAGCCGGGAACTTGGGCACATTGCGCGCAATGGAAATTACGCTGAAAATGGGCTGGTTGCGCGCAACGGTCCCGCGCGACACGCCCATGTTCCTAGCCTCACAAATCTGCCTTATTTTACACCGCAGGGTGCATGTTCGGGCGTAGTGTGTCGCGTCCCTTACTTGTGGCGAATACCGGGACAGTGGGAGATGTAAGAAACGGTTGCCGAGTTGGAATGGGCAGATAGCGCGCAATGGTCGCGGCATTGCGGACCGCGCCACGCCCGTCCGTTATCCCAGCAGCCACAGGGGGCGGCACAGCTGCGAGCAGTTTGCTGGTTCAGAATCCCAGGAGCACGAGTGCGTTGGCATTGTTTCACGCCCTTGCAGCCCCTGCCGCAGCGGCCGGCGCCACACCCGTCATCCCAGCAGCCCTACGACAAAGCATGCTCAGCTCCGTTGGCCCGTGCTCAGGCCGCAGCAGACCGTTTCACGACATAGGAAGGCTTAGGGAAGCACAGGGAAATCAGTTGGAGGTCGTCTGACGCTAACCTGCGGCCTGGACAGCCCAAGGCAACCCTGAGCATGTGTTGTACGGCAAAGCAAGCTCAGCCTAGTGGGCCCATGCTCAGGCCTCCGTAGACCACTTCACGACATGGGAAGGCTTAGGAAAACACCGGGAAGCATGTTGGAGGCTGTCTGACGCGAACCTGGTCAGCAATCACTACTTCTCCTTGTGACTGCGTCTCTAGCCTACACCCGTCAGCGGGCTGTAGGCAGTAGGCAAGCGAGCAAGGAGCTGCAGTCGTCCCCATCACCGCACCCCCGGCTACACCCTCCTGTACTTCCCCACAGGTACCAATCCAGCCCGTTGCGTGCACAACCCCATACCCAATTAAACACATCACCCCGGCGCTTCAACTTCCGCTAGAACCGCAACCATCCGGAGGCAGCAGCAGCGGCGGCGGGGTGAGGGTCACTGGCTTGATGCGCCCTTCTCTGCCGCCCCACATGCCAAGCCCCACATGCCTCAGGCCGGGGTTGCCCGCAGCCCCCAGCTCAGCTCCATACCCGCCTACCGCCTACATCCCTGCCTCCAGCTCTCCTCAAACAGCCGCAGCAGCAGCAGCCACAGCAGCAGCCACAGCAGCAGCCACAGCAGCAGCCACAGCAAGGCCTCTCGTCCACTGCCCTCGTAGCCTCGTCACGCCTCGGCCACCTTGACCCCCGTGCTGCGAGCGATGACCGCCGTCACCTCGATGCCCGCCTGTGCACACACACACACACACGCACGCGGCCAGCTTTCTTAACACACGGCAGCCCAGCGCCACACACAGCAGAGGCCCACCCTGGTCGCCACCGCCACCAGCCGGCGAGACAGCGGCACGCAACCCTCCCCTTCCCTCCCCTCCCCTCCCATGAAGGGCTCGCCAGGCTGCCTTACTTGCCTTGCCTCTGCTACCCCTCCCCCACCGGTCGGATTGGGGGGAAAAGAACAACCCAGTCCGGTTCGGGTGGGATTCTCCAAACCCTGGAACCCTAAGCTCCCTGTTTCCTTACCACCGCCCCACATCACCCCACCACCCCCCAAGGTGAAGGCTACATGTCATACAGCTCGTCAGTTGCATCGTCAGTGTCTCATTATGTTTTTTACCACCTATCTATCGCCCCCCCCCCTTCAATCACAGCAGCCCCCCCCACTCCCCTCCCCCTCACCTGCAGCAGCTTGTGCTCTGTGGCGCCCCCCCCGCGAGCTGCCTGCATGACGCTGTGGATGCGCTCGTTGATGTCCAGGTCCCGAGCGATCTGCGGTGAGGGGGTGGGGAAGAGGACGAGGCGGGGGCGGGGGGAGTAGGTGCGCGGAGGTCAGAGGAGGAGGAGGAGGAGACAGACATCAATCGCCCGAAGGTAGGAGGGGAGGTGCGTGTGTATGTGAAGGACGTGCGGGGTTGGTAAGGGAACAACAAAGGGGATGCTCCCCTCCATCCTTCACAAGGATGATAATAATTGGGAAGGGTAGGATTGCGGAATTTGCGACAGCGACAGCCTTCATGAATATATGGTTGCTGGATACGACGACGGCGACGACGACGACGACGACGATGACGTGGCGATGATAACACGAAGGGGAGAAGCGGGAGGCCTCCTGCTCCTCCCACGCCACCCGACCCCCAACGCACCAAGCACAGCTCCTTCCCCCCCGCCGACAGCAACGTCCCAACCGCCACCAGGCACCGATACACCGCATCCGCCTCCGCCAGCGTCGCCGCCGCCAGCTGACTCAGCAACTCAAGTGCCGCCGACAGCAGCTGCAGCGGCACCTCCTCCGCCGCCGCCGCCGACGGCAGCTGCCGTAGCGCCGCCGCCGCCGCTAGGTTGCCGTACAACACGGCGGCGCTCATTCGTACGGCCTTGTTCGCCGTCGGCGCCGTCGCCAGCGGCGCGAGGCGGTCGAGCAGCGGCGAGGCGGCGGCGAGGGTCCAGGAGCGGAGGGGGCCGACGGCGGCGGCGGGGGGAGAGGCGGCGGCGTTGGCGGCGAGACGGAGGGCGAGTTGGTGGTTGGCGGGTAGGGGAGATGCGGCGGCGGCGGCCAGAGCGCCGGCGAGGGTGCCTGCAGTGCGGGAGAAGTACGGCATTGATGTGACGTGTGAGGGGAGGGGTGGTGGTCATGGAACGGCGCGGTATTGGCCGTTTGGGAGAGGCTCACTTCAGGACGAGAGGGGCTTGGAGGAACCCCCAAGTAGCGTGAAGGCTCCGTACGTACCTGCTTGCGGCTCCGCAGCCGTCAGGTCGCCCGCCACCTCGGGAGCTGCCAGCAAAGCAGCACCTCCCCCTGCTGCTGCCCCCGCTGCCCCCACTGCACCGCCCTCGAGCGCTACCAGTCGAGCCACATCGAGGGCAGGGAACAGGCAGGCGGCAGGCCAGGACAGCAGTCGGCGGAGCAGGGAGATGTCGGCGGGGGTGGTGAGCGGGGCAGAGGCAGGGGCAGCTGCTGCGGCGGCGGCGGCGGTGGCTGCCGCTGCTGCGGCTATCTTGGGTAGCTTTTGAAGCAGGGTGTCCAGCGGACCTGTGGAGGAGGCGGGTGGGTAAGGGGGGTGAGAAGTACGATAGGGGGAGAGAGGTGGGCTAGGGTGAGGTGCAGGAGGAAGGGGAAGCAGCAAGGCAGCAGCAGCAACAGCAGCCCGGGAGACGACACGTTCCACCCCCCTCACCTCCCGTTGCCAGGTCTTGTTCGCTGAGCCGGAGGGGGGCGGGTACGGATTCGGAGGAGTTGAACTCGCGGATCTTGCGGCCCAGGGCCTGGGAGGGAGGCGAGAGCGGAGGAGGAGGGACGGACGGACGGACAGGTTGGGAAGCAGATGGTTAAAGAGGTGGGCAGGGGGTCAAACAGGTAGGCAGGGTCAAAGAGACCAGAGGATTTACAGGTAGGAGCGGTACCGCGTGTCTGGTGTTAGTGCCTATGCGTAAGAGGAGCAGCAGCGCCGAGCCTCCCCACACGTGTCCCCAAACCCCTCACCACGCTCACCTCCAGGTTTGGCACGTTGTCGAAGGTCAGGAGGGTGTGACAGGGCACATGCGTGGGGATAAACGCCGGCAGACCACCTGCAGGCCAAGAGGAAGGGGGAAGGAGGGAGGAAGGGGGGCACGTGGGGGCGCCCATCAGTGTTGCCATCAACCATCAGCTCCTTCAAACCGACGAGAAGATACGGCGTGAGGACTGCACTAAGACACATGCACATGCAGCGGAAGACATGTATGTAACGTAGCAGCATCCTACATGCCCGCACAAAGCGCGCGTGCTAGGAAAACTGCAAGGGTACGTGTGTTAAGAAGGCTGGCCGCGAGTAGGAACAGATGTGTTCCTCCTCCTCCTCTCACCTGCACTCCGGCTGCTGCTGCTGCCGCCGCCCCCCGTGAAGGGGTCCACTCCCCCTCCCGTTATGGAGGCGGGCAAGGTACCTGCGGGGAGCCGGGGGGCAGCGGGCGGTCGGGAGCTGCCCCCGCCGCCCGTGAAGGGGTCGCAGAAGCCGCCCGTGATGTCCATGGGCTCAGGCCCCCCGGCAGCCGCCTTGCCTCCTCCGGTGTTGGTGAGGATGAACTGGACGATCTGCGGGAGGAGGGGAAGGGAGAGGAGGAGGCGGAGAGGGAAGGGGGAGGAGGGTGAGGTGCATGCGCAGCGAGGATTCGAGAAACATCCAGGAGTGAGGGCAAAAGGTAGGGAGAGGAGGCGACATCGGCATCACGGATTCATGGTATATCACCCCAACCACCCCCGCCTGCTCATTGTCATCAGCATCCTGGTATCTCCTTTCTCCCCCCCCCCCTTGCCCTCCCTCACCCACCTATCCCCATTGTTTTGCCCGAACCTGTGGTGTCCTATGGTTTGCTATGGACTTGGACCCCCAAACAACCCCCCACCTGTTCCTGGAAGTACGGCGGCAGGTCGTGTTCCTGTATGAACCCCTGAGCCACCAGGTAGGGGTTGTCGGCCGCGTTGAGGGCCAGCTTGCGTGGCGGCTGCCCCTCGCCCACATCCACATCGAACACGTAGTCCCACTCGCGGCCGGCGTGGAACTGGGGGGGGGGGCGGGGCGAGGGGGGCGGGGGGGGGCATGGGGTGCGGGGGCACGGGGGGGGGGAGTAAACAATAGAGAAAGACGTGGGAAGAATATTGGAGGGGGGGAAGAGGGTGGGTGGGTTGCATGGGACATGGCGAGAAGAGGTGGGGGCACTGCGAGGGGAGGCAACCACATGTAGCCAAGTGTCAGTCTGGACGGCGCACACACACACATGGTCAGTTATTTTCGGCCAGTTATTTTAACACACATGGTCTCTCGGATTCCTTGCCGGTCAGTGTATGGGACCCTAGGGGGTTGCATGGAATGATGCCCCGCCCACCGCCGTAAGGTGGTGGTGGCGGCGGTGCTATAACAGTTTGGCCGCGACTCGGAACATCCCATGATGGAAAGGAAGATGTGAAGGGAGTGCCGCCCGGTGATTGTGTACGCCCTTCACCCTTCTCGACCCCCCCTTCCTCACTCCGTACCTTCTTCACAGGCCCGCCGCCACCGCCACCGCCCTACACCGGGAGGGAGGGGTCACATGGGTGGGCGGAGGTTGGGCGGTTGGGTGGGAGAGGAGGGCGGGGATGAGATTAAAATCAAGTCACATGTTATGGCGGGGTTGCTGCGAGGAGGGGGTTGCTGGGAGTGGCTACACCACACCGCCAACAGGGGGTGGAGAGGGAGGGGAGGGTCACAAGGCCCAATAAGCTGCTCCCGCACACGCACTAGGCTTCGCGCTTCCCCTGTACGCCGGGTTCACTCTCAAGGCAAACGGCATCAGGCACCGAGCCGCGACATCGCGTGACCGCAACTGTAGCTGCCTCCTCAGCGGCTAGTTGTTCCCCCACCCCCACCCGCCCACCGACCCACCTGCTGCGGCCCCGCCACCACCACTCCCAGCTTCTCCCACTGAAACGCGCTGCCATCCCAGGAGTAAGCCACCACGTCCCCCGTCGCCGCATCCCGCACGAACTTATTCTCCCCGTTCTTCGCGCCCGGCTGCGACAGCACAAACGCCTCCTCCACCTTCAACCCAGGAGGCAACGCCGCGCCGCCGCCGCCGTTGCCGCCGCCGCCACCCTCGCCGCCGCCGCCGCCAGCAGCAGCAGCCGCTTTGCGCTGCTCCACTGCTGACGTCAGCGCTGCAGCCACGTCAGCGGGTGCCGTACGGTCGGGTCGGCGGGACCACAGCCGAGCGACGGCGTCGGAGCTGCCGGTGAGGAGGTCCCCGTCGGGGGTGAAGTCGACCGCCCAGATATTACCCGGGTGCTCAATGACCTGAGGGAGGGGGGGGGGGGCGGCATGGGGGAGGGAGGGGTAGGACATGGGTAACCACGGGGGCGAGGGGGCATTGGGAGCAAGGAGAAGGCACTGGAGGTGAGGAACTGGCAACGGGATAAATACAAAGCGCGGCAAGGTTGGTGCAAACATGGCATGGCACCAGCGACGCATCCCCCACACTCCCCGCCACGCCTAAACTCCAGCACCCACTCCCCTGCCCTTCCCTTCCCTCACCCCTTCCCTCTCACCTGCAGACACTCCCCACTCGGCCTCCAAACCCGCACGCTGTTATCCTCGCTGCCCGACGCCAGCAGCAGCCCCCCGCCCGCGCCCGCCGGCGCCTCCACCGCCGCCACGCAATACACAATCGCGGTGTGTCCCACCAGCTCCGCCAGCAGCCCCCCGCTGGCATCCCACACCTTGACGCCCATGTCGTGCGACGCCGTGGCGAAACCCAGCCCCGGAACCAAACACATGCCACGAACCGTGTCGGCATGCGCCTTCAGGGTGCGAACGCAGCGCCAGGAGGAGAAGGGCGAGGCGGGGGTTTCGGAGGCGGATTGGGGGGGTTGCGGTTGCTGGGGCGCCCAGAGGCGCACGGTGGTGTCTCCGCTGCCGCTGAGGATCTCCCCCGTGGCGGGGAGGACGAGCAGGGAGAGGACGGGGCCCTCGTGGCCGGTCAGGGTGGCCACACAGCGCCCGAGGTGCCACACACGGAGGGTCCTGAGGGGGGGTGGGGGAGGGGGGGAGGGAGGGAGGTAAAGAGAAAGGGACCCTAACTGACCGTGGGGTAAAGAGGAAACCAAAATAACTGACCGTGGAGGGGAAGGAGAAGGGCAGGGATCTCTTCTTCCTCTCCCGAACCCCTCTCCTCTCCGCCACATTTTTCCTGTCTCAGGTTCCCAAAAGTCGCGCCCCAACGCTGTGTTTGTTATCCACCACCTTCTGCTGCTGCCTTCACCCCTTGCCTGCCTACATCCTTCACACCACCCGCGCCCCCGCTCCCCCCTCCCGCCTCAGCCCTCACTTGTCCAGGGAGGCCGACACGATGGCTCCTCCCACCCCCGCCCCCGCCCCCGCCGCCGCTCCAGGCACCCCCGGCAGCAGCCCCAGCGCCGTGACCTGGTAGTCGTGCCCCTCCAGGCAGGCCAGGCAGGCGCAGGAGGCGGGGTCCCACACGCGTACGGACTTGTCACGGGAGCCTGCGCGCGCATGCAGGGGGGGGGATGGGGGGGGAGGATTACCGGTACACAAACACACGGAACGTGTTCGCAGCTCCTCAGTCGGTTCCGGCTTGCTAAATAGTGGCTGACAGCTGTTTTCCGTAGTGGGCCAGAGATGCGGACTTCAAACACGTACGCATGCAAGTGCGCACACACGTACGACAGTTGTCTCAGTACGACGTAGATGAGGCCCACCCACCCACCCACCTGACACGACGGCCCCCTGCGGGCACTCCTCCAGCACCCCCGGCGGCACGTACATCACAGGGCCCACAAAGTCCGTGTGACCCACGAACGTCTGAGCCAGACTGTAACCGCCGCCCCCGCTGCTGCTGCTGGTAGTGGCTGTGGAGGGCCCTGCGGCGGCAGCATCTGTTGCGGCGGGAGCGCCCTGCTCGCTCTCAACCCAGAGTTTGACTGTTTTGTCGCGGCTGCCGGTCAGGATGCCTAGCGGGCTGACTGACACGCCGCGAACCTGGTTAAGGGAAGGGATTACGGATGCGGTGCAGCGGTGCAGGAAGGGGTTATTTAAATATTTAAGGAGCGTGGGTAGTTGCATGGGTGGAGGCGACGTCTATGAGCAAGCGGGTGTCGCATGCGAAGCTAACAACTTGATGCCCGTGACTGTTGCGAGAAGTCGCAACCCCACATACGCAAAGCTATGCCCGCTATACTTATTTCACGTTTTCAGCGGTGCTGGATAGCGCATTTTGGCAAGGGTGCGCACATTTACACCGCAGATCGGTAAGCAGACCGTCTTGCAAATCCCTTCCAACAATGCCTGCTCCAGCTATAAATCTACGCAACTGTGGCAGACCAATATGCAGTGTGCACGCGCGTTAACGACGACCTTACATCTTCGTCATGGCCACGAAGCTCGCAGCGCAAATGGAACTCCCCAACATCCATGAGAGCAGGCCAGCAGCTAAGCTGTTGTATGTAAGCTTATCACAGGAACAGCATGAAGATGGGTAACTGCTGAGAGGTCTCCAACACGTTCGAGACTCGAAGCACTAGATCTCTTTCCGCTGCCTTTAGCGACGCTTTGCGTGTGACTACCTACTGGCAAGACACGAACAACAATTACCGGAGTCCGCGGATGTGTTATCACTGCAGCCTGTCGTACTACACGGGTGCCCTTGCCAACCGCTGTCTCTCATTAGGTCCTATGACAACACAGCACCTATTCCTGGGCCGGGGGACTCAGGACTTGGGTTTACATTCGGAATTGCATGAACGATTAGACAGGTCATGGGAACCTTATAAGTTATAACCTATACACCACGTCTGTCAAAGCAAGGGCGGTGCTCATCTGTACGACAAAGCTAACATGAGGCTTCGCCCAGTTGATACTCTGACAGTCGGGATATCATATCCTGGTGTTCAAAACATGGCCTCCAGCACCACCGGCCAGCCATATACAACCCATCCATTCCACCGGCACGGCTGTCGCTGCACCCCATAATACATATATGCCGTACTGCAAACCAACTGCAACGTCAGATAGCCGCAGAGAAACAGGGCACCAGATACATTGCCGGTCAGGTTATCGCGACCCCTACAACAATGTCGTACACACAGCCGCCGTACAGTGCTACTGTCTAGGCTGTGGCTCCAGCTAGTCCTCACAAGGGAAGGGGTCACAGCGCCGCAAGTATAATACTGCAATGCGGTATAGTTTGATGTAATTGGTGAGCAGCCATAGCGGCAGGTAGGTAACAGTTGACACGCATAAGAAGTACAACCACTCAAGTGTCATTCAGGAACTGTTTCGCTCTCCGTCGGCAGTACTTCGAAACCCACAAAACGAGGAGTAAGACCGCATTGATGATCAAATTCGATAAGACAAAGGCAACAAAGCTCATTAGAGATTAGATAGGGGGCCACACTGCAAATGAGAGAGCACTGATGCCATGAACAGGCATCCACCGGTTTATCCTGCAGGATATTTACGCTGCATACCGGACAGCCACCCACCCCCATGACTACTATCCGTATCACGAGACAATACCCACCGATATCACCCTGTCGCGGGTCTCAACACACTACACGCTAATATATACAAGTACGAGCAGGACACGCAAACCACGCGCATACCCGGAGCGCACCACATAACCTCCCCCCCTCATGCAGGGGCTCCTCCGTCTCCCCTCACTTCAACCTCCTCCTGTACCAGTTTACCTAATACCCCTCCTCCCTCACGACGCCGCCGCCACCTTGGTCAGCTCCCCCGGGTGCACCTCCCCCGTGCAGCACACGTGCACATACACCTCCATGGAGTGGTCGCGCAGCATGCTGCCCCGCAGCAGCAGCTCCGAGGCCTCCGTCGCCATGCTGCCCTTGGCGATGGAGTAGGCGCGGCTGGCGGCGGCGGATGAGGACTCGGGGCGGGTAAGCAGCACCAGCCGGCCGGGCGCGTAGAGGCGCTTGGGGTCTTGGCGGGAGAGGGTGGCGGCCACTGCGTCCTGGATACCCGCCTGGGAGAGGGGGCGGGAGGGAGAGAGACGCGATGCGATGAATTGGAAGATGACGATACAGCGCGGCACCGGTTTCCCAAAGCAAGGTATGTAGACGTTTAAGCCCCGTCACCCAAGACACTTTGGCTACCTTCCTCCCCGCCCACCACCTCACCGTACCCATATCTTTCTCCTTCGCCTCCTTCCGGCCCGTTAGTTCCTCACCTCCGCCTGCTCCTGCAGCATCTCCCGCAGCAGACCCGCCGGGTCGGTCGCCGCCTTCGCCAGCATCCCAATCGCCTCAAAGTCGTTCATGCCCTCCGGCGTCTCCCCCGCGATAAGGCTGCCCAGTGCCTTCGCCACCGCCTTGAAGACATCCACCAGCACGTCCGCAGTGACCACCAGGTCGCTGATGTTCTGGAGGCACAGCCGGGGGACCAGGTCGGACTGGGGGGAGGGAAGGGAAGGGAAGGAGGGGAGGGTAGTGTGAGCGCAGGGGATAAGGATGGAAAGCGAAGGAGGCAAAGGTTATGTTCAACATCAGCGCCCAAGTGCAAGGACAAGGAAGAAGAGGTACCAATATCCAGCCAAACGCAAGGACATGGCAAGAGGGAGACAGGCAGGCAGGCAATCCCACCCCCAACCCCACGCCCACCCGCACACCGGGTATCCTTCTTTGTTCTTTCCCCTGCCCGCATACTCACGTCATGCACCACGGTGGTCACGTAGGGGTGCACCTCCTCCGTCAGGTCCCGGCTCAGTACGGCAGCGCTGCCAAACCCAACAGAGGTGATCATGTAGCGACCCTTCGCCTTCTTGGCAGGAATCGTCACATCGCCGTACACCGCCTTGGCAAACTCCTCATCCCGGTGCATCAACAGCGCCAAGCAGCCCGCCGTACCGCCGCCGAGCGAGTGACCCACGGTTCGCACGGCGTAGGCCGGGTTCGCCTTCTTGAGATCCAGGATCTGGCTTCGGAGCTCCTCGAAAATGGCTTTAGCGCCCGTGGACACCATTTCGTGGGCGTAGCCGCCGCACCACTCGCGCGCTGCACCCGCTGCGTCGGTTAGCATGTCTTTGAAGTTGGCGGTACCGCGTACGACAACTAGGATGAGCTGCCGGCTGTGGTCGAGCGCGAGTGCGACTGCGGGCTTGGCGAGTGAGGATGTGGGTCGGAAGTGGACAATGTCCTCCGGCTTGATGGTGATGGCCTGTGGCGAGAAGAATGGAGGGAGAAAGGGAGAAGGAGGAGGAGGAAATAAGCGAGCGTCCTACTCTTATGGAGGGTAAACACCACGGCGCTATGAAGGGTACTCCATGAAGGGCTCACGGTATGCGCCTGCCGTAACCCTCGCAACGCTGACACTCAAGGACTCCTTGTTCCTCACCCCCCCCATGCAGCGTCCCTTGAGACCAGCGCAACCACCGCAACTACAACCACCACCAACCCGCCCGACTCACAAAGGGCTGCTTGCTGAGGCTCTCCGCCAGCGCGACCCGCGGGTCAGCGCACTTGTCCTTGTCGTACACCGCATCCGCCCACTTCGCGTCCAGGTGGTATCCCGCCTCCTGCAGGGTGGCCAGCTGCAGCGTCTTCTCGGGGCCCTTGAACTTGACTGTCAGGTGGCACAGGAAGGCCACCAGGCTGCGAGGAGGGACGGGGAGGGGATTAATAGGGATACATGTTCCGCATTAGGCTGGATTTCAGTATTGCGAGGAGGAATGGAGGGGAAGGAGGCATAACATGGGTTGGTCGGTAAACACACGGCAAAACACGGCAACAAGGTCGTATGAGACGGGGCATGGAATAGGGCATCGCGTTGCAAATAGGAAGGATGCCGGTACCCCGTTTGACAATGAAGCTGCAAGCAAGGCTAATCAGTGCCCTAGTGTTGTGAGGCTATGACGCAATGTCCTATCACAAGGGTATCACTAGGGTACCGATAAGCAGGGGTGGCGCATGCAGGGGGCGGGTGTATGGTGGCTTTGCCGCTGCTGCCACTCACCAGCCGAGTAGGAATTCCGACATCTTGTGTTTGGGCGGAGTGGTGCTGGCGACCGTCTCGATGATGCTGATGACGGCCTTCAGCAGCTTCTGCAAGTCCGAAGCAGGGTTGGGTGGCGTACAGGGGCGACCATGATGTTATACAGGTACTACCGGATGGAGTTATAGTGGATGCATTGGGGTAGGTGCATTGCCAGATTATTTTAGCGCTGTGAGCAACCTTGACACATTAAACGGGGTTAGTAGATTGTGGCTAGCCTGTGGCTAATGATGAGCGACATTGGGGTTCCAAGCCTGGGTCTCACCGTCGCAAAACCCGTCACCCGCTGCTTCTACCCTACCCTACCTCGACTTCCGTGGACGGGTTGTCGGATGAGCCGAGGTTCTGAAACAAGTTTTCTATGAAGTCCTCGTCGGTCACGGCTTTAAAAAGGAACTCCAGCAAGTCCGTCATGAAGCCATCGGTGGCAGGCTTCGAGGCTGCCGGGGCCGCGGTCGGGTTGGCAACCCCCAGCCCGGCCTGCATAACGGACACGCATAAATGCATTACTCTAAAAGCCCGATGGTTCTATCCCTAACACGAACAAGGATGGCTGCTGCTACGACCCGTTGAGGGCTACGACCATAGAAGAGGCAAAGCAGCTACTGAGCAGGATTGGAAACTGTGCGTTTTGAGATAGCTACTTACTTCACTGCTAGCGCCGCAGCCCATATTGCTTAACACCCGCGTGCTTCTGGTGGTTTGTGGAGTAGCAAGTCAACCGAACAATTGCCGAGAGCCTCTAAGGTATCCAGCAACAACCGTATCGCTGAAGTATATTATAGTAGGCCTGGAGTGTTAAGTGACATGGGCTCCACGTCTAAGATCGATAGACAGGACAAGTTCCGTACTTGCAGCTTGCACAGTTCATAGAAGTTTACCAACCCAAAGCGTGGGCGCAAGTGTATAATAGAACTATCAACTTCACACAAAGATATCTGCGATAACAGATACTCTAATGCTTTGGGTGTTTGAGCTTGCATTGTTCGTAAACGGTTGCCGCCGCCCGGTAACTGTGCCACTGGACAATTAGTCTGAACAAAGACGAAGCTTACTGTCTGCATTTGCGCTTAGAAACTACAACTGGCCTTGTCGCGCTGGACGATTCAACCACCAGAGGTTTCCTCTCAGAGGCGCTAGCCCCCCATTGTTGGGTAGTACATACAATGCGCAGTTGCCAGTATAGCTGTCGGCTTATATTTGCTTAAGAACCCATATCATCCGGTTTAGCCACATGAAGGCACCTACATTCGTTTCCTCTAAGGACAGCGCCAGCGCAGGCGCTCCGGAACCGGTACTCATTCCCCACTCCGGACCAACCATGGTATTAGACGTGGTGCCGACACCCACCACACAGCCCGGGCTCAAGGAGCTCGGCATCCAGGAACTCACACTCCATCCTGATGGCCGCAACACCGCTGGAGGCACCCCAGTGGACCCAACCAAAATCTTCGACCTCACCTCAAGCACCGCCTCCCAGCACACCCTCTGGGACACCACCTCCCACACCCTCACCCCCAACCAGCCCCTCCCCGACCCCTTCCGCACCACCAACATCTACACCTTCCCCGCTGCCAACGAGCACTTCACCTTCTCCCGCGCCGACTACATCCAAGCCTCCTTCTTCCAGCCCGTCCAGCTCTACATCCTGCTCGTCTCCACCTCCAAGGTCCCGCAATGGCTGCGCAACGACTTCAACCGCCTGCCCGAGTCCAAGGCCTCCCTGGGCGTGTCCTGGCAGTTCGGCATGCACACCCGCGTGCTGGCGCTGCTCAGCCAAAAGCTCTCCACCATCAGCTCCGCGCGGCTGCAGGTGTGGGTGCGGCGGGAGCACTGCGTGCCGGGCGTGCGCTACAGCCTGGGCGGGCCGGAGGGGAACTCCCCGCTGGAGGACTACACCTACCTGCTGGCGTGGAGGAAGCTGGGGCCGCAGGAGGTGGTGCAGCCGGGTGGGTGCAGGGGAGGAGTGGGGAGGAGGAGAAGCTGGGAGGGGGAGGAGTTTGGTTGCGGCGGAGGAGAGTGCGTTCGATGGGTGCCGGTGTCTGCCTGAGCAAACATGGATGTTGAGATGCATACAACGCTCTCTTGTGGCTGAACTTCACCGCGCGCTTCTACTAAGTTTCCTCCCTACCCCACCCGCCCTCCCGCCCACCGCACCCCTCCCCACGCAAGCAGGCGACCAGGCCGGCCGGGGGGGGCTGCTGGCGGAGGAGCGCTCCGGAACCGCCCTGGGTGGCGAGGCGGCGGAGGACCGGCGCGTGCTGCTGGGGCGCATGGCGGCGGCGGTGGCGGAGGACGACCTGGAGCAGCTGAGGAGGGCGGTGGAGACGTACAGGTGTGCGGTGACATGGGGCGCGGCATCTATAGCTGCTGTACGGCAGCCGACAGAGCCGGAAGAGCAGCCACCAGCCCCTGAGCCGTAACGTGTCGGTATTTGGGGGGTTCAAGGAAAGGAAGAGGTCCAGCATATTAACCTCCTTTAGGTAGCAGCCAGCCTGCCAGCCGGAAAGAGGGCCTTCCTCCCTCTTCCTGAGCTCCTCGTGGAAGCCCCTCCTACCAACTGCTGACCTCCCCCGTCTCCTCCTCCCCCCCCTTCCTCCCCCCGCTCTGCAGGGCTCGTGCGGCCGCCTCCCCGCACCCCGGCGCCTGGCCGCCCCCATCCTTCCTGACCAGCCGCGGGGTGCCGCTGACGGGGGTGGCGGCGCAGCGCAACGCGCAGCCCCGCCTGGTGGCGTACCTGGTGGCGCAGGGGGCGGAGATGGACGCAGCGGCTTTCAGGTAGCGTAGCGTAGTGTACTGGGGAGCAGGGGAGCCATAGCAAGCCCTAAGGCATGAACAAGTACACTGGGGTAGCGGGGGGCAGGAGGGCGCTGTGGCTGATCACTTGTGAATGGGAGAGCCGCGTAAAGCTTCCTGATGAGTCCCTGATATGACCCACTGATGCTGCCCCAGCTGCCTCTCACGCTGTTCTGTACCTCTGCCACCCCGGTGCCTCTGTCCCCCCTGACCCCCCTGCCCCCCCTCTGCAGGTACCTGCTGGCCAACTCCAAGGCGCTCCCCGGCGGCGGCTTCAGCGACGTGCCGCACCTGGTGCTGAGCTGCCTGGCGCAGCAGCGCAACCCCATTGCGGCGGCCATGGGCTTCGCGCGCGAGCTGGCGGCGGCGGCGGACAGCAACAGCGCCAAGGCGCGGGAGTGGAGGTGGGTGGGAGCGGGGCGGGGAATGGTGGTGAAGGGGGTGGCTAGGAGGGGAGGGCAAAGAGGAAACAACTAAGTGACTGAGTGATATGGCGTCAACATGTGAGCCAGTCCGGGCAGGGGGCTGTGGGCGGCAGGGGAGGGTGTGAAGGTTTTTCCAGAACAGGAATGAGGTTGTAGCCTCACCAGTCTCAACCCACAGTGTGAATGTGACGGTGGCGCTGATGGGGTACCGTATATCATGTGCCATAAAGGCGCCTGACCTACACACACACACACCGCCGTTTTCTTAGCACTGCCCAATGCTCAACAGCACGCAAACAATGCCGTGCACTGCCGTATGACGCCGTACGCAGGGAGCTGGCATCCAAGCTGCGGTCCGCGGCAGTAGACCTTGTGGGCTGTCTGGAGAAGCTGGAGCGACCCCCGGCTGGGGACTCGGCAGCAGCGGCAGCAGCAACAGCAACAGCAGCACCCGCTGCAGGGACGACTGACAGCTCGGAAGCCGTCAGCAGTGCAGCAGCAGCCGCAGCCGCCAGTGCCTCCATCAGCGACGTGTTGGCGCCTCGTGGGGTGGCCTGCTCGCTGAATGACGTCAGCCCGCTGCAGATGGCGTACGACACGAATGATCTTGATTTCATGTCGGCGCCTGTCGTACAGGGCTACCTGCAGGACCGCTGGCTGGGGCCCGACTACATCCTGCAGGCGCTGCAGGACAAGGGCGCCACGCTGCACTACCAGGTGGGTGAAAATAAGGGATTGAAGAAGCAGGTGGGGTGAAAATATAACTAAGTGCATCAACGGAGTCCCAACGGGGGGGTGGCCTGCGGGGGAGGGAGGAGGGGGTGATGGGTTGTCCTGGAAGGGGGAAATACCGTAGAAGAACATCCGATGCATGGTGTGAGAGTTGTAAACTTGGGGTGCGCTGCCTCCCTATCACCCAGGCCTCCCTCTTCACCCCTCCCCCGTCACCCCAACGCGTCATTCAATGCATGGTTCTTCTTATTTATCCCACCCCCCTGGGCCCCATACTTGTCCCCTCACTCCCACTTTGGAATTTCTTTTTTCCCTCCCACTCCCCGCAGGACCACCACCTGATGCTGCGGGTGCTGGAGGGCAGCGGCTTTGTGGGCTCGCTGGGCCGACCGCTCTTCAGGTGGGTGCGGGATGGGTGGGTGCGGGTGTGCGGATGAGGCAGCGGGTAGGAAAGGAAGGCAGCTGAGAACCCTCCTCTCACACTGCTCCTTCTTCTCCGCCTACTTGAAGCCTACGTGTCCGCCCCGTTACCCACCTCTCCCCTCACCCCTTTTCCCCCCCACCCATCGGATCTTCTCCCCCCCTCCCCCCCTCCCCCCCCAGGTTCCACTCCTACCTGGTTCACCTGCTAGTGTTCGCCCCGCGCGCCTTCTTCGACTCGCCCCGCGGCCGCTGGATCTTCAAGATGTTCCTGGAGGCCTTCTTCCTCTACGTCTTCCACTCCGTGCAGCTCATGCCGGGTAGGGGCGGGCAGGCAGGGGGAGGGGGTGGGAGGGAGGGAGGGAGAGGAGGGAGGGAAGGAGGAGGGCAAAGGCAAAGGGAAGGAGAAGGAGATTTCAGCAGAGACGAAGCACAGCCACACGTCCAGCTTCGGAAACCCACTTGCATGACCTATAACAACCCCTTAACACTTCCCCCTCCTCCCCCACCCCTAGAATAGTGTCCTAGGATAGTGCCTCCGTACGCGCTCACTCCATGACTCGGCATCTGCAGTTGGGACTCCAGTTGCCTCACTTTTCATGTACCGGTATTTTTCACCCCTCCTCCCCCACCCACGCCTACCTGCAGACGACGACTTCACGCTCCGCTGGCAGCACGTGGCCTTCCTGCTGTACGTGGGCGGGCAGCTGGTGGACGAGGTGCAGGAGAACGCGCACCAGTACGGCGGGCGGCTGGCGGCCTACTTCTCCTCGGGCTTCAACCTGGTGGAGGCGGCGGGGTGGGGCATGATGCTGGGCTGCATCGGGCTCAAGGCGGCCATGTGGGGGCTGCCGGGGAGGCAGGTGGGGAGTGGGGTGGGGAGGGGAGGGCGGGGAGGGTGGAAATATAAGTGAAATGTGAAGCAACGGAGGGGGTGGGAGGGGAGGCTACGCCGCGGGTGGCGGGGAGGATGGGAGGCATGGAGGGCACGCCGATACGGGAATCTTGCCGAGGCAGTCCTCCTCCCCCTCATCCACCTTCTCCTCCTCCGTTACGTTTTCCTGCTGTTATGTTCGCCTCAACACGTAACGCCATGCACCCTCCCCACCCCGCATGGAGCTTACATGTCACACGGCTAGTCACCGGTACCTTCTTCCTGTTTACCCCGCTCCCCCGCCCCCCTCTCCCCTATGGTTTGGTATGGTCTTTGACCCCCCTCCCCTCTCAGGATCACCCGCACTGGGAGGCTCTGCGCACCTGCAAGGAGCTGCTGCTGGGCTGCGCCTCCATCCTGGTGTGGGCGCGGCTGCTGCAGTTCATCATCCCGCTGTACGACGGGGTGGGCAGCTTGCTCATGGTGGTCAGCCTGATGTTCAGGGAGGTGAGGAGGAGGAGGTGGTGAAGGGGAGGGGTGCTGCGGGGGTGGGCGCGGGGGAATGAAAAAGAAACTTTAATGAATGGTATGACGGGGCTTCATGATGGGTGGCTAACCCTGCTGCGCAAGGTACTGGGCGGGTAGGAAGGAGGGGCGGGTGGGGGGAGGAGGATGTGCATGGGTTGGATCGCAATGGTTGGCTCCGGGCAGCATCAGCAGGGGTGGCTTCCGTGTTGGAGGCGCCCCGGGGGTGTAGTGGCCTCGCGGGCGGGCTTGTTTGGCTTGGTGGACTTGTGCGCGGGGGTGTGTTCGTGGCTTTCTTGTGTGTATCTGCACGTGCACTCCTCACCATCATCCGGCGACCACCCAGCTCCCTCCTGCCGCTCAAAACACCCCTACGCCCCCTCCTCCCCCCAGGTGTTCAAGTTCGCGGTGCCCGGCATGCTGCTGCTCACGGGGGTGGCCTTCTCGCTGTTCTCGGCGTTCAGGTGGGAGGCGGAGGGATTGGGGGAAGAAGAAGGATACCAAATGGGGGGAAGGGAGGGGGGAGCAGGGTACGAGCTGACAAGGAAACAAAGGTACTCACTTGAGGAGGGATGCTGTGCTCCCTGAGTTGCCTCACACCTGCCACACACGCCCTAAACAACCCTGAAGCCCTCACGTTCGCCACATGCAACCCCCCTCCCTCACTCTATCCTAATTGCTTTGCCCTTACCTATGGTTCTGGTATATCTTTGACCCTCCCCCCTCCCCCCCACACACTCAGGTACCGCGACATTCCCGAGCTCTCCTCCTTCCCCATGACCATGCTCAAGCTCTTCCGCACCTTCCTGGGCGAAACCATGTTTGATCTGTACGTGGACGAGCCGGACACGGCGTACAACCTGTACGGCAACATCATCACGCTGCTGTACGCGCTGGTGGCCACCGTGGTGCTGGCCAACCTGTTAATCGCGCTGATCAGCTACCACTTCCAGCCGGAAAAGGTATTATAACGGCAGTTGGAGCAATTCTTCAGTTGGTTTTGTAGGCTTTTCCAGTACATGACCTAACTATGCCCAGGCGTCCAGCATACGCATGGTGAACCGAAGAAGAAAGGAAGACACACACCTACACCTTATTCTGTTCGTCAGTTTCCTTCAATTTACCCCTCCTCTTCCTCCCCCCTTCCCCTCCTCCGGCCCACCCCCGCTCCCAGACTGAGAGCCAGTCGCGCTTCCAGATGGCGGAGATCCTGGCGCACTACGAGTACGTGGTGGACCAGCGGCTGGTGGGGGCGCCCTTCTCGGGGCCGCAGCTGCTGGCGGCGGCGGTGCTGCCGGCGGGGCGGCGGCAGAAGGGCAGCAGCAGCTGGCTGGCGGAGAAGGCGGGGCTGCCGCCCATGGACGGAATCGTGGTGGCGGGTGAGGAGGAGGGAGGGAGGGGGAGGGGGAGGGGGAGGGAGGGGAGGGAGAAGGATACATGCAGTGTGTTGTGTGACAGGGAGGGGGAGGGAGGAGTGGAGCGGGATGGAGGGTGGTGGAGCCTCCTGTCCACAGCATTACGCATGGGATTACCCTCCGCCCCTGCCCCTCTTCCCTAATTCCTACCCACCCCCACCTCATCCCAAACCCACCCCCCCCACCCCGCCCCTGCCCCACCCCCAGGTGAGGACACCGCCAACAAGTTCCTGCCCACCGGCACCCACGAGCTGCCCTACCTGCTCTTCCTGCTCACCCTCTACCCGGCGCTGCTGCTGCTGTCCTGGGCGCTCTACTTCGGCATGGCGCCCTACGCCATCTGCTACTTCACACTTGCGGGGTACAGACGGTGGACGGGCGAGGCGGCGGGGCCGGCGGGGCTCAAGGTGATGAGGGGTGGGCGGCTGTGAAGCGGGGAGTGTCTCTGGAGAGAGATCTGCACTGTGCGGCTCCCCCATCTGTGGCTTGTTAGGGTCTTTGACCCCCATCTGCAGTACCGGTATACAGGGGCCCATACTGACAAGGGAGGGGTGCCCTGCGTTGACTGTATCATACCTGTATCCGTGTGACTGCCTTCCTGCATTCAACCCCCTTCCTTGGTCCTTTGGAGCCCTTCCTTGCATCCTAACGCTGCCACCCGCGCCCATCCCGCCCGCCCGGCTGCTTCAGGGTCCGACTCGCCAGGGCTCCAGCGGCAAGGTACACCCCGACCCCTCCTCCTCCGCAGTTACCACCACCACCGCAGCAGCAGCAGCAGCAGCAGCCAAGGCCCCGGCCGGCTCTGCGGCTGCCGGCGCGGCAGTGGATATGCTGGAGCTCGCTGACGAAGTTGGGGGAGGAGGAGCACTGCATGCTAGCAGCGGCCCGGTGGTGGCAGCAGGCGAGGAGGGGATGCTGGGTGGTGGAGACCCCGCACTTGGTGGTGGTGAGGAGGAGGAGGACGGCGGCGTGGTGCAGGTGAGTGAGGACATCTGACGGGACCAGACCGGACCTGAGGGAGAGAGGAAGAGTGCGCATGCCTAGACTCCTGCGTTGACGCAGCGTGGGCGGCTTCCGTACACAGGCGGCGCTAGAGCCTACAGTCTTTCCTGACCCCCCTCCCAACAGCCGCCACCCTCTTCCCCCTTCCTCTCCGGCCCCCCCCCAAACACAGCGTCTGGCCCCTGCGCTCCGCCACTGCCTGTCCGCCGCGCGCTACCTGCTGACCCGGCCTCTGTGGCTGCTGCTGGGCTGCTGCGGCTACCTTGGCGTGCTGGGCGGGGGGCTGCTGGTGCTGTGGATGGGCGCCTACACCTGGCTGGGCCGGCTGGCCTTCCACGCCTACTGGGTGCTGCGGGGCTGGGTGCAGGTGGGAGGGGAGGGGGAGGGGAAGGAGGAGGGGAAGGAGGAGGATACATGGGGGGGAGATGAGATGCAGGTGTAGACAGGGCATGGGATTGAGAGGTGGGGGTGGGAGATCTGGGAGTGTGCTATGGGGGAGGGTGAGTAGCCCAGCACTCCCTGGCTACGGTCTTACCTGCTGCAGTGATGTCCCTCCCTTAGTGTTGTTGTACCTCCTTCCGGGCCGCGTGCCTGCCTTTCCCCTGGCTTCAATACACCTCCTCTGCACACACCACCCCTCCCCACCCCCACCCACCCCCTGCTGCAGGGCCTCCTGGGCGGCGACAATGTCGTCTTCGCCGACAAGACCGCCACCACCACCACCGCCAGCAGCTCCACCTCCTCACCATCCACAGCTGCCGCTGCCGGTGGCGCCGGGCGGCGACAGGGTGCGGCGGGGCTGCGGGAGCGGTCGCAGCTGGTCCGGGTGCAGCAGGCGGCGCTGAGGAACGGAGGCCAGGTGGGCAGGCGGCGGGTTAAAGGAAAAATTGGGTGAAAAGAAAGCCAGAATGAAGCCAGGGTATAGCAGCAAACCTTCTGCACGCCTCCTCCCTGTCTCTCTCCGCACCTGCACCCGCACCTGCACCCGCACCTCTGCTCTCCACGCACTCCCAAGTCGCCGCATGCTGGTGCAACACATGGTGTAGCCATGTGTCATGGACACATGGTTGATGACTTTCCCACTGCAACCCCCCTCCCCCCACCCCCCCCTCCCTCGCCATGCTGCTGTCATCATCACATTGCAGGTCATCACGCTATCCGAGCTGGCTCGCTCGCTGCGCGCTGCGGGCTTCAGCAAGGCCGACATCTCCGCGGCAGCAGCGGGGCCCTCCCTGGCTCCCGCCCTGCTGGGGCCCACTGGCTCGGGAGCCCTGGCCTCCGCCCCCGGCCCTGCTGGTGCGGATGTTGCTGCGGGTGGGGCGGGGGGCCGCGGCACGCCGCAACGTTCCGAGGCGTCTCTGCAACTTCGGCAGCCTCTGCGGGTGGAAGAGGCGGATGAGGATGATGGTGATGTTGAGGAGGAGGAGGAGGATGGGGCCGGGTGCGATGTGGGAGGAGGAATGGGAGAGGCTGGCGGGGTGAGGGCGGCTGGCGGTGGGGTTCGGGAGATGCCGGGGTTGGTGAGGAGTGGCGGCGGTGGTGGAGGCAGTGGTGGTGGTGGAGGCAGCGGAGGCGGCAGCAAGGGAGGCAGCGGAGGAGGCAGCGGCAGCCCAATGGCTAGGCGGGTGGCTAGCAGCTAGGAAGCATGTAGGGGCCGCACGCGTGCATGTATCCGGGTGGTGGAAAAACATCCTGGTGGTGGGTGGGTAGGTGGGAGGGTGGGCGAATGAGGCATCGTTTCGTGTACAGTAAGGAATGAGGCACGCCCGGACAATCACTGTAGTGGTGACCACATGGGTATTGTGTTGCAAGCGTGTTGTGGCTGGCATATGCTGTGTAGTACTGCTTGGCAGGCTACGTTTCTCGAAGGTTAAGAATCGTGGGCTGTATTGCATGAACTTCTGGTTGTTTGGAGCAGACTGAGGATTGTTCGTGAAAGGCCGGTGACTCCACCCTTGCTCGCGTACTACAGGTATGTATGTCGTTCGCTATCTTTAGTTGCCGTGCATAGGCGTGTGGGTGTCAGGCTCTTCTGTCTTGCTTTTAAGTTGGATGTTGGAACATTGGCTGTCGCTCGTGCCGTAAGTATGACCATAAGCATCGTATGTATCGTTACCTGATTAGGCCTTATGCGTATTTTGCATGGAAAGCTGACGGAGAATTGTGTTTGTTTGCGATCACTTCCCGGCTGCGTGTGCCTAAATGTGAATGTGCACACTGACCGGGTGATGACGGCTCGTAACTGGGAAACATCGCGACTTGAGACAGAGACGTTGTGAGATGAGTCGGATGACCCATGGGCCGGAAGGTCCCTGCTGTGTGTCCACAAAGAACTGCTCAAAACACGCATTTAAATCGCAGAATACCTGAAAGTTGCAACGACATGCACTTTGGTCCGATCCTACTGGTATTTCAGCGTATCCTATTTGTTTTAGTAATAGCATCTGGTGAGGGTCAGAAGGGGAGGATACCTCCGGCAGCGATCCTCGGAGGACTCCTATTGACACTTGTCCTCATACTCACTGTTTGCTCGCAGAGCAGTAACCGCTAAGCTTACGCTTAATGTACCGGTGGTCCGCATGTTTGGGTTGGCCCATCATTCGTTTGGCTGCACTGTAATTTAGCAAAAGATCGGACCAGCTGCTGAAACCTATTCTGTTAGTATCGATTTCACCTCATCTTTATAAGATTGCATGTAAAATTGCGCCGCAGGACTAAGGTTCATCGGCCGATGCGGCGGATACGGCGGTAAGTTGGTCGGTCGTTAAAGCATGGCTTAGAAAGAAACCAAAGAACCCACCTTGTCCTCCGTTTCCCAAATATATATTCAACGACCAGTTGCTTATGCAGTTTGCCTTTTTGCCATCGTGCTAAGCAGCAGTGGAACCTACAGCTCACCCATCTTAGTGCTCTCTGACGGGCCTTAGGCAAATATGACCTCTGCAATTCTTTGTTGGTGACGACGTTATTTACTGAACTACCCATTCATTAGGGCAAAATGGGCTCTTGCCTGTCGCGGGAAGCAGTCCCACAGAACAAAGTCGTCCCTTTATTTGATGGGGAGAAGGACTACCTAGGCGAGCGAGGATACACCAGAACGCTAAAGAGCAAGGGTGGATTGGAACTCTTCGCGTATTTCTGGCCGGCAGACCCGAATGTGCCGCTTAAGGGAATCGTCCAGTTGTCCCACGGGAATACAACGCACATCTGCTTTGACTACCTTAAATTCCAGGTGCGTTCTTACTCAGCGATGTAAAAACTAAGGGCAGCGACTGGTGGGTAATCGGAACAGACCTTCCACCAATCACAACTTTATTACCATGTTGGATGCAGCATGCAGCTTATTTATAAGATAATAACCAAGCATTCCAGGAACACTTGTGCCCCATGACCTTTCGCCAGCCTCCCTAACATAAGGTTTCGGCGCCTGCCCACTCCCACGCCCTAAACCCACAATACCCTCCCAGACTGCTGTCCCTGCTCCTCCGCACCCACATGCACCACCTCCCAGCACAAGTCTCTGTCCCCTCATCTCTGCACCGTCAGCTCAAACGACCCCACACCTCCCACACGCCTGCTTCACCTTCCCTCCCTTCCCTCCTATAACTCCTTCGCACCCTCCCTCCCTCCCTTCCCTCCTCCTTTCCCCGCCCAGGCCAACGGCCTTCCCAACCTGTACACCGGCTCCTGGGTCGCCGCCCTCAACGCGGCTGGCTTCGCGGTGTGCGGGGCTGACCACATGGGCTGCGGGCGCTCGGGCGGCGAGCGCTCCGCCATCAGCCGCTTCCAGCAGCACGTGGACAACCTGGTGCTGCTGGCGGAGTGAGTGGGGAGGGAGGGGGTGGGAGGTGGAGGGTGGGGTTAGGAGGGGGAGAAGAGGAGGGGGGTAAGAGGGGCGTAAGCGGGGATCGGTATTGAGACCAGGGCTGGAGTTGGCAGGGGAACGGGGAGGGGTGTTCAGCCGAGGCGGGCGGGAGTCCAGGGGCGCTGTTGGGGAGACGTAGAGCCCTAGAGTAGTGCCGGTATCGGGGAACGCTGTGAGAGGGACCCATCGGGGGGACCCAACTGCCAGCTAACCCGAACTTGACGACCCCACCCCCTGCACTTCTCCTCCTAATCCAACCAACTTGACAACCCACAGCTATGTTCGCGACTGCGGCGGCTCGGCCTTCCCCCGCGGCCTGCCGTACTTCCTGATGGGCCACAGCATGGGCGGCCTGGTGGCTACACTGGCCTCCGTACAGCAGGTGGGTTGGAGGAGGAGGGGGGTGTAGACGTGCATGCCTTCCTACCCGCAACACACACACGGCCAGGGTTCCTACTCGCGGCCAGTTTTCTTAACACGCACATACACACTCTGTGGGGACTTCATCTTCCGACAATCACAGTATGTTCCTACTCGCGGCCAGACTTCTTAAGACACCTCCCTTCCTTGCCCTTCCCCCCGCAGCCCGACCGGTTCGCTGGGCTGGTGCTGCTGGCTCCCATGCTCTCGCTGGAGCACGTGTCGCGCCGCAACAGCGGGCTGCGGCCGGTGATCAAGGTGGTGAGTGCGGTGGCGCCGGCGACCAAGGTGGGCAGCAGCGGAGGCAGCGACACGCGGCCGGGCGGCTGGATACATGACGCCTGGGAGGCAGGTGAGGAAGCGGAGGGTGGTGACGGTGGCGGTTATCTCACAATTACTGGGGATCAGTTGCACAGTTTACTGTGGAGGTTGCTGTACTGATAATGTACAGGACGATCCAGTGCTTATGCGTTGCGTGTGGTATGTTTATGCGTGTGGTGTATGCTGCCCACCTACCAGTGCTGTCCGCTAACCTCGCTCCCCACCGGCACCTCCGCTCCGCCCTGGACCCCGGAATACGGGATCGGGGCTCCGCTTGCTGCAATTCTCAATCATACTCTCCCCCTCCCTTCCCTCCCCCCACCCCCCCAGACAAGCACGTGCACAACGGCCCCATGCTGGCTCGCACGGTGGAGGAGTTCCTGTCCGCCACGGAGGCGCTGTGTGCGCCGGGCGGCATGGAGGCGGTCACGGTGCCGCTGCTGGTGTTCCAGTCGCGCAGGGACACGCATGTGGAGCCGGAGGGAGCGCGGCAGCTGCATGACAGGGCGGCGGTGGGTGGGGACTGGAGGGAAGGGGAGGGAGGGAGGGAGGGTGGAGGGGAGGGGTCTGGTTCCTGTGTCACGGCGGGCATGGTGGGCGTTCGCTTTCGGCTGCTGACTCCTGGGCTCTTACATGGAAGAGCTCCTCTGTTACTCACGTTATTGTTGCCATGGCTGCCACCACCTGCCTGCTGACACTGCCGTCCTGCTGCCCCCCTCCTCCCTCCCGCAGTCCAAGGACAAGCAGCTGCATGAGCTGACGGAGCAGTGGCACGTGCTGACCAAGGAGGAGGGCTGGGAGGGGCTGTTGGAGACGACACTGTCCTGGCTGAAGGCGCGGTCGGGCAGGTCGGGCGGGCTGACGAGCGGGTGGGGAGGGGAGGAGCAGGCGGCTGCTGAGGGTGGGGGAGCTACAGAAGGGGCAGGAGCTGCAGAGGAGGAGGAGGGGGTGGCGGGCAAGGGTTCGCTGTCCTCGTTTAAAGAGGAAGCGACGGTGGAGAAGGAGCGGTACGGGGAAGGACAGGTGAAGGAGCTGATTCCTTGCGGCTACGGTTTGGGGGCGGAGGCGGTTGAGGAGGAGGAAGGGAGTGGGAGAAAGGAGGAAGGAGGAGGGCGGCAGGCGAGTAGCGGTTCTGCAGATAGGGAGCGGCAGGCGGGCAGCCGTGCCCCGAGTGCCGTACACGGCGCGGCAGTGGCCGGGCATGCGCACGAAGAGGAGGGAGAGGGAGAGGGCAGGGCGTCACCTGCCTCCTCCTGCGCCTCCAACGACCCCAAGCAGCCCGCCACACCCGAGCCAGGACCGGCCACACCCCGAGAGGAGGAGCCGCTTGACGCCAGCCCGGCGGCCGCAGCAGCCGAGGCATCTGCTGCGGAGGGCAGTTACGATGGCGCAGCAGGGAGGGCGGAGGAGGACGACGACAACACAGGCGGGGAGGAGGACCAGGGCGAGGAAGCCGGCACCACTGCAGCAGCAGCGGATGCCGAGCTCAAACCCAATGCGGAGGCTCCCGCCCTCACACGCTCCATGTCAGCCCTGGAGCGCTTCCCCGAGCTGGAGGGCACGCGGCTGGGTCGGGGCTACTCCTTCAGCGGCCAGACAGCGCCGCAGCTGCAGCAGCAGGGGGCAGCGGGGGCGGGTGCGGGGCCGGGTGCGCATGCGGGCGGGTCGGATCACGGAGGGGTGGCATCCAGCGGCGGGAGCCTGCTGGGGCCCCTGCCTCCGCTGAAGCCGCGGAGCAGTCTGGGGCCGTTGCCGCCCGAGTATGCGGCGGTGTACTCGGGGCGGCCGTTCGCGGGGCGCAGCACGCTGCCCCCGCTGAAGCCGCTGCTGGACCGAAAGCCGCTGAGATGAGGGGGGAAAGAAGGAAAAGAGGAAGAGCCATGTGTTGGATGGTGTAGTGGCATGCTGGGTGCCGTAACTCGAGCTGCTGGGGAAGGGGAGGAGGAGAGGGGGAGTCAAGGAGAGATGTGATTTTTGTGTTGGCTGTCGGATTTGATTTGATGATGTCGGCGGTGATGTGGTCGTAGCTTGGAACCACGGTGATCAGCTAGGGTTTGGGAAGTACTTTTAGTGCCGGTGGGTGATGAAGTTATGCTTGCCGTACTTTTTATGAGTCAGTTGCGGTTGCTCGACGTTGGTTGCCGAAACCGCTATGCTTCTTGCCATTGGATTATTGCTGGACACGACCAGACTTTGTACTGGCAACAATACCGGCATCGTGATACAAGGGACATGGGACACGTAGGCGTCCTATATTCAGTGGTGGTTATAGCGATAAACCACGATTGACCCCACTGCTGTTTTTTCCAGTAGCACTTCCCCAATAGCACTCGTACCATGAAATCGAAGACGCCGAACGGCTCCGTCAGCTGGCGTGGGTGTGAAGGCCGGGATGGTGGGTTGTTGCGTTTATTTGCGCATGTGAATAATGAGGAACGCGACTTGCATGCATGCAGGGACGACTCATGATCTGTCGAACAGGTCTATCCTGACGAGCGTGTTCACGTGTTATTCGGTACTGTTAACGGGTGTTCTTAGACGGGTTATATAACGCTTGCGTATGCGTATGTTAACAATACTGGCCGCGTGTATGCGTGTGCAATGAATATGGTGATCATGCGAGGAGGCGGCTGGCAGCAGGAACAAACGAACGGCTCTCCTGGGCGATGTGGAAGTGCGTGTGAGAGATTGCGGGTATGGCTGTGCTGCCGAGAGCTGCTGCTGCTGCTGCTGTGCAGGATGACGCATTTACATGCATTTATTGTAGCTTGCGCCTGTAGATTGCGTGGTGCTGATCGCCGTCGATCTGCGGGACTTGTGGCGTGTGTCTGTTTGTGTCTATCCACCTGCAGCGTTGTTACGGAAAGCCGCTAAGGGTGTCAAGCGATTCATACCAAGACCGGCAGGTTAATGTGTTTGGGGACGTGTTGTGCGGGACATGTATGGGACGCGTGCAGCATGTACGGAAGATGATTAGTACGTTTGGAGTCGCAACATGGGATAATTTACTTTTGTGCACCTTATGGCATATACACCTGCATACATCAATTGAGCTAAGGACGTTGCCACAGACGGCGTTGTGTTGGCGGCGAATTAGTCACGCCTCGTGAGAGTTTGTCGCCGGTTGTCACGTGTCAGCCCCCTTATGGCTGTGGGCAGGTTTGAGCTGAGCCCAGCAGTCCCCGAGTGGCCACTTGCATCTTGAGTACGGTTCTAACGGTCCTAACGGTCTAAGGCAGACGCTTACGGCGTTCGTTGGTGACGAAGTTGCCCCGGCATCTTACGGTGTTTGGTTGCTGTGCATCTATGTGCGTTCCTGGATCAGACTGATCAGTTGTTGACGTACCGGTGTGCCCTGTCATCTGTCCCTTGCCAACTTGATCCAATGGTTCAGTGCCTCCTCTGCTGCTCCTGTAGCAGCCATCCAAGCTTGCCTTGGAGTTGGGACCTAAGGACGTATATTGCAGTGTAAGGCTGCATGCTTTTGACAGCGCCGTTATGCCCTCGTCAATGCTCGACCAATCTAGTCTTCGACCCTTCCCTTCTCACCACCAACTGCGTGGCAGGCAACGAGGTGCAAGCAAACGCACGTGTCACGTGCGGGGCCTGCAGGCGACGTGCGCGGTTCCATACTGTGCTTTCAAGGCTGTGTGTAAGACTTGTACGGAATAACTAACGCCAACTACCCTATCCGATTCGTCGACACTCGAAGTTTCAGGACTATGCAGACCTGTAGTTTTCTACTTGTTATCATATTAATTCACGGTCCTTTGCGTTGTCCGTTGGCGTAATGTTGGCTTTCCGCTCTTTGCAACCTGGAACGCACAGAAGTCAACACGCACACTACGCACATGGATTACCTAACCCTAGCGCCGTTGTTAGCCAGCAGCCATTTAGCTTGTTGGCGCACCGAGGTCGACGCGACATGGTTGTCGCCGTGTTTGCAAAGAAGGACCACAAAGAGTATAATGAGCATCATGACGACCATCAATTATCGCGTAGCAGCGCCGAGCTGCAGGTCGGGGCAGCGCAACCTCTTTTGACGTCACAAGCTCGATGCAATGCCATTTCACACCATCGAACGATCGCTATGCACCGCGCCGCAGGCATATGCCGAGAGAGAGCGCTACCTTATGTCAGAATTGTCGAAGGCTCACAGCCAGGTAGACAAACTGCTGGACCAGCAGCAGCTACTGCTCAACATGGTTGCACGGCTTTCGGGCGTGGCTGGACCGCTTGCCCAGCAACCGGACCGCAACGTCAACCTAGTTCCTCCAGCTGGTGAGACTCTTAGAAATGTAGCGGTGGCGGTGGTGGTGTTGCCCCCATTGACATGGGCGTCCCCATGGTAGCATGAAGCAGCTAACCCTTGGAAGGCGCGCTTAATTTTGGACTCCTCAGCAACAACTTGCCCCCTTCCTCAACAACCGCAGCGGTACCACTCCCCACATCCTTACCCCCTTCCGGTGGACTCGAGAAGCAAAGCCCTGGAGCCGCTTTCATCTCCGCCGCTGCTGCTGCCGTACCAGCAACATCTGCCGTACAATTCACCCGCAGCAGCAACAGCATTAGCAACACGGACAACGGTGTTAGCACTACTGCCACAACGGGCGCTAGCGTCAGCAACAACAGCAACAGCGCCGGCAGCAGCGGTACCAGCAGCGGCGGCAGCTCTTTCCCCACCTCTCTATCGGAGTTCTTCCGCTCGGCTGCCGCTGCGGCGCCTCACCCCGCCAGCGCCGCCGCTGCCGCCTCCGTCGCCGCCGCCATCGCCGCCGTCGACACCAGCGACATCCTCTCCCTCGGCGACTTCCCCCTGCCTGAGACCTCGCGGCAGCGGAGCCCGCTCCCTCCTCCTTCCCCCCAGCAACGTCAGCAACAGGCGCAAGCATCAGCACAGCAGGATGCAGCATCTGCACCGCATGAAGCAGCGAGGTCTACATCCCCGCCACAGCTGCAGCAGCCATCGCTGCTGTTCAATACCTTGGGCGGCTTCATCACCACCAGCATCACCAGCAGCAGCAACGCGCAGTCCTCATCATCTCCCTCTCCGGGAGAGTCCGCTGCAGCGCCTGTTGCGGGGCCTGCTGCTGCTGTGTCAGGAGGAGGAGCTGCCGGTGCCGACCTCGCACAGGTGGATGTGGAGGTGGCCAAGGCGGCACCCACGGTAAGCCGTGACGCTGCTAGAAGGGGGTCACCGCCGTCCTCGTTGTTTCCCCAGCCCTCTCCCTTGACCCAATGTGCAGGCCTGTCGTACGGTTAGTTGGTTGCATCCTCTTCCTCCGGGGGGGCTCTCGGCACCCCTTACCTCTGCCCATGTGCTCCCTCCTGCTTCCCATGCCGCCGCCGCCCCATTGCTTTGCCCTAACCTGTGGTTTCCTATGGTTCGGTATGGTCTTTGCCCCCCCCCCGCCCCCAGGACCCCCCTCCCGAGCTGGTTCAGGGGGATGACGACATCTACTGGCTGTCCAGGTTGCATGCTGCGCTGGAGCAGCGGGGGTTCTACCCGGGAGAGGAGGACATGGAGAACTGGTTCTTCGGTGGGTAGGGGTGCTTGTGGTTACGGGAGAAGAAGAAAGAGAAGAAGAAGGGAGGGCGGGAGGGCGGGAGGGAGGGAGGGAGGGAAAGGAGGAAGAGCAGAAGGCCATGCTGTTAAGGGTACCGGTTGTGGCTGAAGGAAGGAAAGGAAGGGAAAGAAGGCAAAGCGACCCGGGAGTCGGTCGGTCCGGGCGATGTGCGTACCCAACGTCCTATAGCGGCCCTGCTGCTCCCACAGCTTACCGTATTGCCCAAAGTTTTATTGACATGCGTTTTAATGCCTATTTTCCAGCCCCATTTGACAAGACGGAGAGAAGTTCTGCCCCATTTGACCTCCGGTTAGCGAATCTCTAGTCCCAATTGACATGCGCCACATACCCCAAAAGCCGCCGTTTGGGCATGGCCTGGTGAAGATCCTGGGCCCCCACATTTTACGCCCCCAATTTGGCACCTTCCCAGTGAATTTCTGGCCCCAATTGACAACGCCAAAAACCCGCTCAGCCCCAATTGAAAAAGCGCAAAACATTTTATTTTTGTCAATTAAATTACGGGCAATACGGTAACCACCCTTGTCGCTCTGTTCCCACCCCCAACCTCTTGCATTGCTTCAGTTTTTTCTCCTGCTTTACGTCTAACACTTCTTCCCTCACCCAGGCGAAACCACGCAAGCTGCCGTACTCGCGTTCCAGGCCTCCGTACGACTGCCGGAGACGGGGGTGGTGGACCGGCCCACATGGACGGCGCTGCTGGGGGAGGCGGCGGCGGGGGAACTGTACGACAGGGGAGCTGCAGCGGAGGCGGCGGCGGTCATGGCGGCGGTGGTGACGGCGGTGCAAACGGCAGAGTCAGGGGACCGCAGTGGTGATGGCGCGTCGACGCGTTCTCCCCCGCCGGTATCCCCGCCGCCGGTGTCAAGCGACGCCGTGTCGGCTGCAGCACCTCCTCCACCCGCCTCTTCTTCTTCATCATCATCGGCTGCAGCTGCTGCTGCGACAGCTGCAACCGCTGCTGGCCCACCAGCTCAGTGGCCGGTGCTGATGGAGGGAGACGGCGGGCGGGAGGTGCATGCGCTGCAGGTGGGGAGGGGGGGTTCGGTGAGGGAAACCAAACCGTGCAGGTGGGGGGGGACGTGTTAAGTGGCCCCCTACACAACTATCCATGCGGTACTGCCGGTGCCCCGCTCCCCTTGCATGTCTGCTCCTCCACCTCCACCTCCACCTCCGCCCCCACCGCCACCGCTGCTGCTGTACCTCCTTCCCCAGGTGGCGCTCTGCACCCGCGGCTTCCACTGCGGCGAGGAGGACATGCGCTGGTGGCAGCTGGGGGAGGACAGCGCCACCGCCCTGCGCTACTTCCAGGTGGGGGTGTTCCAGTGTGTGTGTTTTACCCCCCTGGTGTTTACCCGGCGGGTTGTCGTACCATCATCTTCACCTGCTCACCCTACCTCCTGCCTTCAAACCACTTTCTCCTTCCTTCGCCTGGTATGGTCTTTGACCCCTCTTCCAGAGCTGCAATGGCCTGCCGGAGAGCGGCGTGTGCGATGAGCGCACCTGGAGGGCGCTGCTGGGCCCTGCAGCCCAGCCGGCGGACCTGTACGACATTCGGTTGGCTGCCAACAGCGATGACGAGGAGGGTTTGGAGGGCGGGTTTGAGGAGGACATGGAGGGCGTGTCACGGGGGCGGGTTTGGTTGCTTGGAGAGCAGCGGTGGGAGCGGAGAGCGTGAGAGAGGAGGGAGGGAAGGAGGGAAAACAGGGAAAAAGTGAAGCAGCGGAGAGGAGGGAGAGGGGCAGGCACGCCAGGCAGGGAGAGTACGGAGTGACGATGGGAGGGAGTGGTAGGGATGGTGAAAGGAGGGAAGGCTAGGGAAGGGAGAGGGGGCAGCAGTCTTGAAGCGAGAGGAGAGATGAGGATGCTAAATGAGGGGCACCTGAGCGGTGTGGAGGGCACGTGAGGATGTATGAGTGCGCCTGGGTTTAGTGCGAGTGTCGCATATGCATGCTTGTTGCAATCGATGGCTACAAAGCTGGGGAGGCAAGGGTGCTAACGGTCCAAATGCGAAAGGTACGAACGAACTAGTACGGGATGGCTAAGGTCCTGTGGCTACTTGATGACGCAGGAACTCGGTTTGCAGGGTGTTACGTCCGCTCATGTAAAAATGGTCATTTGTGCTTTTTATCACGGTGACGCATGGCCGGCATGCCTGAATAGCGCAGGTGCAGGACGTCCAGCCTGCGTTGCTTTTCCGCTGGGCGTGAAAGGCGCTGACGTGACCCAGGGTTCGACACGTCGACGAGCCCCAGCAACCGCTGATGACCCTGTCGCAAGACAGGCTAACATTTGCATACTGCATAACAGAACGTTTGCGTAGTTTCCGCCACAATATAGCGTACGTAAGAGATGTGGGTTTCCGAACGTACGGCACCACCCGCCGCGATGCCTCACCTTGCCAAGCCCTGTGAACGGGTCACAAGCTAACACTACGCCATCGTAAGAGCTTTATGTTTCTGGGCACTTGTTCTGACTTATCCTTTGAGTAACCTGTTCACGAAAGCCCTAGGAGCTAGAGCTACCTATGGCTATAGGGGACGACCGGGCGCCGCCCCGCGGCCGGTCAGATTCTCCAGATGAACCGCTGCTTGATGGTCGCGTCGGGCTGTTTGAAATGCGGAACCGGCCCCGTCGCGACGTTCCATGGCTCATCGCGTACCTTCTTCTGCTGTTAGGAGCCCTTGCTGGTGGCGTTTTCGCCTTCATGCACAGGTGGGTTTGCATGACAAAGTAAAGTAGTAGGAATTGCTTTCTTGCAAAGGAGATAGCTCGTGGCAGTTGCCCTGCAGTTGCCTGTATGCGCATGGGTTCTTACTTCCAAAGGCAGTGTGAACAAGAATATGTGTCCTATGTTTGGCCCTTAAAAGCCCTTGGCCGAGGTCATGTTCGGAGCTGCATGCTGAGCGCGTGTGAAGCGCATGTGGTGTGGTTTTTGATGAACATAGCGAACTTCCCCTACTTCTAAAATATTATGAAGTGGCTGGGCCGGAACAGTTCGTTTGGTAGCCCAAACCGCGTCGTGGGCGGATGTTGTTGCCTTCTCAAGCAGCCCTTTGTCGGCTTTGCATTTTGTAACGCAATTGTGAATATAGTTGTGTGACATATACTATTATGTGACATTTAGAAGGGAAAATACCGGTAGCTTGGGTCAGCATGACGCCTGTAGGATAACCAGCTCAGGCTGCTCATCCATCTGGCCATCCTGGTTTCCCATCCCTGCGCTCGTTCCTAATACCCGTCCTGCTTTTATCGTTTACCTTTTCCCCTCTTCTTATTTACCACGGCAGGAACACCCGGTTTGAGAAGCTGGTCACTCCCGAGTCGATGTCCGACCCGCACCTTTGCCCCATCGACGCCACCTCCCACGCCGCTCGGCGGCTGCTGCAGCAGGGCCCAGACGCGCCCTCGCCCTTCGACTTTGACCTGTTCATGCGAGCAGCGGGCATGTGGGCGGGGGCAAGTGTGGGAGGTGAGGCTAGTAGGGGGGGGGCACTCTGACGACTCTGTACGTGTTGATAGGGAGCAAAATTTGAAGGGAGCCAACTGTAGTACAACACCACCTTGCAAGGTAGGACGCCAGCTTTTCCTGTTCGCAGGTTTGGATTGCCCTCAGGGACCTCACGGTAACCTCCACTGAGTGCCCCCAATGTGAGGTCCCTGAGCGCCCGCACCCCTGCTGATGGCACCTACCGTATCCTCCCCTCGCTTCCTGTCCGTTGATGACCCTTCCACTCCTCCTCCTCCTCCCCATCACCTCCGGACCCCAACCCCCTCCAGGTGCCCTGCTGGTGGGTCTGCTGTTCGTGTGGCTGGTCCGCGTGAGCCCGGGTGCCCTGGTGGCCACCGCGCTGGGGCTGCAGGTCAGCGTGCCGGCGGCGGTGGGCATCCTGGCGCTGACCCGTGGGTCGGTGGGCGCAGGCGTGGCGCTGCTGGGCTTAGCGGGCCTCACGCTGCTGGTGTTCATACTGTGGAAGCAGCAGGTGGGTTTACGGGAGTGGGGTGGAGTGCGTGGGTGGATGGGGTAGGCTGATGAGGCCGCGAGGGGTGACGACCTGAGTTGTTGACGATGCGCTGTTGGTCCACTGATTGGCTCCATGAGCCTCTGTGAGCCTGCCTTTGTACCTCTCTCCCACTCTCCTCCCTCTTCCCAACCCTCGCCCTCCTTCCCTCTAGCTCCTCATCCTTAATAGAAAGTCGTTATTGTTAGCTTTGTCAACCCCGCAACCCCTCCCTCCCTCTCCCTGCCCTCCCCTGCCCCCCTCCCTCCCACCCAGGTCCAGCTGGTGACGGCGCTGTTGGGTCTGGCGGGGCGGGGGCTGAGCGCCAACCCGGGCCTGGTGCCCATGGCGCTGGGGCTGCAGGTGGGCGGGGGGGAAGGGGGAGCTGCTGGGGGGAGAACTGCTGGTGGGGGAAAGGAGGATACCCAATGCGTGGGGTGCATGGGCTGGCTGCAGGGGGGGTAAAGGGGCACTGTCTGTACATCTCATGCGTACACTCCATTGGTACATCCGGTTGGTACATTCCATGCAGTTGTTGTTTCCTCGCAGGGAAGGCAGGGGAGGAGTGAGTGGGAAATGGGGGTTACTCCGCCGGTTGTTCCCGGCAGGCCTTAGCTACATGCAAACATACCGGTAGGGAGGCGGTCATGCTGGCGCCCTGCCTGACCCTTGCCCTCCCCCCACCCCCTCCCCCCACCCCAGCTGCTGGCGTTGGGTCTGCTGGAGACGCCGCTGCTGCTGGCGCTCATCGGGGCAGCCATGAACGGCACCCTCGCCTTCAACCCGCACCGGGCGGACCGGGGCGCCGCGGAGAGCCCGGAGCAGTGCGTGGACGCGGAGGGGGACAGCGTGTCGTGCTGCGTGTGGAAGGTACGGTTGGGGGGGGGGCTGGCGGGGTGTCGGGTTGGGGTGGGGTGGGTTGTTGTGGTTTGGCGGCATGAAGGGTCGGGCGGAGTGGGGTTCGGAAGGAGGTGCGTGAAGAAAGCAAGGAAGATAACCAGCGGAGTAGGGGAGGAGCATGGACGGGGAGGAGCCTGATGTTGTCCCAGCTTAAGATTGTTATCCACTCATTCCTTGCTTTACAGCCTGCAGCCTGGTTATCGGTCCCTTTCCGCTCTGGCACACACCTCCCCCACCTGCTATGGTCCTTGCGCAATGCCGCACATGGCTCAGTCGTCAGACTTGTAACCCCTCCCTCCTTCCCGCCTCCTTCCCGCCCTCCCCCTCCGCACCCCAGACCGAGCCCTGGGTCCCCGCCTACATGACCCTAGCTGGCATCGCCATGACCTGGACCCTCTTCCTCGCCTTCCAAATCAAGCTTTACACCGTGGGGGGCACCATCGCCCAATGGTACTTCGAACCCGTCTCCGCCGCTGCTGCAACAGACGACGACATGTACCACGGAGGCGGCGGCGCTTCGTCTTCTTCCGCCGACGCCGCCAATGGTGGCGGCCGCCGTACGACAGCGCGCCGACGGCGGAGTCGTACACTGACGGCTCTTCGTTTCGCCGCCGGACCGTCCCTTGGGTCGCTGTGCTGCGGCAGTGCCATCCTCACACTGGTGTCCATGATCCGGCAGGTGGGTGGGGGGGAAAGTAAGGAATCACCGACGAGGCAACTAACGAGCTTTATGACAAGACTTGGGGGGGGGCTGGGGGGCGGGGGAGCTTGTGGGGTGGGTGGTGGTAGATGAAGAGGGGCTGGGGTTGGTATGTTAGGGGGAGGCTCGTGCTTGGGGCTGGGGCGGGGGCTGGTATGCACTAGGTTAGAAGGGGGTAGGTGCAGGAGGTTCCTCACCCCACCAACCCCCCTCGCTGCCCCTGGCCTCTCCCCTGCCCCCCTGCCCCCCTGCCCCCCTGCCCCCCTGCCCCCCTGCCCCCCTGCCCCCCTGCCCCCCTGCCCCCCTGCCCCCCTGCCCCCCTGCCCCCCTGCCCCCCTGCCCCCCTGCCCCCCTGCCCCCCTGCCCCCCTGCCCCCCTGCCCCCCTGCCCCCCTGCCCCCCTGCCCCCCTGCCCCCCTCCCCCCCCCCAGGCCATGGAGAAGGCCCGTCAGGAGCGAGACCGCAACCTGCTTGCCGCCTGCGCCGCCGCGTGCTGCTCGCTGCTGCTGTCGCTGCTGGAGTTCGTGACGCGCTTCGCCACGGTGCGCGCGGCGGTGACTGGGGAGGCGTTCCTGACCGCGGGGCGGGGGGTGGTGCAGCTGCTGAAGCGCAACGCCATGGACGCGTTCGGAGTGTGGTGAGTGAGGGGGCTGAGGGCTGAGGGCTGAGGGCTGAGGGCTGAGGGCTGAGGGCTGAGGGCTGAGGGCTGAGGGCTGAGGGCTGAGGGCTGAGGGCTGAGGGCTGAGGGCTGAGGGCTGAGGGCTGAGGGCTGAGGGCTGAGGGCTGAGGGCTGAGGGCTGAGGGCTGAGGGCTGAGGGCTGAGGGCTGAGGGCTGAGGGCTGAGGGCTGAGGGCTGAGGGCTGAGGGCTGAGGGCTGAGGGCTGAGGGCTGAGGGCTGAGGGCTGAGGGCTGAGGGCTGAGGGCTGAGGGCTGAGGGCTGAGGGCTGAGGGCTGAGGGCTGAGGGCTGAGGGCTGAGGGCTGAGGGCTGAGGGCTGAGGGCTGAGGGCTGAGGGCTGAGGGCTGAGGGCTGAGGGCTGAGGGCTGCTGGTGATGATGATGTTCAGCATGCAGGAGGGGAAGGGTGCAGTGTGTGGGGATGGGAATTCGAAGGGTGGATGGTCGATAGCGAATGGAGTGCATATCATGAAAGTATCGAGCATTGCTTCCCACTCTTTTTTCACGCAACCGTTCCCCTCCAAGCCTCCCCCCCTACCTTTCCACACCTCCCCCTCCCTCCCCCCCCCTTGCCCCCAGGTGGCTTCCCCCCATGATCATCCAGTCCTGCTGCTTCCTCCTCTCCGCCTCTTGGGCCGCCGCCGTCAGCCTGCTCTCCTACGCCACCACCTGGCGTCACCAGGCGCACGCCGCCTCGCCCCACCAGGCCTCCGTCTCCGCCTGGCTCACCGCGCTGCTGGCGCTGCTGGCCGCATGGGCGGTGCTGGGCTTCCTGGGCTCGCTGCTGCTGAACGTCATTGATGCGCTGTTCGTGTGCTTCGCCATGGACCGTGACTTGGGGCAGGTGAGTGCGCCCGAGGTGCACCAGGTGATGGGCAAGTTGCCGAGTGTGGGGGTTCTGGTGCAGCAGCCGGGAGGGGGGGTGGTGTATGGAGCACCCACTGGTGGGGGAGGAGGAGGAATGGGAGGTGGAGGTGGGCAGCAGCAGCAGTACCCGCCGCCGCAATTTGTGCAGCGGGGGGGCTTGGCGTCGGCGGTGTGAGGAGGGAGGAGGAGGAAGAGGAGGAGGAGGAAGAGGAAGAAGAGAGGGCGATTGGTAAACTGACGACGGTTTAGCCGGTGTGGAGATGGGACGTTTTGGGGGCTTGTTTTGGTTGGTGTGTTGGTTGTTTAGTTGTTGGTTGGAGGTATAGATGTAGGTAAGGGAAGGGGTTGCTCATGCATGTACGGGTTGCAAGCCGGCCGCAGCGATGCGTGACGGGGCCCCTTTGCTCTGACTTTAGTTGGGTGCTAGCTGCTGTGTCGTGTTGTGTACGGCAGGCGGGGCAGCAGCTGTCGGATGGTGCTGTACATACATACCGTAGATAAGACTGCGCACCGCGGTTTGGGTTGATATGCCGGTTGTTGCTGTTGTTGTTCTTAGGCTGCCGCACGCTAGCGGTATGACACTAGAGCTGCTGGTTAGGCAGCTTGTGCCCAGCACGGCATGGGGCCTCTGCCCTGATGCATGCTTCACGGGAATGTCTGTGGCCCGTCGTCGTCGTCAGTGTTGGCGTGATGAGTGGATTGTAGTTGTATATTAGGAGCGCTGCGATGCCGCTGCAAACCTTGCAACGCGTTCGATGTAATAAAACTATTGCATATAGGGCGGTAGAGGGATCAAGGAAAGCTGTCAAATAAGTGCTAGACGGTCCGCGGTTCGGGTAACTGGCCTAAGTGTCATGCGGCCCGTGACACAGCTTGTGAGGTTACGTACGACCACAAAGGCCAGGTACGGCAGGTTCCTTGCTAACATACTCTGGTAAGTGTGATAACTACCTATGCGTTAATAACCTGATCGGTATGCGTCCTGCTGCGTGCCTCGGCGCTCAGGCTCACGAGAGTGCAGCCCGCCCCTCTGTGCATGTCCTGGCGTGTGGCTCCACATCATGTCACGTCACGTCACGTCACATGTCCGTATTAGCCTCGCCAGCAAGCAGCCTCCAGCCTCCCACCCACTCCTGCTATCAGCAACGCCGCCAGCCGCTAGCCCATGAAGTTCAGCCAGTCAGGCAGGCAGCACCCAATGCAGCTCTTCCAGCATCCCTCAGCCCACTCACGCACCCCTCTCGATATCCCATCTCAAAACCGCCACATTCTCCAACGCGTACCGGTACTGCAAACAGGCGTCTGTGTCTAAAATCCCTCCACTCCTCCCGTCCTCGTTCTCAGAACAGCCCCAGCACCTTCCCTTCCTCCCCCTCCTCCCCCTCCTGCCCCCCCAGCGCCGCCCTGGCCGCATCCAGGTGCCCCAGCACGCTGTCACGCACCCCGGGGCTCAGCCGCGCCCGCTGGCCGTGAGCCATGTAGTACTCGCCCAGCTCAGCCAGAGCCTCTGCGTGTGATGAGGCGGAGGAGAGAGAGAGCAGAGTGGTGGGTAAGAGAGGTCGGTAAAAGAGAGGCCGGGAGGCAGGGGTAGCGGGGGGGGGGGATAGAGGGCGGGAAGGAGAGGAGCACGAGGTGCATGTAGCGGGAGCTGGCCACGTCCGCGGGATCACAGCTTGACCTCACCCTGTCCTGCGCGGCGGCGCCCTACAACTCATCTTTCTCCCTTTCCATGCACGCAAACCCGCACCACCCATGCAGCCCTGGCAACCTCCCCCCAACCCAGCAAGACAGCAGCCCATTATGGTGAAGCTCCGTCATACAGCTCGTCAGTACCCTATTTTCACCCCCCCCCCCAAGCCCAGCCTACCCTTAATCTCCGCATGCGTGATGTCACCGCTAACTCGAGCGTTGTCACGCCACTTGCGCACGAACTCACGAACCGTATCCTTGGCTGGGTCGGCCTTGCGTCGGACCTGGGGGGAGAGGGAACGTGGGAAAAGATATGAGGAGTGCAGCAGAATTTAGGGAGAGGGAGGGAGAGGGGAAGGGGTCGAGCGAGGGCGAGTCCAGCCGTCGTGCAGCGTCCACCAACATTAGGAGCGCAGTCGGGTGTGGAACCAGGTGTCGCAGTGTGATCGGGGAGGTCTGACACGCCCGGTCACGGATAAAGGGTCGGCGTCATCTTCGCCTACACCTCGTACGTAACATGCATGTGACTGAGTCATTCCACAAACCGCCATATCAAGGGTTAGTTTACTTCGTCAAAATCCTTACCAGCCCCTTCCCATCTGCCTTTCAGATCCCTCCTCTCCCCAGCTGCCTCTCACCCGTGCCCCCTCACCTCCGCTTCAGAAGCCCCGCTGGCCTCCGCCTCGATGGTTTCCCGTAGCCCCTCACTCAGCCGCTTCACTAGCTGGCGGTACTCTGCAGAGTTGACATATGGTTTGGCGGCATGTGGACGGTGCTGGGGCTTGCAACGCGAGCCGCATGCTCCATGGAAGGGCACGAGGGGGCCATGTATGAGGTCGTGGGAACAGCTACGCTTCTAGGCTGCCTCGCTTTATGGTTCTCACCCTTGGGCAGTTTGGCGTCCTCATCCGCGTGCACCGAGCCTGGAAGCAGCGACAGCGATAGAGCTCCGGCAGCTAGGGTGAATAATGCTCGACGCCGGGACGCAAGAACTACAGTATGTGATGTCTGCTGCTGCTGCTGAAGGTTCGCGCTGACTCTGGTCGTTGCGCATCCCTCTTCGGCTGTGTCTCTTTGGCAGGGCACATCGATGGACTTTAGTGTTCTGGTTATCGACGGCCTTCTTAGTAAAGGTAGGTGGTGAATCACGGGGCCTCGTCGGCTTGCTGCTGACAATGGGCGTAGACCCTGGGGCCGGCTGCTCAGCATAGTGAACGTGCCACTATAAGTAAGAAACGTAATGCAAATCTGTTGTTACAACGGAAATGGGACACCATAGCGGCGCATGACGCATGTTGCACGCTTCGGGGCCCTCCACCACCAGTACAGATCCGGGGCTGACCAACCGCAGGGCAAGCAAACCTTAGAGTTGCCAAACGTCCTTATCCAATTAGTACTACTGCGCTTGGAGACATGTTCCAACGGGGACCGTCAGAAACACGTCGCTCAGAAGTCGATGCACTTGCCCTTGTTCTCCCAGTCGCCTGCAGGATAAATGGTGTAGGCATTAACGCACGGAGCTACTTGTTACTGTAACCGTTTGTACCTCCACCGCAGCGCCTTCGGGGTTCAATGACTCACCGAAGCGAGTTGGCTCTTTCCCACGAGGTCCATACAGTTCTCCCGTTTCCGGGTTGACCACCTGCACCGCAGCAGGCCGGCGTAAGTTACTGCGAACTTACTGTATCGTGGTTGACGCCAACAACACTACCTGTTCCTCCTCCTCTGGAGCGTCCTCTTCTCCATCTCCGCCTTGAAGTTTCTGGTCTCTTGCTTGCTGAATCAGCTGCATCAGCTCCTGCTCTGTCTTATTTTGCAGACCCGCAGTAAAGGCATCCATGGGGCTCTGTGCGAACTGTGGGGGCGACGGGGCGTCCTTAGGGCCAGCTTGCGATGAAGACTGTCTCCTGTCTAGCAGTGCACCGCTGATATCATTGCATGCTGCTGTAGTAGCTTGGGTTCCAACAAAAACTGCCCGCTGCAATGCTGGTCGCCCCGCAAGCAGCGCCGTCTGCAAAAGCGATGCCATGGTCCACTGCCTAGTAGGATTTCAGGTATCGAGCCCACGGCAGCTCAATAGTTATATCGACTGTCGGCGTTGGTCAGATGGACAACGGCTCCGAGGGCTTTTGGGAAAAGAAGGTGATAATAGGCACAGAGAATACCTAATCGTTAGTAGGAGAGCTAGCGGTAGTCTGCTTTTTGCGGTATGCAGTTGGGTCAAATGCGCTCCGAAGACGGCGTGTTGCACCGCCTGTTCCACGTCATTTCGCAGGTTGCATGCTTGTAGGGGAATACTGCATCTGAGTACGCTTGACTTTTCCTTTTAGATGGAATGGTGGCACCGGCGCTTGGCAATACTACCAATTCTTACTCAACGCCATACGTCGCCGTTATCTTTATCCGCTTATACAGACATGCCCCGCTCAGCAGGCATAATTCGTCCCTAGTATGTCGCCAGCCGTGCTCAGGCGACATCAGCCCTTTTCCCGACATGGCACATGGCAAAGGTCAGGCAAGCACATAGAAGCCCGTTGGAAGTCGATTGATGTGAACCTGAGGCCTCGAGCATGTGCTGTACGACAATGCATGCTCAGCATTTTGGCCCGTGCTCAGGCCTCATCAGACCCCCTTACAACATAGAAAACGTTAGGGACGTTAAGGGAAGTCCGTTGGAGGTCGTCTGATATGAACCTGAGGCCCGGACAACCCTGAGCATGTGTCATACCTCATACAACAAGGCATGCCCAGCCTGGAAAGGCCGTGCTCATGCCGCATTAGACCATCTTCAAACATGGGAAAGGTCACGCAACGAAAAAGAAGCCTGTTTGAAGTCGATTAATGTGAACCTGAGGCCTGTGCAGCCTTTGAGCATGTGCTGTACGACAAAGCATGGGAGCTCCAGGGCTGCACAGTGCTGCTCACGCGTCCGTCGTTACGTGAGCATGAACCGAGCAGGGGCGACGCTTGCTTGTCGGACAACGAGAGAACAAGTACCAGTATGATGCTTGGCCTTGAAGAGGAGTTTTATTATTTTTTAACTCTACCCGGTTTCCTCCTCTGCGTCGTCATCGACATGCTATACCGATATTAGTTGCTTCCACAGCACGCACCCGCACCGCCACCCTTCTTCACGCCAACTGGAAAAAAGCTGTCCCCACACATGGCCATGACACTGCCATGTCGTGTCACATGACCTGACCCGCTGGGTGATGAACCAGCGGGCGCTGCAGCATTGCTATTTAGTGATGGCCGCTCCTCTTGGACAAACCTTTGCACGAACGGCAGTCCGCTCGCTCTTTTGCGTTCTTCGTGCATCCTCCCCGTTATGTGCAGCTCTGATGGTCCTTCGCTGCTACGGCAACAGGAAGAAGCACCCCGCCCGACCCGACCCTGTTCCTGCCCGCCTATCCCCATATACACACGCCCATAACCCACCTCAAGTGCCTACACAATGCGCCACCCTAACCCCCGCGCGCTTCCAGCCATGCCTATGTACATCCAAGTGCATCAGCAGCGCCGCGCCATGCCTGTTCCCCTCCACACCCCTTCACTACCGCGCTGCCCCACGGTTCATCGTCTGCGTTTGCTCCAGCCGCCGGCTCGCCGCAGCCGCCGCCTTGGCGCCGCCGCCGCTACCAGCTGCCCCCGCGCCCGGCCCCGCGGCTCCCGGCGCTGCCGCCCCGCTCCTCCGCAGCGCCGCATGGTATGCCAGCGAGTCGGGGTCTCGTTCCGTGATGCGGGCGAGCTGCATGCGCTCGAAGGCCTCCCCCGCATCTAGCTCGTCGTCCTCTTCGCCCGGGGTGCCGGGCACGGCGCGAGCAGCCTTAGGGGGAGGGAGAGGAGGGATGGCGGGCAGCGATGCAGGAGGAGCCGTGAAGGGGTGTCGAAGACCATACGTGAAGGGGGGTGAGGAGAAGGGAAAGTACGATGCTGTGAAAAAACGTGATACATGAAGGGGATGAGACGTGGCCGGGGTACCGGAACTAGCGTGCATAGCGCACGAAGCAAGGCTACAGGTCGGGTACATGCCATCAGGGTGCGGCACAGGTAACAGCTGTTGCAGCAACCAGCCCCGGAGCATCCCCACTCCTGTCTCCCCTCTCCCTGTCCCCTCGCCTTCTGAGTCGGCCACGGGATTGAAATATTCCAGTGCTTAACTCCTCCTTCCTTGCCTTCCCCGTCCTCCTCCCCCACCCTCTCACCGCCGCCATGCGCCTCAGCGCGCCCTCGCTCTGTCCCGCCGCCCAGCTGTCGAACCCCTCCAACAGCGCCGCACGCGCCACCGCCACGCCTTGGATGCGCGGCTCCAGCTCCTCGCGCGCCTCCTTCAGGCCGTCGAAGTCGGCACGGTAGCGCTGCTTGACGGATTTGAGGTCCTGAGGGGAGGGGAGAGATGGAGACGAGGGGGGAGGAGGAAGGAGGAGGGAAAGGGAAAGGGAAAGGAGGAGAAAAGGGGTTTAGGGGGTCAGGAGGACGAGGGGTGGGGCTTGGAAGGCAAAGCGAGGATGCATGCAAGCAAATCGCCTTGAGCAGGCAGGCTGTTACATGGTACACGGTACACGGCACGTAAAGCCAAGCGTTGCAAGCCTAACAGCCCTGAGACCCACCCAACGCCCAGGAAGTATCGTACGCAAGGATATACCAGTACCCCAACTACACCGGCGATCAAACCGCAGCACAAACCGGACCTGCAGCAGCGCGTATGTCTCGCTGTCAAGCACCTCCCCATCTCCGCCCGCCGGCGCCGCGCCGCGACGTAACGCCAGCGCCGCATTCAGCTCATCAATCCGCTTCTTCGCCTCATTCACCGACTCCCCTAGTGACTTGATCGACCCACGGGTCTCTTTTAGCGCCGTCATTGCCGCCTTCAGCGCGTCTGCAAGTTCCCGCCCTTCCGCCACGTCCGTCTTGTACTTGCGGAATACGGCATTCCGGTCCCCCGGTACGGCAAAGATAGCCGACAGACGCGCCGCCGCCGCCGTGGCGGCGCCGCCGGCGAAGCCGACGCCGCCAACGCTGGCGCCGGAGGGGCTGCGTTGGGCTCCGTCAGCTGCGCCGCCGCCGACCGTGCTCGCGACGTCGGTCAGGGAGCTCAGCTGAGCGCCTAGAGGGGCCTGCGCCGCAGCGGCAGCGGCAGCTGCGGCGGCGCCGCCGTCGCCGCCAGCAGTGCCGAACTCGGACCGCGTCTGCGGCGGCCTGGCGTCCAGAGGCGCCTGGCCGACGGTGAAGCCGGCAGCGGCGCGCGGGTCTACCTCGCCCACACCGCCGCCGGATCCCGCACCTGTAGCCTGGGCAGCCTGTGGGACCGGGGAAGGAAGAACACTTCACGCCCACTCCACATGCTACGCCTGCGACTCTCAAGCCACGCCGCAGCCCTACTGATCACCATCTACGCCCCTCATCCATCTTCCAAGACTCCATTACCCCCGCTCCTCCCCCAGCGGTCCCCTGCCCCCAAACGCCCCTAACGCCACCCTCCCTTCTCCCTCACCGCCTGCGCTCCCTCCTCCGTGGCCGCCCGCCTCATCGCCGCCAGCTGCCCGCCCAGCTCGCCCTTCACCGCCGCATGCACCGCCCGCAGCGCCTTGAACGCCTCCCGCACGCGCTTCAGGCTGTCCGCCGGCAGCTCCTCCACGTCCGCCTCGCCCGCCAGGAAGCGCCGCGCGGTGGAGTGCAGCTCGCGCAGCTCGTCGTCGGTGGGGTCGTCGTAGGAGACACGGGAACGGCCGCTGGGGGGAGGAGGGGAGGGAGGAGAGGAGGAGAGAGGAGGGGGGTTGAACGGGGGAGAGAGGTTGGCAAAATGAAACGAAATTGGCAAGCAGAAGCAATCGCTGGTGGGAAGGGAGAAAGGATGAGGAGGAGGAGAGGGTTTGGGACGGGTTGGATTGGGCCCGGGTCTGTATCCTTGGTCATGCTGCTTTTGCGGACAACGCATGTCGACGCCAGCAACAGCCTCGTCCTTGATCGTCCTTTTCGGGCCATCCCTCACATCTCTTATCCCGCCTCTCCCGCCCCCCTCCCTTCTCCCCCCACCTCAGCGTATCCCGCATGGCCAGCTCCGCCTTGAGCTCCTTGATCTGCCGCTCGTACCGCCGCAGCAGCAGCCCCGGGTCGCTGCTCTCGTTCACCGCCAGCTGCGTGGTGAGGGTGCGCACGCGGGAGGCGAAGCGCAGCGTGCTCAGCGTCTCCTCCGTGTGGCTGGGCTCGGCTGGGGGGGAAAAGAAATTCCAAAGTGTGGGGGGAGGAGAGGGAGAGGATGAGGACGAGGTGGTTGGGAGGAGGGGCGGAGAGAAAGCAAGGCGCCAGGGATTGAGGTTGGCGGGGGCGGAGGCTGGCATGGGGGGCAGGGGAAGAGGCGGGGTCCGAGAGGCGGGCTCCCAACCCCCACCCCACCCCACTCCTCCTGCCCTCCTCTCCTCACCCCATATGTTGGCGATCATGACGGTCTTGCAGTTGCCGCCCAGCGCATCCCGCAGCACCGCCGTGAGCTTGGTCTGGCGGAAGGGCACGTAGGCGTCGCGGCGGGACAGCGAGTTGACGGTTTGCTCCAGGAAGGACAGCGAGCGGTTGATGAACTGGGCCTCCTTCAGCGTCTGGCCTGTGGGTGGGCGTGCGTGTGCGGGGGAAGGGGATAAATAGGGATACGTGTTCCGCAGTAGGCGTGTGTGGGGAGAAGAGATGAAAGGCGGAAACGACTAATGAACCGTGTGATAAGGCTCAATGATGGAGGGGGGTGGAAAGAGGGAAGGGAGCGGGAGGCGGAGAGAGGTGGAGGGTGGCAGAGGAGGAGAGGGGTAAGGCAGCTGCGCCGTGGTGAAACAGGGTGGCAGAGGGGAGAGAGGGGTGTGGGAGCGGAAGGGGCGCGGGCGGCTGCGGGTGGAAGCTGGAGGGACACAAGGTATGGCGCCGGCAGCGATGCACAAACGGGTTAGGGGGAACTGCTGCTGCTGCTGCTGCTCTTCCCTACCCGTGCCGTTTACCACGGTGGTGGTTGCCAGCCTGCCACTATCGTTGCTACCAACCCTTTGGTCTACTTCCTTTCCCCTCCTACCTACCCGTCACTCCCCTCTTCTTCCTACGCTCACGGCAGCGCAAACGCCTGAAGAGCTGCTGCTGCTCCTCCGTCCCCCCTCCTGTTTTACCACTATCACACCACACATTGGAATTTCATCCCCCCCCTCCTGCCTACCCGTCACGCCCGTCTTCTTGGTCCTCTCGCTTCCCGCCAGGTCCACCAGGTTGAGCTTGGACAGCACCGCCCGCTCGCTGGCAGCATCGCTGGTGCGCATCTGGGGGTTAATAGGGATGAAGATTCCGCATTACGCTGGATTTTAGGATTGCGCATAGTCAAATTGCGCATCTGGAGGGGGGTTATTTTAGTGAAACAACGATTCCAATCCCATATCCCAACTCATGCAGTGAGCGCATTCGGGGGGGGAGGGGGGCAGGAGGAGGGGGTGGAGGTGGAGGGGTGGGGGGCGGGGGCGAAATAGGGGCAGGGGCGGGGAGAGAGGTACTGGGGAGGGAACATGCGGTGGATTCTGATAAGGAGAGGTTTGGCACACCCCCCCGTGCTCATTGCTTTGCCCTAACTTGTGGTCTCCTATGGTTTGGTATGGTCTTTGGCCCCCCCCGTGCTCTCACCGCACCGGTAGCTCCAGGTTCTCCTCCCTCAGTTAATCCCTAGGTTCTGTCCTCCGACCCCTTCCCCGCCGTTTGCCGACCCATCTTACCTGCCCGGTTAGTTAGTTGCATCCTCTTTGCCCTGCATGCTCCCCCCTCCCCCACCCTCTATCCAGCTTCATGCGGATCTTCATCCCTATCAACCCCCGCCACCACTGCACCACCACTGCATGATATGGGATTGGGAATCCAGTTGCTGCACTTATGTTTTACAATTTTCCCCCACCACCACCACCTCCACTACATCAGTAGTGTGTCACCGCTGCTCTAAGATGCAGCACCCCCCACCCCCACCCCACCCCACCCTGTCCCCACCTCCACATGCACTGTGAAGACGGTGTGCGAGCGGCTGCTCTCCGCGTTGAGCACGTGGCCCGCCGTGGTGCGCCCCTGCTCGCCCAGAAAGAACTGCGCCAGCGCCTCCTCCTCGCTGCGGACAGGAACCAGCGTCAGGCCGCGGACCTGGGGGGAGGGGAGGGAGGGGGCAGCAGGAGGAGGGAGAGCATGAGAGACAGGGAGAGGAGGAAAGAGAGATGAGGGTAGATCGTTGTTAGCAGGCAATTCTACAGCGCTAAGACGTTGCCATATCCTTTGCATGGCCACCCCACATGTCACCTAGACCGGAACATTCCCTTTCAGAACTCCCCTCCACAACAGAGCCCCTCTTCCTTTGTTCCCAAATCCCGTTCCTCCCAAGCCTGCCTCCTCCCCCGGCCTTCTCTTCTCTTCCTTTCCCTCCTCCCTCCCCCTCACGTATGCGTTGTTGTTCGTGTCCTCCAGCACCGCCAGCCCCTCGCTGCTGCCCGGCTCGCCCAGCAGGTCGTACAGCTGCTCGTTGTAGATCTCCAAGTACGACACCTGGGGCAAGATGGGAGTAAGGAATGGAAGGTGAAGCACAGCCCCTCCCTTTGTCTTCTGGCACCCTGCCGCCTCATTCTCCCATCGGTTTGCCCTAGTTCGTAGTTTCCTAAGGTTTGGTCTTTTTGACACCCCCGTATGGTTTTTGTTGACCCCCCCCTTCTCCATCTGAACCCCCGTCTTCCGCAGCTCAGATGATCTAATCCCCCTCTTCCCCCACCCACCTGTGGTTTCCTATGGTTCGGTATGGTCTTTGACCCCCACCTACATGCACTCGCTTTGTACCCCCTCCCCCCCACTCCCCGCCACCCACATGCACCCTCCCCCTCCCCCCCACTCCCCGCCACCCACATGCACTCGGTACATCTTGTCCACCCGCATGTCCACCTCGCGGAACACGTGGTGCAGCGTGCGCGGGATGATGCCGCGGTGCGCGTAGCCCGAGCTGCCGCCGCTCATGGTGAAGGTCTTGCCGGCACCGGTCTTGGGTGGAGGGGTGGAGGGGGTGGGAGAACAGGTGGTGGGGGTGGTGTGCGCGGGGACATTAGGGGTGTTGGGACATGATGGCGGAGCGGGGTGGGTCGTAGGATTTGGGAAAGGGCAGACGGGACGCGAGTGGGTTAGGGCGTGGTCGTGGGCGGGATGCGAGTGGTGGCGTGATGGGGGGAGGCGCCACCACAGCTGGCGTTGTAACCAACAAGGAGAGCTGAAGAGAGTGGAACAGCAGCAGCGAGGGAAGAGCAGCAGCAAGCCAGGAGAGACGCGTGGAAGCTCACATTACCCCGGTGTCCCCAGCCATCCACTCATCCCCGTGGACCCATCCACGTATCCCCATGAAACCATGCATGCATCCCCATCATCCACTCATCAACCCACCCACTCATCCATCCTACGGATGGTAATGCTCGCAAACACACCTGGCCGTAGCAGAAGATGGTTCCGTTGTACCCCGCCATCAGCCCGTCCACCACCTCATGCGCCACCGCCGTGTAGGCGGCATCCTGGCTCACGTTCTCAAGCACGCCGTCGAACTGTGGGAGGGGCGGAAACGACCCGTGGGTCACAATGGTAAGGCTGCGGGGCGGGTGGAAGGGGCTAGGAGCTGTGGCAGGGCCGGTCTGTGTTTGCAAGTGGGAGCTGGGTTGACTGGAAGAGTGCGAGGGTTCGTGTCCGTGTTAGTGGTCACATGGATGGTGAGGGGGTAAGAGAGAGGGGTAAACCATGGGAGATGGTGGCTAGCCCCATCTTTGGGGCTGGAAGAAGACAAACCACTTTTAGGAGTGCTTGGAAACTGGAAGCGATCTGGGTCATGTGCCTTCCACAGCAAGGGCTACATGCATGCTCTGGATGGCATTGCTGGTTTCACCAAATGGGTCGCAATGGGTGTGACCCAGATGGCGGGCAGGCTGGTAAGGCCAACCCCGTTGCGTTCGGCAAGCCTCCAGGAGCCTCCAGGAGCCGGCACCGTCACTGCCTCTTGAGCACTTGTTATCAATTTGACAGTCCATCACAGTAAAGCCCTAGGTCCTAAAGGGTGGCCTAGCTATGACAAGTAACTGCAACACCCCTTCCTCTCGCTCCCCGCAGCAACAACATACCTTGAAAGAAAAGCTCTCCTGTTGGTTGTTGATAATGCCAGCTGACTGATCCTTGGGGACGTTTACAGATATGCTCTGACCATCGGAACCGATCCTGCGCACGGGATGCCCACGGGTGCTGGAAATAAGCGCCAAATATCCCTTCCAAGTATAATAAGGAAAACTGCATTCAAAATGGATTCTATCCACCATCAACGGCTAGAGCTCCGTGTACATGTGGGAGGCACATGCCCATAGGGATATGCGCAAAAGCAGCTTCCAAAAGCTGCAGTTCCAGTAGATCATGCATGCTGCCAATATGACACGTACTTTACACCAGAACTATTCGTTGCAGTGGGGCGCGTCCGCACAAAGACCTTCACAGCTGTCTTCACCATGACTAGCTATTCTATTGTAATGAAGTCTATTGTCTGTGTCTCTAACTAACTAACTTAGTGTTGCTCTACGAACAGCGACAGGAAATAAATGAGTACGTTTTCCAGGAGTTGGTGATAATTTGATGAAACCGGGTCCTGGAGTTCGCAAACAATCGCTTCGAAGATTTATGTCCCAGAAAGCGATGGCGCCAGCTAGGGAGGTATGTTACATGTACGGCTCGTACAGGAGAAAGATTTCCGATTTTTAATCATGCACCGGTTAGCGGTGGTACAGCTAGATAGCTTTTATGCATCAGTATTAAAACTGCTGTGGTTATCTTCTCACCAAAGTTAGCTGATCAAAGTCTTGACTCTGCATCGGCTGACCAGCGCCGCGACGTAAAGCTACCTGTATTCGATTAACCTACAAATCCTTGTTACACCTCTCCTGAAGGCATAGAATGCAGTCCAGCTTGACGTGCCAGTCGGCCCCAGCCTCGCGGAGGTGCTGCGGACAGCCTTTCACTGCAAGCAAAGTCGCACCCCGGCCGCGTGTTACCTCTGTTACATGTCGGGCAGCTGTCGGGCAAGATCCCCTACTTTTACGTGTTGCAAGGGGTGAAGGCGAGTCGTCTCATTGCCGCTTGCCGCTGGAAGAAGCATGTCTACAAGCCTACACATGGTTATTTACACTAGTTCACTGCTGTTGTGCCCTCAGTTGCCGAGCGGACACCAGTATGGCTGATGCGCCAGGCGGGTCGCTACATGGCGGCCTTCAGGGAGTGAGTCAGGGCCGTCTTCCCCTTCCTACGAACTCTTGAACCCAGGAGAGCTTAGTCACTCTTGCAGCTACGTACCCCTTGCATTCCTCATACATACGCCCTACCTTCGTCCCGTTCTCCATCCACGACCCCGCCCATGTCCCCATGTCCGCCTCCTCCCCCTCCTCAGATTTTCCGACAAGTACCCCTTCCGCATGCGCTCCGAAACCCCTGACATCGCCATCGAGCTGTCGCTGCAGCCGCTGCGCGCCTTCGGCACCGACGGCATCATCTTCTTTTCCGACATCCTCACGCCACTGCCGGGCATGGGCATTGAATTCGACATGGTGAAGGGCAAGGGACCTGTCATCGCGGACCCCGTCAGGTCCATTGAGCGCCTTAAGCAGCTCACGTAGGTGTCGGTTGGGAAGGGTGGGAGGTGGTAAAGAAAAAGAAGTTGAGTAAAAGTGGGGGTGAGGGTTGCGGGATGGCGATGGGCTGAGGCTGCCGACAAACGAACACGCCAGGTCCTCTGTGCGTTGTGAGCCATGTTGCGTAGGATGTGGTAAGCCAGTCGGATCGGTTTGGGCAAACCGACCAGGCTCGTCCTCTTTTAACGCAACCCCTTCCTTGGCCAACCCTTCCTTTCCCTCCCACTGTGTCCTCTCCCTTCCCTCGGATCCGCCCGGCTCCACCCTCCCTCCCTCCCTCCCTCCCTCCCCGCAGTCCGCTGTCCGACCCCGCCTCCCGCCTTCCCTTCATCTCCTCCATCCTCTCCACGCTGCGCTCCGAGGCCGACAGCGCGGGTGTGACGCTGCTGGGCTTCATCGGCACGCCCTGGACGCTGGCGGCGTACTCGGTGGAGGGCAAGGCGGACAAGGACTGCAAGGAAACCAAGGTGGGGAGGGAGGGGGTGGAGGAAGATGGAAAACAAGGTGGGGAGGGAGGGGGTGGAGGAAGATGGAAAACAAGGTGGGGAGGGGGGAAATATTTTTATGAGTTAAACGACGAGTCCCAATCCCATATCCCGACTCATGCAGTGAGCGCATTCGGAGACACTATCCTGGAAGCACGCAACTTAAGGGAGGGAGGGGGTGGAGGAGGGAAACCAAGCCGTTTGAAGGGAAAAAGCTAAAAAGCTAGGTGGTTTCAACTTGCAAGGCAGGGAGAGGGAAAGGAAGAGGCTGTGGCATGGAAGGCGGCAGCATGGGAAGGAGTATGTGGAGGGAGGGGTGTGTGTCAGAATGGTAATGGGTAGGAGGAGGGGATGGAAGAGGAAAGGAAAGGAAAGGGAAGACAACCGGAGAGGGCATACGGCCGCGACAGCATAGGACCAAGGTACGGATAGGAGCAAGAGGAGAAGAACGAGGCATACCCTTTCCCCTGCAGATGCCGATGCCCTCCTCTCAACCCCCCTGCCTTCCCTTTCCACCCCCCCACCCATACCCCCCCTCAGAAGCTGATGTTCCACAACCCCGCGCTGCTGCACTCCTTCCTGGACTTCCTGACGGAGCACCTCATCACTTACGCGGCGTACCAGGTGGGGGGCCGGGGGCGGTGTGTGTATGTAGGGGGAGAGGTGTGTATGTGGAGGTGAAGGGCGGGGTGTGTATGTAGGGTTGGGGCGGGGTGTGTTGGGAAAACGGGTCGCAATGTGCACTGGTGCGGTCGCCGCTGCCGTACGGTGGCTTCGCATCTGGGTGGGCAGTGCGCCAAGGTGCATGTGGGCCCAGGGGCGACCCTTTGCTGGCACAAACTGCTAACAAACATACATGGGGCTCATGCATGTGCGCCCACAAGGGGCGCCCCCACACAGCCGTCGCCAGCCCCACGCTGGGCTAGGAACAATAGAATGTGACCGGCAGCACCCTAATCGACCTCACCATGCACACGGCATATACCGGCAACACGGTCCCTCCTCGCATGTGCACGTAACCCCTGTCCCCCACCCCCACCCGCACCCTCCCCCACCCGCACAAACCCTCCCCCACCCGCACCCCCCTCCCCCACCCGCACCCGCACCCCTCCCCCAGATTGAGTCCGGCGCCCAAGTGATCCAGCTCTTCGACAGCTGGGCGCACCACCTGTCGCCGCAGCAGTTTGCGGAGTTCAGCCTGCCGTACGCGGAGCGCATCACGGCGGCGCTCAAGCAGCGCTACCCGCATGTGCCCGTCATCATGCACGCGAATGGCGGCACGGGTGAGGCGTTGGGTTACGTACTCGGCTGTGTGTTAAAATAACTGGCCGCGAGTGTGTCTGTTGAGAAAACTGGTCGCGGGGGGAAAGTGCTGTGATTGCCGGAATGTGAAGTCCCCCACCTGAAACTCCAGAAGTGAAGTGCAGTACGTTGGCTACTGAGTAATGCAGTCATTGAGTAATGGAGTGTTTGAAAAGCACTATATCTGTTGAGAAAACTGGCCGGGAGGAGCAACGTACTCGGGTGTGTGTGTTAATGATATACCGCGGAAGTGACCCGCGGGATGCCCTGGGCCGTCCTTCCCTCACCGCACCCAAGCTACCGGCATTCCCTACCCTGCGCCGACTGTGCCAGCCAGCCCTGTGCGCAATCCCCACCATCCCCTCCACAGCCCTACCCATCCCAGAGGCATACAACCCCCTCGAGCCCCCAAACACCCGCCCGCTCCACTCCTCTCGCACCCTTTTTCTCCACCCCTTCCCCCCCATCACATGAGTCGGGATTCGGGATTGGGACTCCGTTGATGCACTTCTCCATATTTCCCCCCCAACCACCCACACACTCCAGGCAAGCTTGAGCTGATGCGCGGCTCCCAAGCTGACGTCATCGGGCTGGACTGGGCGGTTGACATGGCCACTGCGCGGGACACGCTGGGTGGCAACGTGCGCGTGCAGGTGGGGGGCAGCGCGGACGGGGTGCGGGTGCGGGGCGGGGGCTGCGGGTGCCAATGTTGTGGGGTTGGTCAGAGCGCTGCGTTGCCGTAGTGGCGCCGGCCTGCTTGGGTGCCGGCTTCGCGCTTTTTCCTGCCTACTGTTGTTGTGTTTGCAGCTTTCCTCTTGTACAGTGATGCGTACGCGTGTACAGCCTGCTAGAGCGAGCCAGTGCAGGGTTCAACGGTCAGGGATGGATGTCGTTTGGGTTATATAGTGCTAAAGTCGCATGCATGTTGAAGGCTGCCGCAATCCCCGACCTGACCCTTATCCGTACCCTCACTTGTGGTTAATCGCTTTCCTAACCCCAACCCCTGGCCCAACCCCCGGCCCCAACCTCCCCTCCATGCAACAGGGTAACGTGGACCCCATGGTGCTGTTCGGCCCCGAGGAGGCCATCCGGGCGGAGGTGGAGCGCTGCCTGAAGGCGGCCGGACCCACGGGTCACATCCTCAACGTGGGACACGGAGTGGTGCAGGTATGGCGGGATATGGAGGGATGCGGTAAAGGCGGTGGGGGCTGGGTTGATTGCGGATCGGGTCTGTGCGGGTAACTGGCGGTCGCCAACTCGCCATAGTCAAACCGGTAAAAGCATGTTGTTGACACTGACTTGCCCTGTGAGCGGAACAGCGAGCCCTTAGCCGGGTTGGGGCGGGAAGTGCGTCGCATGCAAAGGCCGATAGTGGGCAGCTCGCCGCTCTATCTGTACCCACCGTTGGCCCAACTGCTGCTGCGGTTTTCTACCCCGCTCCTCGGCCTGCTCTCCGTTCCTCTCCGTCCGCTCTGACCCATGGGTCTCTCCCCTTCCTTCCCACCCTCCCTCACACCACCTCCAAAGGGCACTCCCGAGGCCAATGTGGCGCTGTTCTGTGAGCTCGCTCGCCAGTCGGGCGCCTTCCACGCCAGCCAGGCGGCAGCGGCGGCCTGCTGCAATGGAGCCAGCGTACGCGAGCATGTGCTGGCGTGAGGGCGGGTGCGCATGTGCGGTTGAGGACTGCAAAGGACGGTTGTGGCAGTGGCGGCTGGAAATCATGTGGGTGGCAGCGCGCTTATGCCGGCATCTTTGCGGTTTTGGTTATCGCTGTGGTGATTATCGCTGTTATTATTACTACTGCCGTGTGCTGTAACAATTTGTTGTGGCACTTGCATGGAGGCAATGCCCTCTCGTTGGTCGCCAGGTGGCCTCTTCCAGGGGGCTGTGTCTCAGCTCTCCAAGCCCGTCGTGCGCCGGACGGACTAGGTAATACTGAGGTGAGCATGCGATGGCAGGGGTGTGAGGGCAATGCCCTCGTGACCGGTAGGTGTATCAGGTTGGCTTTGTAAGTTGGTACCTGTTAGCTCGTTGTAACTGGGGATTCCAGAGGATTCCGGTTGTGGAACCCGTTGCCATTAATACACACCGACGCTGCATTTTGGCTGTGTTGGCTGCTTTTTTGCAACATGCGACACGGCTGGTCAGGTGGTTGAACTGTTACGCTCACCAAAAGTAAGGTTCCACGCACGGGACGTACTCGATAGCGCAGTTGGGTGGGAAAACTGCTTCGGGTGGTATGTGGTACGGCAGGCAGATTGGTTCCCAATGCGACTCTTTCACATGCTTCAAAGTGTAAAGCTGCGGCAATGTAAAGATTGGCCACTCCTTTCTTCGTTACGCAAAATTAAGCCTTGCATGCACCGTGGGTGGCAGCTGTCATAACATCGACCAGGCAATTGTCTTTTTTCGGAGCCCGGCGATCTTCACAACCTTGAAGTATCCAGCCTTGAAGTATCCAATTCCCTTTGCCGAATGAGAGTAGCGCCGTACTACCGGTATTACTACTATGCCGGACGTACAATGCCGGGATCACCTACGGCATGCTTCCGGACATGTGTCGCGGTCATAATCAACAATGCACGCACAAAAGTGTTGGTAATAAACGGTTCATGCGGCAGCAGCCACCTTGGTTTAGACAACAAGAACGGTTAGGGCATCACAACATGAATGTTGCCTGATTAGCCAACATCCTGCACATTGCCCTTGTCTTGCCCTTGCCCAAAACGTGTGTACCGGTAAGCGGTCCGGACGAATCTAACGACTCCAAACCCACCAAGCGCTTGCAGCCACCCTCCAAGTCCACCCTCCGAAGCGACATGCCATCACGCACCTGCCAGACAGTCCAAGCCCCCGCAACCCCCCGCAGCCCGCTGTTCAGCCCTGATAGCACCTCCTGCAAGCACCTCCCACGGCCCCAACCTGCATGCCAGCCTGCGACCCTGGCCCCCAATCTCACAACCCGCGCGGCGCTCTTCACTGCTGCTGCTCCTCATGCTCCGGTGGGAGCAGCGACGTATCAGCAGCTGCTGCAGCAGCCGCCTGCTTCCGCTTCTTCTGCGCCCTCGTGCGCTGGTTCCGCTTCTTCTTAGCCAGGGCAATGCGCGCCTGCTCCTCCGGGTCCAACTCCGCATCCGCGACGCCGCTCACCAGATCCTCTGCTGCTACGCCAGAATCCGGACCGGCAGGACCACTCGAAGCCTGCGCATTTTGACTTTGCTCCACAGCTGACGCCGCAGCTCCTCCGGCTACAGCCGCAGCCGCCGCTGCTGCCTTCCGCTGCCTTTGCATGCGTGTGCGCTGATTCCTCTTCTTCTTAGCCAGTGCAATCCGGGCCAGCTGCTCTGCGTCTACGTCCGCAGTACCGGTGAGCTGCTCTCCTTGCTTCGCAACCTCTGCCCCGTTGACTGCAGCAGCAGCTACCGCCTCACTTGCTACCGCCTCCACCGGGGCTGCAGCTGCCGCCGCTGCGCCCTCTTTCTGCCCCCTCTTCTGCTGGCTGCGTCGCCCGCTGCGCCCCTCCTTGGCCACAGTAGCTGCAGCATACGCTTGCTCCTCCGCACCACCATCGCTGCGCGCTACCTCTGCCGCTGCCGGCGCCGCCACTGAAGCATCAGGCACGTCAGCGCTGGGCTGCTGTGCCGGGCCCTCTGCGCCTTCTGCTGCCGCTGCAGCCGCCTGCTTCCGCTTCTTCTGGGCCCTCGTGCGCTGGTTCCGCTTTTTCTTAGCCAGGGCAATGCGCGCCTGCTCCTCCGGGTCCAGCTCCGCAGCCGCGACGCCGCTCGGCTGCGGTTGCTCCTCTTGCTCATCATCCAACACAACGCCGGCTGCCGCTGCTGCGGCTGCTGCAGCCGCGGCTGCTGCAGCCTGCCGCCGTTTCTTCTGCTGCCTCGTGCGTTCATTCCGTTTCTTCTTAGCCAGCGCAATCCGTGCCTGCTCCTCTGCCTCTGCGCCTCGCCTAACTTCAGGCGGAACAGCGTCAGCAGGCTCCTCGTGCCTACTCGCATCTCCGGTTGCCGCCTCCGCCTCCACAGCGTATCCAGCCCACGCAGCATTCACGTCCTTCTCAGCACCAGCACCATCAGCAGCAATGGCCCCAGAAGCAGCGGCTCTTCGCTCCTCTCGACGCTTTTGCTGCATTCTGGACCTTTGATTGCGCTTTTTCTTTTGCTCCCGTCGAATGCACTCCTCCTCCGTCAGGGCTTCACCCGATTGGTCCGATGGAAGCACAGCAGTCATCCCTGGAAGAAAGCAGCGCACGGAACAACCCAGGGGAACTGGATGCTCAATAAGTAGTATGGAATAAACGTCCGTACTATCCAGTCACAGAGACGGCGCAAGATGAAGCATGGGATGGAAGCCCAACGGACGCGAGCCCACCAAGTCATAACTTACGCCTGCCAGGCAGGCGTAAGTTGCGGTTACTGAAGAAGTCATTTGCATGGGATCTCACCTACGTGTTGGCACGCTACGTGTATTCAGGAGTGACAGGGGATGGGTACTCTACACACGTGGGAGCGAAAGCAGGGCAGGGGAAACATTTTGTCGGAAGCTGTATCTCAACGTTTATATAAGGTATAGGTCCAAGAACTTCACAGTATGCATGGGCCTTGCAGCGAAATCCTGGTCTCTTGCAATTGGCCACAGTAACGTAGGCACCCAAGCTTAACGGCTCGTACGTTCCTATAGGACAAGTCTAACGCGGCCGTAACAGCCTACCGGAGCTTACCGCAAACGTTTTGTGCGACGCCGAGCAAGTAAAGACGGAATTAGCCTTGTCTCTGTGTCTCAAACTAGAAAGCTTTCTTAGTATTGCAGGTACTGTTTGGGATCATGCAGTGGCTAGATCGCAGCCGTGGTGCTAAGATGCTCTGGAGACGATCCAACTTGGTTCCAACGGACGGCTTCAACAACAGCAGGAGTCGACAGCGGTACGCGATCGTTAACACATTCTATTCGTTTACCTCCATCCTTTTCGTTTCCTATCCGACTTTCTTTGTATGTCTGTATTACTGTGGCTGTGTGCATAGATTGGGAACTTGACCGAAGTACAGTAGGGATGTCGGGGGCTATGCGCGGCATATGGCTACCCAGGCAAACCACATGTAGGCATGGGGTGAAGGCAGAATGAGAAGACGGAAAATGCACGATGCACACACCCTCCTCTGCGTGCTCCACTCAACCGTACCGTCGTCGGCCCAGTTAGCGTCCACAGCACTGGCCATAAAGTCTACACCGCAGTTGCCGCAAACAGCAGGCCCCTAGCCACGGTCTAACGAACCCACCTGCCCGAGTCGACGCGCTGTCAATGTTATGTCAACGCTGTTGAGATACAGTGCATGTTTGTGACATGCTCCGCTGCTGGGCTGGGCGTAGGCTGGGAAGGAAAGACGCCTTGAACTATGAACCATTTATGTTCCTTTTACACGATGGATTACAGCGAACTAGCATTGGGGATTTGGGGTGTTTCCACCCTCCATAGCCGGAACCAGCATGACCACAACTGTTGGTTGGAATGGGTTCCAGCAGCATGCAATCAGTATGATGTCAGATCCTGGCATATACATAGGTCCAGGTTGTGCACAGTCACGCAAACATATATACATATAAGCGTTCGGGCCATTGTATTCGACCGCCGTTCTGTGACAAACAAAGTACCGGTAGTACCGGTATAAGAATGAAGTCAACAAGTGAGACGTCGCGGGCCTTACCAAACCAGCGCCTCGCCATCCTGCTGTCAGTTAATAACCCAACCCTTAAAATACACCTGCCCAACGATTGAACCGAAAACCGGCCTAGCCCAACATGCATGACCTTGCTTGCACAAGGTTTTGGCCTGGGCTTGCAGCGAGCGCTAGGGGCCTCGCTTTTAATAAATGGCTATCACGAACGTCCTTTCCAAGCAAAACGATAAACATGACACGGTATTATGGCACGGGTTGACACGGTAAGATGACACGGCGAACTCTTCCGTTCTCTTCTTGCGTACGTTCTGCGTACAATTAATAGCAAGAACCTATACCCTTTCAATAAATCGCGTAAGGCTTGCGGATCCAAATCCCTTAAGACTTGTGAGTCCCATCCATAACCTTCCTGCGAAACTCGACCAACACACTAAGCGAACATTGTCTCCTTCGCTAACCCACCAGCAAACGGACGCAACCAAACAGCGAACCCGATCATGCAATTAAACCCAACCATGCAGTTGACAGTTTTATGGGCCAGCGACGCATGTATGACCTGCTCACAATATCCGGCACGAAAAGCCAGGGCATGTAGAGCCCGAACCAGGCAGATACTAAAACCATTCGGCGTGCGCCGCCAACCTGCGACTCACCAATCCAGCCACTGACATGTCTGGCACGAAAAACCAGAGCATGTAGAGCCCGAACCAGGCAGATACTAAAACCATTCGGCGTGTGCCGCCAACTGGCGACTCACCAATCCAGCCACTGACATGTCTGGCACGAAAAACCAGAGCATGTAGAGCCCGAACCAGGCAGATACTAAAACCATTCGGCGTGTGCCGCCAACTGGCGACTCACCAATCCAGCCACTGACCTGTCTGGCACGAAAAACCAGAGCATGTAGAGCCCGAACCAGGCAGATACTAAAACCATTCGGCGTGTGCCGCCAACTGGCGACTCACCAATCCAGCCACTGACCTGTCTGGCACAAAAAAACAGGATAAGGCCTAGCGCTGGCAGTGGACCAAGTACGACACGAAGCGATGCAGCAGTTCCTAACCTCAGTGCGACGGGTGGGCCTGCTGCGCCCGGACTGCACGGGTACGCACACAACTAATAGAGACAAAAGCGGCACCACAAACAAGCAACGAAGCCTGCCCGCACGCACGGGCTGTGTCTCCGTCATAGTAGACTGCGCCTGGAAGTCACTAACACCTATCTAAGAAACTTGCTGTCGGCGTCCAGTATTGGTATCTCGTTGGGGACCACGACGGTGGACGTCCATCTGTTGGATGGCCCTACTGCTTCGTCGCATAGTTGTAGGGGGTCTCGCTCTTTGGATACAGGACACGGCCAGTAAACTTGACGGACTCGATGAAGGGACCGTAATTGTTGCCAGCATTGGCTGGTCTCTGGATGGTAATGATGACACCACCCACGGCCGTACTCTTGAGGGACTTGGGCAGATTCTCCTGGCTTCCAGTTCTGGGCACTTGTAAGTTTGTGCCGCTGAGCTTGGGACCAATCTGAATTGCGGGAATCGACTGGCACTTGGCTCCCAACATGTCAGTCGAGTTGTACACAACCCTACCCAAGTTGCTGGTTGTGTTGACTACCGACGCGGGGTAAACCCATTTAAGGAGTTGGACCTGTGACGTGCCGAGCGTGGTTGGGGGAGTTAGGCATTCATTGTAGGTTAGCTGTGTGACATGTGAGAAGAAGTATATTGCAAAAATACGCGCAGGAGTAGGCCCCGAGAACGCATTAATAATGTAGGTGCATGTGAGATCCGGCTGGTACGGCGGCAACAGTGTACGTACGGCGGTTGTCTTACCTTGACGACACCCGAATTCTTCAGCTCTTTCACGTAGATCCTGGAAATCTGCACCGGCTCTTTAAAGAAAAGAACAATGGTGCTATTGGTGGCGGCAGCCTTCCATGACCGCTGGCAAGAGTTGCATGCGGCAGTACAATCTGCCTTTGTCACATCAATCTGTGTAGAAGATTAGGGCAGGGGGCGGGAGTCTTTGTTACTTTATGCACAACAGTAAAGACACATAGCAATGCAGGGGGATACCCAGTAGGATTTTGGTGCAGTCAAAGTAGTCGAGAGTATCTATCTTGTTGCAGAGCGTAGTTCAACGTACCAGCTGCAGTGCCGAATACTTGGAGAGTTGTTTCTTGAACTCGGGAGTGCCATACCAGACCAGCTCCCTACCAAGAGGGGATACAAATGAAGGGGAGCAGCCACATACTGATCGGCGGGTGTAGCAGGCTAGAGTGGTGTCACCAGCAAACACGGTGAATGACTGTTGCAAATATTCCTTAAAAGGGACACAGATGATGAACCCAACCCTAGACTGCAAGAGAAACGGAACACGCCCATGTTGCGCAGCTGCTGGATACCGTACATGCGCTTTCTGTCGACTTACCCGCCCTTGCCGATAGTCCCTTGGGCGGACATGTTGAAAACCTTGAGGAATCTGGGTGGCACTGCTGGCGGTGGGCTCGGTGGAAGCGGAACGCCGGGCGGGGACGTGGGAAGCGCTGGGGCCTCGGGCTCCAGAGGTGCAGCAGGCGGTGGGGGCGGACGCGGAGGACGGGGCGAAGGGGGCGGCGGTGGCGGTGGCGAAGGAGGCGTCGGAGGGCCGGGAGGACGAGGGGGCCGAGGAGGTCTAGGTGTAGGAGGAGGCGACGGGGGCATTTGCGGCGGGCTGGGAGGAACAGGCGGCGGTGGGGAGGGTGGCGGCATGAAATGGTCCACAAGGTCATCCGCACCTGCAGGGCAGTTGTGGAGCACGTTGGCACTTGCCCACTTGCTTTTTTATTGCGGACATTCCACTGGATAAGTGGGGACGGCAGGCAAGTTACGCTACATGCAAACGTACTGTGGGAAGCAAATAGCTCACCGGTTGCAGCAGCTAAAGCGGTGAGGTTCACCGGAGGTGGACGTGGTGGAATGTTCGGGCGGGTTGGAGGGCGGTTCGGTGAATTCGGTGGCGCCTTCTTGCCGGGGCTCATCGGCGGTGAGGGCGGCGGTGAGGGAGGCAGCGACACCTCAATCGTCAGGCGGACGAGGAAAGCAATCGCAGGTGCAGCGGTAGAGGTCGCAAGGACACGGCGGTACTCTTCAAGTGCGGCTTGCTCGTTCATCTTAGCCTGAGGGTTTGGACGGGTACGCAGGTGAATCTTGAATCTAAAGGAACAGTTGCGATGGTGGTAAGCTACACACTGTGTGCGGGAAGGGGCGTCACGTTTACTAACACCATGCACTTGGGCACGTCTCATGCATACGGTACCGTTCCCTTTCCTAACCCAAGAATCCGTAAGGCGGCAGACCTTGTCCGTACATACCTGCACTTCTCGCTCCAGGTCGTACGGCATTGTGCTGACGATGTAAGCGTCCCGCAGCTGCAGCTGGGACTTGAGCTGGGTCAGCCGGTTGGCAGATGTAACGTCCAGGTCAACCAGGCTGCGGCGGCGAGCGGTCTTGCCGTCGTACATGGCCACGACATTGTCTGGCGTGGTGCCCTGAGGACAGCAGAAGCACAGCTTAGTATTTGAATAGCTCGGGAATCGCACAAGACCAACGCATACACAAGTGGAAAGTGAACGCAGGGACTAGGAACAAAAAGACGGGCAGCAGTTGTACGCTTGACACTTACATACGCGTCCGCGATTATCTTTTTCTTATCTGCTACGTAAGCTGCCACTCCGCCGGCCTCCTTAACGGCAGCAGTAGAGGGAAAAACAGTGAGGTGCTTCTGGACCTCAGCACGACCAGGGGGCAGCGGGGGCGGGCTGGGGGGCGGTGAGGGCGGTGGAGGAGAAGGGCTGGGTGGAGGAGGAGGAGATGGCGCTAGGGGCGGCAAACCCGGTGCATTCGGTTCCGCTGGCGGGGGCGGGCTGGGAGATGGTGGGGGGTTAGGGGACTCTGGTGGCAGGTTGGGTGGCAGTGGGTTGGGAGGTGGTGGCTTTGGACGGCGAGGAGGCCTGGGCATCCCTGGTGGTGCGGGCGAAGGAGGCGAGGGTGGTGACGGAGGCGATGGGGGCGTGGGAGGTGGAGATGGAGATCGTCCACCGGGGGGATCCGGAGACGGTGGTGGCGGTGATGGCGGCTGTGGTGCCGGTGGACGAGGTGACGGACGGGGTGGTGAAGGCGGCCGAGGTGATGGAGGCGATGGTGGGGCCGGAAACGGCGATGGAGGTTCGGGTTGCGGTGAAGGCGGTTGTGGAGAAGGTGGCTCGGGCAGAGGTAAAGGAGGCTGCGGTGATGGAGGGGGGGATGTCGGATGTGGTGATGGGGGCACCGGTAACGGTGGGATTGGAGATGGCTTAGGTGAGGGTGGCTTAGGTGAGGGTGGCGGAGGAGAAGGTGGCGGAGGAGAAGGTGGCGGAGGTGAGGGTGGACGTGGCGAGGGTGGAGGCGAAAAGGGCGGGCGTGGTAGAGGAGGACGAGGATACGGAGGCCGGGGTGATGGTGATGTTGGTAATGGAGATGGTGGTGCAGGTGAGGGAGGTACAGGTGGAAGTAGTGGTGAGGGGGGCGGAGAGGGAGACCGGCCTCCAGGGGGATCCGGGGACGGCGGCGGTGGCGAGGGAGGCAATGGCGACGGCTCCGGCGAGGGTGGTGAAGGCGATGGTGGTTGTGGAGAAGGCGGTAGCGGCGATGGAGGCTCGGGCGACGGCGGTAGCGGCGATGGTGGTTCGGGAGAAGGCGGTTCCGGAGATGGTGGCTGCGGAGATGGAGGTTGTGGAGAAGGCGGTTGTGGAGAAGGCGGTTCCGGAGACGGCGGTTGTGGGGAAGGCGGTTGTGGAGAGGGCGGCTGTGGGGACGGCGGCATTGGCGATGGCTCAGGTGATGGTGGAGGAGGTGACGGGGGGTGTGGAGAGGGCGGAGCTGGCGAGGGTGGTGATGGGGATGGTGGTAGCGGGGAGGGCGGTAATGGAGATGGTGGTGCAGGTGAGGGAGGTACAGGTGGAAGTAGTGGTGAGGGGGGCGGAGAGGGAGACCGGCCTCCAGGGGGATCCGGGGACGGCGGCGGTGGCGAGGGAGGCAATGGCGACGGCTCAGGCGAGGGTGGTGAAGGCGATGGTGGTTGTGGAGAAGGCGGTAGCGGCGATGGAGGCTCGGGCGACGGCGGTAGTGGCGATGGTGGTTCGGGAGAAGGCGGTTCCGGAGACGGTGGCTGCGGAGATGGAGGTTGTGGAGAAGGCGGTAGCGGCGATGGAGGCTCGGGCGACGGCGGTAGCGGGGATGGTGGTTCGGGAGAAGGCGGTTCCGGAGATGGTGGCTGCGGAGATGGAGGTTGTGGAGAAGGCGGTTCCGGAGACGGCGGTTGTGGGGAAGGCGGTTGTGGAGAGGGCGGCTGTGGGGACGGCGGCATTGGCGATGGCTCAGGGGATGGTGGGGGAGGTGACGGTGGGTGTGGAGAGGGCGGAGCTGGCGAGGGTGGTAATGGGGATGGTGGTAGAGGGGAGGGCGGTAATGGAGATGGTGGTGCAGGTGAGGGAGGTACAGGTGGAAGTAGTGGTGAGGGGGGCGGAGAGGGAGACCGGCCTCCAGGGGGATCCGGGGACGGCGGCGGTGGCGAGGGAGGCAATGGCGACGGCTCAGGCGAGGGTGGTGAAGGCGATGGTGGTTGTGGAGAAGGCGGTAGCGGCAATGGAGGCTCGGGCGACGGCGGTAGCGGCGATGGTGGTTCGGGAGAAGGCGGTTCCGGAGACGGTGGCTGCGGAGATGGAGGTTGTGGAGAAGGCGGTAGCGGCGATGGAGGCTCGGGCGACGGCGGTAGCGGGGATGGTGGTTCGGGAGAAGGCGGTTCCGGAGACGGAGGTTGCGGAGAAGGCGGTTGTGGAGAAGGCGGTTCCGGAGACGGCCGTTGTGGGGAAGGCGGTTGTGGAGAGGGCGGCTGTGGGGACGGCGGCATTGGCGATGGCTCAGGGGATGGTGGGGGAGGTGACGGTGGGTGTGGAGAGGGCGGAGCTGGCGAGGGTGGTGATGGGGATGGTGGTAGAGGGGAGGGCGGTAATGGAGATGGTGGTGCAGGTGAGGGAGGTACAGGTGGAAGTAGTGGTGAGGGGGGCGGAGAGGGAGACCGGCCTCCAGGGGGATCCGGGGACGGCGGCGGTGGCGAGGGAGGCAATGGCGACGGCTCAGGCGAGGGTGGTGAAGGCGATGGTGGTTGTGGAGAAGGCGGTAGCGGCGATGGAGGCTCGGGCGACGGCGGTAGCGGCGATGGTGGTTCGGGAGAAGGCGGTTCCGGAGATGGTGGCTGCGGAGATGGAGGTTGTGGAGAAGGCGGTAGCGGCGATGGAGGCACGGGCGACGGCGGTAGCGGGGATGGTGGTTCGGGAGAAGGCGGTTCTGGAGACGGTGGCTGCGGAGATGGAGGTTGTGGAGAAGGCGGTAGCGGCGATGGAGGCTCGGGCGACGGCGGTAGCGGAGATGGTGGTTCAGGGGAAGGCGGTTCCGGCGACGGCGGCTGCGGAGATGGCGGTTGTGGAGAAGGCGGTTCCGGAGACGCCGGTAGTGGGGAAGGCGGTTGTGGAGAGGGCGGCTCTGGGGACGGCGGCATTGGCGATGGCTCAGGGGATGGTGGAGGAGGTGACGGTGGGTGTGGAGAGGGCGGAGCTGGCGAGGGTGGTGATGGAGATGGTGGTAGAGGGGAGGGCGGTAATGGAGATGGTGGTGCAGGTGAGGGAGGTACAGGTGGAAGTAGTGGTGAGGGGGGCGGAGAGGGAGACCGGCCTCCAGGGGGATCCGGGGACGGCGGCAATGGCGAGGGAGGCAATGGCGACGGCTCCGGCGAGGGTTGTGAAGGTGATGGTGGTTGTGGAGAAGGCGGTAGCGGAGATGGAGGCTCGGGCGACGGCGGTAGTGGCGATGGTGGTTCGGGAGAAGGCGGTTCCGGAGACGGCGGCTGCGGAGATGGAGGTTGTGGAGAAGGCGGTTGTGGAGAAGGCGGTTCCGGAGACGCCGGTAGTGGGGAAGGCGGTTGTGGAGAGGGCGGCTGTGGGGACGGCGGCATTGGCGATGGCTCAGGTGATGGTGGAGGAGGTGACGGGGGGTGTGGAGAGGGCGGAGCTGGCGAGGGTGGTGATGGGGATGGTGGTAGAGGGGAGGGCGGTAATGGAGATGGTGGTGCAGGTGAGGGAGGTACAGGTGGAAGTAGTGGTGAGGGGGGCGGAGAGGGAGACCGGCCTCCAGGGGGATCCGGGGACGGCGGCGGTGGCGGGGGAGGCAATGGCGACGGCTCCGGCGAGGGTGGTGAAGGCGATGGTGGTTGTGGAGAAGGCGGTAGCGGAGATGGAGGCTCGGGCGACGGCGGTAGCAGCGATGGAGGCTCAGGAGAAGGCGGTTCTGGAGACGGTGGCTGCGGAGATGGAGGTTGTGGAGAAGGCGGTAGCGGCGATGGAGGCTCGGGCGACGGCGGTAGCGGGGATGGTGGTTCGGGAGAAGGCGGTTCCGGAGACGGTGGCTGCGGATATGGAGGTTGTGGAGAAGGCGGTTCCGGAGAAGGCGGTTCCGGAGACGGCGGTTGTGGGGAAGGCGGTTGTGGAGAGGGCGGCTGTGGGGACGGCGGCATTGGCGATGGCTCAGGTGATGGTGGAGGAGGTGACGGGGGGTGTGGAGAGGGCGGAGCTGGCGAGGGTGGTGATGGGGATGGTGGTAGAGGTGAGGGCGGTAATGGAGATGGTGGTGCAGGTGAGGGAGGTACAGGTGGAAGTAGTGGTGAGGGGGGCGGAGAGGGAGACCGGCCTCCAGGGGGATCCGGGGACGGCGGCGGTGGCGGGGGAGGCAATGGCGACGGCTCCGGCGAGGGTGGTGAAGGCGATGGTGGTTGTGGAGAAGGCGGTAGCGGAGATGGAGGCTCGGGCGACGGTGGTAGCAGCGATGGAGGCTCAGGAGAAGGCGGTTCTGGAGACGGTGGCTGCGGAGATGGAGGTTGTGGAGAAGGCGGTAGCGGCGATGGAGGCTCGGGCGATGGCGGTAGCGGGGATGGTGGTTCGGGAGAAGGCGGTTCCGGAGACGGTGGCTGCGGATATGGAGGTTGTGGAGAAGGCGGTTCCGGAGAAGGCGGTTCCGGAGACGGCGGTTGTGGGGAAGGCGGTTGTGGAGAGGGCGGCTGTGGGGACGGCGGCATTGGCGATGGCTCAGGTGATGGTGGAGGAGGTGACGGGTGGTGTGGAAAGGGCGGAGCTGGCGAGGGTGGTGATGGGGATGGTGGTAGCGGGGAGGGCGGTAATGGAGATGGTGGTGCAGGTGAGGGAGGTACAGGTGGAAGTAGTGGTGAGGGGGGCGGAGAGGGAGACCGGCCTCCAGGGGGATCCGGGGACGGCGGCGGTGGCGAGGGAGGCAATGGCGACGGCTCCGGCAAGGGTGGTGAAGGCGATGGTGGTTGTGGAGAAGGCGGTAGCGGAGATGGAGGCTCTGGCGACGGCGGTAGCAGCGATGGAGGCTCGGGAGAAGGCGGTTCTGGAGACGGTGGCTGCGGAGATGGAGGTTGTGGAGAAGGCGGTAGCGGAGATGGAGGCTCGGGCGACGGCGGTAGCGGCGATGGTGGTTCGGGAGAAGGCGGTTCCGGAGACGGCGGCTGCGGAGATGGAGGTTGTGGAGAAGGCGGTTGTGGAGAAGGCGGTTCCGGAGACGCCGGTAGTGGGGAAGGCGGTTGTGGAGAGGGCGGCTGTGGGGACGGCGGCATTGGCGATGGCTCAGGTGATGGTGGAGGAGGTGACGGGGGGTGTGGAGAGGGCGGAGCTGGCGAGGGTGGTGATGGGGATGGTGGTAGCGGGGGGGGCGGTAATGGAGATGGTGGTGCAGGTGAGGGAGGTACAGGTGGAAGTAGTGGTGAGGGGGGCGGAGAGGGAGACCGGCCTCCAGGGGGATCCGGGGACGGCGGCGGTGGCGAGGGAGGCAATGGCGACGGCTCCGGCGAGGGTGGTGAAGGCGATGGTGGTTGTGGAGAAGGCGGTAGAGGAGATGGAGGCTCGGGCGATGGCGGTAGCGGCGATGGTGGTTCAGGAGAAGGCGGTTCTGGAGACGGTGGCTGCGGAGATGGAGGTTGTGGAGAAGGCGGTTGTGGAGAAGGCGGTTCCGGAGACGCCGGTAGTGGGGAAGGCGGTTGTGGAGAGGGCGGCTGTGGGGACGGCGGCATTGGCGATGGCTCAGGTGATGGTGGAGGAGGTGACGGGGGGTGTGGAGAGGGCGGAGCTGGCGAGGGTGGTGATGGGGATGGTGGTAGAGGGGAGGGTGGTAATGGAGATGGTGGTGCAGGTGAGGGAGGTACAGGTGGAAGTAGTGGTGAGGGGGGCGGAGAGGGAGACCGGCCTCCAGGGGGATCCGGGGACGGTGGCTGTGGCGAGGGAGGCAATGGCGAAGGCTCCGGCGAGGGTGGTGAAGGCGATGGTGGTTGTGGAGAAGGCGGTAGCGGAGATGGAGGCTCTGGCGACGGCGGTAGCAGCGATGGAGGCTCGGGAGAAGGCGGTTCTGGAGACGGTGGCTGGGGAGATGGAGGTTGTGGAGAAGGCGGTAATGGCGATGGAGGCTCGGGCGACGGCGGTAGCGGGGATGGTGGTTCGGGAGAAGGCGGTTCCGGAGACGGTGGCTGCGGAGATGGAGGTTGTGGAGAAGGCGGTTCCGGAGAAGGCGGTTCCGGAGATGGCGGTTGTGGGGAAGGCGGTTGTGGAGAGGGCGGCTGTGGGGACGGCGGCATTGGCGATGGCTCAGGTGATGGTGGAGGAGGTGACGGGGGGTGTGGAAAGGGCGGAGCTGGCGAGGGTGGTGATGGGGATGGTGGTAGCGGGGAGGGCGGTAATGGAGATGGTGGTGCAGGTGAGGGAGGTACAGGTGGAAGTAGTGGTGAGGGGGGCGGAGAGGGAGACCGGCCTCCAGGGGGATCCGGGGACGGCGGCGGTGGCGAGGGAGGCAATGGCGACGGCTCCGGCGAGGGTGGTGAAGGCGATGGTGGTTGTGGAGAAGGCGGTAGATGAGATGGAGGCTCGGGCGATGGCGGTAGCGGCGATGGTGGTTCAGGAGAAGGCGGTTCTGGAGACGGTGGCTGCGGAGATGGAGGTTGTGGAGAAGGCGGTTGTGGAGAAGGCGGTTCCGGAGACGCCGGTAGTGGGGAAGGCGGTTGTGGAGAGGGCGGCTGTGGGGACGGCGGCATTGGCGATGGCTCAGGTGATGGTGGAGGAGGTGACGGGGGGTGTGGAGAGGGCGGAGCTGGCGAGGGTGGTGATGGGGATGGTGGTAGAGGGGAGGGTGGTAATGGAGATGGTGGTGCAGGTGAGGGAGGTACAGGTGGAAGTAGTGGTGAGGGGGGCGGAGAGGGAGACCGGCCTCCAGGGGGATCCGGGGACGGTGGCTGTGGCGAGGGAGGCAATGGCGAAGGCTCCGGCGAGGGTGGTGAAGGCGATGGTGGTTGTGGAGAAGGCGGTAGCGGAGATGGAGGCTCTGGCGACGGCGGTAGCAGCGATGGAGGCTCGGGAGAAGGCGGTTCTGGAGACGGTGGCTGGGGAGATGGAGGTTGTGGAGAAGGCGGTAATGGCGATGGAGGCTCGGGCGACGGCGGTAGCGGGGATGGTGGTTCGGGAGAAGGCGGTTCCGGAGACGGTGGCTGCGGAGATGGAGGTTGTGGAGAAGGCGGTTCCGGAGAAGGCGGTTCCGGAGATGGCGGTTGTGGGGAAGGCGGTTGTGGAGAGGGCGGCTGTGGGGACGGCGGCATTGGCGATGGCTCAGGTGATGGTGGAGGAGGTGACGGGGGGTGTGGAAAGGGCGGAGCTGGCGAGGGTGGTGATGGGGATGGTGGTAGCGGGGAGGGCGGTAATGGAGATGGTGGTGCAGGTGAGGGAGGTACAGGTGGAAGTAGTGGTGAGGGGGGCGGACAGGGAGACCGGCCTCCAGGGGGATCCGGGGACGGCGGCGGTGGCGAGGGAGGCAATGGCGACGGCTCCGGCGAGGGTGGTGAAGGCGATGGTGGTTGTGGAGAAGGCGGTAGCGGAGATGGAGGCTCTGGCGATGGCGGTAGCAGCGATGGAGGCTCGGGAGAAGGCGGTTCTGGAGACGGTGGCTGCGGAGATGGAGGTTGTGGAGAAGGCGGTAGCGGCGATGGAGGCTCGGGCGACGGCGGTAGCGGGGATGGTGGTTCGGGAGAAGGCGGTTCCGGAGACGGTGGCTGCGGAGATGGAGGTTGTGGAGAAGGCGGTTCCGGAGAAGGCAGTTCCGGAGACGGCGGTTGTGGGGAAGGCGGTTGTGGAGAGGGCGGCTGTGGGGACGGCGGCATTGGCGATGGCTCAGGTGATGGTGGAGGAGGTGACGGGGGGTGTGGAAAGGGCGGAGCTGGTGAGGGTGGTGATGGGGATGGTGGTAGCGGGGAGGGCGGTAATGGAGATGGTGGTGCAGGTGAGGGAGGTACAGGTGGAAGTAGTGGTGAGGGGGGCGGAGAGGGAGACCGGCCTCCAGGGGGATCCGGGGACGGCGGCGGTGGCGAGGGAGGCAATGGCGACGGCTCAGGCGAGGGTGGTGATGGCGATGGTGGTTGTGGAGAAGGCGGTAGCGGAGATGGAGGCTCGGGCGACGGCGGTAGCGGCGATGGAGGCTCGGGCGACGGCGGTAGCGGCGATGGTGGTTTGGGAGAAGGCGGTTCCGGAGACGGTGGCTGCTGAGATGGAGCTGGTGGAGAAGGCGGTAGCGGCGATGGAGGCTCGGGCGACGGCGGTAGAGGAGACGGTGGCTGCGGAGATGGAGGTTGCGGAGAAGGCGGTAATGGCGATGGAGGCTCGGGCGACGGCGGTAGCGGCGATGGTGGTTCGGGAGAAGGCGGTTCCGGCGACGGCGGCTGCGGAGATGGAGGTTGTGGAGAAGGCGGTTGTGGAGAAGGCGGTTCCGGAGATGGCGGTTGTGGGGAAGGCGGTTGTGGAGAGGGCGGCTGTGGGGACGGCGGCATTGGCGATGGCTCAGGTGATGGTGGAGGAGGTGACGGGGGGTGTGGAGAGGGCGGAGCTGGCGAGGGTGGTGATGGGGATGGTGGTAGCGGGGAGGGCGGTAATGGAGATGGTGGTGCAGGTGAGGGAGGTACAGGTGGAAGTAGTGGTGAGGGGGGCGGAGAGGGAGACCGGCCTCCAGGGGGATCCGGGGACGGCGGCGGTGGCGAGGGAGGCAATGGTGACGGCTCCGGCGAGGGTGGTGAAGGCGATGGTGGTTGTGGAGAAGGCGGTAGCGGCGACTGAGGCTCGGGCGACAGCGGTAGCGGCGATGGAGGCTCGGGCGACGGCGGTAGCGGCGATGGTGGTTTGGGAGAAGGCGGTTCCGGAGACGGTGGCTGCGGAGATGGAGCTTGTGGAGAAGGCGGTAGCGGCGATGGAGGCTCGGGCGACGGCGGTAGCGGAGACGGTGGCTGCGGAGATGGAGGTTGCGGAGAAGGCGGTAATGGCGATGGGGGCTCGGGAGAAGGCGGTAGCGGGGATGGTGGTTCGGGAGAAGGCGGTTCCGGAGACGGCGGCTGCGGAGATGGAGGTTGTGGAGAAGGCGGTTGTGGAGAAGGCGGTTCCGGAGACGACGGTTGTGGGGAAGGCGGTTGTGGAGAGGGCGGCTGTGGGGACGGCGGCATTGGCGATGGCTCAGGTGATGGTGGAGGAGGTGACGGGGGGTGTGGAGAGGGCGGAGCTGGCGAGGGTGGTGATGGGGATGGTGGTAGCGGGGAGGGCGGTAATGGAGATGGTGGTGCAGGTGAGGGAGGTACAGGTGGAAGTAGTGGTGAGGGGGGCGGAGAGGGAGACCGGCCTCCAGGGGGATCCGGGGACGGCGGCGGTGGCGAGGGAGGCAATGGCGACGGCTCCGGCGAGGGTGGTGAAGGCGATGGTGGTTGTGGAGAAGGCGGTAGCGGCGACTGAGGCTCGGGCGACGGCGGTAGCAGCGATGGAGGCTCGGGAGAAGGCGGTTCTGGAGACGGCGGCTGCGGAGATGGAGGTTGTGGAGAAGGCGGTAGCGGCGATGGAGGCTCGGGCGACGGCGGTAGCGGAGATGGTGGTTCGGGAGAAGGCGGTTCCGGAGATGGTGGCTGCGGAGATGGAGGTTGTGGAGAAGGCGGTAGCGGCGATGGAGGCTTGGGCGACGGCGGTAGCGGCGATTGTGGTTCGGGAGAAGGCGGTTCCGGAGACGGCGGATGCGGAGATGGAGGTTGTGGAGAAGGTGGTTGCGGGGACGGAGGCGGTGGTGATGGCTCCGGCGAAGGCGGCCGTGGAGTTGGGGGCATTGGTGAGGACGGAGGTGGCAAGGGTGGAGGCGATGGAGGAGTGGGCGGTGATGGGGGAATCTCCGGCTCAAAAGGTGCCAGCGGTGGTGTGGGAGGCCGACGTGGGCGGGGCGAGGTTGGCGGCGGCGGTGGCGGTGAGCTAGGGGTTGGCGGACCAGGACGGCGAGGAGGGCGGGGTGGTCTAGGTGATGGCGGTGGTGAAGGGGGCAGCGATGGCGGGCTAGGAGGGTCCGGCGGTGGGGGTGAGGGTGGAGGCAAAAAGTGGTCCAAAATAATTGTAGCACCTGCCGGAAAGCATACGTGTGAAAGAATCACATGGGCGTTAGTACGTCGTGCTTACCATGTACCGCCACTTTAGAACGAAGGCAACAATCAACAATTTGGCCACAAGCACGTATCGCCAATCCAGGAGGTCTCACCAGTATCAGCAGCTAGAGCCGTGAGGTTCACCGGAGGTGGACGTGGTGGAATGTTCGGGCGGGGTGGAGGGCGGTTCGGCGCATTAGGCGGCGCCATAACGCCGGGGCTCATCGGCGGTGAGGGCGGCGGTGAGGGAGGCAGCGGCACCTCAATCGTCAGGCGGACGAGGAAAGCAATTGCAGATGCAGAGGAAGAGGTCGCCAGCACTCGACGGTATTCCTCGATTGCTGCCGGCTCATCCATCTTAGCCTGAATCGGACCAGGAATTTAAGCCACAGGTCATGGTTGTGCATACCAAGCCCGGATCAAGCTCATCAAGCCGCGACCAACCAGTCGCTCCGCCCTCAACACCCCGCCCTCGTCCGTACGTACCTGCACTTCTCGCTCCAGGTCGTACGGCATTGTGCTGACGATGTAGGCGTCCCGCAGCTGCAGCTGGGACTTGAGCTGGATCAGCCGGTTGGCAGATGTAACGTCCAGGTCGACCAGGCTGCGGCGGCGAGCGGTCTTGCCGTCGTACATGGCCACGACGTTATCTGGCGTGGTGCCCTGAGGACAGCAGAAGGAGCACAGCTTAGTATTTGAATAGCATGGTCTGGTGTAGTGCCCTGCAAAACGAGAGCGAAAAAGCCATTAAGCAACACCATGTGCGTGCATCGCAAGAAAACAAGTTTTGCTAAGCCAAAAGACGATGTCATATCCAGCACCAGCGCACCAGGAGAAGAGCAAAAGAAGCTGACACATGCACCTAGTTACGGTTCTTACATATGTGGAAGCGATGAACCGTTTGGTATTAGCCACGTACGCATTAACTCCGCCGGCCTCCTTAACGGCAGCAGTAGAGGGAAAAACGGTGAGGTGCTCCTGGACCTCAGCCTTGCCAGGGGGCAGCGGGGGCGGGCTGGGGGGCGGTGAGGGCGGCGAAGGAAAGGGGCTGGGTGGAGGAGGAGAAGATGGCGCTAGGGGCGGCAAACCCGGTGCGTTCGGTTCCGCTGGCGGGGGCGGGCTGGGAGATGGTGGGGGGTTAGGGGACTCTGGTGGCAGGTTGGGTGGCAGTGGGTTGGGAGGTGGTCGCCTTGGTCGGCGGGGTGGCCGGGGTGGTGCGGGAGAGGGGGGTTCTGGAGGCGGGGCATGTGGAGGCAGTGGAGATGGAGCAGGTGAAGGTGGTGTCGGAGGCTGTGGAGAGGGCGGTTGCGGAAATGGAGGCTGTGGAGAGGGCGGCTCTGGAGAGGGAGGTTGTGATGATGGCGATTGGGGGGCGGCTGGGGGTGGCGGAGCAGGTGATGGTTGTTGCGGAGGCGGGGGTTGTGGGGCCGGCGGCAGGTATGCCGGCGGCAGAGATGAGTACGGCGGCGGCGATTGGGGCGAATCGTAGATGGGTGGGGGGAGAGGAGGTGCTGACGTCGGCACGGCAGGGGGCGGTGGAGGTGGATACGCTTGCGGAGGGGTGTGGGGCGAGTAGAGCGGAGGTGATGGAGGCGAGGGAGGCGGCTGGCCGTAGGGTGGTGGCTGAGCGGGTGCGTATGTTGGCACGGCTGGGGATGGCGGAGCAGGTGATGGTTGTTGCGGAGGCGGGGGTTGTGGGGCCGGCGGCAGGTATGCCGGCGGCAGAGGTGAGTACGGCGGCGGCGATTGGGGTGGATCATAGATGGGTGGGGGGAGAGGAGGTGCTGACGTCGGCACGGCAGGGGGCGGTGGAGGTGGGTACGCTTGCGGAGGGGTGTGGGGCGAGTAGAGCGGAGGTGATGGAGGCGAGGGAGGCGGCTGGCCGTAGGGTGGTGGCTGAGCGGGTGCGTATGTTGGCACGGCTGGGGATGGCGGAGCAGGTGATGGTTGTTGCGGAGGCGGGGGTTGTGGGGCCGGCGGCAGGTATGCCGGCGGCAGAGGTGAGTACGGCGGCGGCGATTGGGGTGGATCATAGATGGGTGGGGGGAGAGGAGGTGCTGACGTCGGCACGGCAGGGGGCGGTGGAGGTGGATACGCTTGCGGAGGGGTGTGGGGCGAGTAGAGCGGAGGTGATGGAGGCGAGGGCGGCGGCTGGCCGTAGGGTGGTGGCTGAGCGGGTGCGTATGTTGGCACGGCTGGGGGTGGCGGAGCAGGTGATGGTTGTTGCGGAGGCGGGGGTTGTGGGGCCGGCGGCAGGTATGCCGGCGGCAGAGGTGAGTACGGCGGCGGCGATTGGGGCGAATCATAGATGGGTGGGGGGAGAGGAGGTGCTGACGTCGGCACGGCAGGGGGCGGTGGAGGTGGATACGCTTGCGGAGGGGTGTGGGGCGAGTAGAGCGGAGGTGATGGAGGCGAGGGAGGCGGCTGGCCGTAGGGTGGGGGCTGAGCTGGTGCGTATGTTGGCACGGCTGGGGGTGGCGGAGCAGGTGATGGTTGTTGCGGAGGCGGGGGTTGTGGGGCCGGCGGCAGGTATGCCGGCGGCAGAGGTGAGTACGGCGGCGGCGATTGGGGCGAATCGTAGATGGGTGGGGGGAGAGGAGGTGCTGACGTCGGCACGGCAGGGGGCGGTGGAGGTGGATACGCTTGCGGAGGGGTGTGGGGCGAGTAGAGCGGAGGTGATGGAGGCGAGGGCGGCGGCTGGCCGTAGGGTGGTGGCTGAGCGGGTGCGTATGTTGGCACGGCTGGGGATGGCGGAGCAGGTGATGGTTGTTGCGGAGGCGGGGGTTGTGGGGCCGGCGGCAGGTATGCCGGCGGCAGAGGTGAGTACGGCGGCGGCGATTGGGGCGAATCGTAGATGGGTGGGGGGAGAGGAGGTGCTGACGTCGGCACGGCAGGGGGCGGTGGAGGTGGATACGCTTGCGGAGGGGTGTGGGGCGAGTAGAGCGGAGGTGATGGAGGCGAGGGCGGCGGCTGGCCGTAGGGTGGGGGCTGAGCGGGTGCGTATGTTGGCACGGCTGGGGGTGGCGGAGCAGGTGATGGTTGTTGCGGAGGCGGGGGTTGTGGGGCCGGCGGCAGGTATGCCGGCGGCAGAGGTGAGTACGGCGGCGGCGATTGGGGCGAATCGTAGATGGGTGGGGGGAGAGGAGGTGCTGACGTCGGCACGGCAGGGGGCGGTGGAGGTGGATACGCTTGCGGAGGGGTGTGGGGCGAGTAGAGCGGAGGTGATGGAGGCGAGGGAGGCGGCTGGCCGTAGGGTGGTGGCTGAGCGGGTGCGTATGTTGGCACGGCTGGGGATGGCGGAGCAGGTGATGGTTGTTGCGGAGGCGGGGGTTGTGGGGCCGGCGGCAGGTATGCCGGCGGCAGAGGTGAGTACGGCGGCGGCGATTGGGGTGGATCATAGATGGGTGGGGGGAGAGGAGGTGCTGACGTCGGCACGGCAGGGGGCGGTGGAGGTGGATACGCTTGCGGAGGGGTGTGGGGCGAGTAGAGCGGAGGTGATGGAGGCGAGGGAGGCGGCTGGCCGTAGGGTGGTGGCTGAGCGGGTGCGTATGTTGGCACGGCTGGGGATGGCGGAGCAGGTGATGGTTGTTGCGGAGGCGGGGGTTGTGGGGCCGGCGGCAGGTATGCCGGCGGCAGAGGTGAGTACGGCGGCGGCGATTGGGGCGAATCGTAGATGGGTGGGGGAAGAGGAGGTGCTGACGTCGGCACGGCAGGGGGCGGTGGAGGTGGATACGCTTGCGGAGGGGTGTGGGGCGAGTAGAGCGGAGGTGATGGAGGCGAGGGCGGCGGCTGGCCGTAGGGTGGGGGCTGAGCGGGTGCGTATGTTGGCACGGCTGGGGGTGGCGGAGCAGGTGATGGTTGTTGCGGAGGCGGGGGTTGTGGGGCCGGCGGCAGGTATGCCGGCGGCAGAGGTGAGTACGGCGGCGGCGATTGGGGCGAATCGTAGATGGGTGGGGGGAGAGGAGGTGCTGACGTCGGCACGGCAGGGGCCGGTGGAGGTGGATACGCTTGCGGAGGGGTGTGGGGCGAGTAGAGCGGAGGTGATGGAGGCGAGGGCGGCGGCTGGCCGTAGGGTGGGGGCTGAGCGGGTGCGTATGTTGGCACGGCTGGGGGTGGCGGAGCAGGTGATGGTTGTTGCGGAGGCGGGGGTTGTGGGGCCGGCGGCAGGTATGCCGGCGGCAGAGGTGAGTACGGCGGCGGCGATTGGGGCGAATCGTAGATGGGTGGGGGAAGAGGAGGTGCTGACGTCGGCACGGCAGGGGGCGGTGGAGGTGGATACGCTTGCGGAGGGGTGTGGGGCGAGTAGAGCGGAGGTGATGGAGGCGAGGGAGGCGGCTGGCCGTAGGGTGGGGGCTGAGCGGGTGCGTATGTTGGCACGGCTGGGGGTGGCGGAGCAGGTGATGGTTGTTGCGGAGGCGGGGGTTGTGGGGCCGGCGGCAGGTATGCCGGCGGCAGAGGTGAGTACGGCGGCGGCGATTGGGGCGAATCGTAGATGGGTGGGGGGAGAGGAGGTGCTGACGTCGGCACGGCAGGGGGCGGTGGAGGTGGATACGCTTGCGGAGGGGTGTGGGGCGAGTAGAGCGGAGGTGATGGAGGCGAGGGCGGCGGCTGGCCGTAGGGTGGGGGCTGAGCGGGTGCGTATGTTGGCACGGCTGGGGGTGGCGGAGCAGGTGATGGTTGTTGTGGAGGCGGGGGTTGTGGGGCCGGCGGCAGGTATGCCGGCGGCAGAGGTGAGTACGGCGGCGGCGATTGGGGTGGATCATAGATGGGTGGGGGGAGAGGAGGTGCTGACGTCGGCACGGCAGGGGGCGGTGGAGGTGGATACGCTTGCGGAGGGGTGTGGGGCGAGTAGAGCGGAGGTGATGGAGGCGAGGGCGGCGGCTGGCCGTAGGGTGGTGGCTGAGCGGGTGCGTATGTTGGCACGGCTGGGGGTGGCGGAGCAGGTGATGGTTGTTGCGGAGGCGGGGGTTGTGGGGCCGGCGGCAGGTATGCCGGCGGCAGAGGTGAGTACGGCGGCGGCGATTGGGGCGAATCGTAGATAGGTGGGGGGAGAGGAGGTGCTGACGTCGGCACGGCAGGGGGCGGTGGAGGTGGGTACGCTTGCGGAGGGGTGTGGGGCGAGTAGAGCGGAGGCGATGGAGGCGAGGGCGGCGGCTGGCCGTAGGGTGGTGGCTGAGCGGGTGCGTATGTTGGCACGGCTGGGGGTGGCGGAGCAGGTGATGGTTGTTGCGGAGGCGGGGGTTGTGGGGCCGGCGGCAGGTATGCCGGCGGCAGAGGTGAGTACGGCGGCGGCGATTGGGGCGAATCGTAGATGGGTGGGGGGAGAGGAGGTGCTGACGTCGGCACGGCAGGGGGCGGTGGAGGTGGATACGCTTGCGGAGGGGTGTGGGGCGAGTAGAGCGGAGGTGATGGAGGCGAGGGAGGCGGCTGGCCGTAGGGTGGGGGCTGAGCGGGTGCGTATGTTGGCACGGCTGGGGATGGCGGAGCAGGTGATGGTTGTTGCGGAGGCGGGGATTGTGGGGCCGGCGGCAGGTATGCCGGCGGCAGAGGTGAGTACGGCGGCGGCGATTGGGGTGGATCATAGATGGGTGGGGGGAGAGGAGGTGCTGACGTCGGCACGGCAGGGGGCGGTGGAGGTGGATACGCTTGCGGAGGGGTGTGGGGCGAGTAGAGCGGAGGTGATGGAGGCGAGGGAGGCGGCTGGCCGTAGGGTGGTGGCTGAGCGGGTGCGTATGTTGGCACGGCTGGGGATGGCGGAGCAGGTGATGGTTGTTGCGGAGGCGGGGATTGTGGGGCCGGCGGCAGGTATGCCGGCGGCAGAGGTGAGTACGGCGGCGGCGATTGGGGTGGATCATAGATGGGTGGGGGGAGAGGAGGTGCTGACGTCGGCACGGCAGGGGGCGGTGGAGGTGGATACGCTTGCGGAGGGGTGTGGGGCGAGTAGAGCGGAGGTGATGGAGGCGAGGGAGGCGGCTGGCCGTAGGGTGGTGGCTGAGCGGGTGCGTATGTTGGCACGGCTGGGGGTGGCGGAGCAGGTGATGGTTGTTGCGGAGGCGGGGGTTGTGGGGCCGGCGGCAGGTATGCCGGCGGCAGAGGTGAGTACGGCGGCGGCGATTGGGGCGAATCGTAGATGGGTGGGGGGAGAGGAGGTGCTGACGTCGGCACGGCAGGGGGCGGTGGAGGTGGATACGCTTGCGGAGGGGTGTGGGGCGAGTAGAGCGGAGGTGATGGAGGCGAGGGCGGCGGCTGGCCGTAGGGTGGGGGCTGAGCGGGTGCGTATGTTGGCACGGCTGGGGGTGGCGGAGCAGGTGATGGTTGTTGCGGAGGCGGGGGTTGTGGGGCCGGCGGCAGGTATGCCGGCGGCAGAGGTGAGTACGGCGGCGGCGATTGGGGCGAATCGTAGATGGGTGGGGGGAGAGGAGGTGCTGACGTCGGCACGGCAGGGGGCGGTGGAGGTGGATACGCTTGCGGAGGGGTGTGGGGCGAGTAGAGCGGAGGTGATGGAGGCGAGGGCGGCGGCTGGCCGTAGGGTGGTGGCTGAGCGGGTGCGTATGTTGGCACGGCTGGGGGTGGCGGAGCAGGTGATGGTTGTTGTGGAGGCGGGGGTTGTGGGGCCGGCGGCAGGTATGCCGGCGGCAGAGGTGAGTCGGGCGGCGGCGATCGGGGCGAATCATAGATGGGTGGGGGGAGAGGAGGTGCTGACGTCGGCACGGCAGGGGCCGGTGGAGGTGGATACGCTTGCGGAGGGGTGTGGGGCGAGTAGAGCGGAGGTGATGGAGGCGAGGGCGGCGGCTGGCCGTAGGGTGGTGGCTGAGCGGGTGCGTATGTTGGCACGGCTGGGGGTGGCGGAGCAGGTGATGGTTGTTGTGGAGGCGGGGGTTGTGGGGCCGGCGGCAGGTATGCCGGCGGCAGAGGTGAGTCGGGCGGCGGCGATCGGGGCGAATCATAGATGGGTGGGGGGAGAGGAGGTGCTGACGTCGGCACGGCAGGGGGCGGTGGAGGTGGGTACGCTTGCGGAGGGGTGTGGGGCGAGTAGAGCGGAGGCGATGGAGGCGAGGGCGGCGGCTGGCCGTAGGGTGGTGGCTGAGCGGGTGCGTATGTTGGCACGGCTGGGGGTGGCGGAGCAGGTGATGGTTGTTGCGGAGGCGGGGGTTGTGGGGCCGGCGGCAGGTATGCCGGCGGCAGAGGTGAGTACGGCGGCGGCGATTGGGGCGAATCATAGATGGGTGGGGGGAGAGGAGGTGCTGACGTCGGCACGGCAGGGGGCGGTGGAGGTGGATACGCTTGCGGAGGGGTGTGGGGCGAGTAGAGCGGAGGTGATGGAGGCGAGGGAGGCGGCTGGCCGTAGGGTGGTAGCTGAGCGGGTGCGTATGTTGGCACGGCTGGGGATGGCGGAGCAGGTGATGGTTGTTGCGGAGGCGGGGGTTGTGGGGCCGGCGGCAGGTATGCCGGCGGCAGAGGTGAGTCGGGCGGCGGCGATCGGGGCGAATCATAGATGGGTGGGGGGAGAGGAGGTGCTGACGTCGGCACGGCAGGGGGCGGTGGAGGTGGATACGCTTGCGGAGGGGTGTGGGGCGAGTAGAGCGGAGGTGATGGAGGCGAGGGAGGCGGCTGGCCGTAGGGTGGTGGCTGAGCGGGTGCGTATGTTGGCACGGCTGGGGATGGCGGAGCAGGTGATGGTTGTTGCGGAGGCGGGGGTTGTGGGGCCGGCGGCAGGTATGCCGGCGGCAGAGGTGAGTACGGCGGCGGCGATTGGGGCGAATCGTAGATGGGTGGGGGGAGAGGAGGTGCTGACGTCGGCACGGCAGGGGGCGGTGGAGGTGGATACGCTTGCGGAGGGGTGTGGGGCGAGTAGAGCGGAGGCGATGGAGGCGAGGGCGGCGGCTGGCCGTAGGGTGGGGGCTGAGCGGGTGCGTATGTTGGCACGGCTGGGGGTGGCGGAGCAGGTGATGGTTGTTGCGGAGGCGGGGGTTGTGGGGCCGGCGGCAGGTATGCCGGCGGCAGAGGTGAGTACGGCGGCGGCGATTGGGGCGAATCGTAGATGGGTGGGGGAAGAGGAGGTGCTGACGTCGGCACGGCAGGGGGCGGTGGAGGTGGATACGCTTGCGGAGGGGTGTGGGGCGAGTAGAGCGGAGGTGATGGAGGCGAGGGCGGCGGCTGGCCGTAGGGTGGGGGCTGAGCGGGTGCGTATGTTGGCACGGCTGGGGGTGGCGGAGCAGGTGATGGTTGTTGCGGAGGCGGGGGTTGTGGGGCCGGCGGCAGGTATGCCGGCGGCAGAGGTGAGTACGGCGGCGGCGATTGGGGCGAATCGTAGATGGGTGGGGGAAGAGGAGGTGCTGACGTCGGCACGGCAGGGGGCGGTGGAGGTGGATACGCTTGCGGAGGGGTGTGGGGCGAGTAGAGCGGAGGTGATGGAGGCGAGGGCGGCGGCTGGCCGTAGGGTGGGGGCTGAGCGGGTGCGTATGTTGGCACGGCTGGGGGTGGCGGAGCAGGTGATGGTTGTTGCGGAGGCGGGGGTTGTGGGGCCGGCGGCAGGTATGCCGGCGGCAGAGGTGAGTCGGGCGGCGGCGATCGGGGCGAATCATAGATGGGTGGGGGGAGAGGAGGTGCTGACGTCGGCACGGCAGGGGGCGGTGGAGGTGGATACGCTTGCGGAGGGGTGTGGGGCGAGTAGAGCGGAGGTGATGGAGGCGAGGGCGGCGGCTGGCCGTAGGGTGGTGGCTGAGCGGGTGCGTATGTTGGCACGGCTGGGGGTGGCGGAGCAGGTGATGGTTGTTGTGGAGGCGGGGGTTGTGGGGCCGGCGGCAGGTATGCCGGCGGCAGAGGTGAGTCGGGCGGCGGCGATCGGGGCGAATCATAGATGGGTGGGGGGAGAGGAGGTGCTGACGTCGGCACGGCAGGGGCCGGTGGAGGTGGATACGTTTGCGGAGGGGTGTGGGGCGAGTAGAGCGGAGGTGATGGAGGCGAGGGCGGCGGCTGGCCGTAGGGTGGTGGCTGAGCGGGTGCGTATGTTGGCACGGCTGGGGGTGGCGGAGCAGGTGATGGTTGTTGTGGAGGCGGGGGTTGTGGGGCCGGCGGCAGGTATGCCGGCGGCAGAGGTGAGTACGGCGGCGGCGATCGGGGCGAATCATAGATGGGTGGGGGGAGAGGAGGTGCTGACGTCGGCACGGCAGGGGGCGGTGGAGGTGGGTACGCTTGCGGAGGGGTGTGGGGCGAGTAGAGCGGAGGCGATGGAGGCGAGGGCGGCGGCTGGCCGTAGGGTGGTGGCTGAGCGGGTGCGTATGTTGGCACGGCTGGGGGTGGCGGAGCAGGTGATGGTTGTTGCGGAGGCGGGGGTTGTGGGGCCGGCGGCAGGTATGCCGGCGGCAGAGGTGAGTCGGGCGGCGGCGATCGGGGCGAATCATAGATGGGTGGGGGGAGAGGAGGTGCTGACGTCGGCACGGCAGGGGGCGGTGGAGGTGGATACGCTTGCGGAGGGGTGTGGGGCGAGTAGAGCGGAGGCGATGGAGGCGAGGGCGGCGGCTGGCCGTAGGGTGGGGGCTGAGCGGGTGCGTATGTTGGCACGGCTGGGGATGGCGGAGCAGGTGATGGTTGTTGCGGAGGCGGGGGTTGTGGGGCCGGCGGCAGGTATGCCGGCGGCAGAGGTGAGTCGGGCGGCGGCGATCGGGGCGAATCGTAGATGGGTGGGGGAAGAGGAGGTGCTGACGTCGGCACGGCAGGGGGCGGTGGAGGTGGATACGCTTGCGGAGGGGTGTGGGGCGAGTAGAGCGGAGGTGATGGAGGCGAGGGCGGCGGCTGGCCGTAGGGTGGGGGCTGAGCGGGTGCGTATGTTGGCACGGCTGGGGGTGGCGGAGCAGGTGATGGTTGTTGCGGAGGCGGGGGTTGTGGGGCCGGCGGCAGGTATGCCGGCGGCAGAGGTGAGTACGGCGGCGGCGATTGGGGCGAATCGTAGATGGGTGGGGGAAGAGGAGGTGCTGACGTCGGCACGGCAGGGGGCGGTGGAGGTGGATACGCTTGCGGAGGGGTGTGGGGCGAGTAGAGCGGAGGTGATGGAGGCGAGGGCGGCGGCTGGCCGTAGGGTGGGGGCTGAGCGGGTGCGTATGTTGGCACGGCTGGGGGTGGCGGAGCAGGTGATGGTTGTTGCGGAGGCGGGGGTTGTGGGGCCGGCGGCAGGTATGCCGGCGGCAGAGGTGAGTACGGCGGCGGCGATTGGGGCGAATCGTAGATGGGTGGGGGAAGAGGAGGTGCTGACGTCGGCACGGCAGGGGGCGGTGGAGGTGGATACGCTTGCGGAGGGGTGTGGGGCGAGTAGAGCGGAGGTGATGGAGGCGAGGGCGGCGGCTGGCCGTAGGGTGGGGGCTGAGCGGGTGCGTATGTTGGCACGGCTGGGGGTGGCGGAGCAGGTGATGGTTGTTGCGGAGGCGGGGGTTGTGGGGCCGGCGGCAGGTATGCCGGCGGCAGAGGTGAGTACGGCGGCGGCGATCGGGGCGAATCATAGATGGGTGGGGGGAGAGGAGGTGCTGACGTCGGCACGGCAGGGGGCGGTGGAGGTGGATACGCTTGCGGAGGGGTGTGGGGCGAGTAGAGCGGAGGCGATGGAGGCGAGGGCGGCGGCTGGCCGTAGGGTGGGGGCTGAGCGGGTGCGTATGTTGGCACGGCTGGGGATGGCGGAGCAGGTGATGGTTGTTGCGGAGGCGGGGGTTGTGGGGCCGGCGGCAGGTATGCCGGCGGCAGAGGTGAGTACGGCGGCGGCGATTGGGGCGAATCGTAGATGGGTGGGGGAAGAGGAGGTGCTGACGTCGGCACGGCAGGGGGCGGTGGAGGTGGATACGCTTGCGGAGGGGTGTGGGGCGAGTAGAGCGGAGGTGATGGAGGCGAGGGCGGCGGCTGGCCGTAGGGTGGGGGCTGAGCGGGTGCGTATGTTGGCACGGCTGGGGGTGGCGGAGCAGGTGATGGTTGTTGCGGAGGCGGGGGTTGTGGGGCCGGCGGCAGGTATGCCGGCGGCAGAGGTGAGTACGGCGGCGGCGATTGGGGCGAATCGTAGATGGGTGGGGGAAGAGGAGGTGCTGACGTCGGCACGGCAGGGGGCGGTGGAGGTGGATACGCTTGCGGAGGGGTGTGGGGCGAGTAGAGCGGAGGTGATGGAGGCGAGGGCGGCGGCTGGCCGTAGGGTGGGGGCTGAGCGGGTGCGTATGTTGGCACGGCTGGGGGTGGCGGAGCAGGTGATGGTTGTTGTGGAGGCGGGGGTTGTGGGGCCGGCGGCAGGTATGCCGGCGGCAGAGGTGAGTACGGCGGCGGCGATTGGGGCGAATCGTAGATGGGTGGGGGGAGAGGAGGTGCTGACGTCGGCACGGCAGGGGGCGGTGGAGGTGGATACGCTTGCGGAGGGGTGTGGGGCGAGTAGAGCGGAGGTGATGGAGGCGAGGGCGGCGGCTGGCCGTAGGGTGGTGGCTGAGCGGGTGCGTATGTTGGCACGGCTGGGGGTGGCGGAGCAGGTGATGGTTGTTGTGGAGGCGGGGGTTGTGGGGCCGGCGGCAGGTATGCCGGCGGCAGAGGTGAGTACGGCGGCGGCGATTGGGGCGAATCATAGATGGGTGGGGGGAGAGGAGGTGCTGACGTCGGCACGGCAGGGGGCGGTGGAGGTGGGTACGCTTGCGGAGGGGTGTGGGGCGAGTAGAGCGGAGGCGATGGAGGCGAGGGCGGCGGCTGGCCGTAGGGTGATGGCTGAGCGGGTGCGTATGTTGGCACGGCTGGGGGTGGCGGAGCAGGTGATGGTTGTTGTGGAGGCGGGGGTTGTGGGGCCGGCGGCAGGTATGCCGGCGGCAGAGGTGAGTACGGCGGCGGCGATTGGGGTGGATCATAGATGGGTGGGGGGAGAGGAGGTGCTGACGTCGGCACGGCAGGGGGCGGTGGAGGTGGGTACGCTTGCGGAGGGGTGTGGGGCGAGTAGAGCGAAGGCGATGGAGGCGAGGGCGGCGGCTGGCCGTAGGGTGGTGGCTGAGCGGGTGCGTATGTTGGCACGGCTGGGGGTGGCGGAGCAGGTGATGGTTGTTGCGGAGGCGGGGGTTGTGGGGCCGGCGGCAGGTATGCCGGCGGCAGAGGTGAGTACGGCGGCGGCGATTGGGGCGAATCGTAGATGGGTGGGGGGAGAGGAGGTGCTGACGTCGGCACGGCAGGGGGCGGTGGAGGTGGATACGCTTGCGGAGGGGTGTGGGGCGAGTAGAGCGGAGGTGATGGAGGCGAGGGAGGCGGCTGGCCGTAGGGTGGTGGCTGAGCGGGTGCGTATGTTGGCACGGCTGGGGATGGCGGAGCAGGTGATGGTTGTTGCGGAGGCGGGGGTTGTGGGGCCGGCGGCAGGTATGCCGGCGGCAGAGGTGAGTACGGCGGCGGCGATTGGGGCGAATCGTAGATGGGTGGGGGGAGAGGAGGTGCTGACGTCGGCACGGCAGGGGGCGGTGGAGGTGGATACGCTTGCGGAGGGGTGTGGGGCGAGTAGAGCGGAGGTGATGGAGGCGAGGGCGGCGGCTGGCCGTAGGGTGGTGGCTGAGCGGGTGCGTATGTTGGCACGGCTGGGGGTGGCGGAGCAGGTGATGGTTGTTGTGGAGGCGGGGGTTGTGGGGCCGGCGGCAGGTATGCCGGCGGCAGAGGTGAGTACGGCGGCGGCGATTGGGGCGAATCATAGATGGGTGGGGGGAGAGGAGGTGCTGACGTCGGCACGGCAGGGGGCGGTGGAGGTGGGTACGCTTGCGGAGGGGTGTGGGGCGAGTAGAGCGGAGGCGATGGAGGCGAGGGCGGCGGCTGGCCGTAGGGTGATGGCTGAGCGGGTGCGTATGTTGGCACGGCTGGGGGTGGCGGAGCAGGTGATGGTTGTTGCGGAGGCGGGGATTGTGGGGCCGGCGGCAGGTATGCCGGCGGCAGAGGTGAGTACGGCGGCGGCGATTGGGGTGGATCATAGATGGGTGGGGGGAGAGGAGGTGCTGACGTCGGCACGGCAGGGGGCGGTGGAGGTGGGTACGCTTGCGGAGGGGTGTGGGGCGAGTAGAGCGGAGGTGATGGAGGCGAGGGAGGCGGCTGGCCGTAGGGTGGTGGCTGAGCGGGTGCGTATGTTGGCACGGCTGGGGGTGGCGGAGCAGGTGATGGTTGTTGCGGAGGCGGGGGTTGTGGGGCCGGCGGCAGGTATGCCGGCGGCAGAGGTGAGTACGGCGGCGGCGATTGGGGCGAATCGTAGATGGGTGGGGGGAGAGGAGGTGCTGACGTCGGCACGGCAGGGGGCGGTGGAGGTGGATACGCTTGCGGAGGGGTGTGGGGCGAGTAGAGCGGAGGTGATGGAGGCGAGGGAGGCGGCTGGCCGTAGGGTGGTGGCTGAGCGGGTGCGTATGTTGGCACGGCTGGGGATGGCGGAGCAGGTGATGGTTGTTGCGGAGGCGGGGGTTGTGGGGCCGGCGGCAGGTATGCCGGCGGCAGAGGTGAGTACGGCGGCGGCGATTGGGGCGAATCGTAGATGGGTGGGGGAAGAGGAGGTGCTGACGTCGGCACGGCAGGGGGCGGTGGAGGTGGATACGCTTGCGGAGGGGTGTGGGGCGAGTAGAGCGGAGGTGATGGAGGCGAGGGCGGCGGCTGGCCGTAGGGTGGGGGCTGAGCGGGTGCGTATGTTGGCACGGCTGGGGGTGGCGGAGCAGGTGATGGTTGTTGCGGAGGCGGGGGTTGTGGGGCCGGCGGCAGGTATGCCGGCGGCAGAGGTGAGTCGGGCGGCGGCGATCGGGGCGAATCATAGATGGGTGGGGGGAGAGGAGGTGCTGACGTCGGCACGGCAGGGGCCGGTGGAGGTGGATACGCTTGCGGAGGGGTGTGGGGCGAGTAGAGCGGAGGTGATGGAGGCGAGGGCGGCGGCTGGCCGTAGGGTGGGGGCTGAGCGGGTGCGTATGTTGGCACGGCTGGGGGTGGCGGAGCAGGTGATGGTTGTTGCGGAGGCGGGGGTTGTGGGGCCGGCGGCAGGTATGCCGGCGGCAGAGGTGAGTACGGCGGCGCCGATGGAAGTGCAGCAGGTGGAAGGCCGTAGGGCGGAGGCTGATCGGGTGGGTATGTCGATCCTTCAGGGGGTGAGGACGTTGATAGCGGTGATGGAGGCGGCGAAGGTGGGTACGCTTGTGTAGGGGTTTGGGGCGGGTAGGGCGGTGGCGATAGAAGTGCAGCAGGTGGAAGGCCGTAGGGCGGAGGCTGAGCGGGTGGGTATGTTGGTACTTCAGGGGGTGAGGATGTTGATAGCGGTGATGGAGGCGGCGAAGGTGGATACGCTTGTGTAGGGGTTTGGGGCGGGTAGGGCGGTGGCGATAGAAGTGCAGCAGGTGGAAGGCCGTAGGGCGGAGGCTGAGCTGGTGGGTATGTTGGTACTTCAGGGGGTGAGGATGTTGATAGCGGTGATGGAGGCGGCGAAGGTGGATACGCTTGTGTAGGGGTTTGGGGCGGGTAGGGCGGTGGCGATAGAAGTGCAGCAGGTGGAAGGCCGTAGGGCGGAGGCTGAGCTGGTGGGTATGTTGGTACTTCAGGGGGTGAGGATGTTGATAGCGGTGATGGAGGCGGCGAAGGTGGATACGCTTGTGTAGGGGTTTGGGGCGGGTACGGCGGCGGCGATGGAAGTGCAGCAGGTGGAAGGCCGTAGGGCGGAGGCTGAGCTGGTGGGTATGTTGGTACTTCAGGGGGTGAGGATGTTGATAGCGGTGATGGAGGCGGCGAAGGTGGATACGCTTGTGTAGGGGTTTGGGGCGGGTACGGCGGCGGCGATGGAAGTGCAGCAGGTGGAAGGCCGTAGGGCGGAGGCTGAGCGGGTGGGTATGTGGATCCTTCAGGGGGTGAGGACGTTGATAGCGGTGATGGAGGCGGCGATGGTGGATACGCTTGTGTAGGGGTTTGGGGCGGGTAGGGCGGCGGCGATGGAAGTGCAGCAGGTGGAAGGCCGTAGGGCGGAGGCTGAGCGGGTGGGTATGTTGGTACTTCAGGGGGTGAGGATGTTGATAGCGGTGATGGAGGCGGCGAAGGTGGATACGCTTGTGTAGGGGTTTGGGGCGGGTAGGGCGGTGGCGATGGAAGTGCAGCAGGTGGAAGGCCGTAGGGCGGAGGCTGAGCGGGTGGGTATGTTGGTACTTCAGGGGGTGAGGATGTTGATTGTGGTGATGGAGGCGGCGAAGGTGGATACGCTTGTGTAGGGGTTTGGGGCGGGTAGGGCGGTGGCGATGGAAGTGCAGCAGGTGGAAGGCCGTAGGGCGGAGGCTGAGCTGGTGGGTATGTCGATCCTTCAGGGGGTGAGGACGTTGATAGCGGTGATGGAGGCGGCGAAGGTGGATACGCTTGTGTAGGGGTTTGGGGCGGGTAGGGCGGTGGCGATGGAAGTGCAGCAGGTGGAAGGCCGTAGGGCGGAGGCTGAGCGGGTGGGTATGTTGGTACTTCAGGGGGTGAGGACGTTGATAGCGGTGATGGAGGCGGCGAAGGTGGATACGCTTGTGTAGGGGTTTGGGGCGGGTAGGGCGGTGGCGATAGAAGTGCAGCAGGTGGAAGGCCGTAGGGCGGAGGCTGAGCGGGTGGGTATGTCGATCCTTCAGGGGGTGAGGACGTTGATAGCGGTGATGGAGGCGGCGAAGGTGGATACGCTTGTGTAGGGGTTTGGGGCGGGTAGGGCGGTGGCGATGGAAGTGCAGCAGGTGGAAGGACGTAGGGCGGAGGCTGAGCTGGTGGGTATGTCGATCCTTCAGGGGGTGAGGACGTTGATAGCGGTGATGGAGGCGGCGAAGGTGGATACGCTTGTGTAGGGGTTTGGGGCGGGTAGGGCGGTGGCGATGGAAGTGCAGCAGGTGGAAGGCCGTAGGGCGGAGGCTGAGCGGGTGGGTATGTTGGTACTTCAGGGGGTGAGGACGTTGATAGCGGTGATGGAGGCGGCGAAGGTGGATACGCTTGTGTAGGGGTTTGGGGCGGGTAGGGCGGTGGCGATGGAAGTGCAGCAGGTGGAAGGCCGTAGGGCGGAGGCTGAGCTGGTGGGTATGTCGATCCTTCAGGGGGTGAGGACGTTGATAGCGGTGATGGAGGCGGCGAAGGTGGATACGCTTGTGTAGGGGTTTGGGGCGGGTAGGGCGGTGGCGATGGAAGTGCAGCAGGTGGAAGGCCGTAGGGCGGAGGCTGAGCGGGTGGGTATGTTGGTACTTCAGGGGGTGAGGACGTTGATAGCGGTGATGGAGGCGGCGAAGGTGGATACGCTTGTGTAGGGGTTTGGGGCGGGTAGGGCGGTGGCGATAGAAGTGCAGCAGGTGGAAGGCCGTAGGGCGGAGGCTGAGCGGGTGGGTATGTCGATCCTTCAGGGGGTGAGGACGCACTTGGCGACTGTGGAGGAAGAGCCAATGGTTCCATGTATGACGGCGGAATGCCAGGAAGGGATGAAGTTGGCGTTTCCGGTGGAGATGCTAGCAGGGAAGTAGGGGATGGCGGATACGCTTGTGGAGGAGGGTTGCTGGAGTAAGGCGGCCTGGATAGAGTTGCTTCATTTGGCTCATCGTTTGGTGATGGCGACTGGGATGGTGCTAAGGCCGGAGCAGCTGGTGGTGCTGAGGTAGGCAGCTGCTGCGGTGGCGTGAGGTACGAGGGCGGCTGTTGTGGCGGCAGGCGCAGCTGAGGCGGCTGCAGGTATAACGGTGGAGAGGAGAGGGGTGCATACAGTGGAGGCGTTGAGGTCGAAGCAGATGGTGGTGGGTGAGCGGGTGGGTGAGTGAGCAGTAGGTCTGCGGGTGGTAACGTAGGTTGTGACTGCGGTGGAGGTGTTGTGGAGGTGGAGGGAGGTGGCAGGTAAGCCGGTGGAGAGGGATGAGGTGAGTATGGTGGCGGTAGCACGGAAGGAGGTGCAGCAGGGGGTTGGCCATGCGGCGGCGATTGAGGGAGTGACGATGCCGATGCTGCTGGTGGTGATGGTGTAAGCAGTGGCGACGGCGGCTCCACTGACTTGGTGGGAGGTTGTAGATAAGCCGGCGGAGGGGGTTGTGATGAGGATGGAGTGGACGACGGAGGTGTTGCAGAGGGCAGGTCGTACGGCGGTGACTGAGGGGGCGACGGAGCTGGCGGTGACGTTGACGCGGATGGGTGCGGCTGTGATAGTGGTGGTGAGTGGTGCTGCAAGTATGCTGGTGGAGAGGGCTGGGATGGGTATGGAGGCGGCGGTGCTGAGGGCGTTCCGTTCGGCGGTGGACGGTGATGAGGAGCGGCCGGTGCTGGACTTTTTGCTGGTAACGATTGCTGTGGCATTGGCAAGGGTGGCAACTGTGAGGTATGCGTTGGAGATGACGGTGACGGGGTTGGCAGGTAAAGCGGTGGCGTAGCCGGAGGTGGTGGTGCCGGCAATGCCGGCGAGTGCGGGGGCTGTGGTGATGGAGGCGCGCCGGTTTGCTGTGGTGGAGGATAGGAAGGTGGATGGGATAGAGCGGTAGGTGGTGGTACTGCTGCTGGCGGTAATGTTGACGGTGTTGGTGAGTGCAGAGGTGGGGAGGGTGAGGGTTCAGGCTGGAACTGCGCAGGTGGGACTAGATGTGGAGGCGGCAGGGGTGAGGGGGATTGCTGTTGTGGTCGTGGGGATGGCGGAGGAGATGACAGCAGGTATGAAGGTGGGTAAGGCGGAGGTGAGGCAGGGCTCGGGTGCGGAGGCGGAGAGGGGTTGGCATTCTCGACAGCAGGTGGGGGACTTGGCTGCGGAAGCGGGGAGGTTGGAGGATAGGTGGATGGTATGGTAGGCGGCGTTCCGGACGGTAGTTGGGGTGGCGGCAGTGGTGGGGTTTCCAGTGGAAGAGACAGAGGTGGTGATTGCGGCTTGGGTGGCATTGGCGGTGACTGGGATGGTGGCGGTGAAGAGGGTGAAGCCAGCAATGAAACTGGAGGTGGGTATGCTGCAGGTTGCGGCACCGACGATGGCACCAGGGGCTGTGGGGGCGGCGCCGCGCGGTCTGGAGGCGGGTATGTAGGCAGCAGTGCAGGTGGCAGCGATGATGGCGGAGGAGGTACCGGTAACGAAGGCGGAGCTGGAACGGGTGGTGGCGGTGGGCGTGTTGACTTGGGCGCTTTAGGCGGTTTGGGCGGTGGAGGCGGCGGTCGCTTCTTGTTCTTTGGCGGAGGCAATGGCGTTGCTGGGGGGATCTCAGGAGGTAACTGGTAGTAGGCTGGTGGAGAGAGTGGAGGCATCGATGGTAAGGTATGCGTTGGAGAGGACGGTGACGGGGTTGGCAGGTATAGCGGTGGCGTAGCCGGAGGTGGTGGTGCCGGCAATGCCGGCGAGGACGGGGGCTGTGGTGATGGAGGCGCGCCGGTTTGCTGTGGTGGAGGATAGGAAGGTGGATGGGATAGAGCGGTAGGTGGTGGTACTGCTGCTGGCGGTAATGTTGACGGTGTTGGTGAGTGCAGAGGTGGGGAGGGTGAGGGTTCAGGCTGGAACTGCGCAGGTGGGACTAGAGGTGGCGGCGGCAGGGGTGAGGGGGATTGCTGTTGTGGTCGTGGGGATGGCGGAGGAGATGACAGCAGGTATGAAGGTGGGTAAGCTGGAGGTGGAGGTGAGGCAGGGCTCGGGTGCGGAGGCGTAGAGGGGTTGGCATTCTCGACAGCAGGTGGGGGACTTGGCTGCGGAAGCGGGGAGGTTGGAGGATGTGGTGATTGCGGCTTGGGTGGCATTGGCGGTGACTGGGATGGTGGCGGTGAAGAGGGTGAAGCCAGCAATGAAACTGGAGGTGGGTATGCTGCAGGTTGCGGCACCGACGATGGCACTAGGGGCTGTGGGGGCGGCGCCGCGCGGTCTGGAGGCGGGTATGTAGGCAGCAGTGCAGGTGGCAGCGATGATGGCGGAGGAGGTACCGGTAACGAAGGCGGAGCTGGAACGGGTGCTGGCGGTGGGCGTGTTGACTTGGGCGCTTTAGGCGGTTTGGGCGGAGGAGGCGGCGGTCGCTTCTTGTTCTTTGGCGGAGGCAATGGGGTTGCTGGGGGGATTTCAGGAGGTAACTGGTAATAGGCTGGTGGAGAGAGTGGAGGCATCGACGGTGATGGTAGCGATGGTGGCCAGGGTGTTGGTGTGGTGTGCGTTGGAGGAGGAGCCGTCGGAGAGTCCGTTAGAGGTGTGGATCCTGGCATTGGATTGGGCGAACCGGGGGGTGAAGGCTGTGGTGACGGCAAGGGAGAGGGAGAAGGCATAGGTGATAATGGCTGAAGTGGAGGCTGGCTGGAAGGGGAGTATACTGGTACAGCTGGTGCAGGTGACGGCGGTGACAGTTGTGGAGGTAGTTGCGGTAGTGGAACGTGTGTCGATGAAGGGTATGCTGGCGGCTGAGCAGGGAACGGCGCTTGGATAGTTGGAGGCAGCGTCGATGGACTTGGAGTTGAGGGCGGGTGAGGAGAAGGTGGTTGCGATGGAGGAGGTGAGGGGGGATATGACGGTTGCGCTGCAGGCGGCTGTGCTGTTGGCAATGGGGTCGGCGGTGATGGGTTCAGCGTACTTGAGGGCGGAGATGTGGGAGGAGACTGTGGTGGAACTGCCGGTGAAGGTGGGGGAAGGGGTGACGGCGGTGGCGGTGGCGGTGGGGATGCTGGCGGAGGGAGCCCCGGACTTGACGGGCTTGAATAGACCGGAGCGGCAGGTGAAGGTGATGGTGAAGCGGGTGGAGATGGTTGCATGGGAGGCTGCGGTGAGGGAGATGGTTGCATGGGAGGCTGCGGTGAGGGAGAACGTACGGTTGGGTATGATGGTGGTGATGGTGATGGTGAGGAGGGTCGTACTTGTTGTTGGTTGTCATGTGAGGGTGCCTGGGGAAAGGGCGAGGGTGGAAGAGGGGAGGGAGGAGGAGGCTGGGGGCTTGAAGGCGGGGAGGGAGGCTGAGGTGAAGGTGATACGGGAGGTGGCAAGAGCGGTTGCGGGTATGACGGCGGCGAGAGCGGGTGAGACGAAGGTGGTATGGGAGGTGATGAGGGAGGCATTGAGGTTTCTGGTGGTGATAGAGGCGATGGCGAAGGTGGTAGGGAAGGGGATGGAGGCGGTATGGGGCTTGAATGGGGCGGGATAGGCGAGGGTGGTGGGAGGGGAGATGGTGGAGGCTGGGGGCTTGACAGCGGAGACGGGGGGCTAGGCGAAGCTGGTGGAAGGGGAGATAAGAGGCGCTGCGGGTATGACGGCGGAGAAGGGGGTTCGGGTGAAGGTGGTGGAAGGGGGGACGAGGGAGGCTGCGGGTATGACGGCGGCGATAGGGGGCTAGGCGAGGGTGGTGGAGGAGGGGATGAGGGGGGCTGGGGGCTTGACGACGGAGACGGGGGGCTAGGCGAGGGTGGTGGAGGAGGGGATGAGGGAGGCTGGGGGCTTGACGGCGGAGACGGGGGTTCGGGTGAAGGTGGTGGAAGGGGAGATGAAGGAGGCTGCGGGTATGACGGCGGAGACGGGGGGCTAGGCGAGGGTGGTGGAGGAGGGGATGAGGGGGGCTGGGGGCTTGACGGCGGAGAAGGGGGTTCGGGTGAAGGTGGTGGAAGGGGAGATGAAGGAGGCTGCGGGTATGACGGCGGAGACGGGGGGCTAGGCGAGGGTGGTGGAGGAGGGGATGAGGGGGGCTGGGGGCTTGACGGCGGAGAAGGGGGTTCGGGTGAAGGTGGTGGAAGGGGAGATGAAGGAGGCTGCGGGTATGACGGCGGCGACGGGGGGCTAGGCGAGGGTGGTGGAGGAGGTGATGAGGGAGGCTGGGGGCTTGACGGCGGAGACGGGGGGCTAGGCGAGGGTGGTGGAGGAGGGGATGAGGGGGGCTGGGGGCTTGACGGCGGAGACGGGGTGCTAGGCGAGGGTGGTGGAGGAGGGGATGAGGGAGGCTGGGGGCTTGACAGCGGAGACGGGGGGCTAGGCGAAGCTGGTGGAAGGGGAGATGAAGGAGGCTGCGGGTATGACGGCGGAGAAGGGGGTTCGGGTGAAGGTGGTGGAAGGGGGGACGAGGGAGGCTGCGGGTATGACGGCGGAGAAGGGGGTTCGGGCGAAGGAGGTGGAAGGGGAGATGAAGGGGGCTGGGGGTATGACGGCGGCGACGGGGGGCTAGGCGAGGGTGGTGGAGGAGGGGATGAGGGGGGCTGGGGGCTTGACGGCGGAGACGGGGGGCTAGGCGAGGGTGGTGGAGGAGGGGATGAGGGAGGCTGGGGGCTTGACGTTGGAGAAGGGGGTTCGGGTGAAGGTGGTGGAAGGGAAGATGAAGGAGGCTGCGGGCTTGACGGCGGCGACGGGGGGCTAGGCGAGGGTGGTGGAGGAGGGGATGAGGGAGGCTGGGGGCTTGACGGCGGAGAAGGGGGTTCGGGCGAAGGTGGTGGGAGGGGAGATGAAGGGGGCTGGGGGTATGACGGCGGCGACGGGGGGCTAGGCGAGGGTGGTGGAGGAGGGGATGAGGGGGGCTGGGGGCTTGACGGCGGAGACGGGGGGCTAGGCGAGGGTGGTGGAGGAGGGGATGAGGGAGGCTGGGGGCTTGACGGCGGAGAAGGGGGTTCGGGTGAAGGTGGTGGGAGGGGAGATGAAGGGGGCTGGGGGCTTGACGGCGGAGACGGGGGGCTAGGCGAGGGTGGTGGAGGAGGGGATGAGGGAGGCTGGGGGCTTGACGGCGGAGAAGGGGGTTCGGGCGAAGGTGGTGGGAGGGGAGATGAAGGGGGCTGGGGGTATGACGGCGGCGACGGGGGGCTAGGCGAGGGTGGTGGAGGAGGGGATGAGGGGGGCTGGGGGCTTGACGGCGGCGACGGGGGGCTAGGCGAGGGTGGTGGAGGAGGGGATGAGGGAGGCTGGGGGCTTGACGGCGGAGAAGGGGGTTCGGGTGAAGGTGGTGGGAGGGGAGATGAAGGGGGCTGGGGGCTTGACGGCGGAGACGGGGGGCTAGGCGAGGGTGGTGGAGGAGGGGATGAGGGAGGCCGGGGGCTTGATGGCGGAGAAGGGGGTTCGGGCGAAGGTGGTGGGAGGGGAGATGAAGGGGGCTGGGGGTATGACGGCGGCGATGGGGGGCTAGGCGAGGGTGGTGGAGGAGGGGATGAGGGGGGCTGGGGGCTTGACGGCGGAGACGGGGGGCTAGGCGAGGGTGGTGGAGGAGGGGACGAGGGGGGCTGGGGGCTTGACGGCGGAGAAGGGGGTTCGGGTGAAGGTGGTGGACGGGGAGATGAAGAAGGCTGGGGGCTTGACGGCGGAGACGGGGGGCTAGGCGAGGGTGGTGGAGGAGGGGATGAGGGAGGCCGGGGGCTTGATGGCGGAGAAGGGGGTTCGGGTGAAGGTGGTGGGAGGGGAGATGAGGGAGGCTGCGGGTATGACGGCGGAGACGGGGGGCTAGGCGAGGGTGGTGGAGGAGGGGACGAGGGGGGCTGGGGGCTTGATGGCGGAGAAGGGGATTCGGGTTTGGGTGGTGGAAGAGGGGATGAGGGAGGATGGGGGCTTGACGGCGGAGACGGGGGGCTAGGCGAGGGTGGTGGAGGAGGTGATGAGGGAGGCTGGGGGCTTGACGGCGGAGAAGGGGGTTCGGGTGAAGGTGGTGGGAGGGGGGACGAGGGAGGCTGCGGGTATGACGACGGAGACGGGGGGCTAGGCGAGGGTGGTGGAGGAGGGGACGAGGGGGGCTGGGGGCTTGATGGCGGAGAAGGGGGTTCGGGTGAAGGTGGTGGAAGGGGGGACGAGGGAGGCTGGGGGCTTGACGGCGGAGGCGGGGGGCTAGGCGAGGGTGGTGGAGGAGGGGATGAGGGAGGCCGGGGGCTTGATGGCGGAGAAGGGGGTTCGGGTGAAGGTGGTGGGAGGGGGGACGAGGGAGGCTGCGGGTATGACGACGGAGACGGGGGGCTAGGCGAGGGTGGTGGAGGAGGGGACGAGGGGGGCTGGGGGCTTGATGGCGGAGAAGGGGGTTCGGGTGAAGGTGGTGGAAGGGGGGACGAGGGAGGCTGGGGGCTTGACGGCGGAGGCGGGGGGCTAGGCGAGGGTGGTGGAGGAGGGGATGAGGGAGGCCGGGGGCTTGATGGCGGAGAAGGGGGTTCGGGTGAAAGTGGTGGGAGGGGAGATGAGGGAGGCTGCGGGTATGACGGCGGAGACGGGGGGCTAGGCGAGGGCGGTGGAGGAGGGGATGAGGGAGGCCGGGGGCTTGATGGCGGAGAAGGGGGTTCGGGTGAAGGTGGTGGAAGGGGGGACGAGGGGGGCTGGGGGCTTGACGGCGGAGACGGGGGGCTAGGCGAGGGTGGTGGAAGAGGGGATGAGGGAGGCCGGGGGCTTGATGGCGGAGATGGCGGGTCGGGCGAGGGTGGTGGAGCAGGGGACGAGGGAAGATGGGGGCTTGACGGCGGAGAGGGCGGGATGGGCGAAGGTGGTGGGAGAGGGGATGAGGGAGGCTGGGGGCTTGACGGCGGAGACGGCAGGTCGGGCGTGGGTAGTGGAAGAGGGGATGACGGAGGATGGGGGCTTGACGGCGGCGATGGGGGGCTAGGCGAGGGTGGTGGAGGAGGGGACGAGGGAAGATGGGGGCTTGACGGCGGAGAGGGCGGGATGGGCGAAGGTGGTGGGAGAGGGGATGAGGGAGGCTGGGGGCTTGACGGCGGAGATGGCGGGTCGGGCGAGGGTGGTGGAGGAGGGGATGAGGGAGGATGGGGGTTTGCCGGCGGAGATGGCGGGTCGGGCGAGGGTGGTGGAGGAGGGGACGAGGGAAGATGGGGGCTTGACGGCGGAGAGGGCGGGATGGGCGAAGGTGGTGGGAGAGGGGATGAGGGAGGATGGGTGCTTGACGGTGACGAGGGAGGCTTTGGTGAAGGTGGTACGGTGGGTGTTGCTGGCGGATGGGACTGCTGAGACTTGGAAGGAGGCGGCGATGGCTGTGGAGTCGAGGCGTAGGTTGGCAGTTGAGTAACGGCATCAACAAGGAGGGCGCGTTTTCGTACCTCCTGAAGATCATTTCTACCATCATGCAGTAGGACTGTATTACGTGCGAGGGAGGATTGCGTTGGATGTGCAGCAATGTTATCGCTGCTAGGGGGTTGGGTTGCACCTGCAGGCAACGAGTCACCGCGTGTCAGTCTGGTTATCCTTGCTTTGTATTAGCTGAGGCCTGCTACGCTCATACACCTACACTCGTACATACAAAAGAAACCGCACGGCTCACCTGCTGCGAGGCCAATAGTAAGCTCCTGCAAAAGGCGGCCCCACTGCTGGGGCTCCTCACCAGTCATCCAGTCATAACCAAACCATGCGACGGCACCGTTGTTGCCGGCCTTCCTGAAACCCTGGAACACAATGCATGACACACAACCAAGAGCAATTCGGCATCCTTCCTTGGGGTTGCTTTCGGTGTACCTACCTAGGATAGCCGAAACCATACAGGCAGCATCCTCGTACATGCTCGCTCTCCAGCACAAAGGTACTATACCCATGTCTACATCATGACAAGGCGGCGCCGTACACAATGTGTACAGCTTTCCGAGAACCTGTCATGCCATACACGGACCTTGCAGTCGCAGCCCTCACCTGGACGGCCACTATCGTCGTGTCATCTCGTAGGGTATACAAGGGGGCGGTAATGGCATCAGCATCCTCGTGTTGGCACCATGAAGTGTAGGTGGTGGTCCCCAAACTCTCAAGCTCCTTGGGCAAGGTATTAATCGTGTCGAGGAGAAAGCTGTCAGCAAAGGGGCTAAGCGCTACCGGTGACCCACTGGATGCCTCCACCTTGGAAGAACCACACTCCAGCCAAGCACCTGCGGAAAGCCAAAGCGGGGTATACACCAGTGCATCAGTCCACTTGAACCACCAGATTATAGACTGCTTTCTGCAGGTGGGCAGGAGGGCAAAGACTGCACCAGCATGTGCATGCCCCAACCGAACTTAACCCCTTGACCTAGGCCTATGGCTAATTATGTCCACACAGCCGCACAAGGTTATAGCCTGAAACTTGTATGTCCGTGTTAACTCCATTGATTCGAAAATTCCCCTAGCCTCCGTAACCCCAAGAGCCCAAGAGACCTGGTGAAACCTTCGTCATCGACCTTATCCTAACCATAATTTTTGTTATTCAGTTCAGCTGTCGGCTAAGATCAGCTGTCGGCTAAGCACCCATAGCCCTAGAGGCCGAACGGCCGGTGCATGCCTGAATTGTTGGTGAGTATGAGCATTCACGAGATCTAACTCGGAGGGTGGCTAATGAATATGGCATTACTTGTACCTTTATAGCCAAGAATCCTAGCCACGAAGTCGCATTCCGCGGTGGCGTTCGTTGTGCCGATGAGGATGACCACTCCACCGAAAGACACGAATGACGCAGTTGCGCTCACGTCCGTATGGTAAAGCGCTGACCCATACCGGGTAGGGACAACGAAGGCTGCAGCATCAGAGTCAACAGGCTGCCTTGCCGACTCGTCAACCCTAAACCCAGCGCCCAGTAGCTGGCTTATTAGGCCGGGCGGTGCTTTATTGCGATACAAATCATGGTCGCCTTGAGCGTCACTCGAGTAGACGGCAACATTGACCACATGGCCGACTGTCGGGGCGACGATGGCCAGTCCCAGCACCAGAAGCAAGGCGCCCAGGCCCCGGGCTCTCGCTCTGGTGCCTGGCACCAGCATCACTTTTACTGGATATGGGATCAAGGTAAATGTGCCCGTTGACGTAAAAACGAGAAAAAAATGTTGCTGCAGACGACGACGCCCCGAGGCGTATGGCTAGATTTAAACAACAATGTCATTCCCAACACGAGTATCAATTGTTATTCTTTATGTTGCTTGGTTGCGTAAAAGGCCCAACTAGGCATCGTCCCGTGAAGCCTTCCCCGATGGCCATTACTGTACGATAATTGGAAACATGAAGGAAGCACAGCTGGGCTACATAGAGTACAGTCCTGTGTGAGATATGTTTGCATATGAAAATATGCAATGGACGCCAAGCTCTGGAGGCAGGTAGTAGCCATGTCATGCCGAGAAAACCGCCAACTGCTTGGCTGCAAGGCAAAAACTCCAAGCTGCTACCCAGTAAGAAAGAAGGAATACCTGTGTATGTCATCATTTACGATTTAAGCTACCTTCTTTGGACAACTTCGGCAAAGGCATCCAGCAAAGAGCCAGCGCACGCAATAGACAGCTGACGCTTAGGGGGGCACAGAGTCTTAATTATATATTTTTCAACGTAGCGAACTTAACTAAATGCGGGTGGCGAGCGGCGCCTTGCTATTACGGCTATGTAATTAGTAACCACAAACTCGTATGTTCTTAGTTTAGATTTCCAAACAGCTGGCGAGATACAGAACCACGTCCCTTATAACGGAGAAACTGACAGTAAACAAAGGCAGTATTGTTGCATTTCTTATGACAGTACCGTATACGGTATACGGTTGTTCAGCCTGGGCAGTTCTGTTTTCTCAGTTGAGACAAGCCCCGTTAGGAAAACCTGAAGTAAAAATGTAAAAATGTAATGAGTTCGCAGCACCAGCTTGCGGTGCTGCTCCAGTAAGCCAGCCCTCTATGCTCAGTGCTGCTAGATTGGAAGTGAAACTATGTCTGCTACCTTTTCATTCTGCGTACATGGCTGCATTTAAGGGATGGAACACAGCGCGGGAACACATGGCTGGAACATGGGGCTGGAACACGGAGCGAGAACACAGCATGGGAACAGGGGGCTGGAACACAAGCGGCAGTCCGGGCTGGGGCGGTAACATAGGGCGCTGATTATGGGGCTGGAACATAGGACGGGAACTTGGGGCGGGAACACGTAAGGGGCTGGAACGCAGGGTGAGAACACAAAAGCTGGAACGCAACGGCGGGGACACAGTACATAGACGTTTTCAGAGCGAAGGAACGAACGTTGAAAATGGCTGGTTCTTGGTGGAAAGAAGTAACTCGGCTCGACTCGAGGCTCTGCTGCTACTATTGGCCAGTGGTTCAATTTAGAACAACCGCTAACTGTGGAGACGCCGCTGGGTTTTGGCTGTTTTGTAATAGTGATGATTGGCATACAAAAAGTGGGAACACAGGGCGGGAACATGGTGCAGTGCCCCAACGCTGGTTTGGCCAACCAGTGCCACCGGGGTCCGTACTCCCTCCCCACACCCAAACCAGCATGGGGTTGGTTGTCATCAAGGAACCCCGACCACGCCAACACAGGTAAAGCGCAGAAGGAGACCAACATGGCACTACAGCAGGTCACGCCACGGCAGGTACGAAAAGGCATGACGCTCGCACACCATAACCATCCGTCCTCCCCTGGCCGTCCGTCCGAGCCATAATAACCGTCCGTCCACCCCTCTTCAGCAAGTGTTCCGTTGTCTACTGATTATTCCGTCACTGACACCAAAACCCAGCCCACAAGCCCCGATTTTGCACGGCAGCCCCGGCTCTTCAACTCCCACTGGAATCCAGGCCCTCTTGTGCCCCGCCCAGCGCACCACCAGCCGCAAGAGGCGTCACCTTTTCCACACCCTAGAACAGCCCCTTCACCTCCGGCGGCTGTAGCTGCACCGGCCGCATGATCCCCTGGCGTTGCTGAGGTCACAAGCCTCGCAGCTCCGTACAGCCTGCGGCAGGTCGCGCCGCGTGCCCCACCACCAGTGCCCTGCCCGCAGCAACGCCAACACCCGATTAACTCATTTATGTCCAACCTTATGCGCAGCCTCGCGGCCAGAGGCAGACAGGGGCGAGCCCGCGGTGTGTTAGGCGATGGAGGTCGGCAACTACGGCCACCACGAGTGGAAGAAGGAAGGACACCGCATTGTGCTCCTGGATAGCGCCTTGACGGCTGTGGTGGCGGAGGCGGATGACGCCGTCGAGGCTGAAGCGGAATCCCTCTGCACGGACGTTTGGGCGCCTGCAAGCCTGTCATCGAGGCGCTGCAGGCGGGCGGCGCGGCTTCAGGGGGGGATGGGATTGCGGCGGGTGGCTCGCCCCCGCTCCCCCCCCGTCCTCTGCGCCACTCCCCCCTACCTGCTCACTATCACACCACACATTGGATTTCCTCCCACCCCCCCCACCTGCTCGGGTGGCGGTCCGCCGCCCACCGCCCCCACCTCCAGGTTGGCGGTGCGGGGCAGGATCTGCTCGGGGGGGCGCATGCGGGGGAGGGGGAGGGGGGGCAGGACGAGGAGGGGCAGGACGAGGAGGGGCAGGACGAAGAGGGGCAGGACAAAGAGGGGCAGGACGAAGAGGGGCAGGCTGGTGAAGAGGACGAGGAGGGTCGGGTGGGTATAGGGATGGCCAACTGATGCATGCCTGTAGCGGCAAACCACCAACCCGCGAGCTGAACACCCTCCGACCCATGTCGGCCGGGCCAGGCGGGCAGGGGAGGGGAGGGGAACACAGCAGAGGTGGGAAGTAAAGGGGACACCCGCACCTTAATGTCCAGCGCGCCGCTCTTGGTGATGGCCAGCAGCGTGTTGTCCTCCCGCCCGTAGCGCCCGAACCACAGCGCGGTGACGGGGTTGGGCACGGAATGCACACTCACCAGCAGCTCCTCGTTGTACACACGCACCTCGCCTGGGGGGGGAGGGGAAAATTATATAATAAATGCAAACAACTAGAGTCCCAGACCCATAACCCGACTCCGGGAGGGGGGGAGGAAGAATACCCAATGTGTTCACTGTGGGAGGTCAGAGATGCACGTGTGCGGGGGACGGGGGGAGGGGGGCAGGAGGAAGGGCAAGGGGGGTCCAGGGTTATAAAGGGTAAAAAGAAGAAGATGCCGGTAACTAGCCGCGTATGACAAGGCTCCATCATGGAGGCTGCAACATGGGAGGGAAAGGCGTTGTGAACGAATCAGTGGTGACCCGGGGAGCCGAGGGAGAGGAAGGATGTAGGGCGGGGGCGGTGTGGGGGGGAGGGGAGGGCAGGAAGGGAGGTGGAGGAGGGGACACAACCCGTGGAAACCTGCAGACTTCACACTTGGGGCAGCACCCCCGCACCTCCGCACATGGCACTCATCAGCTACTTCACCCCCCACCAAAGGGCCACACCCCACCCCACCCACCCTAGCTCCCACCCTGCCGCCTCCTTCCCCCATTGCTTTCACCTAACCTTTGGTTTCCTATGGTATGGTACCTGGTCTTTGACTCCCATCCCATCCCCACCCCAGCCCCCCACCCCTCCACCCATCTCTGTGGCTCCCTATGGCTTGTCTTTGACCCCCCCCCCACCCCACCATTTGGAATTTCTTTTTTACCCCACCATTCGCCAGCGCCACCAGCAGCGCCTTTGTCCCGCACTGCCCCGCCACCTCCATTCGCTGCATTGCCAGGATGTGCGCGGGCAGGTAGATGGACCAGGACTTGTGGCCGGTGGGCTGGTAGGCGTGGATGACGTCGTTCATGCAGCCCACTGCCACGTGCTTCAGCAGCGGGACCTGGGGGGGGGGAAGGGGGCAGGGGGGAAGGGGAGGGGATTAGTAGGGATACATTTCCCGTATTTGGCTGGATTATAGGATTGCGTACAGTCAAGCGGGGGAGGGAGGGAAGATGCTGGGATTAGAAAGTACAGTTACGCCGAATCATGGGTAAAGCGGAGGGGGAGGAGGAGGAGCCCGTTGCACGCGCCGTTAGTATGAACGATACCGGGGGGAGAATAAGAGAACACACACAGACACCCCGCGCAAACATCACAAGGCCGTGAGCAGCACGCTGCTGCTGTACGGTGTATAACCCACCGTACCCCCCCCCTCCCATGCCTCCACCCACCACCACCCCTCCCCACCCACTGTCTGCCCTTGTCTCACCCTGTCTGCCCCTGTTTCTAACTAGTCCCCCTGTTCCCTGCACCTCCCTATTTAATCCCTCGACCCTGTCCCCATTGCCACTTGCCGTACTTGCATATATCATATTCTCTTCCTTGGCCACTCCCTTCCCTTCCTGCCGCGCCGTTCGGTCCGTAGTTTTCCATACCTACTTTAGTTCACAGGGAGTGTGTCGCTGTTTGTCGCATTCCCATGTGTCGCATGAACAACGTAACTGCCTGGTCCTCCCTTACCCTACCGCTACTTTTGCTCGCATGTACTCCTGCGTGGCTGGTCTCCTTCCATCACGCCGGCCTGCTCTCCCTTCTTCCGGTCGGCGGCTCCATCTTTTCCGTTTCCAGGTAAGTCCACCAGTGCTGCGTTTTTAGTGCGTCTCCAGTTATTTCGGGTCTGTTCTTTGTGTGTGGGGTTGTGTCCTAGTTGGCTCCCTACGGACCGTCGGCGCGGCTGCTGTCTACCTCGATGTACTGGCGACGCTACTTTCTACCTCCCTATCCCTCTTCGCTCTGGCTTCGGTAAGTCTTCATTTTTGGTAAGTGCATTACACGTACTGGCTTCGCTAATTCGGGTTGGGCGGGTCGGGCTGGCTCACATGTTGCAACCCATGTTGACGCCTTATCCCTCAGTCAGTTAGTTGTTTCCTCTTTACTCCCCACCCCGCCCCCCCTTCCCACCCACCAGCCCCACGGGTTGCGCCTCCAGCTGTATGATGGTCTGCGTCAGCTCCCCGTTGCGGATGTGGTACAGCTTGCCGTCGCGACCCGCCACCGTGATGCGGTACTCCACATCCAACTCGCCCTGTGCGGGGACAGGAGAGAAGAGGAGGAGATGACCCATGGGTCGGCATGACGGGTCCAAAGTGGGGCACTGCGGGCAACAACGGGCTGTATAGGTGGTGGGTTTGCACCTCCCCAGCCTCGTCATACAGTTCGTCAGTTTTCCGTATCGTTACCCCACCCCCCCATAGAGCGCACCTGTACGGCAATCATGGCGGGTGTGCTTCCCACCCAGATGTTCTTTACGATTGCGTCGCCAGCCGCGTTGAGGATGAGGATGCGGCCGCTCTCAGTGCCCACCACCAGGCAGCTCACGGCGTCGGGCTGCAGGGGGGAGGGACAAATTAGACCAGACCACATGACATCACAAATGGGCAAGTTGAATCGGGTCTACAAGACAGGAGGGTTGGTGGCCCTTACCGGAACCGAATCCGTCTGCAGGGAGGAGGGAGGCGTGAGGGGAGCGTGAGGGGGCGGGGAGGGGGGGGGGTCGCCAGGGGGAGTGCCGGAGTTGCCTCCCGCCCACGCCTTGCGCCGGTGGTTACACGGTGACGACTGGCTGCTATCTACCTGCACCATCCCACGCACCAACCCTGCACCCATGCAAGGCACAGGCCCACACACACAGGACCCAATGGACTATATTTCACGTGTGGCGTTTCTGTGGGGCCTTCATCTTCCGGTTATCACAGTATGTTCCCACTCACGGTCAGTTTTCTTACCAGCACACAGCTCGTCCAAGTCCCCCAGCCTGTCGCCCATCAGCCCCGTGCACCGGCGCCCTCGGGTTGGTTCCTCTTTGCACCCCGCTCCCCACCCCCCGCCCCTCACATTACTTTCCTCTCCCTGCTGCCTTTTGCCCTCACTTGTGGCTAAGCACCTCCCTCCCCCCTCCCCCATGTCCGCCTTGTTTTATGGCAACCTGCCGCTTTCTATCCCAATTGTTATGCCCCAACCTGTGGTTTCCCCCATATTCAATATGGTTCTTACCCCCCCCTTGCCACCCCTCTGCCCCCACACCTCGTCAATTGCCTGCTTGACCACGTCCATGCACGTGATGACGGTGGTGCGCACCAGCGGCTGACCCTGCCAGTGCTTCACGAACGCCATCTTGGCATCCATGTCGCCGATTTTCATCAGCTGCAGAGAGCGTGTATGAAGCACCTCGCCGGCGTCCTGGGGGGGGCCGGGTGCGGGTGCGGGTGGGGGTGTGAGGGGGTGGGGAGGGTAGGAGGAGACAACTGAGCAGTTGTATAATGGGGCAGGGAGCTGTGGGGTACAAATAAGGGAACTGACGCGGTGTGGGGTTTAAAAACCATGCCAAACCATAGGAACCGAACTATAGGGTGGGGAAGGGGATCTATCATGCCCGGGGTTACACAGCTCGCGGGGATGTAAGGGTTGTGAGAGCGGGGAGGGGGTGTGCGCGAAGGGGGTGTGCGCGGGGTGCGAAATTGATTCCCCCCAAGAGAGCGGGTTGCGGGGTTTACGGGTTACATAAGGAAGGGGCGGGGCGCCATGTCGGGGCCTCCTTTACTCAAGCATGGAACTACTGTAGCGTAGTGAGCGGGCATGTGACACCTCCTCCTTTATTGCCGGTACCCTCCCCTTTCGCCTTGCGCCTTTCCTCCATCATTGTACCCGCTGGGGCCCTCCCCTTCTTTCCATCCCCCTTCTTTGCCTCCCCGCCCCCCCAGCTGTTTCCTTTCCCCCCCCACCGCACCCCGTCGGCGCGGCTGCTGGCTACCTCGATGTACTGGCGACGCTACTTTCTACCTCCCTCTCCCTGTTCGATCTGGCTTCGGTAAGTCTTCATTTTCTGGTAATTGCATTACACGTCTGGCTTCGCTCTTTCGGGCTGGGCGGGTCGGGCTGGCTCACATGTTGCAACCCATGTTGACGCCTTATCCCTCAGTCAGTTAGTTGTTTCCTCTTTACCCCACCGCACCTGCAGCCTGGTCAGCTGCGCCACCGCCTCCCCGATCACAATCTCACCATCCATCACCTTCTGCCTGCAGGGGGGTCAAAGAAGTAGTTAGTGGTAGTAGTACATACCAGGGGTTGCGGGCAGGAGGGCAGCCAAGGGGGGTAGGAGGGAGGTTGGGAGGGAATGGATTCCGCACCGGGCTAACTGGAAAGAAGGGCGGGCGGGAGGGCATGGTAACACAGTTGTTGGGGTAAGGGGTTGGGGAGGGTGTCAAGAGAGGCTGCCGACAGAGGCTCCCTCGTACAGGGGGCGACGCAGCTGCCACCCGGGGGGGGGCGCGAAGGGTAAGGCGCGCGACTGCTTTCCACCTGCTTGCCCGCTACCAACACTACTGGAGGACTGTTGCACCACCCTATTCGCGGCCCGGCCCAATCCCTCGCCCAGTCCTCCCTGTGTCCATCCCTCCAACTCAAGCAACCCCCCAACACCGCTGGAAAGGCAACCGCATGCTGCATGTTCCTCCTCTATTCCTCCCTCCTTCCCTCCCCTCCCAGCACACGGCCCCTCATGGGAAGAGACCCCCCCACTCAGCTCGCATCGTCAGTCCTTTCCTCTTCTACCCCCGGGCCCCCGCCCTCCCCAGCCACGCACCACACGTCCTGCTCCTCCGTGTTGACGTTCTCCGGGGGCAGCTGGAACCTGTGGCAGGGGCGCAGGTTGCGGTAGATGAAGATGTTGGAGCCTGGGGTGGGTGGGGGGGTGGGGGGGGATACAAAATGGTGATGGGGGTGGGTGGGGTAGATGTACTGAGCCGCAAGGAGTGCTGACCCGGGGGCGGGGGCGGGGGCCACATCAGGGGGCGGTAGGGGTAGGGGGTTCAAGAGGGGAAGCGACCCGGTCCAGGGAGGGGGCGATGGGCGCTGCGTGGGTGTAATGACGGGCAGGGTGTGCAGGGTGTGCACAGGTGTACTGGGAACTGACCCCTAACGTGTAAGGTGCGTTGACCTGCCAGGCGCTGCAAGGTGGGCTTATAGCTCCGGTGTGCGTGCGGGATTGCGGCAGAGGAGTGCCTTCGGAGCTGGTAGGCGGGGGGGCGGGGGGCGCTGGGAGGTGGTGGGGCGCCCTCCCAAACACACACACACCCAGGCCTCAGCCTGCCTGTTGCACCGTGGCTGCTGCAACCCAGCAGCTCTTGGAGCAACCCCTCCTGGGGATCCCCTGTGCTTCCTGTGCCTTCCTGTGCTTCCCGTGTCGCCGTCCATGTGGTGCACGCTCATGAGGGTCCCATGGGTGCGCGCTCAGACCACCAGCGGCACGTGAACTCGCTGCTGCCCTGCCGCACGGAATCCCCTGGAAGCGGCACCAGCAGGGACGCCTGCTTGCAGTCCCCGGCACCTGTGAACCACCCGTTGGCCAACCGACCCCACCCAAGACTCACAGCCCTACCAGTATACGCATGCCTCCCAAACCGCCGCACGCCCATGAACACCACTGCACCACCCCCTCTCCACAGTACCCCTCCCCCGCGGCCCCAAGAAAGCGGGACTCCCCTTACCAGCAGCCACGGCAAGAGCTGGCAGTCGTGGTGCCGTATTTTCGGATATGTAGCTGCAAATTGCGACCGGTGTGTCCAGCAGCAGGAACTCCGAAGCCTTCTGAGTGCCTTTCCATACCTGGGGTCGGTTGGTTTGAGCAGCGGGAGGCCAGGTGAGGCATGGTGGGTACACCAACTGCTCAGCGCCGTTCCCCAGCCCTCACGGCCGTACCTTTAGCTTCCGATCCTCCTCAGCGATAACTAATCGATTGTCCCCGTCGCCAAACAGGTTACAAGTATGCACGCAAGGCGTGCAGGCTGTAATGCCAGCCACAGGGTCGTTGAATGCTTCGAGCCAAATGGACCGAAGAGGTGTGGCCTGCTCCCCATTATGGCCAGAGCTTTTGACTAATCCTCCCAGGCCTAGTTCAGCAGCAGTATAATCGATAGGGTCTACCATAGGGTCCATAGCGAATAGGGGTCCGTTCCCATGTCATAACTAAAGCTTGAAATCCATGTCAAGAATTTCTATCGGGGTCTCAGTGACGTACTATCGGGGTCTCCAAGGGGTGTCACCCCTTTACCTATGATATTGATGTATGGATGTTTCAAATCTTCACGAGAGCGAGGTTAGTTTGCAAGGAAAGGGCTATTACTTTTCCTAACTACATGTGTGTCTTGCTTTTTAAGTTTCCGTCCGAAAGGGATTCAACCGCTCAAAGTCTACTAAGTCTGTGCGACTGCAGGCACGGTGCGAACCGGAAGCAAAAGCTTCACTGAGAATGCGAAAGTTACAAGGAAGACCGGAGCTCCTGAAAGCCTGAAAGCCACTGAGACACTGACTATCATGTACGTCAGGATACGGAACGAGCACTGCGAGGTTAACTCAGTTCCATAATGTCTATTAGCACCCCTATCCTTCGTGAACTCCTCCACTACGTTTTAGGAAATGTGGCACGGCGTCTTGCACTCAGTTTTCTAACGGCTTGCGGTGTTGATGGCAGTTCAGGAGGCAAGCGGCCATGCGATGCCCCTCCTGTGGTTTGAAGCTGAAATGTAAGGGGCCATTCACATTGAGGCTGAAATAGGTGAGGCTGTAACCGAAAGTGAATACAATATTCAATTCCGCCTCATTCACATTGAGGCCAATATACTGACGGCAATTTAGTATTCGCCTCACTACCTCTACTTTCAGAACTAGAGAATCGAAGCTGAAACTCAAATACTTGCAATAGAGTAAAATATTCACCCAGACGGCTCGCAAAGTAGTTCACAGACCCAAACCAGTTCGCAACGCTATAGATCCCCGATAAATACGCTACCGCATACACCTATTTATTTGACAATCCTACAAGCTTTTCGCGGTTCGCGGCGCCCTCATGAGCAGCCTTTTTGACTATGACGATGACCTAAACTAAGGCAACCTGAGCCCCAGCTTAGGTATGCGGTTGACAGTAATGAAAGCTACCAGCCTAGCGAAGATGGGAACCATGACAGTGAGGAGCTAGGCATTTTGCCGTTGGTGACGGACCCTGCTGAGCGAACTAAGTTTGCTTCCGCAGCTGCTCAAGCAACACCAGTTACAATCCTACTATCTTAAACTTGGCTTGCGCTCGCAACCCGTCAACTTTATGGCTAGTCGGTAAAAGCCTCTCTTTCTTTGCAAAGTTCCCAATGTGAATGAAACCTGAGGCCGAAACAGGTTTGCGCCTCATGCGGCTTCACTGAATATGAATGAATGATCGTTACAATGGTGCCCTAAAAGGGAATATAATACTCAAAATCCTAATGTGAATACCGCCTAAGCATAGGTTACTTCCGGTGCTATATCGACTTTGGAGGGGCAAAGTAATGCAGGGGGGCTGCTGGGCACAGATGCTAATCAGCAATACGCGCATCGTGACTTGTCGGCCTTCAAATGCACTTATGCCCTGCGTCCCTTGCCCCTTACACCTCAACACCTCTACGACAGTCTTTAGCCATTCCTCCGCCTCCTCCCCGTCTAAATTGCCCGCCTGTCTCAAGGCTGTGGAGTGCGTTATGCTGCTAACACCGTAATCGCATGTACTCTAAGCTGTCAGGGCTCTACCCCTCCCTCGTTCTCCATTCCAACCTGTTGTCCTTGTCATGACACAGCGCGTGCTTGTCATATCGTGTGGCTTAGAGTTGCCGTACGTGCTCGTCCAACCGTGTCTCACGTATGCGATTTGTGGTCTATCTAGAGGATGTGATGATAGTGCCATTGCTTGAGTAAACGCTGGAAGTTGCGTGACTAGTGTGAGCGCTTGGCCATGGACATGATGTCATGCTTGCTGTGCGACTTGTCATTAGAAGAGACGCTATTTACCGCGATGTTTACATCTTGCTATTGTCTGTTGATTTGTCTATGATATCCTAACTACAGGGGAGGTAGGATATTTACGTGAGCTTTGCCGTACCGTATCGGCATGCTGGCAAGGGTGCGGAGACTCTCGGTGGAGTCACCTTTGCCAGCGCAGCTAGCGGAGAAGACTGAACTTCTTGCGTGTCTTTTGGCCGCCTAAAAGCGCCACTGATATCGCTGTGCGTGTAAAAGGACATTACAACCAATTGGCATCCACTCTCTAGTGTTTCCTCTCTACCCTCGCGCGGGAGCCTGGACAAGCACCCAGGACTACTCCCGTACTCCCAACCCACTCTGGCAAAGGTGAGTTCGGCGCGCGGACGGAGCGACTCCGAAGGGATTGGCTTGCATTGCTGCTGAGAGCACCTGCAGGCAATCCTGAGTCGACCGGCGCATGCCCACGTCCCGAGACGGGCGTGAAGATACGGTAGAGAGCCCACGTAGAGAAGAAGCCACAGGCGGCAGAGTTTCCGGAACCCCGCCGCCCATCCCATTAGCTGAACCTGTTTACCCGGAAGCTTCCGACGCGCGGACAACACGTGCTCTTGCTAGGGCCAACAGTAGAGTTACTGCCTTGCTAGAAGAGGAAGCCTTGCGTGAGGTCCGCCGACAGAAACGCACAGACCGGAGCCGTTCCGCATCTGAGACAGGAGATTCATCTGCCCCGGTTGTTGCCAACGCTCCGTGTGCAGGGACCGAAGAGCAAGGTCAAGACGCTGGTCCGAGCGCTGAACGTGACGCGTCGGACAACGTCGAGACTCGCCTCTCAGGTCCACCGGTAAGTGACCTCAGCCAGCGTATTGGGTCTGGGCCCTCAGGGTCAGGCCAACGTCTCAGCCAGGTCGCCTCAGGAGAGGTTTTAGTGGTCCCAGGAGGGATGTTAGGAGCCCCAGGAGGGGACTTAGGCACAGCATCCCCAAGAGGGGCAGCCACAGCATCCCCAGGAGGGGCAGCCGCCGCAGCGCCAGCAGAGGCCTCGGCTCAAGGGACCTCAGGAGAGGTTGCTGGAGCAGCGGTCGCACCACCACCTCGCAATCCAATCATGTCGGAGCAACACTGGTGGCCGAGCTTTGTCCAGAGGACCGTGGAGAACTTCCCGCGGTTCGACGGCAAGCCCCAGAGTTGGCTGGCGTTCAAACGGGATGCCACGGCCGCCCTGGAGCTCGCGCAGGCAGCTCTGTCCACCCAGTGGCCCCAGCGACAAGTGGACCTCTACACGGTTGTTGCGCCCCGGATAGGCATGCTCAGAACCACCAGCGGGGCCCCAGACCTGAACTCGCCCGTCGCCACGTGGATGGATCAGCAGAAGGAAAACATCCGGCAGCAACACCAGGAAGGGTACACGTTGCTGGGCAGCGCCATCACCTACACAGGTAGGGCAGGGCTACACCACCGCAGCTGGGACCAAGGTCCCCGTGTTGTTGTGGTTCATGCTTGCCAAACTGGAGGCCCGTTTCCGCACGATGGATGTAGCAGCCGTTGATGAGCTTGAGAAGTTCAGGTTCCAGAAGGGGGAGGCGCCCCAGGAGGCGTACGACCGCTTCATCACCCTGAAGGAGCGCGCCCCAGCGGGCCGGTACACAGATCACACGTTCGGGCAGTTCTTCCTCAAGGGGATCTCGGACGACGAGATGGCTCGCTTCGTGAAGGGGGAGCTCCTGCGCAGCAACACGACACTGTATGACGTGCTGCGCATCATGGAGTTAGCGCAGGCCTACCACAACTTCCCGGACCACCACGTGCGCTCCCAGCCCAAGCCCAGCGTGTCAGCCGCCACCACCACGGTGGAGGAACTGGCCCGCCAACTGAGCCAGCTCCGGCAGCAGATGGCCCAGTACCAGTCGATGGGCGTCACCGGCAACGCCAGCAGCGGTGGGGGGGTCAGGGGGGGGGCGCAGCGGGATGCTGGCCACTCCTCCAGGCACCACCAGCGTGGGTTCGACAGGGGGGATGACACCGCCAGCGTCAGCTCCCGACTGCCATGGCAGAACCGTGATGGGGGCGGTGGCCACCGTGACGGCGCGGGGGGTCGCAGGCAGCCCCAGGAGCAGTCCGGCAACCTGCGCTTGTTCAGCAACTGGCGGGAGGAGATGAAGAGGCGCTTCCCCGACGCACCAAAGGGCCAGGGGCCCTGCACGGTGCCGGGCTGCCCCTTTCCAGCCCACCATGGCGCCGAAGTACTGTCGAGCCTCCGTCGCAACAGCATGTGATACGTCATGACATCCTTCTGTCCTCACTCCCACGTCCCTGCCGTTGTGACCCGGCTCTTACGCTATGTTTCACAGCCCCAGTCAGCCAATCCTTCCAGAACAACTCCACCTTGCGCCCGGTCCCCTCTTCCACTCGCTTCCATGTCACGCCATAGCATGTGCACCGTCATACTTTGTGATGCCAGCGGTTTTGGCTTGTTAGTTGGGTAGATTTGGTTAAGATGCGGATCTTTTAGCTGGACTGGTTCTACACAGTTCTGCCATATTGTCGTACCTTTGGCAGTAGATAAGAGTGCAGACAACGCGTGTTGCGTTGTCTCCGTTGATCTCAAAGATCATACATTGCCCGTTCCCTGCCATCGACAACTGCTTCTTCGCCTACCTGTCGACGTCTACTACGCCAACACGTCCGCTTTGCGTCTTTTGGTGGCGTTATCATTACTCATATGCCATTGCGTGCGTGTTCATTCCATGTTAGGGTGTGACATCCATCACCCTTCCACTGCCTGCATGGCGTTACCTTCAACGTACTCCCGATTCCACCCTTACCCGTCCAGCTGACAGTCCCACCCTTAGTATGCCCAGCCTCTCGGGTCCAGGCCACACCATGCAGCATGACCCCCCTACTTCTCTCGTGCACTCTTCCCGCGTACTGGTCATTACTGGACACGTTGTGCACCGTCATCTCCCGAAGACGGACGACGGTGGCATTGGCAGCGGGCTGTCGTTCTATGGATCAACGATGGCGAGCTTTTTCCTGTGTAGGTAAACCTCCCCTATGGGTCTGACTGATACCCGACAACCCGAGACATGTATCCAAGATAGCTGGAAGGTAACGACGTGTGCGGTTGAAGTCCCATGGTGATGGGATGGATGTGGGAGTTGGTGTTGCGCTCACAACATCACAAGCTTCCAAGCGGCAACACTCAGCGGGATGAACCGTTGCCCACGTGTGGAGTGAGCCTACATCCTCCTTTCGACAAGGCATGCACAGTTACCCGCAGGTTGTAGGCTTGTCCGCAGCAGACATGCATCACAGCTGTTGCTACAGCCGACATGCGACTTTCAGTTGTGGCCAGCAGCTCGGACACAGGCGACTGGTCCACGGCGGTGTTGAGATGGCGCTGCCACGGCCCCATGTAACAGCTACCTTCAGCTGTCTGATGTACCGGCCACCAACCCGCACCTCAGGGAGGGCGGCCGCCTCAAGGTCCCAGAGCCGAATCTTCTCGTTCCAGGGCGACCACGGCACCAGGTCATCGTCGTCCTGAGGTGGCAACGGTGCAGCTGCCAGCAGCGGCGGCGACGGCTGCAGCTCCCCGGCGGTAGGCACCGGCGTCGGCGTGGCGGTGACACGGCGGCGGCGTGGCGGTGAGCGGCATTGGCGGCAGTGCCAGGGCATCGGCAACAGGCGTCGGCGGCAGTGCCACGGCGTCGGCAACAGGCATCGGCGGCAGTGCCACGGCGTCGGCGACAGGCGTCGGCGGCAGTGCCACGGCGGCGACAACAGGCGATCACTTTAGCAAAGCACTCTGCACTGCCGCGACCCAACCGAACCGCGGGACATACCCGTGAGCCCACAAACTGCACGAGCCAACGATGGGGCACAACAATGGGGCGGGAACATGGGGCGAGAACACAGGGATCGCAGTGCAGGAACACAGGGGGGTCGGGAACAGGGGTGGGAACAAATTGGTTCATTTGGTGGGCTTGAGGCTTGATGAGTCGACGGACCAGTATAACCGTATGTACTATCCACGCAACGTGTTACCATGCTGTACGCGTATATACCGCGCAATGCGCACCTCTCCCATATACTCACCTCCCTCCACTCTTGCCAACCTCTTCCACCCTCCTTACCTCCTCCCCCTCTGCTGGACGCCACGGCATCACTATTTGGCCGGAGTCTAGGTGGATGTATGTGGTATGCAGCCGTAGCCAGCGTTGTGTTAGGCTGCAACGAATTGGATTTTGCACAACCTTATTACAACATGCGTGGGACAGGGTAGACGCGCCTATCTTACGCACATTGGTAAAACACACGGGCGTTGACCTCACACAACCCTTATACCGACTGAGGACATACGGATATCCCTCCTTGGCCCAAAAATACGGAGGAGGACGCCCCGGCTGGGGGAGCCCGCAACAAATAATCAATACGAGGCATTGCATTAACAGCATGCACAAGCAAGCGGCATTGATACTAAGAACACGCACGGTTCACATGACGTGGCCAAGCTTGCCATTCCATGCACCTGGACATCACGATCACGATCACGATCACTCACGATCTCTGAACAGACCGGTCCTCAAGCTGCGTCAGAGTATGGGAGCCGTTACATTAGCCTAGCTTGGCTCTCGTTGAGTTTTGCCATTTGTCGTACATCGCCGCCGTACATCCTATTTGGGTAAATGCCCACTTCTGTTCTGTTGTCAGTATTCCATAAAGGCGGACGTTGGGTTTCAAGGCCCTTTACTGCGGACTTACGTCACAGAGTACATAATCAGCCAGTAATGCTAGCCAGTGCCTCATGTAACGCACGTATCAATAGCAAGGTGTTGCCCCGAACTTGATACACAAACTGTGTGTTTGACAAAACCGAGTGGTGAGCTACAGCTAGTCATTGGGCATTTCGCCGCTTACAGGCAGCCTGCACTTGTCCTACAAGATAGATAGAGGGACAACGATTCAAACCACACAAAAACCACACATAAAGCCTGCGAGTTCCACCAGCAGGAAAACATGGTGCACGCAAAGCATTTCTACAGTGCTAGCTTGATTGCGGTGAGATATTACTTCTTCTTCATCGCGTAATTGTAGGGCTCCACGCTCTTCGGGTACAACACACGACCGGTAAACTTGACATACTCAACGAATGGGCCGTAGTTGTAGCTGGCTTTGGCAGGCCTCTGGGTGGAAATGATGATGCCGCCAATCGCCGTCTTCACGAGAGGCGCCGGCATGTTCTCTTGGCTTCCGGAGCGTGGCACTGCCAGATTAATGCCGCTCTTCTTGGGGCCGATGGAGATGGGAAGAATTGATTGGCACGCCCCGCCCACCTCCGTGGTGTTGTAAATCACCCGGCCCGGGATGGTGCTAACGTTGCCGCTGGGAGAGTACACCCAGTTAAGAAGTTGGACCTGTATGTGATATTGTGGGTGGCGACAGTGACGTGGCTTGCTTAGGGTACTGGAAAGGTATGACATTGGACCATTGCAAAGATCAGCAGATCAGCGGTGTAAAGCACGAACCTAACATTTACGCCAGAATGCGAGCCTGGCAAGTCAGCTAGACAAAAAACGCCAGCAGCAAGGAGGGCATGTGCCGCACGTACCTTGGCAATGCCAGCATTTTTTATTTCCTTGATGTAAACCTTTGAGATCTGCATCGGCTCAGCAAAGTAGAGGACGAAGCTGCTGTTGACGGGGGTTGACTTCCACGACTCGGAACACGGACGGCAAGCAACAGGGCACGGGGTCTTATTCACGTCGATCTGTGGGGACGGGTGCAGGGGCGGACGGAAGGGTCAGGTCTGCAAGTAAGACTCAAAGCTACAAAGCCCCTAAAAACCTGGAACTCTAAAGCAGGTTGTGGAGGTGTTCCTGGCATAACATCCAACTAACTAGGTGCACGGATGCCTGAGGCCGGACTTACCAGTTGCAGGGCTATATACGGTTTGAGCTGCTTTGCGAACTCAGGGGTGCCGTACCAGACCAACTTCCTGCAAGGATAAAAGGGTGCGTAGTTTCAAGACGGGTCGATTAACGCTCTTCCGCCAAAGTCTTTAGGATGCAGATCCCGAAGGACAAAGCAACCTTAACACCTTGGTCAGTACGCACGGTGGCATCGGCCGGGTTTTTTTCTTAATGGGTGGGTTTCCCAAGCCCTGGTGGTTCATGCGCACTTACCCGTTCTTGCCATAGGTTCCCTGAGCAGACATGTTTAGGACCTTGACAAAGGTGGGCGGCTTAACCGGAGGCGGTGGTGATGGGGAAGACGGAGACGACGGGTTTTCAGGCGCCAGAGGAGCGCCAGGCGGCGGTGGCGGGCGAGGTGGGCGGGGCGAAGGCGGTGGTGGGGGTGGCGGCGAGGGCGGGGTCGGAGGGCCGGGGGGACGAGGGGGCCGAGGAGGTCTAGGCGAAGGGGGAGGAGACGGGGGCAGACCCGGCGGGCTGGGAGGAACCGGCGGTGGTGGGGAGGGTGGTGGCAGGAAATGGTCCAGAGCGCTCTCCGCACCTGCGGGACAGTATATAGGATGGTTAGGAGAGCGTGCACAAGCATGTTGGGCAGTAGGGTAAAGAGGAAACAACTAACTGACTGAGGGATAAGGCGTCAACATGGGTGTAGTAGGGTAGGTAGGCTCTTGCAGGAGAAGGTATACAACATAAAACCCTTCATGCAGGGTTCAATTGGTGTTAAGTCGACTCAGGTAGGGTGAGGACAGTGAGGCACTGCGGGCACTTAACAGTCGACAGGGCATCGGGCTGTAATCCACCGCAAGAAAGCGAAGCACGGCGGGCAATGACCACCGACTCACCAGTAGCAGCAGCTAAAGCGGTGAGGTTCACCGGAGGCGGACGTGGTGGAATGTTCGGGCGGGTTGGAGGGCGGTTCGGTGAATTCGGTGGCGCCTTCTTGCCGGGGCTCATCGGCGGTGAGGGCGGTGGTGAGGGAGGCAGCGACACCTCAATCGTCAGGCGGACGAGGAAAGCAATCGCAGGCGCAGCAGAGGTAGAGGTCGCCAGCACTCGACGGTATTCCTCAATTGCCGCCGGCTCATCCATCTTAGCCTGTTATTCCGCAAGCATCCAGGAATGAACATGGTCAAATGCTGTAGTCTCCGAAGTTCAATCCGGATCAACGAGAATATCAATGCAAACTAAACCAAGAATATAAGAGAAAGCTAAATCGGCATCAATTCAAACTCATCAATCTAATCCCTTTTGGGAATGGAACACACGACTCTCTCGCAGCAGGAAAGTGTGGACCACACCTGATGACCACATATGGGTGCATGACGGCGGGTTTTGTACGTACCCGCGTACTATCTACCTATCGTGCGTTGCCTGTCATTTATCCTAAGTACCAACAAGCAAGGCGGCAGCCCTCGTCCGTCTGTACCTGCACTTCTCGCTCCAGGTCGTACGGCGTTGTGCTGACGATGTAGGCGTCCTGCAGCTGCAGCTGGGACTTGAGCTGGGTCACCCGGTTGGCAGATGTAACGTCCAGGTCAACCAGGCTGCGGCGGCGAGCGGTCTTGCCGTCGTACATGGCCACGACGTTGTCTGGCGTGGTGCCCTGAGGACAGCAAAAAGAGCAGGGTTGAACGTCATGAAGAGCAGGGTTGAACGTCATGTCAACTGGTTGAACAGCATACAAGGAAACGTGAGCGCAGGCAATAGAAAGGGGAAATGAGAAGGCAGCAAGTGCATGGTTGGAACTCACATACGCGTCAGCAACTGTCTTCTTGCTACCAGCCACGTACGCATCAACTCCGCCAGCCTTCTCAATGGCAGCAGTAGAGGGAACAACGGTGAGGTGCTCCTGGACCTCCGCCAGACCAGGGGGCAGCGGGGGCGGGCTGGGAGGCGGTGAGGGCGGCGAAGGAAAGGGGCTGGGTGGAGGAGGAGGAGATGGCGCTAGGGGCGGCAAACCCGGTGCATTTGGTTCCGCTGGCGGGGGCGGGCGGGGAGATGGTGGGGGGTTAGGGGACTCTGGTGGCAGGTTGGGTGGCAGTGGGTTGGGAGGTGGTGGCTTTGGACGGCGAGGGGGCCTGGGCATCCCTGGTGGTGCGGGCGAAGGAGGCGAGGGAGGGTCCGGGGGCGGAGATGGAGACCGGCCTCCAGGGGGATCTGGAGATGGTGGTGGCGGTGATGGTGGCTCGGGAGATGGCTCCGGTGACGGCAGCAACGGGGATGGAATTGACGGAGGTGACGGGGAAGGTGGTGGAGGCGATGGAGGTGGTGGAGACGGAGGTGACGGGGAAGGTGGTGGAGGCGATGGAGGTGGTGGAGACGGAGGTGACGGGGAAGGTGGTTGAGGCGATGGAGGGGGCGGGGATGGAGGTGATGGGGAAGGTGGTTGAGGCGATGGAGGGGGCGGGGATGGAGGTGATGGGGAGGGTGGCGGGGGAGATGGAGGGGGCGGGAATGGAGTTGACGGGGAAGGTGGTGGAGGCGATGGAGGGGGCGGGGATGGAGGTGACGGGGAAGGTGGCGGGGGAGATGGATGGGGCGGGGATGGAGGTGACGGGGAAGGTGGTGGAGGCGATGGAGGGGGCGGGGATGGAGGTGACGGGGAAGGTAGCGGAGGCGATGGAGGGGGCGGAGATGGAGGTGACGGGGAAGGTGGCGGAGGAGATGGAGGGGGCTGTGATGTAGGTGACGGGGAAGGTGGTGGAGGCGATGGAGGGGGCGGAGATGAGGACGAAGGGAATGGAGGTGGCGGAGTACCCAGTACAGGAGGTTGTGGAGGTGATGGACGCAGCGGGGGCGACGGAGGAGGCAAGGCTGGGGGCGATGGCGGAAGCAATGCGGGGGGTGATGGTGGAGGCAAGGCCGCGGGCGATGGCGGAGGCAAGGCCGGGGGCGAGGGTGGAGGCAAGGCTGGGGGAGATGGCGGAGGCAAGGCGGGGGGCGATGGCGGAGGCAAGGCCGGGGGCGATGGCGGAGGCAAGGTTGGGGGTGATGGTGGAGGCAAGGCCGCTGGCGATGGAGGAGGCAAGGCTGGGGGAGATGGAGGAGGCAAGGCGGGGGGCGATGGTGGAGGCAAGGGCGGGGGCGATGGTGGAGGCAAGGCGGGGGGAGATGGAGGAGGCAAGGCCGGGGGCGATGGAGGAGGCAAGGCTGGGGGAGATGGAGGAGGCAAGGCGGGGGGCGATGGTGGAGGCAAGGGCGGGGGAGATGGTGGAGGCAAGGCCGGGGGCGATGGAGGAGGCAAGGCAGGGGGTGATGGCGGTGGCAAGGCTGGGGGCGATGGAGGTGGTAAGGCGGGTGGCGATGGAGGAGGCAAGGCCGGGGGCGATGGAGGTGGTAAGGCGGGGGGCGATGGAGGAGGCAAGGCCGGGGGCGAGGGTGGAGGCAAGGCTGGGGGAGATGGAGGAGGCAAGGCAGGGGGTGATGGCGGTGGCAAGGCAGGGGGCGATGGTGGAGGCAAGGCGGGGGGCGATGGAGGAGGCAAGGCGGGGGGCGATGGAGGTGGTAAGGCGGGTGGCGATGGAGGAGGCAAGGCCGTGGGCGATGGCGGAGGCAAGGCCGGGGGCGATGGAGGAGGCAAGGCCGGGGGCGAGGGTGGAGGCAAGGCTGGGGGAGATGGAGGAGGCAAGGCCGGGGGCGATGGCGGAGGCAAGGCCGGGGGCGATGGTGGAGGCAAGGGCGGGGGCGATGGTGGAGGCAAGGCGGGGGGAGATGGAGGAGGCAAGGCTGGGGGCGATGGAGGAGGCAAGGCCGGGGGCGATGGAGGAGGCAAGGCTGGGGGAGATGGAGGAGGCAAGGCGGGGGGCGATGGTGGAGGCAAGGCGGGGGGCGATGGAGGAGGCAAGGCTGGGGGCGATGGAGGAGGCAAGGCCGGGGGCGATGGAGGAGGCAAGGCTGGGGGCGATGGAGGAGGCAAGGCGGGGGGCGATGGTGGAGGCAAGGCAGGGGGCGATGGAGGAGGCAAGGCTGGGGGCGATGGAGGAGGCAAGGCTGGGGGAGATGGAGGAGGCAAGGCGGGGGGCGATGGTGGAGGCAAGGCCGGGGGAGACGGTGCAGGCAAGGCGGGGGGCGATGGTGGAGGCAAGGCGGGTGGCGATGGAGGAGGCAAGGCCGGGGGCGATGGAGGTGGTAAGGCGGGTGGCGATGGAGAAGGCAAGGCCGGGGGCGATGGAGGTGGTAAGGCGGGTGGCGATGGAGGAGGCAAGGCCGGGGGCGAGGGTGGAGGAAAGGCAGGGGGTGATGGCGGTGGCAAGGCAGGGGGCGATGGTGGAGGCAAGGCGGGTGGCGATGGAGGAGGCAAGGCCGGGGGCGATGGAGGTGGTAAGGCGGGTGGCGATGGAGGAGGCAAGGCCGGGGGCGATGGAGGTGGTAAGGCGGGTGGCGATGGAGGAGGCAAGGCCGGGGGCGAGGGTGGAGGCAAGGCTGGGGGAGATGGAGGAGGCAAGGCAGGGGGCGATGGCGGAGGCAAGGCCGGGGGCGATGGAGGAGGCAAGGCTGGGGGAGATGGAGGAGGCAAGGCTGGGGGAGATGGAGGAGGCAAGGCGGGGGGCGATGGTGGAGGCAAGGCCGGGGGAGACGGTGGAGGCAAGGCGGGTGGCGATGGAGGAGGCAAGGCCGGGGGCGATGGAGGTGGTAAGGCGGGTGGCGATGGAGGAGGCATGGCCGGGGGCGAGGGTGGAGGCAAGGCTGGGGGAGATGGAGGAGGCAAGGCAGGGGGCGATGGCAAGGCTGAGGGCGATGGAGGAGGCAAGGCTGGGGGAGATGGAGGAGGCAAGGCAGGGGATGATGGCGGTGGCAAGGCAGGGGGCGATGGTGGAGGCAAGGCGGGGGGCGATGGAGGAGGCAAGGTGGGGGGCGATGGAGGTGGTAAGGCGGGTGGCGATGAAGGAGGCAAGGCCGGGGGCGATGGAGGTGGTAAGGCGGGTGGCGATGGAGGAGGCAAGGCCGGGGGCGATGGAGGTGGTAAGGCGGGTGGCGATGGAGGAGGCAAGGCCGGGGGCGATGGAGGTGGTAAGGCCGGGGGCGATGGAGGAGGCAAGGCCGGGGGCGAGGGTGGAGGCAAGGCTGGGGGTGATGGCGGAGGCAAGGCGGGGGGCGATGGAGGAGGCAAGGCTGGGGGAGATGGAGGAGGAAAGGCAGGGGGTGATGGCGGTGGCAAGGCAGGGGGCGATGGTGGAGGCAAGGCGGGTGGCGATGGAGGAGGCAAGGCCGGGGGCGATGGAGGTGGTAAGGCGGGTGGCGATGGAGGAGGCAAGGCCGGGGGCGAGGGTGGAGGCAAGGCTGGGGGAGATGGAGGAGGCAAGGCAGGGGGCGATGGCGGAGGCAAGGCCGGGGGCGATGGTGGAGGCAAGGTGGGGGGCGATGGAGGTGGTAAGGCGGGGGGCGATGGAGGAGGCAAGGCCGGGGGCGATGGAGGTGGTAAGGCGGGTGGCGATGGAGGAGGCAAGGCCGGGGGCGATGGAGGTGGTAAGGCGGGTGGCGATGGAGGAGGCAAGGCCGGGGGCGAGGGTGGAGGCAAGGCTGGGGGTGATGGCGGAGGCAAGGCGGGGGGCGATGGAGGAGGCAAGGCTGGGGGAGATGGAGGAGGAAAGGCAGGGGGTGATGGCGGTGGCAAGGCAGGGGGCGATGGTGGAGGCAAGGCGGGTGGCGATGGAGGAGGAAAGGCAGGGGGCGATGGAGGTGGTAAGGCGGGTGGCGATGGAGGAGGCAAGGCCGGGGGCGATGGAGGTGGTAGGGCGGGTGGCGATGGAGGAGGCAAGGCCGGGGGCGAGGGTGGAGGCAAGGCTGGGGGAGATGGAGGAGGCAAGGCAGGGGGCGATGGCGGAGGCAAGGCCGGGGGCGTTGGAGGTGGTAAGGAGGGTGGCGATGGAGGAGGCAAGGCCGGGGGCGATGGAGGTGGTAAGGCGGGTGGCGATGGAGGAGGCAAGGCCGGGGGCGAGGGTGGAGGCAAGGCTGGGGGCGAGGGTGGAGGCAAGGCTGGGGGAGATGGAGGAGGCAAGGCAGGGGGCGATGGCGGAGGCAAGGCTGGGGGAGATGGAGGAGGCAAGGCAGGGGGTGATGGCGGTGGCAAGGCCGGGGGCGATGGAGGTGGTAAGGCGGGTGGCGATGGAGGAGGCAAGGCCGGGGGCGATGGAGGTGGTAAGGCGGGTGGCGATGGAGGAGGCAAGGCCGGGGGCGAGGGTGGAGGCAAGGCCGGGGGAGATGGAGGAGGCAAGGCCGGGGGCGATGGCGGAGGCAAGGCAGGGGGCGATGGAGGAGGCAAGGCTGGGGGAGATGGAGGAGGCAAGGCAGGGGGTGATGGCGGTGGCAAGGCAGGGGGCGATGGTGGAGGCAAGGCGGGGGGCGATGGAGGAGGCAAGTCGGGGGGCGATGGAGGTGGTAAGGAGGGTGGCGATGGAGGAGGCAAGGCCGGGGGCGATGGAGGAGGCAAGGCCGGGGGCGAGGGTGGAGGCAAGGCTGGGGGAGATGGAGGAGGCAAGGCAGGGGGTGATGGCGGAGGCAAGGCTGGGGGCGATGGAGGAGGCAAGGCTGGGGGAGATGGAGGAGGCAAGGCAGGGGGTGATGGCGGTGGCAAGGCTGGGGGCGATGGAGGAGGCAAGGCAGGGGGCGTTGGCGGGGGTGAAGGCGGTGGTGAAGGTGGTGGCGAGGGCGGTGGTGTGGGCGGCAGTGAGGGCGGTGGTGAGGGTGGTGGTGAGGGTGCTGGTGAGGGCGGTGGCGAGGGCGGTGGCAAGGGCGGTGGCGAGGGTGGTGGCGATGGCGGGGGCGATGGCGGAGGCAAGGCAGGGGGCAATGGCGGAGGCAAGGCCGGGGGTGATGGTGGAGGCATGGTGGGTGGCGATGGAGGAGGCAAGGCCGGGGGCGAGGGTGGAGGCAAGGCTGGGGGAGATGGAGGAGGCAAGGCCGGGGGCGATGGTGGAGGCAAGGCCGGGGGTGATGGTGGAGGCAACGCGGGGGGCGATGGTGGAGGCAAGGCTGGGGGAGATGGCGGTGGCAAGGCGGGGGGTGATGGCGGAGGGAAGGCCGGGGGAAACGGAGGAGGCAAGGCCGGGGGCGATGGTGGAGGCAAGGCGGGGGGCGATGGAGGAGGCAAGGCTGGGGGAGATGGCGGTGGCAAGGCGGGGGGTGATGGCGGAGGGAAGGCCGGGGGCGAAGGAGGAGGCAAGGCTGGGGGAGATGGAGGAGGCAAGGCGGGGGGTGATGGTGGAGGCAAGGCCGGGGGCGATGGAGGTGGTAAGGCGGGTGGCGATGGTGGAGGGAAGGCCGGGGGCGAGGGTGGAGGCAAGGATGGGGGCGTTGGCAGGGGTGAAGGCGGTGGTGAAGGTGGTGGCGAGGGCGGTGGTGTGGGCGGCGGTGAGGGCGGTGGTGAGGGTGGTGGTGAGGGCGGTGGCGAGGGTGGTGGTGAGGGTGGTTGCGATGGCGGGGGCGAGGGAGGAGGCAAGGCTGGGGGCGATGGCGGAGGCAAGGACGGGGGCGTTGGCGGGGGTGAAGGCGGTGGTGAAGGTGGCGGCGAGGGCGGTGGTGTGGGCGGCGGTGAGGGCGGTGGTGAGGGTGGTAGTGAGGGTGGTGGTGAGGGCGGTGGTGAGGGCGGTGGTGAGGGTGGTGGCGATGGCGGGGGCGAGGGAGGAGGCAAGGCTGGGGGCGATGGCGGAGGCAAGGACGGGGGCGTTGGCGGGGGTGAAGGCGGTGGTGAAGGTGGCGGCAAGGGGGGTGGTGTGGGCGGCGGTGAGGGCGGTGGTGAGGGTGGTGGTAAGGGCGGTGGCGAGGGTGGTGGCGATGGCGGGGGCAAGGGAGGAGGCAATGCTGGGGGCGAGGGTGGAGGCAAGGACGGGGGCGTTGGCGGGGGTGAAGGCGGTGGTGCAGGTGGTGGCGAGGGTGGTGGTGAGGGCGGTGGTGAGGGTGGTGGTAAGGGCGGTGGCAAGGGTGGTGGCGATGGCGGGGGCGATGGCGGGGGTGAAGGCGGTGGTGAAGGTGGTGGCGAGGGCGGTGGTGAAGGCGGTGGTGAGGGTGGTGGTGAGGGCGGTGGTGAGGGCGGTGGTGAGGGCGGTGGTGAGGGGGGTGGTGAGGGCGGTGGTGAGGGCGGTGGCGAGGGTGGTGGTGAGGGCGGTGGTGAGGGTGGTGGTGAGGGCGGTGGCGAGGGTGGTGGTGAGGGCGGTGGGGAGGGTGGTGGCGAGGGCGGTGGTGAGGGCGGTGGCGAGGGTGGTGGTGAGGGCGGGACCACTGTGGCTGCTGGCGGATATGTGAAAGAACCCACATACCCGAACGAGTCCTTAGTGCACGAGGATGGTGTTGCTGATGTTGGTGTCCAGATAGCTGAAGTCTTAAAAACAGCGTTTGAGCTCATGTAGACGGTGAGTGTTATGGTATAGGTGGGGTTTAGCAAGTAAAACTTTGCACAAACATTGTACGCTGCTGCATCAGGAGGTACAGCTAAGGTGTTCCATTGAACAGCCTCATGATTGACGTTTCCATTAGCAGTATTGTCACCCTCATAGGAGCCGCCATGAACGTTTGGATGCTGGTAGTCCACAACGTAGCCTGTGTTAGCGTAACTCCATGCAACGTATATGTCAACGTCGAGTGATCCTGGGTTGGAACCTGTCGGATGGGAAAAAAGGTGTCAAGTAAGTGCATAAGGGAGCTTCCACTGGAATTTAGGGAGCTTTATTGGCAAGGCATTTAGCCGCATCGATTGGAACACCATTCATTATTTGAACAGGCACCAGTACAACCTTCACAAAAATTGCAGATACGTGATTAATGCTACTCACTTCCAGCAGCAGTCCACTCGATGTAAAAGCGGAGCCATGGCATAGCTGGGGGGCTAGGTGGTGGTAGCGGCTGGGGACTAGGTGGGGGACTGAAGGGTGACGGCGGCCATGGAGGTCGTAGTGAAGCCGTTGTGTAGAGGGAGACCGCTTGATTTGTGTCATCCGCATTGCACGCAGCAAACACAAGGGTGCTGCCAGACAGTGACAAGCATTGCCGGTCATCACTTCCAGTGCCGAGGAGGGGCACAGGAACAAACTGGTAGATGGTCCTGCGGGAAACAAGGGACCAAATCAGTGGCCACAGATGATATAGATGGTAAGGACAGCCCATCCAAGAGATAGAGGAAGCAGCATGTCCATCTCATACAACTCTTTAGCTCCGTCAGAACTATGAATGGTAATTAAGCCTGACCATACATCCGGTCCTTAGCAGGCAGGCAGGACAAGGTACCTACCCTGAAGTAGTGTAAGGGTTTTTAAAGAAGCCCATTCGTTGGCTGCTGCTGGTTGTGCAGGTCGCAATCACCAGGGTTCCCCCGCTAAGCGTGAGGCACCTGCCCATGTAGTCCTTCACCAGGTAGACGTAGCCACCACCATTTGCTATAACACCTGTGATACCAGAAGGGATTAAAAAAAGGTTATAGGACCCCATAGTGATGCCTCGCTCTACAGTACTTGGCAAAGAAAACTTGCTGCTCAGCCCAAACAGCTGTTTATTGCCACCGCCCCTTATAACCCGAGTGTAAACAAAATTGCAGCAGTGGACGCTGTTTTCAGCGCGGCTGCCGTACATTTCCTATGCATCCCTGGCTAACCAATGTAAGGTCCTCGTGACTTTCAATCGTCACTGTACTACTGTGCCGTTAAAACAAGCATTAGTTTTATGCAATACTACCAATTTCAATCCCCTATCGATACATGTTTTTATTTATCTTATGGTGAGTCCGTGTATTATTGTGTAAAACTACTTGTCCCTGGAGGACTCCAACCAAAGTAGTGTTAATAGCAATTCCTGATACTACTGCTGCCAGTACAGTGTCATGAAACTGAACAAGGAAGAAGGAACCGAGAACTAATCACAACCACACATACTTATTGTCTGCGCTTATATATGATTGTTGTGGCTGCCCTGCGGCTGGGTGTGAGGGGATTGGCCATCCTGTCACACCTGGTGAACGGGACCCCAGCCACCACCCTTTTTCATTCCTTTGTTGAGTTTCAGGGCATTCCTTTCTGCACGGCATGGACGCCTAAGCCCCAAATGAGCTGCAATGTACATGATCTTAGCCTATGACAATCCTGAGGCTTGCAAGTGTTCAAGTGTTTATCCCTTCTGTGGCAAGAGGAAAGGATGGGGATCAGCGGCGGGGAAGGGGCAGTGGTGTAACGTGACGCGTTACGTATGCCATTCTCTATTAATTAATGTAATCGGTTAGGGCGGTTACCCCGCTGAGAATCGTACATGCCGTACAGCCCGCTACTGGGCGCTCTGTTCTGTTCTGTGCATGTGTCCCGTGAAGGCGGACATAAGGGAGTCAGTGGCCCTTTCACACCTTACTTATTGACTCTACACGATCACGTATCGTTGCATTGGTATTACCAGACTAGATTTTTCCGGGGGCCGCGGGCATTGACTGTTCTGTGTTTGCTTCGACGTGCTCTCTGGACGTTTTACCGTAGGCTTACAGCCTGTTTCAGCTGTTCCTATCATGGACCCTGTCATTGATGCGGCGGTGCCCGCCGCTGGTCCATCGAAGCCAGGATCGTCTAGCAAGGCTATGGCGCCGATTGATTTCTCGGCTCAACGTCGCAAGCAGCTGAAGACGGATGCTCAACTGCTTGAGTATAACTTGATGCACATCGAGAACTATCTCGCTGCGCACCCGGATGAGACCATTGAGACGCCATTGCTGGGCGCGATTTTGCTCTTGGTTCTCAACCCGCCTGAGCTTGCTCTTCGGCTTCACAGTGACCTCAAGGCGCTGGACCCGCCTGTCATGCATTCCGTCCCTTGACTGGCTGGCTGAGTGGTTCCGCATGAACGCGTGCTTGACTGCTGAGACGGCCTACTTCACCACTCTGGACACGTTCCGCAAGTCCAAGCTGGGTGATTTCACGGACGTCTTGCAGCTGGTGCTGCACATCGAGGACCTCAAGCGTGCTCGTTGACCTCCTGGCTGAGATGTGGGTCAACTACGCGCTGGCCCTGAGCCCTGTGAACGTCCGCGCGGCGCTGATGTTCAAGTTCAAGGACAACTCTGCGGTGCCATGGTCTAACTGGCCGGAGTTTGTCGCTGAGTTGTGGTCGCGCGCTCACGAGTTCAAGGTCACCGCTGAGCCGCGCCCGTTCAAGCGTGACAATGGTTCGGCCGCTGCTTCGTCCTCTGGCTACGTCAAGAAGTCCAAGCCCAACGGCGAGGGCAACGCAAAGGACAAGGCTTTCGACCCGGCGTCCATCCCCGTCTCTGCGCGCCTCAAGTCCGTTCCCGAGGGCGCCGAGCCCAAGGCTTACGGCTTGTGGGTCAAGGGCTTGTCGACGCAGCTCAAGGAGCAGTACAAGAAGCACCGCAAGTGCCTCCTGTGCGGCGAGACTGGGCACATCGTCAAGCGCTGCCCCACACAGAACGCGAAGTTCCCGCACAAGTTCTTCTGGTACAAGAAGTAGATGACGAGGCCTGATGCTGCGTTGGACACCAGTGGTCTAGGTCATTCTGGCGCTTTGCGTGCATCGCATGATATCGCCTCCGCATCTGTTCGCATTTCTGAAGCAACATGTTTGCATTGTTCTGATAAGTTACCAAGGGAGACTTCTGTGATTGTTGAGCCTGTGGCTAAGACTTCTGTGCAGCCCAAGGCTAAGACTTCTGTTATGCCTTTGGTGGGCGTCAAACGGCTGCAGTCGCTTATCACTGCTCCGTCTTCGGACTTGTTTTTGGTACGCGTGTCTTGTAACGCTAAGACGAACTCAAGTATGCCTCTGCAAGCTTCTGTGTCACCGGATATGGATACCCATCCCATTCGCAAGTCCGAGTTTGAGTACTTACAGCAGCTTGCCGGTCGGCATTTCACTTGGGATGCTTGTGCTTCTGTCGATGGCTCCAACGCCATGTGTCCAAAATTCAGTTGTTCTGAAAGACAGCTGTGCCGGTCACCATGTCTGGATGCACGCCCCTGCGCATCACATTGAGTCTTTCCTGCAGCATTACCTCCAGTGCAAAGCTTTGGCGCCTACTTCGACCTCTGGTGGGTTTTTGGTTCCGAAGTGGTTGTCTGCCCGCTGGCGTCCTTTGCTTGCTGGCATGCGTATGTTGCATGAGTTTCACGCGGGGTACCATCTGTTTGAGTCTGCTTCCGCTAGGAGGGGGGGAAAACGCGCTCGCGTGAGTGGCGTTAACTATCCTGTGGAATTTTGGTACGATGCACCTGCTTCTGCCCCTGTTTCTGTCCCTACTTCTGACATTGCTGTTTGTGCAACTCTGCCAGCTCCCTTCTCTGTCTCTAAGGGATTTGTACTGCAGTTCAAGGGTTCTGTTTGCCATTCGGACGCTTCTGTCTTGCTTGACACCGGTTGCCAGGCCTCGCATCTTCTTAGTGCAGGTTTTGCGCGTCGCATCGGCTTGCAAGTGTCAGCACCGACGGCTAACGACCCTACACCTTCTGTCGTCATGGGAGATGGTTCTTCTGTACCTATGGTGGGCTTTGCCAATGTGCCTGTGCGGTTGCAAGGGTACAAGGGTAGGCTTCGCTGTGCGCTTTTGGACCTCGCCCCTGGCTTTGATCTGATTCTTGGTGATCCCTGGCTGCGTGCTAACGGTGCCATCATTGAGTTCCATGAACGCCGTGTGCGCTTGACTGCTTACTCCGGTAAACCAGTGCTACGTAATGGACCTTTTGACCCCGTTCCCCAGCCCTGCGATGCTGCCGAGCTTGCTTTCCTACAGGCTCAGCGTGATGGCGATGAGTTCCTTTTGTGTATGGTTCGTAAGGTGGATGCTGAAGTTGAGGCAACCGCCTGCTCCATCATCGCCACCGGCACCTCCGACTTTTTCGCAAAAGGTGTGTACTGCTGTGCCTGGTGAATCACCTGTCGATCTGCGTATGCGGGCTCTTCTGCTGGAAAAGGAACACCTGTTCCCAGACCGATTGCCTGCTGAGTTGCCGCCTGATCGCGGGCTGCATCGTGTCGTTCCACTTGAGCCTGGGGCACGGCCTCCTGCTCAGCGTATGTTTCGCTACTCTGTGTTGGAACATGAGGAAATGCAACGCCAGATCTCACAACTTCTGTCACAAGGCTTCATTGAGTCTTCCTGTTCGCCTTTTGGTGCACCCATTCTGTTCGCACGTAAAAAGGATGGAACATTGCGTATGGTGGTTGATTACCGTGCTCTGAACAACATCACCATCAAAAATCGGTATCCGCTTCCGCGTATCGATGATCTGCTTGATCGCCTGAGTGGTGCTACTGTCTTTTCGTCTCTTCATCTGACCCAGGGCTATCATCAGCTCCTGATGCATGACGAAGAGCGTGAGCGTACTGCGTTTCGTACACCGTTTGGTCATTACCAGTACAAAGTTCTGCCTTTTATTTGGACTAACGAACGCCCCGGCTGTGTTCCAGTCCGCTATGAATTCTGTTCTCCAGGACCTTCCCTTCGCTGTGGTTTACCTGGACGATATTCTGATCTTCTCCAAGTCGCGGGACGAGCATGTGGAGCATGTGCGCGTCGTACTCGAGCGGTTGGAGCGGAACAAGTACTATGCCAAGCTGGCTAAGTGCGAGTTCTTCAAGGAATCTGTGACGTTTCTGGGTCATATCATTTCGGGCGCGGGCATTCAGCCTGATCCGCGAAAGACCGCCGTCGTCTGCAAGTGGCCAAAGCCAACGAACGTCTCTGAGTGCGTTCATTTCTGGGCTTAGCTAACTACTTTCGTAAGTTCATTCAGGGCTATGCCAACATGGTTGCGCCCCTGACGAAACTTCTGTCGTCCAAGGCGATCTGGCCTGACGAATGGACTTCCTCGTGCGACGAAGCCTTTGCGCTTGTCAAAGAGGCTCTGACTTCTGCGCCTGTACTTGCTTTACCGGATCCGGCATTACCTTACGAGGTTATCGTGGATGCTTCGGGTGTGGCATTGGGTGCTATTCTGTTGCAGAATGAGCGACCTGTGGCTTTTGAGAGTCGTAAGCTCAACCCTGCTGAGTTGAACTACCATACTACTGATCGTTGTTACGGACCATGAACCCAACACTGCTCTGAAGAAACAACCGGTACTGTCTCAACGGCAGGCGAGGTGGTTGGAGTTGCTTGAATCGTTCGCATTTGATTGGCAGTACCGCGCGGGTAAGACCAATCCGGCTGACCCGTTGTCCCGTTTTCCCGGGCACGTCAATATGTGTGCGGTGATGGCAATGAAGACTCGCGCTTCTCGTGTCCTTGGTACACGGGCTCCCTCTGGCGTCACCTTAGAGTCTCATGGCTCTCTTCCTCAGTTTGAGCAGCTGGTGCTTCAGGGTTATCTGACCGACCCATGGTTCTCTGACGTTGCCAACACGAAAGCGTTGACGCAGCGTGATGGTTTCTGGTATCAGGGTGATCTTCTGGTGATTCCCAATGCTGGTGATCTTCGCAAGAAGGTGCTGCATCTCTGTCATGATCATCCTCTTTCTGGCCATGCTGGTGTCACCAAAACACTTCTATATATAATATATATTTTTTGGTGGCCCACAGTTCATGTTGACGTGCGAGACTATTGCAAGTCGTGCGATAGCTGTCAACGCATGAAGCCTGAGCATGTTCTGTCGCCTGGTAAATTGCTGCCTTTGTCTATTCCGGATCGGCAGTGGTCTGTTGTTACCATGGATTTCGTTACCGACCTGCCTCCGTCTCAGGATGGGCATGGTTACACTGCGATTTATGTCTTTGTTGACAAGCTTACTAAGATGGCACATTTCGTCCCGTGCTATACAACTGACGATGCCGAGAAGGTTGCGCAGTTGTTCGTTAACACCGTTGTTCGCCTCTACGGCATTCCTATGGCTGTTGTCTGTGATCGTGATCCAAAGTTCTGTTCGGCTTTCTTCACGTCTCTGTGTGCTCTTCTGAATACTCAGATCAACATGAGTACCTCGTATCATCCGCAGTCTGATGGCCAAACTGAGCGTATGAACCGTACGCTTGAGGACATGCTTCGGCATTATGTGGCTGGTGATACTGCGTCTTGGGCACAGTACCTTCCTCTGGTTGAGTTTGCTGTCAACAATGCCTATCAAAAGTCGACGAAGACTACTCCTTTTCGGCTTATGTACGGCTTTGATCCTCTGACGCCTCAGGCACATTTGGTGTGTTCTTTGGGGGGGAAGAAGTCACCGCAGTCTGCAGTACAGCAGGCGGCGACTGAGAAGGCTCAGCAAAAGGCGCAGACGCGTCGTAATGCTGCGCACCTGCATCTTGCTTTGGTTCGTGGTCTGTCTGTTGACCAGCACCAATTTCTGTACAACGAGTTGGCTCTGAAATTCCATGCTCGTATGCAAGAAGCCCTCGCTCGTGCCAAGCAGTGTTTGCAAGCAGCACAGGACCGTCAAAAGGTCTATGCGGATGCTAGGCGCTCTGAACGTTCCTTGCAAGTTGGTGATCGCGTGCTCTTGAGTACCAAGCACATGCGCCTTCAAGGACCTCGGAAGTTGTTACCGCGCTTCATTGGACCCTATGCGGTCACCTCTGTCATCAACCCGGTCGCTTATCGTCTGGATTTGCCTCCTGGTGTTCGCATGCACAACGTGTTTCACGTGTCGCTTCTGAAACCCTATGTTGATGGGGGACGTGTGCAACTGCCTCCGCCACCTGAGATTGTCGATGGTGAGTTGGAATTTGAGGTTGAGTCTGTCTTGGATCACCGTGAGATCAAGCACAAACGTCACCGTCAGCGGTACTATCTGATGCGTTGGAAAGGTCAGGGGCCGGAGTATGACTCTTGGGAGCCTGAAGCCAATCTGACCAACTGCGCGGATCTGCTTCATTCGTACTGGGCTGTCCGTAAGGATAACAGTTCCACACCTCTGTCGTCCAACACTTCTGCTGAACGCGTTCCTTCTGGTCCGGTTCATGTGCAAACCAGGACGGGTCGCCAGATTTGAAAACCCGCACGTTTTGGTGCATTTCTGATGACTTTGGCCTGTGTCAGTGAGGTGGGCTCCACATCACTCTAACGCGCTTAATTGCGTGGCGGCACTGGTACTGTCGGCTGTCGGGACGATCAGCCACTTAAGAGGGGAGGTATGTAACGTGACGCGTTACGTATGCCATTCTCTATTAATTAATGTAATCGGTTAGGGCGGTTACCCCGCTGAGAATCGTACATGCCCTACAGCCCGCTACTGGGCGCTCTGTTCTGTTCTGTGCGTGTGTCCCGTGAAGGCGGTCATAAGGGAGTCAGTGGCCCTTTCACACCTTACTTATTGACTCTACACGATCACGTATCGTTGCAAGTGGGGCCCTTCCCCATCGCATGCCCCATTCCCATACTAAGCTTTATCGGGTTAAAATGCGGAACGGAGCAGTGGCCGGGCATTTTAAAGCATGATAAGGTAAGTGTCATCAGCAGGAGCCATACCGTACTATGGTATGTAGAGGTATGGCAATGGCCAACACTAGGATGTGGAAGACATACGTCAGTACAGCAGATTCAACTGCTGCTTGAACCCACCTGTCTCTTCAACCAATGTAAAAGTGTTGATGTTTGTGAGCGAGCAGCTGGTGGAGGCAACCAGGGACGTGTCCTGCAAACTGATACATGCACCACCAGAGAGTCCGATCGAGTAATCTTGAGCTGTAACCGTGTTCTGCACAAATGGCTGGGCCAGCGGAAAGACAAGGAAGCAACACAGAGGGCATAGGACAGCAGGTGAGACCAGTACACAAGATGTACAATTGACACTAAAGCATGGCCCGTAAGGAAAGAGCAAAAGTGTTGTTTATCAAATGACAAGAAATTTAACACTGCATGACAGCTCGTTATGTGCTGGCAGAAGTGGAGGACAGGAAGGTGCCCAAGTGTGGTCTACCTACTGTACATGATCAGTACAGGGTGACGGGCAGGTGTGTTTTACATGTATGTACCCGCGCCACACTTTAGGTGTGTACGACTTGGGGCCTGCGCGGCCGTTTGACGCGCCGGTCGCGGCAGTACCTCGGTATGACACCGCAGGGTGTGGCAGATGGATGGGGGAAGGCGTGTGCAGTGTCACATCTGAACCAAATTTCAGGGAAGAACCTTACCAGCAGACGCTGTGGGCGCACGTAGGCCGGGTTAAGTTGTGTCATCAACGTCCCAACGAAGTGGCCTACTACGGCAACCGCCCAGCGTTGTGGCAGTTGTGCATCTGAACCAGAGTAGGTGATGTCGTGCACGATGCTTGTGCCTTTGACCACCAACGTCACAGTGTCACCCGCTTGCAGGTTCCGGATTTCTGCACGCTCCACGGTGTTGATGTGATCTGCGGCAGGTTATCATATCAGAGCAAGCCAAAAGCGTTAGCAGTGGCAGACATGAACAACATATATCGCACACTATCTGCTGAGTGTGGGGTCGAACAATGACAGTTGCAATTCAGGCAGGGCGGCGGGGTCATTCACCAAGTGTGATGACACACTCTGGGCTTGGATTAGGTGGCAGGCAGGCACCGTCAGGATTTTTGGATATTGATGCACGCATTACTGCTCAACCAACTTACGGCAACCTTTCACATAGCAGTACAAGGCAAAGTAGCTGCAGCACCCTACCGTCACGGGTAGTCGTAGCAGCCTGTTGGTTGACCATGTAGCTCAAGTCGAGGTCGTTAACCAATGCCTTGCTTGCCGGATATGCCGCAGGGTAGTCGTACCAAACGAGGGTTGCCATGATGGGTCTGCAGGAGCGAGTGTCGAGAATGCCAGCAGGTTACAGTTAACGGATTGCAGGCAAAAGGTGATGTCTGCTGCGGTATTGTTGTAGAAGGCGAGGTGATATATAATAAGACATTGAACAGCAGGGCTTGACAGTCATCCAAGAGTCATCCAACCACGCACTCAACCAAACCCCATAACGTGTTGCTACCATATAACTCACCCCGTGCCAGTGGCTCGCAAGCCCTTGAGGTAAATGACGTCCCCCTGCTTGATGGTGCCCATGTCAGCCACTTGGAGCCGAAAGTTGGAGGCCGTCAGGCCGGGCAGCGGCAGGGCACTGCTGAGGTCTGCACGACCCCATCCCTGCAAACATGCACACCTCGTGAACCTTACGGAACCTGGCATAAAGCGGCATGCACGTCAACAAAGCAAGTAAGCCTGGCGTACATAGTCCAAGTGTAGTGTATGTATCGCTTTGCTGAAAGTTACGATAAGCCTGGATGATATCTGGGTGTTGCCACTGGTCGGCCACTTGGCAAGGGCATGCAAGGAAAGGTGAAAGGCGTCCACCTTCAGCTGTTCATTCTTTGGATGGGTGAAAAAATCAACAAGGGCAAGGCCGCTTATTAGGGGGATGCCCAGACTGGTAGTGAGGAGTTGCCTCCTTGGTTTTTGCCACCTGTTGTGCCTGCGACTTAGTAGCTAGGTGGCAGTGCTGCCTTCATCTTAAGAGCACGTCAAACAGCAGGGTAGACGGCGTTTCATGTTTGATGCTCGCGGGAGTTTTGTAACCTTCTTGAGCCTTGAGGACGCCCGTTCACCTGTGCCAACTTTGGCGGCCACACAGTGTGGTTTGCCCCCTCATCCTTGCAAGACAACTCGCCCATTACCGTGCATGCAAGCTGCAGCAGCGATATAACACAGCCATAGGTATCTTGCTGCCGGCTCACCACGTACCTAAGGTCCGCACGCTCTTGTGTGGCATGCGACGTGTAGTAGTGCAGTTTCCAGCTGGCACGGTTCAGCTTAATGGCCTCACGCTAGGAGGGGAGACTGCCCAGTTTTCCCTACACGTCAGAGGTCTGGTACGACGCTCCTTTCCCTGACCCGGACGCAGAAGGCAAGCTGCCTCTCATCAAGATTCGAGCGGTTGGGCTAGGTCTGCAAGCGCTACTGGATACTCGTCCCAGCAGTTGTAATAACACACACCAAGCCAGCATGCGTGTCGGACCCTACCTGGAAACCATCAGGTGCTGCACCCATCACGGTCCCAGCCGACCTGGCAATGCCTCCCTGGATTGCAAACAAGAGGAACAAGAGGAGGGAACGAGTAGTAAAAAGGCGGGGCCATGATGTTACGGACACGGAAGCAGTGCAAAGAACGCCGCACGGCATAAGCATTTATTAGGAATAGCACCGTTAATGGTTGTGCCTGACTCCTATGCATGCATAGCAGGACAGTCAGGTCCGTACGCTATCTGGTCACAGGAGGGAGGCAGTAGAGAAACCTGACAACGATGGGCAGGTGGGAAAAAAGGTAAGCAAGGATATCGGTCACCTGTGCGGTGGCTATGAGGCACAGTACACAAATGTAATCTGGTGCCAGATAGACCCAACCAAGATTGATACGCCAATGGAACACAAGCACGTGACCCACCTGTAGCGACTTTGCGCCTGCAATGGCGGTTGCCTGCGTTGTTACATGGCAACACAGGTTGTTGCAGTTGGTCTTTGGCGTGTCGGGTGTTGGCTGTCAATGACTAGGGGACACACGACCAGTGTAACATAGGCGTTCCAATCCCTTAGCCGCATGGGGTGTCGTTGAGGGGGTGAGCAAGACCCTCCAATGTGTGTGTCTTAACACAAAGCAGGCCAAACAATCCATACCTTGAGAAGCATTCCAGACGGCTCAAAGCTAGCGGCATTCATTGCAGTCTTGTCCCCAGCTGGGTAAAACCCATCCCTGGCAAAGCGCAGGAGGTGCATATATACGGGCTAAAAAAACGGCGCGCTTTCAATATTACAATCGAAGCCCAAGCATTTAATATAAAAAATGTTTTCCGGGGCACAATGGTCACTGAGCAGAAAACCATTGGCTTTCCTTCGCAGAACAGGACGTACTGTCATATGACAAACGTTTCACGTTGGCATACAACGAAGAGGGCTATCCTAGTGAGTAAAAGGAAGCATGGGGCGGGAAATGCTCCTTCCTAAATTGCCTACCCCCAGCATGCCTTAGCACTCACGGCTCGATCGCCCGCTTACCTAAAATACTGCCGCATTAAAGCTACATGCCCAGACATCTGCGCGCACCAGCAATGGGTTGCAATGGCACAAACGTCAAGCAAAACAAGGCGTGACAAAGCCTCCATACACGACCTTGGCACACGCCACAGCAAGAGGAGTCAACAGCAGCAACCCTCCTGGCATGTATGTGTGTACCCACCGTGGGTGTCGCCATGGATGTTCCCTGCTTAGACGAGGTACCTGCCGAGCAAGTCGAGCCTGCAACGACAACAAGTTAACATATACATTCTCGGCATTCTCCACGCCTTTTCCAACAAAGGACCACGACCAACTCACTCGTAGCGCTGCTCAGGTCTCCGGTTGCATCTGCCGACCACAGAGATTGGCCCGGGGCCACGATGTCGGGCTTGATGCGACCGTCGGATAAGGGCCCGTAGCTCGAGAAGTAGGCAATGCTGTCGATTCCATAGCTTACAGAAGGCTGCATGCCCGCAAAGCAACAGGGAAAGTGTTTATGCATGAACAACGATTGCTTAGGCAGCCTAATGCACGTCAGTTCAAAAGGCCGAGATAAACGTTGAATCTAGCTATGTGGGGGCCATGACAGAATGACGCACGGCACGAAGAACATGCAACGCAGGCCATGCAATCAAAGCCTACATGTCTGTCCTACGTAAGCACATATATACTTGTCCTCCATGCAAAGGTTTAACCAGAACCACAAACTGAACCACAAACTAGCGTAAGGCGCAGGGGGGGGGGTAAGAAATTTTCTTATAAACCCCAACCCGAAATTTCCAAAGAGAAGGCCTCGGAGCCACCCACCCACCGCCAAGCGTGTCGTACAACCTGTAAACTATGCCAAAACGCCGGGGAAAAAAGCGTCTAGGTTCCTCTGCGCAAGCTCTATTAAATGCAGTCGAAAAACCCCAAACCCCCTGGGAAGTTAATGTCACAGCGTTGCACTATGGACGGCTAAGGTAACCATGTTCTTGGCCCCAGCTTGACTGATGTTATGTATTTGGCGCCTAGGAAGCACCACGGCCCTTCCATTTGCGCCATACCACCGCAGTTCTGTTTTCACCAACCGAGACAACGGCGCCACCACGTTCCAGGTCCCTGCTCCTGCCTCTTCTTCCCCCTGTGGCACTGGGCCCTCGACCATAGCCCCTGGTACCAATTCCCACGCCTTCTTGTTTCTGTGCTCAGCATCCCCACCCCATTCGTGGTCACTGTAAGTGCTTTCTCGCAGCTCAGTCTGTCTACTCCAACCCCGCATCCTCAGTCGTGCTCCACATCCATGGGGACACGCGACATGCTGCTATGCTAGGCCTTTACAAAGGGCCGACTAGCCGCGTTCGCAATATATGTTTTCTACATAAGTTGTTTCTTGTACGTTTGGGGATTGGGCAGTCCCGTTCGGCTACCGTGGTTCAGAGGTGAAGTGTCATTGCAACATCGGAAGCCGAGAAGTGACCATTTTGTTGATAGAACTAATTCTGTGTATAAGAAACGAAGAAAGGATGGCAATACAGCTTTCAAAACACTAACATGACGCCTGGAAAAAGTTTTCCGGAGGTTCATGTAAAAAAGTCGTTGGGGCCCTGAACCCACCCACCCACCCCTGCCGTACCACCAACTTTGCAAGCCCATAACTTTTTCCGTACAACTCTAAACAGAAATCTGAAAACAGATTCGGAATCCCCACGCAAAATCCCTTCGATTTGAGGGTTGGGGTCTATTTTTGCGGTTCTTACCCCCCCCCTGTAAGGCGTAGCTTGTTAAGGAATTGAAAAGGATTTGCTAAAGACGCAGACCCTCGGGCGAGCGAGCTTAATGCATAGATGACTTACGTAGAGCAGGAACGTCATGACGGCCCCGGTGTTAGATGAATCCGACAGGATGCTCGTAATCCACTGGCCATAACCCTGCAGCATCGCGGCAAGTTACTGCAATTATTCTCCACAATCTACCATGCAGGTCAGGGGGAACTTGACATGACAAGCAAGCCCGAACAGTACACTCCCCATAGCCGTCAATCCTTCTTGGTAGACATTGGGCAGGTTTGCAGCTACGTACACGAACAGCTACAGTACAGGCGTACTGCTCGTTACCTTGGTCACAATCGCATACGTAATGGGAGATGTTGTTATGGAAGTTGGCAATGCCTCATCATAAAACAGGCCATCGGGCCTTATGAGCAGGACCGCCGAAGCTCCAGCGGCAGAGGCACTCGCAAGCCTGTCGTTATAGCTGCAAGAAGAGTCACCCAAATCAATGATGACGATGGCACTGGTGTAGGAGGTGCTGCTGCTGTCAAGTGTGCTACAGGCGCCTCTTGGAGTGGCAAGCACGGCCCGTTTCTCCTGTGAATTCCCAAAGGCAGGGGAACGATATGATAGATGAGAGCTATTAGTTATTGGCGTGTTGGGGTAGAGTAAACCTTATGCTCAGCACGCCAATCCGCTGTATCGTATCGGATACCTTCCAATGGAAGCCAGGGACGCACGTAGGAAGAGTGGCTGGGTAGGTCAACACAAACCAACCTCCTCTGTACGCTTGATTGCATACATACAGGCATACAGAATCCCAAACTCCTGCTGCGAAAGCCAAGGGCCTCTTGCCACGGCCCTATCACTGCATGCCATGACCGTTTATTAGGCACCAAGCGCCTAGAGGTACGACAGCTATATGATGAACACGCACGCGCCTTACCACGTTTCGCAATAGGGTGTTCCAGGTGGAGAAATCTGAACCGCCGAAAGGCCAGAACTGCAATTGCATGGAGGCGAGTATAATAACTTGTCAACAGCCTGGGTGGCTACCCGTTTACGTGCCGTGCAAGACAACCGAAAGGCCCCAACAACATGTCGTTTTACAGCAGCTAGGTCAACGCGCTCTACGACACAACTTACCCCGGACTCCTGTAGTGTCGACGTCCGGTCTCGATATCTGAACAAGAATGCGTATTGGTCACCATTGCTGATCTCTTTCGGGTGGTTCATGGAAGCTCCCACAGTCAAGACGTTCTGCAAGGGGTCATGCGGTGGTTGGACCAAACAGCAGGGGAAGGAACACGTGTGACATACAGCAGCAAGTCCATATTCGTCCATCCTATGTATGCCGCTGACATTTCGATAGCTAGGCTTAGCCAAAGTTGCCTGATTGAAAAAGTTGCCTGCCTGCAACGTACTGGGTACATGCGGCAGTAGGCACATTGCATCGTACATCATGTTCCTGCCTAGCTTCCCGGCGTACTACCTTTGCGACGGACGGTGCAGAAACAGTTGTCATCTTGCCATTTGCACCTGCGCGCAGAGAGAAAAACAGTGTTTAGAAAGCAACGCATGTGGCTGACCCGAAGAACTGACGTTGACGTGTGCACACGCAACCAAGGCCTTGCAAAGCGTCTGCCTTTCCATTCAGGCGGCTGACCCCCAGATCCCCAGGTCCAACCTAAGGCAATGACATACTCGTGAGGCACCTACCAGTGTTGGCTGCTGCGACGATGCTGAGAAGCTGCGGATTCCGCCAACTGTAAAGGTCGAATCCACGTGCCTGTGATTCGTACGCCGTTCCAGCTGCCCCGACTGATCCCCAGCTTTCAGAAGTAATACGAGCGCCTCCCGAATAGTGATACTGCACAGCGAGTCATTAGTCAGGCAACACAAAACTATTAGCTCGGTATAGAAGTGCCAGACCGACAGTAGAAAATCGTACGAGCGTACGGCAAGTGAAACTAACGCATAATTGAGCTGGGTGCGTGTTGGTTGGGCGTCATCATACAGGGGCCGTGCGAACGAAGCTGCCCCCCTATCTAAAACCCTATCTAGAACCTTACCGGAAGGTAGGACGTGTCTATAGGCGGGACACTCAAGCTCGAGCCCACGGAAAAGTCCATGAAGCTAATCTTTGCAAAGGGCGCGGCGCCCGTTCCCACGTCGGTCTTGTACGTGCTACTCCCCGTCATGATGGCTCCCGCAACGGTGCCGCACACATGAGTGCCGTGGCCCGATGCGTAGTCCCCAAAGTAGCTGGGATCACCTGCAGCAGCACCGACGGTTACGGGCGGCCATTAGGAACGTATACATCCATTGGGACGTATTAGGTCGGCAATGCAGACGTACGGCGGGCAGGGCAGCAGTACAAGTGACGTCAGCACAAGGGCAAAAGGTATGGCACTATGCGAACGGTGTTGTATACGGCGGTGCAACTGTAGACGCGTGTACTGCATTGTATGCAGGTACAGCACGGCAAACACGATGTTAGCGGAACGACCCACATTTCAAACGGCAGGGTGTGGTCAGCCCCACCCAAACAACGCTGATGACCGTTGGCAAGGCAAGGGGATAAATTAAGTTGGGATGCTTGCTTAAGACTAACCTGAAACACCATACTGCACGAGTTTCCGGTGGTCGGAGAGGGAGAAGCGGTACAGTGCATAGGCGCTGGCCTGGGCAAGCATGGACTTGAGGGTTTGGGGGTTGCCGTACTTGTCATCGATGAAGTAGCAGTGGGCGAGTTCCAAGCCGGTGTCGCCCACCTGCATGCCACCAGAGTGCCACACAACGCAGCGTGATGTGTTTGTTGGATATTGAACTGGACTGTCGCAATTGCCGATGCATTTGCGACATACAGCAGCTGAACCCAATACCCGAAGCGTCGACGACACCTAGGCCCTCAGCGAAACAGTAAAGAGGATGAAAACCCGTCTAGTTAGGTAAGGACAAGTCCATTGCGTTCGTGGCTTTGCCCCAAACGAGCGATGTACAATGTTTTAAGCACTGTACGGCGGTCAAACACAGGAATTACGAACCTATACAGGCATTGCACGGCATAACACAGAAACCCCAAGTAAAGCCGTACAAAGCCGTACACCAGTCATGCTGCATGACGCCGTGCCTTACCCCGACGATGATGTTCTCGCCCTGGAGACCGGCCTTCCAATAGGGTCGGGTCTCACTAGTGAGGGTGCTGAGGTTTTTGTATCGAGAGGTGCTCATGTCCCCTGAAAGCAGGAGTTAGGGGCGGCACTTGACAGGCTTAGGGAATCCCTGGTTGAAATAGACACAACGGGCGGGTCACCGGGACACGGGCACAAAGCAAGGGCTGCTGAGCACGGCACCCAGGCAACCAGGTTGGCGGTATGGCAGATAAGTACGACAAATGCTGTGCAGGCGACGCCAAGCTCCGACGGCACCACTGTGATAGCAGCATGGGCATGGCGGGCGTGAGGGTGTGGTGCAAAAGGAAGCGGGTGTCGAAGTGCTACTGAAGGCTGACGACAAGGCCAAGGGCGTGGCGGGCCGAGATAAGGTGCAGGACAGAAGGCATCAGCAGCAGAGAAAGGAGGAAAGCGCTAGGCGCGGTACGTGCAAAGCGTCAGATTAGTTTGTGATCCACTGTTGCCTAGACATGCCGACATCAACGATTACCCGCTGCCTGCAGGCTGACCCGTCATGCGGACTCGGGCAGCTGGGCGGCGTGCCTAGGCAACAGTGGGTCACGAACAATTCTTTTCGAAGCTGCCATCTATGTAAAATAACGTGTACGGCAGGCAGTTGGTCCGGCAAGCACGTGCCTGCAGCACGGAACAGGATGGTGCGCAAAATCCGCTTCCTTTACCCGCTATCCCACCCTCTTCCTCCCTTTCTTTAACAGCGGCAACTGCGTAAATGTTTCAACTTGAACCCGAACCAGGACAAGCCTTCCAACTGCGGTGACAAGCTGGCAATCCAAGCAGACAGCGGACCCTAAGGAGTGTGTGTCCATACGCGCCCTGCCGTACCAGTCTGCACCGTCCAGCCTGCGTAGACGTTCATGGGCACCTTTTTCAGCACAGGCGCGATCCACACCACGGTTGACTGGCTAGACAGCCACAGCGAGCCATCCTCCAGGTCCTGCAAAGCAGGACAGAGTAGGGGCACAGCAACGGGCCGTTGTTACCTAAGGTAGGAAAGCACCTCATCGCAACGGCCAATAAAGAGACCTACGCGTTGCAGCAAGTACAAAGCATGGTAAGGCATGTCAGGCAGCGCGCCGTACGTACAGCACTCGACCGGCAGATACCGAATCCGGATCTCGGAAGGACGCTGGTTTGCTAGAGACACGCAAAAGTAACACTCTACTCGGCCGCTGGCCATGGTACAGGAAGGAACCCTACCTCTTTGCAAAGGTAGACCTGAAGCCATCCGTCCGTTTCCCTGTACAACGCGTAATCCAAGGCTTGTGGGTAGCACGGATCTTCGGCACTTGTACGACCCAGTGCTGACGCCAGCGCTGCAGGCCATGTGTCGTACGCAGTCCCCAAAGCCGCCTCGGACAACCCAGAAACCATGTGGGCCTCGATCGCATACAGTTCAGGTTGGGGAGCATCCGCCTTGTCAGCAAGGTGCCTGCGGTACGTGTGAGCGCGCTTCACAGAAGCGGTTTCATTGCTGCGATGGTTGCCTCCGTTGCGGCTGCTTTGAAGCCAAGGGAGCTGCTCTTGCTGATGCATGCGCCACGTCTGCATGTGCCCCAACACCGCCTCGGAGATCGGCGGCTGCTGGTCACCGCCGGTGGTATTGTTGTAGTTGCTGACAGGGATGGCGCGGCTACCGGCACTGCCGCCGGTTTCCGCAAGCGCACTCCTGCGGTGTTGCAGGCGGCGGCGCCGGGCGGCTAAGCTCGATGCATCGAAGAAGTGAGACATCTCGGGTGCAAGCTTGTAGTCCGCCGCATACTCTGCCTGCAAGCGTGCAAGAGGCAAGGGAGGGCCTGGGCTTTTACAGGAGCTTATGGCGTCGCGGCTATGTGGCTTCAAAGCCTGAAGCTTTGTAAAGGGTGTGTGTTATGCATCCGTTCAGTTCAGGAGCGCGGGTTAATGTTGAAGTGGTTCGAGAGAGCCAGCTTGTGGAAGAGAGCCAACAGCAGAAGCACTAGGATACGCTGACAAACTTGGTGCCGTAAGCAGAGGTAAGGAGGGCAAGCCAGCAAGAAGCGACCTAAACCCGAGACCCACGAGCCCGCCCTCGGGCGCATCCGTCTCCTTCTGGAACTGTCCTACGAGAAACCATGAGAAGACATGGACAAGGAGGCTGCTGCCGAACCGGTGCTTACCATGAGCGCATTGCGGCGCTGGGCAACGGCTTTTGCGGTTACGGGCTTAGCAAACACCAGCAGCGTATCATCCGGGATGTACGACACCACGGTAGCTCCCTGGGAGGTCAGGTCTTCACCCAGGGCGTGGCCCGTGCCTGCATGTGCACGCATGCACAACGAGAAGGTTAGGTCTGCATCATATAAGCTTGTACCATAAGCCAGTAAGCGTTTCATTGCACAGGTCCACAGCAGTATGGGGGTCGGTCAGGCAGCCATTGTGTGCATGTGTGCATGGGTTAATGTAAGCCGTGAGAGCCGGAAACAAAAGGGGCCACGCAGGGCCGTGGACGGATATATGGCTGCTACATCTACTTCGCGGCCCAACCTTCTGCATATTTCAGCAGAAACAGCCTTCGCCCAGTTGCATCGACCGCCTTGGTGGTAGGGTCGCTGAAGTCAGCCGCTGCCACAGTAGCATAGTCCGATGGTTTGCTGCACGTCAATGTTCATGGACAACAGAAATCTGTCAATACATACAACCGGGCCAACAGCCATGAGTACCGGTACCGTTTCCGAGCGCTAGTAGTAGTAGAAAAGTGATGGGTGCACGGAGTGATGGATGCACGTGCCGAAACGCATATAAGGCAGCTCATTTTTGCCAAGATACAGAGTTAAGGGGGAACAGTGTCGCCTAAGCGGGGAACTCGGGAAATGCATGGAGGTTAAGATTGCCGCCAGCTCCTTCTGTCCAATCCAAGGCTTCTTAATGATGCATGTCATGCTTCGAGCTACCTAGCACGCGGATGCCGGCACCCTAGTCCGCCCAACTCACCTCAAACTCACGACACCACTGCGCAACCAAACTGAGGTAGCTGCATTACTTCTCGCCAATGCAACAAGCAGAAGAACAACCGTTGCAAAGGGTAGTGTTTGCTGTTTATTCCTGGTAAGCCAGCGGCTTCTTCTCGTCGGCCGCATGGCCAAATATGTCGCCCTTAACGGATGTGCCCCAGCTGCTAGCACATTGCTTTATGAACAGACAGCACTAAACACCACAATGTACTGCTGTGAAGCTTGGACGCACCCGAGTTGTCATAGTCAGCCATGTAGTCATCACTGCAAATCTGCAATAACAGCCGCTTTATGCATTCTTCAAGCATTTGGCTAAGTTCCTCAAACTGCAAAATGCATACGCGTTTAACGCAAGTCTGAAGGTCGGACCCTTGGGCCATGGAACATTACCTGGCAAAGTCTACAGTGCAACCTCTGGAGTATGCGGAATTGAAATACATTATACTTGTTTAGGTAAAGGCGGACACCAATAAGCGCAAGATTCCGGCTGCGTGTCACTTCCTGTGCAAGCTGCGTGTTGGAACTTACGCGAATGGCTCGCGTTGAGGTGGTTGCAGTATCCTGGATTCATCCGTATTTGGCCGATGTCCTTCGCTCGCGCATAGCTGTACCGCATCTTGCAGACTGGGTTGACCCGATGCCTGGATGAGGGTTCGGTGAACAAAGCAGGTGTGAGGGAGACTGTTAATTCGCGCGTCTGTCCGGACCCCATTCCTAATCCATGGTGCCCAGCAAGCCTGGCCTCGCGCCAACGTGGGCCATGCCATGTCTTGATGTCTAGCATGTCCGAAGGCTCTCCTGTCGAAAGTGCTGAGTCGTCTACCCTTCGATGCTAGTGGTGATGCTAGCAACAAAAGCCTACCTGACCGGTTGTGACCATGCGTGGCTCTTGGCAAAGGGAGATTGGCGCCAAGGCCTTACGTACGACACGTCTCCATTCCTAATTGCCCCTGCCCTGCGGCATTGACCCTGCATTGTGTCTTCTTCTTTGCCCCCTGCAGCCTCCTATACTACTGGGTTAAACTACAGCTCCCTACCACCTATTCACCTACCATTACACGTAGGTAACAAGCATTGGCACCATCTTACCGCGCCCCTGTCAAAACACGTTAAGCTCTATACTTCCCGGATCTTCCACTAATCCTAAGCTCATAGAGAAGAGATATGCTTCCTAACTGAAAGCACGTTATAGTAAATGTTCTGCGCACGCCACAGCAAACCTCTTCTCCGACATCGGATGTCTGGATGAATGTACAAAGATACTTCGCTAACGGCCTTGTAACTTTCGCATTCTAACGGCCTTCCATACAGCATAGACAGCTGCACAATGTAGACAGCTATTACGACTTGCTGGCTAGACTATGACCTAGGAACGGCGATCCGCCGCAGTTCGTGACTACCTAGGGGACATTCGCTAGAGTGCTACTCCGTCTCCACACATGGTAGACCTGCTGCCATCTAAACCCATCCGCACGACGTTCAATACCGGTATGGCAGCAAAACTCGCACGCAAGCAAGCATCACAAGAGGTCCTCCTAGCAAACGTCATACCGTAGTAACGCAATGCTTGCGCTTGCAGGCCTAGCACTGCGCCTTCTTAGCAAACTACAATTCACAGCTTAACGTCGCCTATCCTGACATTGCTGTACGCAGATTCCCAAGCTGGCATGCATGCCCGGCATGCATGCCCACCACCTGGCTTATGACAAGGGACATAACTCCGGCGGCCTTGCTGCAACGGCCTTGCTGCTTTGCCGGCTAACTGCGGCATATCCTGCCTACCCACTCCCACCAAAACACACAAACACTAACCACCACACCACTTCCTCCCTTTGTCCACCCATTCGTTCCATGCGCCCACACCGCTTCCTGCTGCTCCAGTCCGTCCCTCACCCCATCACATCCTGCACGTCCCCTATCTTCTCCCTGCACATGGGACACAGCCCTCCCCGCTCCCGCACCGCCCGCACGCAGCCACCGCACAGCACCAAGTGACCGCACGGCAGCAGCAGCACGCTGCGGGGCCGGTCCATGCACACGACGCACAAGCCCTCGTCGCCGTCCTCGCAATCGCCATCCTCCTCATCCTCCCCATCCTCGCCCGCCTCGTGTTGGGCGGTGCTGCGCTTGGCAGCGACCAGGGGCCACCTGAAGGAGCCGGGGTTGGTGCTGGGCGGTTGGCCGTCGGGCCCCAAGCGTGCCGCATGCGCGTCGGACGCATGAGGCGGCGGGAAGGATTCCAGAGGATTCCAGGCGGAGCGGCCTCGGGTAGCGGTTGGCAGGTCGGGAACCGGAGCCGGGGCCTGGCGAGTGGTGAAGGAAGAGGAAGAAGCGGCGGCAGCAGAAGCGTAGGAGAATGAAGAGCCGCTGGTGGATGCAGCGAGGGAGCGGGCGGTGATGCCGCCAGGGCTGCATGCGCAAAGTCAAGGGGGGCACATAGGAGTCGCCAGCATGGCTTACGGCTGAATCCAGCCAAAACGTAAAGGCACTCAATGGGTGACTCCATTGAGTGTCCAAAACATTCCAGAACCGGCAAGAAGCAGATACGAGCAGTACCCTTGGGCAAGACACTTCGTTATCCTTACATAAGCCTGTATGCCATACAACTGCGACTTTGCAAGGCAACGGGGAGCTACTTCCAACCGGTGCAATGTCGCGATCCCCACCTGAAGCCGGGAACAATAACATTAGACGGCCCCGACCCGTGAACCCGGCTGGCAACGGCAGCGCCCACATCGCTGCTGTGGTTGCTCCTGTTGCTGCCGCGGGACAGAGCTGCCGACAATCGGTCGAGAAGTGACGGACGTGACCCCGCTGCCGTGGCCGACGGGGCACCTATGGGTGTTAGACGGAGGCAAGCGCGAAGACAGGTGTCAAGGAGAATGAGCTACGTCTAGAAGCAGCACCAGTGTAGATGACAGGCACTGCAACAGGAAGAGCAGACGAACCATTAAGTAGGACAAGATAGAGAGCAATGGAGCAATGATCAGCAAGAAGAAGACGCATGACCTCGTCGTGTACTGTAAGCGCTTATCAGCAGCTGCGGCGGCTTGTGGCACCCCTAGCCCAATCATGAGGCCCTCCCATGATGACGTGACTTACCTCCGCTTCCTCCGCCAGACAACGGGCTCGCTCGGGTTGCTAGGCCCTCCCGTAGGCTGCTGCCGGCGCCAGCACCACCGACGGCAGACGCAGCCGCCGTCATCACCGCTCCGGCCGCCCTTGCTTCCGTGGCCGCAATGGGAACTGCACCCGCAGCATCAGCACCACCACCTGTTGAAGAGGCAACCCCCGCTCCGCATGCTGAAGACACGCCAGCGCGGTTCGAGCCTCCGCCGCCCGCGCGCTTCTTGCCAGCCCCAACCGACACCGTGCACCAGCCATCCGGCTCGTCTCCAACCGCCGCTGACGCAGCAGCAGCAACTGCCGTTCCTTCCGCTGCTCGTTGCTGCTGCTGCTGCCGGCGCTGCGCGCTTCCCTTAGCCGCCGTACCTGCTGCCACCGCTGCTACAGCCGTAAAGCGGTTCGCCCCGCTACGAGGACCCATCTGCAAGCCCTCCTCATCCTCCTCGCTTGCAACCTGCTCCTGCTCCTTCTCAGCCTCCCGGCCTGCTGCATTCCCACCCGCTGCACCGCGAGCTGCTGCCGCCGCCTGTTGCTTCCTCTTTCCCGCCCCTTTCCTGCTTCTTGCCTGCTCCCGGAGGGCCCGCTCACGTTCCTCCTCCGCCAGCAGCTCAGCGGCAATGGCGTTGGCGCGAGCCTCCGCGGCGGCGACCTCGGCAGCGGACTGGGGCTGGGCGGCGAGCGGCGGGGCGGGTGCGGCGCCCTTCCTGCGGAGGGGTGGAAAAAGGGGAATGACAGAGGGAAGTCAAGTAAAAGGGGTCAGAGACTGGGAGGAGTGGCTGATCATCCGTGAAAACCGTACATCAGCCGAGGACGTTGCTTGTGAAGCGCACTCCATAACCCAACTGTCATGCGAAATGTGCGATGCTCCGTGCTGCATACCTGCGACGACGCAGCACGCGACCTTCTCCTTGACCGGCGGGAAGTCCAGAGGCGGGGAGCTGCACGGGGGCTGCGGCTGGGACGGCGTCGGCGCTCGGATCTTGTGGCTGGGTGACGTGGGAGCTTGCTACGGCTGCTGGGATGTCAGTTGGAGCGGCGGGGGCCATGACGGGAGGAGCAGGAGTGGAATTGGCTGGGCCGAAGAAGGACGGGGACTGTGAAGCAGCGGTGGGTGCAGTTGGGGCTCCGCCAAGCCCCGACAGAACAGCTGAGGCCGGTGTAATAGAGACGGAGAGGGGCGAAAGGGCATCTACTAATTCAGCAAAGGACTCTGGTGTACGGTCGGGCGGAAAAGATCCTGCTTGATGAACGTGGCTAGCAGCTATCCCAGCCCGTTGCGAAGCGACTGGGTCAGCTGACCCGTGGGTCGCTGCGGTGATTGGTGCCGCGGGACAACATGCGCCGACATGCGAAGCGCCGCCATGGTCCGGAGCTGCGGTGACACCAGATGTCGTCATGGCTGGCACGGCCCCGGCGTTAACAGAAACTGGTGCAGCGTACGCTCTTGATGCCTGGACCGCTTCCGCCAACGTTGCCTCATCTTCACGCACAAAAACCTGGCCGTTGAAGGTAAACTCCATCGGAGGTTCCATAGGCGCTGTTCGCTTTGCTGGGAGCATCACTGCCATCCCTGCTGGCGGGTCCCTCAACACCAGCCTTACTCCGCCTCCTGGAAAGATCTCCTCAAACTCGCCCCACCGACCTTCGCTGAATGATGCGACGGGCCCAGTTGCGGAAGCATCTTGGTCTTTTACGACAGCTGCCGAGCGTCGCTTGACACGGGCCCGGCGGCGGGCTGGGTAGAGTACGGCGGGAGCGTTGTTGGTAGTGGTGCTGCTGCTATCAGGGCAGCCAGGGTCGCTGCTGCCCAGATGACAGTGGCAGTTGTCGCCGGAGGCGGCGGCTGAGAACTGAGGAGAAGGTTGGTTGGTGGCCGTTGGCATGCCGTTATTGTCGTACAGATTGAGACCTGCTGTCGCTGCCGGTGAAGGCACCAGCGGCGGCGGCGCAGCTGCATTGACAGGCTGAGTCGTCACTGGCCGCGGCGATGGCAACAGCGTCGGCGAGCATGACCGGGATCGGAGGCGGCGGCTGCCCCTCTCGTGTTCAGCGGGGTCATCACCATCACGCTCTGCCTGAATCGCCGTGGCGTTAGGAGAAGAAGCAGCGCCCGTAACCGTCGCAGCAGCCGGATCGGCAGTAGCGCTGGAGTCAGCAGTTGGTGGCGGCTGTTGCCGTCCGTGCAACCAGGCTCTCCAGCTGGAGATCCCCATTTCCCATGTGACTGCCAAGGTTACCGTCAACAGAGGCACACTCACGAAACCCAATACCATAAGTGACCTCAAAATTGCGAGATCCCACTCGAAAGACATATAATTCTCCCAACACGCCAACGCGCCTGCAGCGCAAGCCACACCACTAGCCATCTGCAGGGTTACCCAACGGAAGCGTCTCATGGAATGCGGCAACGTAAGAAAGATGAGAAAGATGAGGGGAGGTGTCTCGAGGCAAAACATGGACGCGGCTTTGGTGGTTGGAGCGTAGTCACTTGCTAGGGCTGCACCTAGGATGCCAGCTAGGGGAACGAGGGCGCGGGATGTAACCGTCCCAGGAACAGCAAGCGGCTGAGACGGTGACGAGCCCGCTGCTGCGACTGCTGCCGGTCCCGCCGATGTGCCTGGCTGATTTGAACCCCGTGGCTGCTCTCCTGCTGCTCCCCCTTCGTCGCCACACGCACTGCTGGACGGCAATGGAATTGCATGCGCCATGATGCGCAGCGCTGTCCGTAGCAAAGAAACATCTTCTAAAAACCAAGCCATCGAGGAGGTGATATTCGCCAAAACCATCGCGTAGCTGAACGCATCCACGGCTACCTCAAGCCTGAAGGAGTCGACGATAGACACCCCAATGGAGATTAACAGTGCAGAAACCAAGGAAACCGTGACAGCCTTCCAAACTGAGTTTCCCTTGAACGAAGACCGAAACGCATCGCCGGACCGGGCACCAACAGCTGACCCTGACGCTGCTGCTCGCATGCGTGGCGATGGCACTGCCGGCGACTGCCGTACTGTTGCGGTTGCTGCTGCTGTTGTTGTTGCTGCTGGTGTAGTTTCCCTGCTAAATTCCAGCGGAATGGGCCATAACCAGACCCACACGGTGAGGAAAGCAAGGTGCAGGAGGGACATCCGAGTGCCAATGGCTACCCAGTCTGTGGAAATGAGGCGCAGCAGGTCCTGCCATTGCAACTCCGGAGGCAAGAGGATGACAAACAAGAAGATCAGGACGGGCAGCACCACGATGTAAAATGTGAAGTCCTTGACCTGCGTGGTGGCGGGGAGCGAGGCGGGCAGCCAGGGGTGCGCTGCGTCAGGTACGAAAGAGCAAACGAGGAAGCAAAGGGGCAATAACTATCCGCTGTAACGAGGAAGATGCAAATTGTTGACCGCAGCGGTGATGAAAGCTTCGGATGCGGGGGCACGCATGACGCTGCGACCTCGCCACCTCTTAAGGAACGAGTCCCTCCCTGCCACTCACCCGCAGACGCTTCCTTGCGAGTCCTGCAGCCATGGGCGCCTGCTTGATGAAGGACCTCCGCGGCCCCGCAGCAGAGGTGGAAGACGCAGCGGAAGCAGCAGCAGCAGGGGTGCCCGGAGTAGCTGCCTGCGAGGCTGCCGCTGCTACACGGCGACCAGCTGAGGACGTAGCGGGTGTGCCGGAACCGCCTTGTGCCCTGCGGGTGAGGGAAGTCCCAAGGGTAGGGTGAATGAATGCAGGCAGTGGTACATGATGGCATTGAAGAGCAAGGAATGGCTATACTGCAGGGGAGATTGCGGGTGACATCCGACCTGCTGACCCAAATCGAGCCGACCCAGATGGAATGCGGTTGTCCCTTGGCTCAACCTGGTATTTATGACTCATGTTACCGCCTGCTGCCATACGTCATGTCTGTACCCACCTTTCGGAACGTTTGCTATTTCCGTCCCAGGTCGAGGCGCGCTTCATGGCACGGCTGCTCTGCTTGCCTTTGGCGGGCCCCACGCTCCCAGCAACCCCTTTGTTGGAATGTCCTCCCTCAGCTGCTGTGGTAGCGTGACCGTCCTTAAATGCTGTTGCTGCTGTCGGTGTCATGGGTGGTGCAGGCGTTGACGCCATAACCTGCTGGGCCTGCAAGTGGACGTGACACGGTCCCGTAATCCGGGTGCAAATTCAGTTGCCCAATATGCCAGCCACAAGCAGCAAGGCTAACCGTTGTGATGACTGATGTCGGATGAAAGCTACGTCCTTGCCAGCTACCCTTGCAATTTGCCCTGCTGCCTTGCCTTGCTACCTTGCTCCCGGAAGTTATACGCGTGCAGTAAAGTAGATGAAGGCTTTATATGCAAGCTTTAGACTTAAGAGAACCTTAGCCAGTCGAGGGGGACAAGCTGTCACAGTGGCATGTTAGCATCCCCGCCCAACCACTTCATACATATATTTTTGTCACTGCCCAATATGACCACGAAATAGAATGCTAAAAGACCTCTAAAATGCCACGACAATAGGTTGGACAACCTACCAGCGGCGGCGATGGAAATGCCTAGCGGGAAACGGCGATATGGCCAGTTGGCCAACTCCTCCGCGTGCAAGGCGGCAAAAGGCCAAGAGCGTCGCCACGAATAAACTACTGCTACAGTATGCAACTTAAACTTCTTTCCAGTCGCAAAAGGTGTTGCAATAACTAGCGCAGTAATGTAAGGATGTATGCGGCAAGAGTATGGGTACAAACTATACGATTAGTACAATATTTAGCAGTCGACCGTGTTCACGTACTCTGGAATGCACTTGTTATACGTCGTACATCAGCACCATTCCTGACTCATGCTGGACAGCTGGTGTCGAATCTGCTATAGGACTGAGGCTTTGGTTGGTGCAAAGCTTTGGTTATGTGCTAAGCGATTCCTAGGAGGAGGCGGCCGGTCCCCCCCACGGTTGCCAGGACCACAGGACCACACGACAATACTGGTACCAGCTCGCAAGTCGCGGCACGTGACAAGCCCCTCACGTGAACTGGCAGTGGCTTGCTGGTACATCAAGATGGATGTTAGCCCTTGCTCCTTAACATCGGTTCAGGTACCCCGTGTGCTGGTGCTCAAGGCGAGCAGAGTTTGTTTTTACGTGAACGCCAGCCCAGATAGAGGCTGTGAGCCCTTTTCACGGGTCATACTACATGCATGGGTCTGATAGATTACAGTCATAGAGGCGCCCCTGATTGCTTACTATGTCTCAACGACGGCGTGAAGGGGCAAAGAGGGAGCGGGGCCAAGGCGTGGCAGAGGGCTACCTAACGCGTGTCATACACAAATTCAGGGGTGTGGCGGACAACCGTGAAGTTTTTATCCGTTTTATATGACCTGCATGGCTTTATGCTCAAAGTTATGCCGAGACCAGCTAACCGTCTTGTAGAGGGGTCCCAAGGGTCACAACACAAGATTGGCGCATTTGGGATGTATTCATATTTTCCATTTGCAAGCTGTTAAAAAATGTGATGTGAGCGTTCTGGCCAGTTAGCGGACAAGAGTGCCTTGCCGTCTACGGCATCTTGCACCCTGGAAGTCTGGATTTAGGATTGCAAGCACTTCGCTATGCAACCTTTTATGCTCAATTATATTACATAGTTAGTTATCACTGACTAGCGTACTGAGACGTTGCTGGAGGTACATTCACAAGTTCCCGCTTTCCCGGCTTGCCCGGAGCTTTGCCTTGCACAGTACCAAGGACTGAAGTATTGCACTGGTCTTACAGTAGCAGGTGGGATTACATGAGCTCAGGCCCTCTCGTGGAGCTTTGTTTTGGCGGCGCCTCTGAACTATATTTGGGCTTCTTTATGACACCTGATACCCTAAAAACACTAACTTAAGGCTAATATAGCTGCTTTATTGCAGGAACGTGGATGCTGCCGCTCTCACAGGTCTGAATACCTGTGGATCGGGGCAGGCAGCAGGCCCAGCTTGACCAGCAAAGATACGCGCCGATCATGTTCTGCTCAATTTCCGGCACGGTTCCAGAGCAGGGTGTCGTTAGTGTGAAGTCTGGGCACTTGTTCGAAAAGTCCCTTGTCGAAAAATATGTGCGGGAGACTGGCAAGTGCCCCGTCACTGGCGAGCAGCTGTCGTTGGAGGATCTTCTTCCTCTGAAGGTTAATAAGACAGTTAAGCCCAGGACGGCACCAGCTACCAGCATTCCCGGACTTCTCAGCCTGTTCCATGACGAATGGGATGCCAACATGCTGGAGCTGCACAACACGCGGACCCAGCTTCACCAGACACGGCAAGAGCTCAGCCATGCGCTATACCAGCACGACGCTGCCACGCGTGTCATCGCGCGTCTCATAAAGGAACGCGATGAGGCGCGCGCTGCGCTCTCGGACCTGAAAGCGCAGTACGCAACGGAGCTTGCAGCTGCACAAACCGCAGCTCGTGCCGCTGCGGAGGCCAAGCCGGAGGCAGAGGGCAAGCGCCGGGCTAAGGCTGGCATTCCGGAGGACATAATCGCGGACATGGCGGAGGTTAACGCCACTCTAAGCAAGGGCCGCAAGAAGCGGCCACTGCCGGACAGCCTTGCCACGCCGGACGACCTCGCCACGCTCGCGCTATCGGGATCCCACCCTCTGCATAAGACAACCGCCGGTGGCATTGCTGCTCTGGACGTGAACCCGCAGCAGCAGGGAGTGGTTGTGACTGCCGGCCTGGATGCCTCTCTGCAGCTGTTTGATTACCTTCAGGTGGGCTCCACGCGTGCATGTGCGGGCCATGGGCTGAAGGACTGGTAAAGCACGCATGATGATGATGATGATGATGATTACAAGCTAAAGGCTCGTAAGGCCCAGATGAGCCAGGAGGCTCATGGACCGCTACACAAACAAGAAAGCATGCATGGTGTTCATATAATCGCGCCCTACCGTACTCCTCGACATCTTTCCATACCCCTGCAAACGGACTCCGCCCAGCTCTCCTGAATCCTGAGCTTTGCGTCCAGCCAATCAAACCCCCTTCCGACCCAAAACGCCTCGCTCCCGACTCAATTTCCCACCACTCCCACTCCACCAGGGCCGCGTCCTGGGCAGCCTGGAGGGCCACAGCAAGCGCTGCACCGGAGTGGCCTTTGTCTCCGCGGACCTCATCGTCAGCAGCAGCGCCGACAAGACAGCGCGCGTGTGGCGCAGCGGCGGTGCGGGCGCCGAGGGCGAGGAGGCTGCCGCGTCCTGGCAGAGCGCCGCGGTGCTGCGGGACCACAGCGCGGAGGTGGTGGGCGTCACGGTGCACCCCAGCCGGCGGTACTTTGTGACGGGCAGCGCGGATGCCACGTGGGCGTTTTACGATGTGGACTCGCTCACGTGCCTGCGCCAGGTGCGTGGGTGTGGGCGTGTGTGGATGCCGAGTCGCGCGGATGGTGTTGGGATGGAGTGTGAGGAGATGATGCATTGCGTGTTTGACTCGCGCCGTTTCAAGTTCGGGAATGTGGGGGTTGTGTTGAAAGGGAGTAGTGCGGTATGACCGATGAGGGGGTCCTGAACGGGGCGAGTGCAGGGGCAGCGCAGAGGCATATGTTGCTGGCTAGGTGGCGAACGAACGCTGATGCCATGCCGCGCTGTTTGGACTCAACTCCTCTACTCACGCAACCCTGAACATAGGCGCTTGCTAGTCTGTTGATCAGTGTGCAGCTACCGGTAGATCGCCTTTGCTACTTTGCGTGGGGTTTGCATCGGAGCTCCTCCTTCCCTCTCTCATGCCTGATCTCGCATCGCCTAATACGCTTATACCCTCGACACCTCTCTGCTTCCCCGCAGGTTGGCGCCGAGGATGGCCCCGGCGAGCCGTACACCTGCCTGTCCTTCCACCCGGATGGCCTTATCCTGGGTACCGGCACGGAGGCCAAGGCAATCAGGTGCGGTTGACAGGCTGGCGGGGAAAGAACCGGTGCTGCTGGCGTCGGGGTCCCTTCGGGTCATGGAACTGGCGTGTGACTTTAACAGGAGGTGGCTTTGGGTGCTTGTTTCATCAGCAGGAAGAGCCGTGTCAATTCCCCACTTGGTGCACATGCAAAGCGCATTCTCCTTCACACTGCTGTTTTCTCTTTTCACGTTGGTACTACCGTCCCGCACGTGGTGGCAACAGGATTTGGGAGGTGAAGCAGCAGAAGCCGGTGGCGGCGTGCGAGGGCCACGCGGGGCCCGTGCGCTGCCTGGCGTTCAGCGAGAACGGCTACCACATGGCGTCCGTGAGCGACGAGTGCGTCAAGCTGTGGGACCTGCGCAAGCTGGCCAACTTCAAGTGAGTGTGGTTGTGGAGGGGGGGTCCTAAAGAAGAAGGAAAGAGGGGATGGTGCTTGTTCGCCGACCCCCCTGGGATCTGGGTCTTGTTGGTGTGGGTCGTACAAAAGGATCCTACAACCCATGGTTGCACATCTCTGTTGGGATCGACTGGAGACGTATGCTCGAATTCTGCCATGCATGGCTTGGTCCTGGCCATCATAGTCTGTTTAGGAATAAACTGCGCGCCAACTTGTGCGTTCTGGCTTGCGCAACCATGTGCACCGGCAAGCTAGTCTGTAAACTTTGTTTCGCTGCATTTTCCCTCCAACCCCATGCAAACGCCCGTCTGCTCTCGCCCTTGATGTGCGCAGGACGCTGGAGCCCTTCACGGACGGCCCCTGCGCCTCCGTGGCGTTCGACCACAGCGGCCAGTACCTGGCGGTGGGCGGCCCCGTCGTCAAGGTGTTCGGACAGGTGAGCGAGCTGGTGTGTACATGTGGTGCTTGTTTGGTTGGTCGTAAGTGCATGCGCAGGACCTCTATAGTGACATGGAAGGCAGGGAGGTGGGGCTGTGTGGCTGGCGTGACATTGTCATTGCCAGGAGCAATAAAAGATCAGAAGGAAAGGGTGGTACCGGTAGCTGGTAATCGCACGAGGTTAGGGTTGCGGTGATCATGGCTGAGCGCATCTTCTCCCTGCCCTTTCCGTTCGGCCCTCCAGAAGCAGCAGTGGTCGGAGCTGCGGCAGCTGTCGGAGGTGCCCAAGCGGGCCGCTGCGCTGCGATGGGGCCCAGACGCGCGCAGCCTGCTGGTTGGAGCTGGGGACCACAACCTGCGCGTGTTTTCGGTGCCTCCGGCGCAGTAAAGGGGCTGGGCGCGCGGGATGAATGCAAGGACCTTAGGAGGGGGTCTGGGCGGACGATTGACGATTTGACTAGGTCAGCGCGAGCATTGCATGATCGGTTTGCCTGTACGTTCCGCTGCCGCGGTAGAGGCAATTAGGTTGGCATTGAGGCTAAGGCCGACAAGCGGTGGGTAACTCCCGGACGGGTTAACTTGTTGCCTATGGCCATGGTAATAGGAGACGACTGCCAACGAATGAGTTGTTGCAACTGGGTATGGCTGCCAGCATTTGCGCTGGCAGCCTACGCGAAAAGTTGTTTCCGGTCGATGGGACAAAGCTTACCCTTGTAAGGTCAACGCTCTACTAACGAGAATAACGAAGGCGGTACCCGTCTTCTTCTTATTGTGAGAAGGCTAGCACTCGGAATGTCAGCAAAACCATTTGTTGACTCGAAACAGGAAAAGGGACATATACCATCAAATCACAGCGCTCGAGACAACATGCTATAATGCTCCCCAATGACAGATTGATTGCTTGCGTTGTACGTTTCACGCTGGCGTGGCTTGTACGGCGTCTGGCCTACGTGGACCAGGAAATAGTATAAGAAGCTAAACGCCATCCACTATGCAAACCAAGCAAAGCTCTTCATGCTCTGTAAAGGCGATCAGACCTGAATACGTATCCTAGCTAACCTGTCAATTCCATAAGAGAAGCGCTTCTACAAGCTCTTCCAAGCCTTCTATATTTCCAGGTGAGCCCAGGCGCACAGGTACAAGCAAATAGTGCAACGCGTCGGAGGGATACGTGGATATCTTGATAGGGAGTTGGACGAAAGTAACCTCCAAGTTGCTTGACTGGTCGCAACGTTGATGCGAATGCAGGCCCAGACCACATCTTGGTTCAAGTTGAAGATGTCTTCGACCGCAACGGTTACTTACTCGGAGATGAAGACGACGGCGTCGCCTTCTGCAACAAGGGTTCTCGAGGCTAGTCTAGAGGCGCTCGGAGCAGTCCTCATGACAGCAATGACTCCAGTCATACTTCTCGCGGCCATGGGTCTCTCTGTATTTAAGACGGTTGTCGCTTGGGCGCGGACGGAGCTATCCTGGCGAGCTTGAAGTCAGTTCAATGAACGGTCGCGACATACGATGTTGGATAGTCTTGGCAGCTCCTAGAGGAGTCGCGCTAGTCACTGCACAAGTATCCTCAGTGGGTATGATAGTCTTTGAGCGGCAATTTGGGTTGGTTGTTGGGTAGCAACCTGTGTTGGTTGTTGTGGTGAGGGATGGCGACCTCAACTGCCGGTGCGTCCGGGGCCTGACCCTAGACCGCGTGAGCAACCGATGTATAGTTCGCTATGAACTGCTGACCGGGGGGGCGCGGTATGTGCTGCGTCCTGACGTGTGTGTTTGGCGTCCCACAACCCCGATAGGACATAGCTCTACGCTGGGTAGACAAGTGTACCATATGACGACGAGTATCACAACGCGTGTCATGCAGGCAAGGATGCAGCAATTATGACCATTGTGAAGCATTCCATGGCCGCTCCGTGATAGACTCTTTATCACCGGCACTTCCTCGTGCCCAATCACAGATGTGTGGGCCCGTGGCTGGGTTTCGGTTTTCATTTCTTTTAGAGCACTGTCATGTTCATCTCGCTGTTGTAGCTATATTAGCGCTGCGATGATTGTAGCATAGTACCATAAAGACGTGTGACACCACAGCTAGGTACCTGTAGGGTGATGTGACGTGCAGTGGAGGCGGTTAGGCACGTTGCGCGGGGAGAGTTGAACCGTGCAACTGCTGGCTAGGTGCCTGCTAGGACTACTCGCGGCAGCGCTTAGAGAGCTGCATTGACTGCATGTGCATAGTCACAACTGCGCTGTACTGAGATTCATCTGTAAATACAATGCTGTATGTGTATGTGTCGGCAGTCATGACACGGGAGCCTACATGAAGGCATGTGTAAGCCGTAGCCATCTGATGAACAGCATCTGTGTACAACGCTCGTGTACGGAATTCATTTGTGTTACAAGTAGCCCAAAAGAAGAAAGATGTTACGATAATAGGGACCGTGACTAAACGGGAGGCCTGCTCACGACCCTTTTATCGACGTAGCTTTGACAACAGTAGACTTGCTGGACTCCTGTAAGGGTACGACAAGCAGGCAATAGCGATTAAGCGTCCTGCCACGTTGTAATCTGCTGAATACCCGCGCATGAACGGCTTGCACCCAGCGTGTCGCCATAGACACGAACGGTAGGAGGGTACGAGGAATGAGGCCGAATAGCAGCATTGACATCGGATTGCAGCTCTTGTCTATGAAACAGGTAGGGGGCATCAAACGGGTACAGAGGCCACACAGACGTTGCAGTCGAGATACTGGTTAGTACGGCAGCCGAGATACTGGTTAGTACGGCATAACGCTCTAAAGATTCATCGGTACATCCTCTCTATCGAATCAGTTATTACATATATGCTTTGCTTCCTTGTCAATGGCTCTTGCAATGTTGACTCGCCAGGCGTTGGGGGCAAGCGCCCTGTGTAGCGGCGTTGCCGCTAACAGGTCGGTCCAATTCCCAATTTTGTTTAAAGGGATATCGTTGCACGCATAGAGGATGAACGTCTAGTCGTCGCGTAACTTTGTGCACTGAACGGCGGCTGTGCATTTCCGTAGGTCCGCGAAGGTACTCTTCGGGCGTCCTACGTTCGCTCAAAGGCTACTGGTACGTCGCTTATTGCGTATCTTTAATAGCACCGCTTTCCGTCGTCATATAACCCGCTCGCGCTTTTGGCCACATACCCGATCGCCGCGGCGACTAGCGCCACGCTCTTCGCGTCGCCTCCGTTCAGCACCCATACCTACTCAATTATCCTTCGCAGAACTTCTCGGCTGCTGCCGCGCCTAAAAACAACAAGAAGGCGCCGGCTCCGGTTGCCCCGCCCCCTCCTCCGCCTGAGGAGGAGGAGGCCGAGTTCATGGACGATGCCTTCATGGATCCAATGGATAGCCTGGCGGTGCCTCAGCGCCGCCGCGTGTTGGCGATGAAGGACGTACAAAAGCAGTACGACGCGCTGCACCGCGACTACCAGGCTGAGCTGGCGCAGCTGCAGCACAAGTACAACCTCAAGTACGGTAAGCAGGGGTAGCCACAGGACTCGGCGGGTGTTGATACACCATGGAAGGCAGGTAAGCGTGAACTCCGGTGTAGCCGGATGGCCGTGAAGACTGGGAACAGGCCAGCAAGGAACGCGGTGCAGCCGCCGTCCACCCGGAGGGAAGCAGCCCGGAGGAGGAGGAGCAGGCGCAGCAGCAGCAGGACGCGAAAGAAGGCCAACAATGGGAGCCGCGGGACCCGGGCGGACTGGGCTCTTGTTACGGGGGTATCGGTTAACACAACACGGCCGCTGAGGAGGCGGCGTCGCGCCAGGACTGCTTGCATCCGCCATGCGTGCCTACCCCGTTCCTGCTAAACCTCCTTTGCCTGTTTCGCCCTAAACTCATCCCTCATCCCTTCTGCTGACCTCTTCCTGCTCCTCCCTTCTTCCCGTCTCCCCTCCTTCTCCTCCACTTCCTACGCACGACGCCCCCTCCTCCCCTCCTCAGCGCCCCTGTACGATGAGCGGCGGGAGCTGTTCCTGGGTCGCAAGCCCGTCACGGATAAGTACGAGCTGGAGGACGATGGGGAGAAAGGTGGGGCGGGAGATAGGTGAAGGCTGGGAACATGGGTGCTTGGGAACTTGCGAAGTTGGGAACTTACGGTAACTTGGGAATGATAAGGGCGATGATGGCCACATTAGCGGTAGCGAGGGGGCAGCACCGTGTGTTGTGGCACACGCGGGAGTTATAGGTGGTGTGTGCGGTAGGTGGGTGTGTGGGTGTTGGGTGGGCGGTAGGGTGAAGCTGCGGGGGTTTTGAGGCCGGGGACGCATGTTGGGGTGACTTTGAAGACAGGAGGACAGGTTGCGGGACTTTGGGCTGAGGAGCTTCTCGCATGTGGGTTGGCATGGCTGGGTATTGCAGCGTGTTGGGTTTGTGGGGTGCACCTCTTCACCCACGGATTGTTGCCGAAGCGGATCTGCTAGTCGGGCCTTTTCATCGCCTTCCCTCAATCTACCTATCGTTTTCCACTTCCTTTCCTGTCTCTACCCAACCATTCCTGCCAACCTCCCTAGTCGCTCCTCATTCCTCTCTCCCTCCCTCGCTGCCTTTGGGCCTTCTTGTTGTTGTCCCGACTTGGTCTCCCTCTCTTGTTTCCCTCCTTTGTTCCCACCCTCCCTCTCCTCCCAAGACGGCCCCGTTCCCGAGTTCTGGCTGAACGCGCTGGCCAACCACAACAAGATCTCGCCCTTCATCTCGGAGCGCGACAGCGAGGTGCTCAAGTACCTGGAGGTGAGGGGGCGGGGGGGGGGGGGGCGGGGGGGGGGGGGGGGGTGTTATAAAAAAGTGCAAACAACTAGGTTCCCAATCCATGTCCCGACTCATGCAGTGGGTGCAGGGGGGAGGGGCAGGGGTGGGGGCGGAGGGCAGGGGTGGGGTTTAATAGGGATAAGTAATCCGCAATAGGTTGGATTGTAGGATTGCGTATGGTGGGGTGGGTGGGCCACTTCCGGCGGCCCGGTGGCGTGAGGAGATACCCGTACCCTAGACCGCCAGGCGAGTTACCGGCACAGCTTCCAAGCCCCTAGCCGCCCTCCTCAACATTATGATCCCCTTCCTCCTCGAGCCTCCTCCACCTTCACCCCCACCACCACGCACGCCCCCCAAACCCCCGCTTCTAACCCCTGTCACTCACTCCCCCCCCGCAGGACATCCGCAGCGAGGTGCTGGTGGGCGAGGAGCGCGGCTTCAAGCTGAGCTTCCACTTCGCGGAGAACAACCCGCACTTTAAGAACAAGGTGCTGCGGGGGTTTAAGGGCTGCGGGTCGCGACCCATGGGTCATAGGGAATGGGGCAGCTGCAGCAACACAGCAGCAGCGGTGGTGGTGGTGGATGCAGATAGCCACCACGATATCGGGACAAGCAGGGTACCAGCGCTTCGTCTACCCTCCCCTCCCCACCCTGCTCCCATTGCTTTACCCTAACCTGTGGTTTAGTATATTTCCGAACCCCCGCCCTGCTCCCCCCATCCTGTTACCCCCCCAACCACCTTAACACCCTGGGATTCTTCTTTTCCACCCTGTCCCCTCCTCTCAGGTGCTTGAGAAGGTGTATGTGTTGGAGCCGGAGGACGATGTGGTGCCCAAGCACTTCACCGGCACGCCCATCCAGTGGAAGGAGGGGTGCGACACCACCGTGGAGCTGCAGAAGCGGAGAGTCAAGGGACCCAAGGTGGGGCCTGACACTGACCCTGACACTGACCCTGACACTGACACTGACACTGAGCCTGACACTGACCCTGACACTGACACTGACCCTGACACTGACACTGACACTGACACTGACACTGAGCCTGACACTGACACTGACCCTGACACTGACCCTGACACTGACCCTGACCCTGACACTGACACTGACCCTGACACTGACCCTGACACTGACACTGACACTGAGCCTGACACTGACACTGACCCTGACACTGACCCTGACCCTGACCCTGACCCTGACCCTGACACTGACACTGACACTGAGCCTGACACTGACCCTGACACTGACCCTGACCCTGACCCTGACACTGACACTGACACTGACACTGACACTGACCCTGACACTGACCCTGACACTGACCCTGACACTGACCCTGACACTGACACTGACACTGAGCCTGACACTGACCCTGACACTGACACTGACACTGACACTGACACTGACACTGACACTGACACTGACACTGACACTGACACTGACACTGACACTGACACTGACACTGACACTGACACTGACACTGACACTGACACTGACACTGACACTGACACTGACACTGACACTGACACTGACACTGACACTGACACTGACACTGACACTGACCCTGACCCTGACCCTGACCCTGACCCTGACCCTGACCCTGACCCTGACCCTGACCCTGACCCTGACCCTGACCCTGACCCTGACCCTGACCCTGACCCTGACCCTGACCCTGACCCTGACCCTGACCCTGACCCTGACCCTGACCCTGACCCTGACCCTGACCCTGACCCTGACCCTGACCCTGACCCTGACCCTGACCCTGACCCTGACCCTGACCCTGACCCTGACCCTGACCCTGACCCTGACCCTGACCCTGACCCTGACCCTGACCCTGACCCTGACCCTGACCCTGACCCTGACCCTGACCCTGACCCTGACCCTGACCCTGACCCTGACCCTGACCCTGACCCTGACCCTGACCCTGACCCTGACCCTGACCCTGACCCTGACCCTGACCCTGACCCTGACCCTGACCCTGACCCTGACCCTGACCCTGACCCTGACCCTGACACTGACACTGACACTGACACTGACACTGACACTGACACTGACACTGACACTGACACTGACACTGACACTGACACTGACACTGACACTGACACTGACACTGACACTGACACTGACACTGACACTGACACTGACACTGACACTGACACTGACACTGACACTGACACTGACACTGACCCTGACACTGACCCTGACTTTCCATCTGCCTGAGTCTGTTAGCCATAGACGCCGCGCTCCTCTGCCCCTCCTTCCTCGCTCACCTCGCTGTTGCCCCTGTCTTCCCTGCTTCCAAACATGTCCCTCCCCTCCCCTAATGGCGGATCACTTCCCTATATATTCCCCTTCACGAACTCGTCCCACCTCTTGACCTCCTCTCCCGCCTTCCCCCCTGCCCCACCTGCTCAGGGCGACAAGTCCAAGCCCGCCTTCGTTACCGAGAAGGTGCCCTGCGAGTCCTTTTTCACGCTCTTCGACCCGCCCCAGGTGAGGCGGGGGCAGCAGGCAGGAGGAGGGTGTAATGGGGCAGCTACCCGTATGTTGGTGGTGGGGGTGGGGGGTGGGGGATGGGGGATGGGGTAAAACGGAGCCGCGAGAAATGCTGATCCTGACCGTAGTATGATGGTGGGAGGGTAAGGAGGAAGGAACGGCCCCAATGCGGCATGTAAGGGTGCCCCATCTCCCCCCTCCTCCCCCCACAGGTTCCTAACGAGGAGAGCGCCAACTCGATGAGCGAGGAGGAGCTGGAGGAGCTGGAGGAGGTGCTGAGCAACGACTTCGAGGTCGGCTTCGCGATCAAGGACCAGGTAGGGGTGGGGGATCAGGTCCTTGGCCGCGAGGAGTGACCCATGGGTCAGAGTAGCTGCAGCGGGATGCGGGACTTTGGCCTCTGAACTGCATGCCCCGAGGCTACATACTTGTGTGTGTGTGTGTGTGGTGTTCTTGCCATGCCTACCGCAGAGTGGGTTTTGGCTTTCCTTCCACGGCCCTTTTCTTCCCCATCCCGTGACGTTTCGGTGCCCTTCCCGCTCGCTCGCTCGCCCCCCGTCACACCAGGTCATCCCCCGCGCGGTGGAGTGGTTCACGGGCGAGATCGCGCCGCTCTCAGACGCTGACTATGATGACGAGTACGAGGAGGGGGAGGACTACTAGAGAGCTCGCCAGCGGTTGCTAACTGGGAGGAGGGCAGGTTGGGTGGTGACGTTTGTGGTGTTTGAAGCGGGGGTGGCGCCTGGGTGGTGAGGAGGGTGTTGATGAGATGGGGCGGCCTGTGGGGAGCGCCTGAGCATGGTTGTGTCATGAATTTGGTGTGTGATGTTTGGGCTTTAGGGGACGGGGTAATGGGTGCCGTACATGGGTAAGTACGTACGCTGTGGTACCGTATGTGCATGGGATGCGGACTTGTGTTTTGGGATCGGACACGCGTTGGCGACGTGATGGGTCGGTTATGTTGCCAAAACGCTACTGGATACCCTAAGAAGCAAACAATTGTTTTGCGGCTTCGGAGCGGACAGAGAATTGGGTACCAATGTTTGACGGGGCCTGTGTTTGCGTTGGATGGACGTTGGTGGTGCTCTTAAGCTTGGGTAGCGTTCTGCCTTGTGGAACGGACCCAAGCGAACCCGAGTTACGGGCTTGTACTAGCGAACCCGAATAGGGTTTCACTGAGCGCAGCATACGTTTCGCGTGGGCTTCGTTCGCAAGCGACGGCTAGCACGTTTAGGACTTGCGGAGTCAAGGTTTGGTCAACGCACGGTCTCCTGCGCTGTGCTGTCGACCAGGCCTTGCGTTGCATTCACTCTTTCTTGCTTGCAAGGTTTGCTTGCGCGTTAGGGATTGACAGGCCGGGCAGTTCTATTCGAGCGCTAAGCGATGATGACACATAAACCTGTCCTCAGGGGATGTGGTTGAAGTTTGTGCAATGTGGATGGACACTGGGTAGTACGGTATGTGTTGGTTCGACCCAAAGCCGCGTGACTGAACGATGGTATGTGGATGAAACTATAAGCATGGCTTACACGGGGGTAAGAGTGTCGGTGCCGTCGTGGAATTTGCGCATGCTGTGTAATTCCGATTTTCCTCAAGGCGACTGTTTGGGACGGTTTGGGCGGTGGTCATCCGGGCAACCCGCTCGCTGCATACCCATACGGGAAGGGATCTCTTATGTGAGAGTACTGCGGCTTAACATCACCTCCGGTCGCTGGGCTGTCGTTCCAACTAAAAGTCGCCGGAATCGGGTGCTGCCGCCGAGGGGCCAGGCCGAAACTTCTAACTCACACTGGTTATGCGCTGCATAGTCCACCCCCATGCATTGCCACTCTATTGTGCTGACATTTTGCTGTTTGGTCCGTGGCTTCCGCTTGCTCGACAGGCTCCCTGCGTTACCTAGTGCATGCCAAGAACCGGCCGCTTTCATGGTCGGCCAATTTACTCGATTCGAATTAAAGGCATTTTCCGAAAAGAAATGATGGTATTGCTTTCCTGTTGATGCGTGTTGGGTAAAGGGGTGCCGCATCCATCCATGGAACGTGCACAATTGCAGCTACAAGTACGTTAATAGGATACATTTAACATAAAACATGATTCCGAATTGTGCAGTAGTTACAAACTCTCCATGCGCTCTACGTAATGGTGGCGATGTTGAGGTAGGGAACTAAGTACCGAAGGACCAACCCATAGCAGTACTAAAAAAACCGCCCAGTCACAAACGTTACAAGGTTGTTACTGCGTTTACCCATCATAACCGTTTTCACTACCTCATTGTTAAGCTTGACACCTTATCGCTGCTAACCGCAAGCATCATTGCCAGGTTTCAGTCGTCATCTGTTTCTGCGAGCGTCCTTATGTCAATAGCCTGATACATAATAAGCACTTACCAGTATGGCGGACCGGCCGCCCTCAAAAGGGCTGGCGGTGCTTGGAGGGGCTCCTCCAACTCGCAGCGGCGCAGCGACTTCCTCAGGAAGGACTGCAACGGGAGCCGCAACAGGAACTGCTAAAAGAGGTCAAACAGCGGTGAGCATCGATGGCATCGACGTTGACATCGGCATAGGCATGTCTACGACGTCCGTCATTCGCCGAGCCTGGTGTTACTGAACCACAAATTCCAATACGCATTGCAACAGAGAACTGCTGGAGGGACTGCTCTAGACCCACTTGCACAAGAATTGATCCTCAAGTACCGGTTAAAGTTCGGGGTAAGGCAACTGCAATGAGTGTCCAACCATCCTCCGCTCTGGGCGTGGGGACCGCCACAATAAGCATCACGTATACGCATAACGAGAGTGTGAAGGAACGCAGCACCGGACATCCATTCCGATGCCCACCAGCCCTCTTGCCAGCCCCTCTCCTCACCCGTGCTATATACTCACGTGCCTTCGGCATTGTAACAATTCCTCTCCGCTCTTCCTACCCAAACCAGCGTCCTAATCCAAACCCCTTCCTTCCCTTCTCGCCAACCTCCTCCCCTGCAGGAGGCTGCTGCCACGGTAGCCGGCCAGGAGGCCATCACCAAGGAGGTCCTGCAGTACATGCTGGTGCTGCCCACAAGGCCCGCCAAGACAAGGGTGGGGACCTCAGCCGCAGCAGCAGCCGCAGCCGCAATCATAAGGGCTCCTCCACACGGCTACCGCACGCACGTACAGCCCCAGCCCCAACACTGGCAGCACATGCAAAGATACATGCCTTATGCCTTCAACTCGGTTATTCACTGTCACTTGTAATCCACCACCTCTCCCCTTGCGCTCTCTCTCTCTCTCTCTCTCCCTCCCTTGACCTCCTCCTCCTCCTGCCTGCTCCTCCCACTCCTTCCCCCGGGCCGCCCCCCAGGATACGGACCTAGCCCACCTAGAGGACCGCATCCGAACCCGCCTGCTGGGGGGCACTCCCAGGTGGGTTGGGGGGGGGAGGTGGGTGGGGTTGGGAGGGGGAGGTGAGGGGTGGAGGGGGAGGTGAGGGGTGGAGGGGGAGGTGAGGGGTGGAGGCGGAGGTGAGGGGTGGAGGCGGAGGTGAGGGGTGGAGGGGGAGGTGAGGGGTGGAGGGGGAGGTGAGGGGTGGAGGGGGAGGTGAGGGGTGGAGGGGGAGGTGAGGGGTGGAGGGGGAGGTGAGGGGTGGAGGGGGAGGTGAGGGGTGGAGGGGGAGGTGAGGGGTGGAGGGGGAGGTGAGGGGTGGAGGCGGAGGTGAGGGGTGGAGGCGGAGGTGAGGGGTGGAGGGGGAGGTGAGGGGTGGAGGGGGAGGTGAGGGGTGGAGGGGGAGGTGAGGGGTGGAGGGGGAGGTGAGGGGTGGAGGGGGAGGTGAGGGGTGGAGGGGGAGGTGAGGGGTGGAGGCGGAGGTGAGGGGTGGAGGCGGAGGTGAGGGGTGGAGGGGGAGGTGAGGGGTGGAGGGGGAGGTGAGGGGTGGAGGGGGAGGTGAGGGGTGGAGGGGGAGGTGAGGGGTGGAGGGGGAGGTGAGGGGTGGAGGGGGAGGTGAGGGGTGGAGGGGGAGGTGAGGGGTGGAGGGGGAGGTGAGGGGTGGAGGGGGAGGTGAGGGGTGGAGGGGGAGGTGAGGGGTGGAGGGGGAGGTGAGGGGTGGAGGGGGAGGTGAGGGGTGGAGGGGGAGGTGAGGGGTGGAGGGGGAGGTGAGGGGTGGAGGGGGAGGTGAGGGGTGGAGGGGGAGGTGAGGGGTGGAGGGGGAGGTGAGGGGTGGAGGGGGAGGTGAGGGGTGGAGGGGGAGGTGAGGGGTGGAGGGGGAGGTGAGGGGTGGAGGGGGAGGTGAGGGGTGGAGGGGGAGGTGAGGGGTGGAGGGGGAGGTGAGGGGTGGAGGGGGAGGTGAGGGGTGGAGGGGGAGGTGAGGGGTGGAGGGGGAGGTGAGGGGTGGAGGGGGAGGTGAGGGGTGGAGGGGGAGGTGAGGGGTGGAGGGGGTGGGTGGGTTTGGGAGGGGGAGGTGAGGGGTGGAGGGGAGGTGAGGGGTGGAGGGGGAGGTGAGGGGTGGAGGGGGAGGTGAGGGGTGGAGGGGGAGGTGAGGGGTGGAGGGGGAGGTGAGGGGTGGAGGGGGAGGTGAGGGGTGGAGGGGGAGGTGAGGGGTGGAGGGGGAGGTGAGGGGTGGAGGGGGAGGTGAGGGGTGGAGGGGGAGGTGAGGGGTGGAGGGGGTGGGTGGGTTTGGGAGGGGGAGGTGAGGGGTGGAGGGGGAGGTGAGGGGTGGAGGGGGAGGTGAGGGGTGGAGGGGGAGGTGAGGGGTGGAGGGGGAGGTGAGGGGTGGAGGGGGAGGTGAGGGGTGGAGGGGGAGGTGAGGGGTGGAGGGGGAGGTGAGGGGTGGAGGGGGAGGTGAGGGGCGGAGGGGGAGGTGAGGGATGCAGCAGGGGGTCAGGCAGGGCTGGGAGGCTACAAGGCCCTCAGGCAGGAAGGTGGGGTGTCCTCGTTCTCCTCCCCTCCCTGAGAGCGACCCCTGGCTCCTCTCATCACACCTTATCTCAACCCTCTCCCTCTCATCCCATGTGCCCTCCTCCTACCCCCGTTTCCCTCCCCCACAGCAAGAACTCCCTGGCCGCCGCCAAGCGGGGTCAGGGCGCGGACGAGTGGCTTCAGATGGTGGAGTACGACCAGGCGCTGGGGGCGGCACGGCAGCGGCAGGAGGAGGTGGCGGTGCGGAACAGGCAGAGCACTCTGCGGCAGCAGCTGGAGGCGCAGGTGGGGGGGTGGGGGCTGGGGGGGGGGGAGTGGGTGGGTGGGTGGGTGGGAAGAGGAAGAAGAGACGTAGCTGTGTGTGGCATGGAAAGGGTTACAACAAGGGGTTTGCATGGGGCGCAGGTGTGGGGGCTGGGGTGGTTTAGTAAATAGGTGTTGGGAGGAGGGCTAGGCGGAGGGGGCTGGCTGGGGGCCTAGTGGGTCGTGTGCCAAGTGACAAGCATGGGCGCGTTGGGCAGCTGGTGGGTGGGGTCCTGTTCCTCCCGCCCCTGTGGAGCGAGAGGGGAGCGAGGCCCCCCGCCCCTGCCCCTGCAACATCCCCGCCATCCCCGCTACCCACCCACCCCGAACCTCCACTCACTCGCGCCTCACCCGCCCGCGCCCGCCCGCAACAGATGGAGGAGCACGAGCGGCAGCGGCAGCAGGAGCGGGCGCAGGAGGAGGCGTACTGGCGGGAAGAGCAGGTGGGGGCTGGGTGGGGTTGCGGGTGGGCGGGTGGGCTGAGGCGCGTCATCGGGCTAAGGCTGAGGCTGCGGGGGTGTGGCGTGTACCGGGCAGGTCCAAACAGCAGCGATGGGACTGAGGACAGGAGGGGGAGAAGGAGGGGGAGGAGGAGGGCAGCCTGCGCATGCAGTGGTGTACCTGCACTGGGGGTCCAGCGTTGCGCGGCGCTTGCTGTCGCATGTGCCGTGTTTGGTACGTGTTCTAGATCACATGCGGACCCAAGCCTAGCCTTCCCCACACCCTCCTTCTTGACGCTTCCTCCCCGCTTCCTCCCCGCCCTCTCTCCCCCCCTCTCCCCGCCCTGCAGGCCCAGCTCCGCAAAGCCGAGGAGGAGGAGGAGGCGCGCCGGCGGCTGCAGGCCGAGATCATGCTCAAGCTCAAGCAGGAGCGTGTGCAGCAGATGCAGGAGCGCGTCAACAAGCGCGAGGCGGCGCTGTCGCGGCGGCGAGCGGAGGAGGCGCTGGAGGCCTCCCGTACGGCGTACGACACGGCGGAGGAGCTGCGGCGGGAGGAGGCGTCGAGGGTGTCAGCCAAACTGGTGAGAGGCAGTGGGAGGGGGCGGAGGGAGGAGGGAGGAGGGACGAGGGAAGGGAAGGGGATGGAGGGGGAGGGAAGATGGAAGGGAGCTGTGGGCTCTGGTGGTGCAGGCGAGGAAGTTGCCTGTCCTCTCTGCACTACACAAGCCTTACGGGTGCTTGCATGGAAGCCGTATAACTTCCGGATTCCTTCCCCCCCTCCTTCCCGCCGTCACAGCTCGTCCTCCCTCCCTTGCCTCTTTTCCCCGCCTTTCCTTTTCTCTCCTCCTCTCATGTGCGTTGTTTTCCCCTCCACTTCTTCCCTCCCCTTCTGAGTCGGGCCATGGCATTGGGGTATTCCAGTGTTGTATCTCTTCTGCGTTTTTGTTACCTTCTTACCTCCCCCTCCCCACCCTCCGCTCCTCACCCCCAGGCCCTCCGTGAGTTCCTGTCCGGCAACGAGGCCAACCGCGCGCTCAAGGAGGCGGAGAAGAAGCGGCAGTGGGAGGAGGACGCGGCCTTCCAGCGCAAGTGGGAGGCCATCCTAAACAAGCAAGAGGCGGACAGGCGCGAACAGTGAGTTGGATGGAAGGGGGTAAAGAACTGAAAGGGGCAATGAGACACTGAAAGGGGGAGTGAGTTGCATGGAAGGGGGTGGGGTGTGGATTGGTGGTGGGTAGATGGACTGAGCCGCTAGAGGAAACACACACTGACCGTGACCACCCACCGTGATGGGTGTTGGATTGGTGGTGGTGGCGGTTGAGGCTTCTTGAGGGCGAGCGAGCACTTCCCCCCACCTCCCACTGCCCCGCCTGCTGCTGCACTCCCCCCCACCTCCCACTGCCCCGCCTGCTGCTGCACTCCCCCCCCACCTCCCACTGCCCCGCCTGCTGCTGCACTCCCCCCCCCACCTCCCACTGCCCCGCCTGCTGCTGCACTCCCCCCCCACCTCCCACTGCCCCGCCTGCTGCTGCACTTCCCCCCACCTCCCACTGCCCCGCCTGCTGCTGCACTCCCCCCCCACCTCCCACTGCCCCGCCTGCTGCTGCACTTCCCCCCACCTCCCACTGCCCCGCCTGCTGCTGCACTCCCCCCCCACCTCCCACTGCCCCGCCTGCTGCTGCACTCCCCCCCCACCTCCCACTGCCCCGCCTGCTGCTGCACTTCCCCCCACCTCCCACTGCCCCGCCTGCTGCTGCACTCCCCCCCACCTCCCACTGCCCCACCTGCTGCTGCACTCCCCCCCACCTCCCACTGCCCCGCCTGCTGCTGCACTTCCCCCCACCTCCCACTGCCCCGCCTGCTGCTGCACTTCCCCCCACCTCCCACTGCCCCGCCTGCTGCTGCACTTCCCCCCCACCTCCCACTGCCCCGCCTGCTGCTGCACTCCCCCCCCACCTCCCACTGCCCCGCCTGCTGCTGCACTTCCCCCCACCTCCCACTGCCCCGCCTGCTGCTGCACTTCCCCCCACCTCCCACTGCCCCGCCTGCTGCTGCACTTCCCCCCACCTCCCACTGCCCCGCCTGCTGCTGCACTTCCCCCCACCTCCCACTGCCCCGCCTGCTGCTGCACTTCCCCCCCCACCTCCCACTGCCCCGCCTGCTGCTGCACTTCCCCCCACCTCCCACTGCCCCGCCTGCTGCTGCACTCCCCCCCCACCTCCCACTGCCCCGCCTGCTGCTGCACTCCCCCCCCACCTCCCACTGCCCCGCCTGCTGCTGCACTCCCCCCCACCTCCCACTGCCCCGCCTGCTGCTGCACTCCCCCCCCACCTCCCACTGCCCCACCTGCTGCTGCACTCCCCCCCCACCTCCCACTGCCCCACCTGCTGCTGCACTCCCCCCCACCTCCCACTGCCCCGCCTGCTGCTGCACTCCCCCCCCACCTCCCACTGCCCCGCCTGCTGCTGCACTTCCCCCCCACCTCCCACTGCCCCACCTGCTGCTGCACTTCCCCCCCACCTCCCACTGCCCCGCCTGCTGCTGCACTTCCCCTCACCTCCCACTGCCCCGCCTGCTGCTGCACTCCCCCCCCACCTCCCACTGCCCCGCCTGCTGCTGCACTCCCCCCCCACCTCCCACTGCCCCACCTGCTGCTGCACTCCCCCCCCACCTCCCACTGCCCCACCTGCTGCTGCACTTCCCCCCCACCTTCCACTGCCCCGCCTGCTGCTGCACTTCCCCCCACCTCCCACTGCCCCGCCTGCTGCTGCACTCCCCCCCCACCTCCCACTGCCCCGCCTGCTGCTGCACTCCCCCCCACCTCCCACTGCCCCGCCTGCTGCTGCACTTCCCCCCCACCTCCCACTGCCCCGCCTGCTGCTGCACTCCCCCCCACCTCCCACTGCCCCGCCTGCTGCTGCACTCCCCCCCCCACCTCCCACTGCCCCACCTGCTGCTGCACTCCCCCCCACCTCCCACTGCCCCACCTGCTGCTGCACTCCCCCCCACCTCCCACTGCCCCACCTGCTGCTGCACTTCCCCCCCACCTCCCACTGCCCCGCCTGCTGCTGCACTTCCCCCCCACCTCCCACTGCCCCGCCTGCTGCTGCACTTCCCCCCACCTCCCACTGCCCCGCCTGCTGCTGCACTCCCCCCCCACCTCCCACTGCCCCGCCTGCTGCTGCACTCCCCCCCCACCTCCCACTGCCCCGCCTGCTGCTGCACTCCCCCCCACCTCCCACTGCCCCGCCTGCTGCTGCACTCCCCCCCCACCTCCCACTGCCCCACCTGCTGCTGCACTCCCCCCCCACCTCCCACTGCCCCACCTGCTGCTGCACTCCCCCCCACCTCCCACTGCCCCGCCTGCTGCTGCACTCCCCCCCCACCTCCCACTGCCCCGCCTGCTGCTGCACTTCCCCCCCACCTCCCACTGCCCCACCTGCTGCTGCACTTCCCCCCCACCTCCCACTGCCCCGCCTGCTGCTGCACTTCCCCTCACCTCCCACTGCCCCGCCTGCTGCTGCACTCCCCCCCCACCTCCCACTGCCCCGCCTGCTGCTGCACTCCCCCCCCACCTCCCACTGCCCCGCCTGCTGCTGCACTCCCCCCCCACCTCCCACTGCCCCACCTGCTGCTGCACTCCCCCCCCACCTCCCACTGCCCCACCTGCTGCTGCACTTCCCCCCCACCTCCCACTGCCCCGCCTGCTGCTGCACTTCCCCCCACCTCCCACTGCCCCGCCTGCTGCTGCACTCCCCCCCCACCTCCCACTGCCCCGCCTGCTGCTGCACTTCCCCCCCACCTCCCACTGCCCCGCCTGCTGCTGCACTCCCCCCCACCTCCCACTGCCCCACCTGCTGCTGCACTTCCCCCCCACCTCCCACTGCCCCGCCTGCTGCTGCACTCCCCCCCCACCTCCCACTGCCCCACCTGCTGCTGCACTTCCCCCCCACCTCCCACTGCCCCGCCTGCTGCTGCACTTCCCCCCACCTCCCACTGCCCCGCCTGCTGCTGCACTTCCCCCCACCTCCCACTGCCCCGCCTGCTGCTGCACTTCCCCCCACCTCCCACTGCCCCGCCTGCTGCTGCACTTCCCCCCACCTCCCACTGCCCCGCCTGCTGCTGCACTCCCCCCCCACCTCCCACTGCCCCGCCTGCTGCTGCACTCCCCCCCCACCTCCCACTGCCCCGCCTGCTGCTGCACTCCCCCCCACCTCCCACTGCCCCGCCTGCTGCTGCACTCCCCCCCCACCTCCCACTGCCCCACCTGCTGCTGCACTCCCCCCCCACCTCCCACTGCCCCACCTGCTGCTGCACTCCCCCCCACCTCCCACTGCCCCGCCTGCTGCTGCACTCCCCCCCCACCTCCCACTGCCCCGCCTGCTGCTGCACTTCCCCCCCACCTCCCACTGCCCCACCTGCTGCTGCACTTCCCCCCCACCTCCCACTGCCCCGCCTGCTGCTGCACTTCCCCTCACCTCCCACTGCCCCGCCTGCTGCTGCACTCCCCCCCCACCTCCCACTGCCCCGCCTGCTGCTGCACTCCCCCCCCACCTCCCACTGCCCCACCTGCTGCTGCACTCCCCCCCCACCTCCCACTGCCCCACCTGCTGCTGCACTTCCCCCCCACCTCCCACTGCCCCGCCTGCTGCTGCACTTCCCCCCACCTCCCACTGCCCCGCCTGCTGCTGCACTCCCCCCCCACCTCCCACTGCCCCGCCTGCTGCTGCACTCCCCCCCCACCTCCCACTGCCCCGCCTGCTGCTGCACTCCCCCCCCACCTCCCACTGCCCCGCCTGCTGCTGCACTCCCCCCCCACCTCCCACTGCCCCGCCTGCTGCTGCACTTCCCCCCCACCTCCCACTGCCCCGCCTGCTGCTGCACTCCCCCCCACCTCCCACTGCCCCGCCTGCTGCTGCACTCCCCCCCCACCTCCCACTGCCCCACCTGCTGCTGCACTCCCCCCCCACCTCCCACTGCCCCACCTGCTGCTGCACTCCCCCCCACCTCCCACTGCCCCACCTGCTGCTGCACTTCCCCCCCACCTCCCACTGCCCCGCCTGCTGCTGCACTTCCCCCCCACCTCCCACTGCCCCGCCTGCTGCTGCACTTCCCCCCACCTCCCACTGCCCCGCCTGCTGCTGCACTCCCCCCCCACCTCCCACTGCCCCGCCTGCTGCTGCACTCCCCCCCCACCTCCCACTGCCCCGCCTGCTGCTGCACTCCCCCCCACCTCCCACTGCCCCGCCTGCTGCTGCACTCCCCCCCCACCTCCCACTGCCCCACCTGCTGCTGCACTCCCCCCCCACCTCCCACTGCCCCACCTGCTGCTGCACTCCCCCCCACCTCCCACTGCCCCGCCTGCTGCTGCACTCCCCCCCCACCTCCCACTGCCCCGCCTGCTGCTGCACTTCCCCCCCACCTCCCACTGCCCCACCTGCTGCTGCACTTCCCCCCCACCTCCCACTGCCCCGCCTGCTGCTGCACTTCCCCTCACCTCCCACTGCCCCGCCTGCTGCTGCACTCCCCCCCCACCTCCCACTGCCCCGCCTGCTGCTGCACTCCCCCCCCACCTCCCACTGCCCCGCCTGCTGCTGCACTCCCCCCCCACCTCCCACTGCCCCACCTGCTGCTGCACTCCCCCCCCACCTCCCACTGCCCCACCTGCTGCTGCACTTCCCCCCCACCTCCCACTGCCCCGCCTGCTGCTGCACTTCCCCCCACCTCCCACTGCCCCGCCTGCTGCTGCACTCCCCCCCCACCTCCCACTGCCCCGCCTGCTGCTGCACTTCCCCCCCACCTCCCACTGCCCCGCCTGCTGCTGCACTCCCCCCCACCTCCCACTGCCCCACCTGCTGCTGCACTTCCCCCCCACCTCCCACTGCCCCGCCTGCTGCTGCACTCCCCCCCCACCTCCCACTGCCCCGCCTGCTGCTGCACTTCCCCCCACCTCCCACTGCCCCACCTGCTGCTGCACTCCCCCCCACCTCCCACTGCCCCACCTGCTGCTGCACTTCCCCCCCACCTCCCACTGCCCCGCCTGCTGCTGCACTTCCCCCCCACCTCCCACTGCCCCGCCTGCTGCTGCACTTCCCCCCACCTCCCACTGCCCCGCCTGCTGCTGCACTCCCCCC